TCATCATCGACTCCTACACCCATAGAGGTGCCTAATAATGTGTATGAGCCACCTAGTATTGGGTACTGATGACGAGCGACAATATTGAATATACACTCCGTTCCGGTGTCGTCTTCGACAATGAACTCTCCCCGTCGGTCCTGCCCTTGTGAGTCTCCCTCAGACAATCCTCGCACGAATGCCGATTCAATGACGTATCCATTGTAGAACGCATCAACATCATCGATATTGTCAGGATAGTCGATCAACGGCCCTTCCAATAGGGTTGGCAATGGCTTGGTCATGGCCTGTTTCCATGACGGTCGCCAAATCTTGTTTCCGTTCCCCGGTTCAGGATACAGGAAGAGCAAATCCCCCTGAACCAAGTTCACTGTCACATCCACCAGTGCTGTCCACGCATCCTCCTCAGACTGCTTTCCGTAGTATGCCGGTATAGAGTCTGAAAGCAGAAGGTATGCCATCCCCGCAACTTTATCCACAGAATTCGTCGACACCCGCTTCTGCATCTGCGACAGCACGTCATATACATGCAGTCCACGATGTATCTTCTGCAGCGATGACAGTTGGTTCCCAAACCTCGCCCATAAGCATAACTCTTCGTCGCCAGTGTCCCCACCAATGATTGAATGTCTGCTGATCGATGATCTCCTGAAGTGTCCATGCACGCTTGAACCAACAGTGGTCATTCTCAAAGTCGTCAGCCTTGGAATTCAAAGGCTGTCCCAGCCCACTCAAGTAGCATACTACTTTCTTGGCCTCGACATAGACTCTTCCGATGGTGGGCACATCCACCTTCCACTCCTCCTCGCGCAGATCCTCCCTTAGCCCGCCTTTCTGTCTCAAGCAGAGCACATCCAGCCACACGTACTCTGCTCCTAGATTGAGCATCTCGATCCGGATGGAATTCAGGTTGGTGCCTTTAGGCATTGGCACGAGCCATTCATAACTGTTGACAGGTGTCAACACATCCTCACGATCTTCTTCATCCACCCACGCATGCGATATCCCCCACGGCCATTGTCGAACCGCCCACCAGGGCACTACCCGATTACTATACAGATCCCAGATGCACCGAGGGGGCACATACGAGTGGATGATTCTGTCTTCGACAAATACATCTTGCAACATCTTTCGGTGCTGTACATCGCGCTCGGGTAAATCATCTATCATGGTGGTCAAGTCGGACTCGTTGTACCAAAACAGACGGAGATGGGCGTATGCGGCCCCAAAGTCATAGTTCTTCGAGATGCAGTACTCAAGAATAGAGTATACCCCCGCAGTGCCCTGAGTGTATGACGTGCCGAGGATGGCGTTGAGCTTCTCCAAGAGACCCTGAATGCCGAGCTCGGCGCAGTGAGTGTCGGCGAGATCGGATGGTATGACGGGCTTCCTGCCGGTGTAGAACTGTTGCTTCGGCACTAGAATGGATGCCTTTTGGCCTGTCCCGGTGGGAGAGGAGAGGGTCACCTCGTCATACTTGAGGTATGTTATACATTTAATATTCTTCTTTTCTTGTTTGTAAACGCTCACCCGTTTATCGTCGTAGTCCCTGTGGGTTACAATAACGTTGTGATAACAGCGAAGCCATTCATCCCTATCCATTTCGAGTATTCCTGAATCCTAGTCATAGCCAGAATAAGGACATGCAATAGTGAAAGCGACACAAAAGCACATACTCTGGGGAGGTCGATGGGGTGTGGTACCAAGCTGCGTTGAAGCTGTGGTTGCACCAGGGCTGTATCCAAAGGATTAGTAAATGCCTTGTCGAGATGAGCGGTAATTCTCCAACCGTTCACCTGCCGGATATAGCAGGGAACCCTCGCAATCAGGCGATGATCATCATTATTCGTTCACCTATCTATCTACGTCTGTACACCAGAAACAATACTACATAGTAAACAAAGCCGAGGAGAAGAACAACGTTTCCTTGCCTGACAACCCAAGATCCCGACGTCGACTGCACTCAGCACTGCGATGCATGACACTTGATATTACAACATTACCCAGAAATACTAACTTTACATGCATTTTTTCCTGAAGGAAACGGTTCTGCAGCCACGAGTGGTACCAAAGGACTGACGTGATTTATGCACGATGCCATTCCAATGTCCGACGTTAAACTAAAAGCTCGTTCATCGTCGCTCCAGTGAGTCTCTTCATCCAACTAACGTTTATCACATGTAGATTGTATCTAGAATAGATGCGTATCCACTGCAGGCGGTATGGCATCGGTTTTCAGTACCACGCCTCCAAGCGTGTCTGAACATTGCGCAATGAGGTGCTTGTAACCATGGGGAGCGATAGTGCCTGTTCAATACATGCAGAAGGATTTGATGAATTTTCCGAAGACATGTTCGAACTATTGCATTTCATCCGATCGACTTTGAGTCCTCCTGGTCAAAACCAACTGATTAGTTTCCTTCCAAGCCGTGCTAAAAATCGATCTACTAGAAAACCGAGGCTGGCCATTGTGGGTCCGACATGCCCCCCAAAAGGCCCCAGCCAGAACTGACCCTAACCCTAAGGTTCTGCCTCTAGCAGACAACAACGCGCTGGATTAATAAGACATCAGCGCGAGAAGAACCAGGGAAGGAAGAGGACATACCATATACAAAACTGGTTCAAATTCCTCCCATCCAGGGCGGTTATTTGCTCAGCCGCAACATTCGTCAATTTAGTGGACGGAGAATGGCATCAAATCAGACCTTCCGCTTCTTGGAGGTCAACGAAAGGAATGATGATCGTGCCATAGATCTTAAACCAGTTTCAGTGGGAAAAAAAAAGATGAATACTAAAAAAAACATACCACAGACATAGCTAGCGTCCACGCTGCAAACGATGATAGGCTGAAGGAACAGTTAGTCAAAAACGTCCTAGTCAACACAACTCAGCGACATACTTTGCAGTGCTACCCATGGGATTTTCAGGATCCATACAAAGTAACAGCTGAAAAAGAACACAGCATTAACTGAAGAATCGAGATTTAGTACACGAGATCAGAAAAAGATATCGGTAGCGTACCATACACCTTGCCTTCGGGATGGTGAGCTCAATCCATACTTTCGAATCCTGCACGTAGTGAGGTCAACGAACGACGTCAATGCACAGACTTGACAACATACCTCGAACTCAATCAAAATCAATACGCCTCAGGCACCCAACCATAGAACATCGAGGCACCTCTTCTCCCAGTTACGATCCCTTCCCACTTTTCAAAGCGTGGTTGGCGATCATCCTCCCCACATCGCGCGGCAACCCAGCCTCCAAAATCCTCCGCCGTTCCATGCATCTTGGTCACCAGAGCATAATATACTGTGTCAGCGCAAAGTTCAACCTGCCCTGTTGAGAGTGAATGGCATACGCTGCAGAAAAGGTTAGCCATGCATGCGTGAGCAGGAAGTCAACAACATACCTCGTAACACTGTACCCCATTCCTTCGATGTTGATTCATATGGATTGCCTCCCCGAAGCAGACACCGTCACCAGAGGGAAGGATTTGACCTAGGAGAGAAAGTATTTAGCGCTCAGATTGACTGAACATTGAACAACTTACCGAAAACCCACTCCCAAGATCGGAGAGCATGTATACCGAACCTTCCTGCATGTAACGGAACCATCCTTCGACGCGACCACAGCTCGTACCTCTGGGTACTCCCGCGTCTCGCTCGCTTGAATGCGATACGCCATCTTGGCGTAGTCCTGGTCCCACATATTGGGCTGATGGTGGTGGTGAGAGACATGCATCATTGAAGGAACGCAAGACGTAGCACGAGGAAACTTCCATAGAAGGGATCTAGGTGAAAGTGTGTTAGCTACAGAGAAGTGAAGTAAGCACCGACAGCTCACCTAAATTTGAGGCCAGAAGCGAAGCTCTCGTACGCGTTGGAGTAGAGGCGGGCCTTGATCATTTGAATCGTCCTCTACTTCCCAGACTCGCTATCGTCCCCAAGCACCCTTGTATCTGTCCTCAGAACGCGATAGTACGTTGCCTCGGCGCAAATTCGGCACGATATCTTGAGGTTGAGGTCGGTCGAAGGAGATACCCATCATTGATCTGAGGAAGACGCGAGGTACAAAGAACGGATCGCGGTGGAAGGGGAAGAACGAGAGTGTTCAGTAAACGTTGGAGGGAAAAGAGTTTGATTACAGATGAATATCACGTGTATAGTGACTTCGGACCGACACGCGTCCTTCTAGCCTGGTAAATTTAAGCTGCCACTTTATTCGAAGCATAGCGCGACGCCTAGTCAGGTTATTCTTACTTGGATCCTTCACAAGGCGACGAATTTGTCGTTATTCCTGGTACAAAGGACTTAAGATCAAGGTATTCGTGCAGTAGTACTTCAATGTCTTACACTCACTCGCGCCCTAGTATCTGGAAAAAAACCTTGGGGCAGCTAAGGTTAAGCTCAGCCAAGAGGAGATTGCTGCTATTCGTAAACTCGCGGAGGAAAGCGATATTCCTGGAACAAGGTATGGAGCAACTGGAATGGCAGCAGTGATGCAGGCCACACCCGAGTTATCCAAATAGCTTTACGCCGACGAAGCATGAAAAGGTGATTTGTATTATTACATGTGTCAATTGGATGGAAATCGAGTCTCAAGCCGTTCCAAAATTACAGGGTGAAAGACCTTGACTGGGAACAGGAATAGTATCAACTCTCTGTGCGAGGGAAGGTTCTGCAATCTAGGGCGAGAACATCAATCGTTGCACGAAGCGCTCTGCGTAACCCACGAAACGCCTTGAATTTTGGACATTCTAGACTTCTTTTCCGACCTTAGCGAGGTCCTAAAGGTCTGCGCCATTGCTCTAAGCATGATGTAGCGCGAAACTCCTGAAGCAGGCGTTAAAGGTGTCATAAGGAGGATTTATGGAGTCAACAACAAGTTATCAAGCTCCTTACGGTCACCCCGCATTGCATTCTGGCCGGAATTTGAACACATGATACAGAACCGGACTCTACCAATGCCCTCCTTCACCCTGATAACGTTCACTTTGTCGATGCCCTGCGACGCTGCTTGTCCCACCCCGTCTACTTCGGCGGTCGGTAGGAACAGATCCCTTCCGGTCTCCCCTCGCCAGTCGTCTTACAAAGACGTCTTCGAAATTATCTCGTTATTGCCAAGACCACCCGAAGTAAAAGGGACATCCTGTTAATGCGTCAAAGGCCTTTCTATGCTTCAAAAAAACTGTTTGAGCACTTTGAGTTTGAAGCGGACTCGCGTGTGTCCCTTGGAAAGGTACCGCTGTGGATGCTCTAGTCCGGATCGAGAGTATTTGGAACGTGAAAGGGTTTAAGGTTGTGGTACCTGATAACTCCTCCGTTGTAAAAGGCTGCTGACGTTTCCTAGCTGCATAAATGGAGACACTCATCAGAAATGTACCGCTCATTTCCCCATCTCTGCACGGCATTGCCCCCGTGTGTCTGGGGATACTGCCCATCTAAAGGCTACCCTCCTCACGTCCGTACCATCCCCGTACGTTATCCACCTCAGATCCGGAACGATCCCTCGATGCCCAAGGAAGAACAAGCCCAAGTTCCCCCGTGCCTCCACCATCGGATCCTTCAGTCCTTGTTTCGACGTATCGAATGTAATACTCCGACAAAGGACATTCGGTAAACTCGGATCCAAGTTGAGAATCCGAATGATACTAGTTGCTTCTCCACAGAGCAAACGGCGGAAATGCATGACGAAGGGTAGTGTAGGTATGAACACATCGCGCCAGGATACGCGAAGGAAGAGTTCTGCCCATGCGTGATTGACGAGAACGGAGGAGGTAATGAGGTGGACGCGTTCAGTGGTGGTGAGGTCGAGGGACCATAGAGAAAAGATAATCTGCTCGATGATTTCTGGTGGGAGTTTGGTTACGACACTGTTGGAGGACATGTCCTTGGTAAGAGGGATAGACAAGTTGCTTGCTCTTGTAGGGGCAAAGGCCAATATATACAGCGCTCAGGGTCCGGCGTTGTTTGAGAACCGAAGTTTATCGCCGCCGGTTTCATCGCTCTTCACGGCGCTAAGGCCACCACAGACACACATCCTGGTTAGTAGGATCCGCCCTTCAGATCCTTCGTTCCAACTGTCACGCTTGTTCTTGAAGCTACAGGTCAAAGGAATTCTGTGCGACAGGTATCATCCATGCTATTTGTCTCAGAAATCTGAAGGTCTTCACAGTGAAGTTTTAGTTTCACTCTCCAAATAGTCTGGAACTGTCGATCCTTCTTCAAGTGAATTGTATGATGCGCTGGTCAAGTTCGAATGAAAAGTCGATTTCTTGGTATGATGATACGCTTACTCCTCGAGAAAGTGACATACGTTGATAGTGTCCTGCCAATGGGTCTGTACGAGAGCGCTTTTCTTTTCAGACAGGTACTATACGACGTGTAATTCAGCTCATATACTTCCCATTGATTCGATTTGACTCTTACCATCTATCGCACCTGTAGAATGCCAGAGACTTGAGCTTGATGGTCATCAGTGAAATCCCGTGTTACATAAAACCGAACCCCGTTGAGCAATTAGTTCCGACCCGGGGTTAGCGGATCAACCGAACAGACCCGCGACTTGTCCCTTGAAGATCTGTTTTCTTGCTTAAACGTCAAGCAGCAAGTTCATGCTTGACTGGTAGGTGTAGTCCCGGTTCGCCGGTTGCGTCAACCTCTGGATATGCGAATGCTGCAATGCCTCATCGCACACTCCCTGCGTGTCATGTACTAGTTCAAGCACCTCGGGAGGCTCATACTGAACTCGTTTCAATCTTACAGTTGAGAGATCTCGTCACATTATTGTACGTCAACCGTGTCGTAACCACCTGTAGCAAAAAATGGCGTAATCCTCCTGGTGGCTCACTTCATGGAGTCGATAGGAAGCTCATCATATCCCGGAGTTGAACGCTGGACATTGCGGAGCTAACGCTAACGGTAAACATCATATATATGAGACCCAAGAAGCAGGGTTCGCTCCTTCTTCCCAACCACCATCATGTCTTTACCTCCCAGGAAAATCGGTGACGCATTGATCAACCCTATCGGTTTGGGGGCCATGGGTCTCATGGCTCGGTAGACTCCGACGAGGTCATCTCTCTCTTCACGAATAAAGAGGAGTGCTCGCTGAAGTTTTTCCTGCTTCACTTTAGTGACAAAGTGTTCGCAGGTATTCATTCTAAAGAGAAATTTCCCAAGATTCTTGATCTCGTTGATCGTTTGAAAGTCATCGCGCCAAAACATAGCGCGACGCCTGGTCGAGTTACCCTCGCGTGGATCCTTGCACAGGGCGACGACTTTGTTATCATTCCTGGGACGAAGAAGATCAAGGTAACCTATATGGTTATACTCCATTTCCTTCTACTCATGTGTTCTAGTATCTGGAAGAGAACCTCGGAGCGGCCAAGGTGAAGCTCAGCAAAGAGGAGGTCGCAACTCGCGGAACAAAGTGACATCCCTAGAGAAAGGGACTCAGCGGACGCCCTGGGGATAGTGATGCAGGATACGCCTGAGCCTTGAATCCGTGATTTGAATTTTGTACTATTATCAATCAAGTTTAAGGTCATTACAGAATCGCCATGTAAAACGAAAGACTTCCTGGCATTAGAAAAAAAATTCACTCTGCGTGATCCAGAGTGCTCCACGGCGGACATACGCTAGTGTTGGTCACGCGAAGGAAGAGTTCAGCCCAGCCAGTGAGGGTTCGGTGCGAGAGACCACAGGGAAGCGATGGGTGTGTTCGATGATGTTGCTGGGGGGGGGGGGGGGATGTTGGTCCCTACAAGAGCGAGTAGACCCAAAGTTTATCGCGCCCAGATTCATGACACTAGAGCCGCTATAGGCTTTGGTTCAGACTGTTCTTGAAGCCACAGGCGAAAGGAACGTCATTCATGCCGCTTACGGCTCAGAATCCAAAGGTCGTTTCTCGCCAATTATAGTCTTTAGTTACTATCGAACGTCTTTGATGTGGAGATGAAACGGAACGTGAGTTGCACGATGCGTCAGCCCAGCTCGAATGAAAAGTCGACTTGCTTCTTGGTATGGTGATGCCTCCTATTACGCCTGGAGGTGACATACGTTGATGGTATCCTGTCGACGGGTCTGCGAGCTTAAGTTTCTTTTCAGACGGGTGCTATACGATACGGAAGTTCAGCTCATGTAGCATCATGTTCTTCACATGCCTCTCGTTGACTCGATTTGGCTCTTACCATTCACCGCACCTCTTGTCGGAACATATTCTTCAGAATGCCAGAAACTTGCGCTTGATGTTGAGAAATGCCGTCTTAAAACCGACCCCGTTGAAGCACAGGTTCCGACCCGGGACAGGCGGATCAACCCGACTAGACGCGCACGCGACTCGAACGCGTTTTTTGTTGATCAAACAAAAAAAAAGCGTGACTGCGCCGATGCTAACTGCTTGTTGATTTCTATGTATGGGGATAGACAATTGACTTGACTTGGAAAATGTTTGGATGATGGTTGTGGTTGTGGTTGTGTCGTGAAATGCTGATGATGATGATGATGCCAATGCCGATAATATGATGGAAAAATGAAGATGAACCAGACTGCAGCAAACCAAACACCGGAGGAGCAGCTCTACTGAGTTCGCCTCCTCGTCCTCGGTCTTTCCTCGTCCCCCTCTTCCTCCTCCTTTGCATCCGACTCATCTCCCCTCTTCCGCGTCAGAGGTGGCGATGGGCCCGCGACAACTGGAGCCTGGACAGGAGCGGGAGCAGGATCAGGGGGAAGGGTTACAGGTGCTGATGTTGATGCCAATGCCGGTTGTGGTTGTAGTTGTGTTGGTCCCGGTGCGACGTTTGCTACGACATCATCCCTCAGTTCCGACGACGACGCATGCCGGGACTCCAACCAAGCCGATTCTCGCGTGGTGGTGGCTTTCTCCGGCGTGGTTGGGGGAAGCAGAGGATGCAGTATGTTTTCGAGCTCGTGGCGGCGTTCATGGTCTTCCAGTGATGGATCATCATGACGTGGTACGAATACACTCCCGTCACGATAAATGAAGGGAATCGAGCTGGCGGCGGCGGCCGAGGAGGAGAGTGAGGTAGGTGCCGCCACATCTTTTATCGATGGTTGAGTTCGTGGCGGGTCTTGGACTGGAGGAGGAGATGCTGAGAAGAAGCCAGTACGATTGTTTGCGTAAATCACAGGGCCACCATGAGGACCGAGGCATCGTGGCTGTGGCGTTGTTGTGCATGGTTCATACGGCTTTCTCAGGCTGCGGACAGGAGACCGGCTAGTGTTGCCAAACACGAAGAGTCTGTTTTTCAACCCTTCGGTTGCCCATGAGAACATCCCTGCAAAGGAGAATCCCTCCGAGGCTGGTTCGAGTTTTGGACACTCGGTGGGAGGGCCGGGAAGGTTGAACAAGCACCTTTGAGGTAGATAGATGTTAAATAGGAAAATATAAGCGGGTTTGTTAGTTAACTTACTCGACTTGTATATGAACATAACCACGAGAATCAGGCGCTAGACCTGGAAGGACGACCTGGTGATCAGAACCGGGAGACTTGAGAACGACAGTGACGTCGGGAGTATGGGATGGAGAATGTGTTAGGTAAGAAGGGATTAAAACCTCCATGGTGTCCGAGTCAGCCATGGGGAGCAAGGGCTGAAAACATCGAGGATCCCAAACATCGCCACCTTATAACTGCCGGCCTCGGGTAAACAAACTTAGTTTGTTCGTGTCCGCGTCATCAACGTATTTGGCAATTGATGAAGCTTCGACAGCGCTTTGGCCGGTCTAGAAACGGCGAAAGCAAGGGCACGGTGCTTTGAGAGTGTACGTGATTGTGATTGTTCGTGAAAGACAAACATTCCCAGGAACGCACGAGACACGGGTCGTCCTCGACACACAAAAAGGGAAATAGAGCGAGAGCAGTGTCCACGGAGACCGAAGTTTGTTTCCAAGGCATTCTTGCAGGAACATCAAGTGTCGGGTAACCCTAATGTCGTCGCTTCGGTTTTTACATACTTGCAAGGCAGAACCTTTTTTACTGTGGCGAAAGCCAGCTGTTAAGTGACCCGGAGTTGACCCAGAGCGGCCGCTTAGCAAGGATGGCTGACTGGCAACGGAAGGAAGCCCGCGTTGAGACCGCACGTGGACTCTCCATCCATCCACATCTGCGATGGTCCGTGGTGCTCGAATGAGTTGACGACAAAACAGGACTATTCGGGACTTGCCGCAATCTGCGCCACTCAAAACTCCGTACTTTTCAGTGCCTCATACGGTATAAGGCGGTATTTGCTCTTTGGATAAACGATAATGAGGCTGTATCAGCGCTCAACGTGTCCCCAAACACTTATATGACCACTCCTGGGCCTATGGGAAGGGTTTTCCCATCAGGGCCGGTAATGCAATGGTATAAATGTACCGGGGTGTGCCCTGGTAGATTATCGCACCCATGGACAAGGTAGCAGAACTCCAGCAGAAAGACGTCCCAGAGATCTTGTTCCCCAGTACGTCTCGATTCCCGCTTCTTTTCTCCTGCGGCTGACACAGTGATCTTGACAGCTGTGGGCATCTTCTTACCCCTCCTCGAGGCCAAGAGAGAGAAAATCCAGGAAACGAGCAAAAGGACGTTCCAGTATGGCGCAACAGAGAGACACAAGGTACGTCTCTCCAACCCTACTGAATTCCCCATTTTCATTGCTTGCGATCAGCTTGATATCTACTACCCATCAGCTACATCTACACCATCAAAGAGCCCCCCTTCTATTCTTCAGCTACGGCGGAGGCTTCGACACCGGCGCTCGCGCCCTCCCCCCACCCGCAGACCTCGTCTACGCCAACCTCGGATCCTACTTCTCCTCCCAAGGCTTCATAACCATCATCCCGGACTACCGCCTCGTCCCTGCCGTCCAGCACCCCGGAGCAGCCCAGGACGTCCGCGATGCCATGCAATGGGCCATCGACAACCCCGAGAACCTCGCTTTCGGCGGAGCCACGGAACCCGATCTCGACGCGCTGTTTGTCATGGGCCACTCTGCGGGAGCTATGAACGTGTTCACGATTCTTATCAGCCCCGAGTTGTATTCGGCCACTTTACATCCTAGGATTAAGGGCGCGGTGTTGTTCGCTGGGGCGTATACGTTTGAGGAGATGCCTGGGTTTATGAGCGATGCGGTGGAGCAGTACTATGGGCCGGCTTCCGTGGAGGCTAACGGTGATTCCGGGCTCGAGCACAAGGGAACACATCAGAGGGAAAAGTTACCACTGGGCCTGTTGCAAGCGGCCACTGAGGAGAAGATGACCTCCCTTCCTAAATTACTGCTAGGCATCGCCGAACGAGACCCTGACTCGCTGATCAACGCTTCGAAGAATTTCCAGTTGGCCTTGGAAGCCCGTGGTCTGACATATGACAAATTCGTCGCTGCAGGGCATAATCACATCAGCGTGAATTTCGCGGTTGGCACGGGGCAAGGCGAGGAGTGGGCTGAGGACGTCGTGAAATGGATTAGATCGGTGTGATATGTGTGAGTGCGTCGGTTAACTTATTGTAGTTAGGTGCGCGCTTACAAGTGCTAATATAGAACTATGAAAACTCTGCTTTGTTTTTTAATACTTCTGTTCAAATTCGAGTGTAACCTATGTGATCTGAATTTGCTTTTCATCAGCTAGGAGTCCGACGGAGCCATGCCTTCCAGAATTCCGAAACCTGAGAAAACGTGTCCTTAATTACTCGACCAGCTTTCCATCCATTCTCCATACTTGCCAGGCTATAATAGGAGCCAGTCGTTGGAACATTCTGTGGAGGGACCACGGTACCGCTATGGAGAAAGCCCTTTAGTGCTATACTGTAAGGTTGTAAATTTGGAATCGGTGGCTATTACAACAGACAAGGTAGATAAATTAGAGTTCCAAGTTCTTCTGGCTCATCAACGGGGACAAACTGCGGGAGGCCCGGGAAGAAATGTGATTTGACACCCGCCGTGCTGTTGAACTAGTTCGTCATTGCTCTTTTGGGAAGCCCTTCCGCGACCTCAAAACATGTCAGGATCCAGCAAGCTACCTTCCATCCCCCTCTTACTCTCAGTCCTCTTAACTTCCGGGAGGACATTCTACCAGACACTAGCGCACCTCGTCAAACACCTTGACTCCGCCGGTCTGGCACCAACAGCCTTCTCCATAATCACCCCTATATGCCTCCTCGCTGCCAAGTTTGACAATACTGTGTCGTCAATCATCGAAAAGTTCGATTCTGTGCTGTTCTACGCAAGCTGGACTATACGGTATGGAACGGGCGCGCGCGAATATAAAATGTTCGAAGACGACCTCCTACAAATTGGGAATACCTGCAGGCTCGTGAGGGAAGAGCTCGTCCCCGCCAACTTGGACAGGATCGAACTTCCCCTCATATCCATACTCCGTGGGCCGTGCGGATTGGAGACCTTCCTTCGCTTCGTCAAGCATATCCCGGGGTTTTGGTCCGTGCGGATCGACCTTCTCCAGATATTATGTCCTCGCTCTATACTTCCTGTAGGGCAATGGTGACCTGCCTCGATTGTATTCGCGCCTCTTCCAAGACAAGGAATGAGTTTCTCAGCATCAAGGTCGCTCGGACTTGGTTTGGTGCTTGTCAGCCGTGTGACGGATTCGCGATCTGGTCTGCGCTGCCATATCGATCTGGAGGCATACCTACCCAGGTACGTAAACCTAGTCCCGCTTAAGCACGGCTGTTTTCCGAGTGTTATATTTTTTGCAGGCCGCGTTACTCCTACTATTACTGATACGAGTATAGTCCCTCTGATAGATAACAGTGTATTATTAGCCCTGATCCAGTGAATTGGCAGATTTTCTGATCGTCTGGTCCCGTCATCATATCAGCGGGTGCATTTATAGTGCATGCTGTATTTTATGTACTTCTATTAGGAAACGTGAAAGACTGAGAATAGGGAAACGTGAGATGTATGAGATTTCCGAGCTCACCGTGCCAGTAACTTTATACTGCAAGCGCGACGGGTTTAACCTTGTTCGATCCTTGATAAGCTAAAAGAGGCTCCTCGCAACACATACGGAAGCACTGGCAAGATCTGATCATTACAATAGATGGTAGATAAATCAACTGACTCCTGTCGGCAAGTGTACTTGTCTAAGTGAAGAGGTCCTGCATCCGCACTTCAACTTCCTCAGTTTGGTCATCTTCGGATTCCCCGGCGTTCTTGGGAGGCACGAAACTATCATCAAACAGGTTCTTTACTAGCTGCAGAAGGTCATAATCCCTGTTGGAGAATCGTCAGAAAGATGTGGATATAGCGAACCAAAATAATCGATGACCAACCAACTAGGAGCCCCGGACGAGATATCATGCGGCTGATCTTCCTCATCGTTCCCATATCCCAGCGGCGTTTTGGCAATCATACCAGCCACCTCCTCCGTGACGCAATACTTGCTGGCCAAATGCGGCGAGCGGAAAATGTGATAATTCATCAGAGGGCCTTTCTTCTTGAAAAAGTCCATTTTCCAAGTATGAATCCCCACGAGGTCATCCTCTTCGTTTCGCTCGTTGTTATGGTCCAAGGGGATGATCCAGCAATGCTTATCCCCGACTCGGTGATTCCGGGCTCGAGCACAAGGGAAAGCATCAGAGGGAGAAGCTACCACTGGGCCTATTGCAGGCAGCCACTGAGGCAAGCACTGATATAGAATATGAAACCCTTGCTTTGTTTTTGTATATGAGTATGTTGAGAAAGATGTCAGGCTCGAGTGTAATGTATGTGATACGAATTAACTTTCTGCTGCCTTTCGTCAGCTAGGATTCCTACCGAGTCATGCCTTTGTTCTCCAAGAACTAGGTTTTCCAGAGTTCCGAAGCCTGAGAAAACGTGTATTAAATCATTCGACCAGCTTACCATCCAATCCCGCATCTGGTTTCGACTTTCAAATACCCGGAGGACGATTTGCGAGCTCCAACACATCATGTTTGCTGCTTGTCAGTGGGCGAGTCCCGCGATCATACAATCAAGCTGAACTCGCCAGGCTATAATCAGCGTCAGTGGGTCGTCTTAGAATCCAGCAAATTATTCTCTGAGATTCTGAAATACCTCTTCAAACATCTTGATGACGCCCTGCCTCGCCGCAAAGTGCTACTTGCTAGTTCAATCATGCGCTCTGTACACACCGTAGTGACAGAATGACACCGGCCTTCTTAATGATGCTTTTCTCCAAACTGCGATCGCAAGAAAAGAGATCATCCCTGCCATCGAGAAATAGTACCTGACAGTGAATAGAATTGAAATGTCCCTCGTGACCCTTCGCCGTGTATTATTGCTGTTTGCAGAATAGTTGGCGCAGCTGCCTTTTTGGGCTCGATTGCTTTTTTTGTCCGTTGAGTCGCAATATCACTTTTCAGTTATATCTTCTCCGTTTCCCCATCAAATTACATGGAATTTTGTATGTGTGTGATTCCCTCACTATTTCCGAGATGCGAGCCCCAATTCTGAAGTTTCGCGAGCAAGTTTTGAGTTCCTCAAATTTCGGCATGCATAACTGACATTTTCATCACTGCGAGAGAAGGTAACCAGATGTAAGCATATGGTAAGCTGAGATAATTTTTGAGTATCATTTCTGAGGTGCATGCAATGGAATTGGAGTTGTGGTGGCATCCTATTGTTCCTTTAGGATGTCAGGGTCCGGGTCAAAACATGCAACTCTTGATTTAACACCGCGATGATTTTTCTGGCACCAAAAATGCTGTTGTGCATCTCGCCTTGTATGAATACATTGACTTTCTCCCTTGGAGCATCTTCGTAGCATCCGTTGTTGGCAAGATACAGCTGAAAAGTTGATCTGAGCCCTCACAGCAGGCTAGAATTTTCGAATTGACTAAATTAAAATTCTGACTGCACCGGCACCTCAAGGGCTTCAGGAAATGTCGAAACATATCTTATTTCAAGCAAATATCTAATGTACTGACCGAGCTACAGCTGAAAAGTCTTTCGCGCCAAAAAAAAGCAACCAGGCCCAAAAAGGCAGCTACGCCAACTATTCTGCAAACAGCAATAAAGCAAATTGCCGGTTTTTGGTCCATGCGGATCGACCTTCTCGACGAAATTCTAGATATTATCTCTACGCTTATACTTCATGAGGTGCAATGATAGATTCAATATTGTGTCGAGAATTATTCGCGCCTCATCCAAGCCAAGAAATGGGTTGTTCTGTGTCGAGACCGTCTAGACAAGTCGAGCTGGTGCTTGCGGGCTACCCGTGGCAGAGTCCCCAGTTGCCTGTCTGACTGCACTGCCATTCCTGCCAAAAAGATGTTTGCATAAGGGGTCGAACGTGCAAAGCACAATAAAATTATAAAAGATCTTAATTTCCCAATTTTCCGATTTTCCTACTGCTAAGCCATGCTAACAAGTCGGTGATAAAACATTACTTTTATGTGAACTTAAAATCTCCTGTGAACAAGGTTCAATTAACAAAAAAACCTATGGGTTATAACAGAGTGGGTTAATACAAGTATGGGTTATTCAGAGGCGACTGTAAACGAATAAATGTGATAAACGGACCAACAATAGTTTGTTTCCGGAATCGGCAAAAACCGGACATGGTTCCGGTTTAATTCGTAATCAAGTTCAAGCAACCACCTCTTTCGGCGCATATGTCAGGATCTAACAAGTTACCCTCTATCCCCCTTGTAATCTCAGTCCTCTTAAATTCTGGAAGGACATTTTCTGAGACTCTAAAGTACCTTGTCAAGCATCTTGATGACGCCGGTTCATCGACAGCCCTCTCTATAATCACCCCTATATGCCTCCTCGCTGCCAAGTTTGACAATACTGCGTATCTCATCATAGACAAGTTCGATTTCGTGCTGTTCTATGCAGACTGGATTATACGGTATGGAATGGGCGCGCGCGAATATAAAATGTTCGAAGACGACCTCCTGCAAATTGAGAATACCTGCAGGCAAGCGAGGGAAGAGCTCGTCCCTGCGATCAAAGGAAACTTGGATAGGATCGAACTGCCCCTCGTGTCCACACTCCGTGGACCATGCGGATTGGAGACCTTCCTTCGCTTCATCAAGCATATCCCGGGGTTTTGGTCCGTGCGGATCGACCTTGTCGATGACATTCCAGATATCATTTCCTCGCTCTATAATTCATGTAGGGCAATGATGACCTGCCTCGATTGTGTCGAGCAGTATTCGCGCCTCGTTCAAATGCGCTTCCAAGACAAGGAATGGGTTTCTCAGCATCAAGGTCGCCCAGACTTGATTTGGTGCTTGTCAGCCACTTTGTCTTCTGTGACGGATTCGCTGTCTGGTCTGCGCTGCCATCCCGATCTGGAGGTGTACCTATCTGGGTACGTAAACCTAGTCCCGTTTAATCTGGCCGGTTTCTGAGTGTTCATTTCTCCGCAGGCGTTGCTAGTGAGATAGTGGCGAACAATGAAATGCATAAACACACAGGTGTACCAGTATCAACTATTATTTATCATTTCACGAGATAAAGAGGAATTGACAGATTTTGCGATTATCTTGTCCTATTAGGCTTCCCCGATCTTCCAGTATCTTCGAAGTCAAGGAAGAAGCCCGGTATACTTTGGCCCTATTTGCGTACGATTTTTCAGTGCAAATCAGGCTTGCTAGTGCCCATCTTCTACGCTCAAATGCAACACACACAGAGGCCAGCAGACGCTCAAAACCAAGCAGAGAGAGGCCAACGACCATCCCAGGAGCAAACGAAGTATGATTACGGTCAGTATCCCAGTTCCGCTGACGGCATCACCCCCCGACTCTCAGCGTTGGACGAGAAGTTTGTGCACACCCTTCTGCACACAGATATACCCCTGGATTATGTTCCAAGTATCGCCCTCATCCAAAAAATAGAAGCAATAGAAGTATATCTAAACAAAACCGCGGACAACTATTTGTGTGTATCATCGAGTCGTTTAGTATATCCACTTCTGATATACGTGCAGATTTATTGGTGTTCAAAAGGATCTCGAACAGATACTCCACCTTGTCGAGCCTATTATGACCGCTGTCAGAGAGCTAAGACCGGTTTGTCAAGAGGTCTTGGATTATGATAAAGATGATCTTCTTGCCCTACACCAGAAGCACATATCGTTTGGCCGTATGATTTATCATCACACTAAAGCCATTTCAGTCCAGCTTCAAAACTCGGTACGTGACTTTACTGATTCATATGGAATGCGTTTTAATGCACAAGTTGTTAGCCCTGTGGAGTATCTAATCTTTTTGCCCGGCTTGGAAAACCGTTCTGTGGAATCGTGGCCAGTATGGTGGCGGTCGGAACAATCGCCATTTCCCTTATGAGTGCGATAATACCCGAACTCTCCGACCTTTTCAAGGTAGCAGTCGTTAGTGCTACGGTTACTTCTGCCCTATCGTATCTTGGCAGTGAGAATTCATTGTTTCGTCCGTCTTTGCATGTTTGATGACCTCATCTCAGATGCTGCTTTGTTATTGAACAAAGTTATCCCTGTTCGAAACTCACTTTACCAAGAAGTTATCACGCACATCGGGCTATGGCTGGAGCTTCGGAGAGTCATCATCAGGGATTGTCCGGCTAACAAAAACCACACTTTGGACGCTGCGGAGAAACATTATTTTCTCCGGTCGTTCCAGCGCGCTGTCAGTTACATATGTTTCACGACTCTTGGCGGTACTCTGTGCTTACTGATCAACTAATAAGGTCATACCTCCCAATTCTGTCGGTAATCTTATTATGAAGGAACGCAACTTGGCTGCTCGCCCACGATGGGGTCTCAAAGCTGCCGAAGACGAGCCATTGGAGTCAGGTGTCCTTATAGTGGACAGAGTTAGTGCGGCAGACCCAGTCCACTCCTCGTCCAATAACGTAGGTCACCAGGATAGCATGCCAGGTACTCACACTGCTCGGTATGTCATATTTGAATTCTATAAGCTCCCTTCGGGTTCTTACATGTCCCTTCTAGTAGGAGTCGAAACACTGACTCGGCTGCTGGACCATCGAGTTGTTTGATTGACTAGCAGGGCTGAATTCCACTGGTCGCGTATGATCTCTTCCGTAGTATTAACCGAGTTATTTTGGGGTTTACCGGCGGCAAGTTTGGCGTGCCGATTTCGAGCCGTGCGACGCGTCTGGACAGGAAATGTTGCTTGCTCCGCTTTTCCTTACCAATATTTTATTTCATGTAAAGATACACTTTATTTTTTAGGTATAATACTTCTATGCTTCATACGCATCCCCAGACCCTGTAATACAACATTTATTCAACGCTGGAATTCCATCAGATTTGTAATAACCGGGTTGCGAGGCAGATGGCCCGTACACACACGACTATGTAGTCGTGTATGTAGTGTGTATGTAGCGTCTGTCTACGACTGACGACTTTATCTCGCGCGCTTGAAAAAGTATTTAGCTTACATATAAAATTTGTCAAATCTTGCGGTGAGGGTGCGGAAGAGTGATCCAATAACCATAGAAGGAAGAGACATCAATGATTCACCAAACAAAAGTCTATGAGAGACAGTTCGTTGTGTTGCTTAACGTGACGAAATGGTGGCCCAAGGAAAGGAGAGGATGGAATGACGGCACCATCCCCTACGAAGGGCGCAATAGAAACATCAAGAACACCAGCGCATTCGTCACCGACAGTGGTGTAGCAACTTTCATGTCTGAAGCGTGAGATGACTGATCTGGCGTCTGACAGTCGTTTTCGGACCAAAAAAAACGAAAAGTCGCTAACAAGAAACGGTGCTCGCCTAGCGAATGGAAAACATACCGAAGCATGATCCGCTCTTTATTAATCGTAGATAGTAAATAGATAAGTCAACTGACTGCATCTGCTGTCTTACTTTCCAGTGAAGCAGATTTCTCTAGATGAAGACGTCTCGCATCCGTAGCCCCAGCTCAGGTTGGACATCTTCAGATTCCCCAGTGTGCCTGTGAAGAACGACATCCTCATCAAGCAGGTTCTTTACTAGCTGCAGAAGGTCATAATCCCTATCGGATAATCGTCAGAAAGATGTGTATGTAGCGAACCAAAATAATCGATGACCAACCAACTAGGAGCGCCGGACGAGATATCGTGTGGTTGATCTTCTTCATCATTCCCATACCCCAGCGGTGTGTAAGCTATCATGCCAGCCACCTCTTCCGTGACGCAATACTTGCTGGCCAGACGCGGAGAGCGGAAAATGTGATAACTCATCAGAGGGCCTTTCTTCTTGAAAAAGTCCATTTTCCAAGTATGAATCCCCACGAGGTCCTCCTCTTCGCTTGGCTCGTTGTTATGGTCCAAGGGGATGACCCAGCAATGCTTATCCCCGGCTCGTCTTAAGATGTCGTGGAACTCGACGGCGGGATCATCCGGAGCCACCCCAACTGTTTTCCAACCCCGGTCGTGGTATTTCTTTCGGGCCTCGACGTCGCGGGCCTTGTTTGCCCGGCTTGGAACAGAGCATCGTTCACCGAATGTAGCCCTAGCGTAGAGCGAGTAGGCATGGGAGTGAGTGATGAAATTCATCACACAAGCTACGAAGTTCCGTTAAGGACGTTCTGAGGAGAATCCGACATTTGAACTTACTAGAATGAAAGTGAAGGATCACGTCAACTGGTGCGTACTTGGCGGTGATCAACTGGACCTTCTTATCCGCAGCGTTGTAGAAATCGAATACACCAGCAATAGCAGGGTTCGCGTACGACGAAGTGGGCTCGAAGAGAATGAAGTTCATCAGCCAATCAACGAGACCAGCATTAGCCTCAAAAGTCTCCTGCTGGGACCTCCGTGGCCGAAAGCGGTACCCAGCCTTGCGCAGGAACGCCTCGACCTCGTAGCACCGACTGTGGTTGACGTACAAATCCAAATCCGAGTCTTCGTACTCCACAGCATCGCGCTCAAAGAACTGAATCGCAGTTGATCCCGATATCAAGATCCCGAGCTCTTTTTGCAGGGCTCGGAAGGAGGTGATTTGGTCTTCGGTGAAATAGGGGAGGAGGTATTTGTTGAGGGTGTAGGCTCTTTTACGGAAGGAGGCGATGGATTGGTGGGCTTCTCTGTTGGCTTTGGAGTAGTTGTACAAATCGAGAGGTGCGAGGTCGCGGAACAGCAAGTCGTGCGCCGTACCTGGGCTGTTATGCAGATAAAAAAAATGAGCGACTGATAGAATCGCAAGGGGGAAAAAAACGCACAGAAGAGGCATCTTCGTTGAACCTGGAGAAGACGATGAAAAATCTCAGTAACTGGGGTGTCCGTTCGGTTGCTCTCAGGAATCTTCCAGAACGGCTTCGCAACGTAAACTTGAATGAAAACGAAAGCCAACAGCGCTCGTGGCCACGTGATACCGTGACGCGTCTGTGGCGTTGCCGCGCGCGTGAATCGCGATCAAATAATTAGCGATAAAGAAGTCATATTTTCATGCCACATAGTAATATATACATTAAGAACCGATGCATTAATGGTTGAATGAGTGATGTAAAGGGAATGTTACATAAAAGACAGGAAAGGGCTCAGAAACTAGGGAAAATAGGTACCAGACTTATTTACATACTTACCAGAGCCAGCATTATCGACGTACAGAGGGCATAAAGAACATGATGACATTTCAGAACTTCTTCGATCTCTTGAGACGGAAAGGCGGGAGGAGAGAAGTGGATGAGGAGTCAGTGGGGGTTTCGAAATCAGGCGACCTCATCCTCTTCTTCCCTTTGCCGTCCCCGCTCCCGGTGTTGCTGGGACCCTTCGCCAAAGCGCCGCGCAGGCTCTTCGTGAGACCACGAACAATGCGACCTGCTGTGCTCCGAGTGCTCCTCCTCGACGAGGGCAGCGAGGAAGTTGATTCCTGGGGCTGGCTCTTCGGTGGCAACGGCGCGAACGAGTGGTTTTGGTACGGGTGAACAGACTTCGTGCAGCAGTGTTCGTACTGGAGGTGGGGGAAGTGATCCGGGTTCTCACACGCGTAGAACTGCTGCGTAGCCGAGTTCGTTGGGAGAATATACGAGTCCTGGGCGGTGTACGGATGCTCTTCCGGCTCAGGGTGAGTGAACAGATCCACTCGGACGTCGGGGTTGAAGACGTCGTCGAGCAGAAGTTGGCTGGATTCTCGAGGGTGCTGTTGCTGGAACCGCATTACGGCGAACAGCTCATCTGTGCGGGAGATGATTTCCGAATCCGATGAGTGCCCGCTGATTGATGCGGAGCGCGATACCCTGTCAGCCTTGTCGAGCACGGACTCCATGAGGTCTGGAGCACCCCGATTCCGATAGACCTGGTCACCCGTAAACTCATCATCGAAAACGAGAGCTTTGCGGTTAGACAAGAGATATTCATCCTCGTCTTCCTCGTCCGAATCCTCAGCTGACATATCCAAGAACGACTTCAACGGAGATTCGGGGCGAGCGTCGAAGTTGAGGGCTCGAGCAACAACAAGATCACGATCCCCTGCCGAACTTTCGTCGTCTTCGTCATCAGCGTCCCAGCCTTCTTCCTTTGAGCCATCACCGTTGTCGGATACCGGACTGTCGACATACGCGTAGGATGGAGCAGCCACGGAAGGAGAACAAGGACTGGCGAAATCATCCAAGTAGTCATCATCAGACTCATCATCGTTGAACTCGTCATGAGCCGTAGGGTTCGTGGGACGAGGCGGCAGCAAAGATGGAAGGTACGAAGGAGCATCGCCTTCGTCGTCGCAATCCTCATCCAAGGGAACAGGCGTCGAGGGGCGCTCGATGAGTTCTACCGGGTTCAGAAGAGCCGCCATCTGATGGGCTGGGTCGATGGGGTAGAACACTCGGGATCCGAACGTTTGCGAGTGGCGGTTGAAGCTCGACACGAGCGCGCGCGCGTCGGCGGAGTTGAAGACGCGTTCTGGAGACGATGGCACTTCGCCCTCGGGAATGGGTGACACAGAGAGTAACCGTGAGGGTGGAGAGTGTTCCTCATCCGTCGAACCGTGCTCAATGATGGTGATAGTCGTCGTAGCATCAGGAGGGCTCCAGAAGTCAGTATCATCCAATTGCTTGCTATCGAGATCCGAGTAAGTGTGAGGCGTCTCCACAGGTCGCTGAACCCTGCTGTTGGGCAGAACTGGCGCGTCGTTCGGTCCGTCAGGTACGGGTTTGCTGAGAGGACTGACGAAGTCCGTGAGCTTCATGAGAATCAAGGCAAGGTGGAAACTCACGCGGTGACCGCCACTCTCACAGCGATTGGACTGTCAAACTTGAGCGAACTACTTGCCGAGCTGGTAGAGTCGAATTGGAACGTCGTCTCGATGGCATTGCTTCGCCGGCGGGTAGTTGCAACGGGCCGGGCAGAGCTGTGGGGAATGGACATGTTCCAGACCCTGGGGAAGAGGGAGAGACTTGAAGAATCCATGTCAGTAAGGGAGGGTATAGAGAAGTCTGCGTTCAACACAGGCTGAGGGGGGGTGAAAGATAATAGAGACGGGAGGGCGCATCTTTTATATGGCCCATAGTCCTGTCTCACGTGGCAAATAACAATGTTTGGGTGGCAGTAGCGTTTTTTGGTCATGGTACGCGAGCAATGCTTCGGGATCGTGCTTAGACCAGCCACCCGATTCGGACCCACTGGTCAAAAAAAGGAAGTCAAAAGCCCAAGAATATGTTTTACGTGAATTACCGACTGACGTGACCTGTGTAACCATGTCTGTATCCAAGATGTCGTAAGACAAAGACCGGAACCAAGTTTGAGCATGGCCAAAGACAACCCGTTCTGAACTCTTCGGCAGTGGCTCAACCATCATTCGATCTTGACACGCGACCCATATCGAAAGAAAGCTATCATTCGCCACTGCGGTCAGCAAAAGACCATTCGTGGTCGGAAAAAAATAACGTACGGCGTGCGAGAAAACCATTCCTGCCTAGGCTGGGAAATTCTGTGGGAGATTTGGCCCTTAGCAAGATCAGATACGAAGATAAGTAATGGAGACAATACTAGAAAAATTCAGTGCCTAGGACTTATAGCATCCTGAAAGGATAGCGATGAGTTCGGCAGACAGAATTGTATCCGCGATCATCTGTGGCGCTGCACAAGTACTCTTCCCTCAGAAGCCGGGCACTTAAAATTCACGCGCGGGCTAAGTATAGTGTCATTAGTGCAACACGGCTTCTGATAATTTCCAAATTACAAAAAATTCTACAGACCAGAAGAGCAACACGAGAGGTACTTTTACAGAGAGGGCTACGGCGGCAAAGCAACGAAGGAAGGAACGACAAACGAAGCGCCGATGCTCATTGATAGATGAAATTGTAGCGTGATAGCAGATGTGGGATGGCGCTAAGCTGGGGACCATACCTGTCCAAAAAGTGAGACTCGCTGTATGCATTCCAATAGAACACCGACCTCGCAGCATTATCATACAGTTCAAAGAGTGGAATAGCGAGGAGTTTCATGTTCTTTGGAACAGCAAGCACCTCTGTAATGGGAATTTTTCAGTACAGAAATGTCGGCTTTGGAGGATCAAACGTACTGCGCTCAGGCATCTGAACAAGAAATAGTTTTTTGCACTCCTTTGGCTTCGTTATATGCGCCGGAATAAAAGGATACTGACACAAAATGAGCAAGACTTGGGAGGAAGGTTTGAGTAGACACACCATGAATGTTTCGAAATTGGGTCTCCACCACTGCGCGAGACAATCTCCTATCTCCCATTCATTGTCAATTCCATGGGACGCGTTGAACTGCAGAGAATCAGTCGGTGGCGCGAGGCGGTCGTCCAGGCGCCTCTTTAGTCCGTCGATTTCATCTTCGCCGGGTTTGAGGTAGTCTCCTGGTCTGGTGGCGCGTCAAGATACGCCAAATAAACAAGAAGAGTCGCCTACAGTTTAAAGAATGCATTTGCGATCTGCAGCATGAGTATATGCGGGTGGCCGTGGTCGTGGACGACGAGGATGCCTTCGACGGTCCTGCGCATACCAAAATCCTCATAGTTGTTCTGTAATCGTTGCAGACGTGCAGAGACCGACGGGTCCTCTTCTGGTTGGGCCTCCTTTGTGCTGAAAGTAAAGTTGGACAGCGGATAGAGGTTGATAGTCGTCGACATCGTCAAGGGCAAGCCTAGGAATAGAAAGTGGAAAGTGATTGGCCAACCAAATAGAGACGTGACAATGTGACATTGCTTAGGCATTTCGGCTGTTTCCGCGGGCAGGCCCTCTGGGTTTTTAGGCTCCATCATATTTTCTTTGACTGTACAATTCTTGAGGCCGTTCCCTCATTTTTTCTGGTCACCAAATCTCTGACGAAAGTTGAAAATGAAAGAGCAGCTGAAGGATGCCACGCAAAGCGCCATTACCAGTCTTGTCATATATCAAACGGACCTCGAATAGACGAGAACGCGCTCGTCCAATGATGGACGGTAGCTACATCGCACTGACTGTATTCGGAGGATAAAAATTGTGCTTCTCTCCCAAAGCTCGTTGATTTTCAGCTCCCATGAGCTTGCCATAGCATTCTGCGATGCTTAAGAGAGGAAGGGTGTAGCCAAAGTACGGTATGTTTGTCTAGAGTCTCTTGTTTTGACTTCGTGGTGATTTATATAAATAATACTTAGTTGATACACTTCCTCATCTTGACGCGTATGAAAATCTCTTTTGAGTGTATGGTCGCGACACCTCAGGTACGTTCCCGCCGCGACCCACCTACTTCCCCCCTTTAATCCTGATTCCTGACCGCGACTCCTAGGGCTCAACCACACCTGTTAACTCACAACGGAGGGCAAGGTAGTATGCTCTTTTCGTATTTCTTGGTTCCACGAAGAACCTACGCTGTCGGAAGAAGATCAGCTGGGATTATTAAATCATACAGTGCGTGAAGGTATGGCTTGCTGTGTTCGCAGTTCAGTCCAGAGGCCGTTGTTTCTCCGAACCGAAACATTCTGGGCGCTTCTTCAGTAGCCCGATTCCCTTGAGCATCTTCCCTGTCTCTTCTCTTCACTCACTACCCTCATGGCACACACCTACATCCCTCTAATGCTGGATCACCATCACGGCTTTCCTTTATGGTTCCCTGACTCGGACCTCAGCCTTCCTCTCCGTTGTCGAGACAAAGGAATTTGCGTGGGCGATCTTGGATACATCACTGTTCGCGGAGCGTTCGCCTACCTTTTCAATGTCTACGCATCCGCTGATGATCCTATCAACAAGGGCCGCGTGCCCCCTATCTTCGAGCCTCTGGAGGTTTCTGGTCCTTCCGCTCGAGAACAAGAACTACACCCAGAGCATCATACATTGACTACGCCTGGTATACAACAAACTGCGTCCGCTGGAGGGGCGTGAGTATTCTCTGCGTTGCATATACCTGCCAGTGTATTAATTATATCCTTACTGATAGTCTCACCTCCGGCGTCGACGGAGGCGTTGGTCTCACGTTCTCTTGCTCTTCTACTCAAGGCGCCGCCCTAGTCCTCCCAGACGGTGCCGTACGCTACGATGTCAATCAATCTGCTCAGGCTAAACTTCACAAGTACGCGAAGAAGTATGCCCAATATTGGTACCAGTATCTCAATGGTGAGCAGGGCCGAGAGATGCGTAATGGATCTCTATACCTCGTCACAGGATGTGACAAATCTCATTCATGGGAAGCGGTATGCTTTCATCCTCCTACGCATAGCTCTGTATCTTCGCCTTTCTCTATCGTTGGAGCAGCCGAGGTTGGAGGAACGATCTCGCATGAATGGATGTTTCAGACGGGACCTTCTCGCCGTAATCATCGGAAGGACACGATGGATCCTAATCAAGCAATTTTTCTCCGTGGATACTCAATATCTGTGCCAGAGAAACCGATGATCCAGGAGCAACTGCTCAAAGACAAGACAACTGGTGCTGTGGAGATTTTTTCGATCGATGGTAGCAAGACGAAAGGTCCTCTGATCGTTCCGTTGGTTCCATATGGCATCGATAGTCGCTATAGCGCACCAGTAGAAGATATGGATATGTACGGAGAAGGTGCAGAGGTGATGTTATATCTTCCTCGCTTTCTGGCGATGCTTGATGGTCATTCCTTTTGACAGGACGATAGCGAGGATGATGCTGACTCCTCTGATGACGATGAAGACCCAGAGAGATTCTCGCAAGAGGCTGAGGTAATCGAAGATAAAGGTCTACAATCCATCGGCCAAGATAAATGAGTATATTCTCCAAAATGTGAACAGTTTGATTTACCTTGAGTCTTGTCTGACTGATATCACGGGTGTCTTTGATTCCAATTGCAGACGTTGCGATCACCCATGATAAAGACTGGATGAAGTTTATGCGCCATGAACGTCCCGATGGTGTAGAATCAGTACGTCTAGTGTTTCTCGCAACCTGAGAAGACAACGATACAATTTTTCTCCCAAGGACACCGAATTTCTACGCGACGAGGATTCCATACGTCGCTTTATTGAACAGGCTGTCATGTCCATCTCAGAGGGTAAGACTTGCAATTTTTCATTTACAGCTCTGACGTTCAGAAATAGGTTGTGCAACGTTTGAAACTACTACAGACACAGAGCTGATTGCATGAGGAATGCTAGCACCACCTAAATATGGCACCAACGGCTGGACTTTGATGTACTGATGATCAGAGTACCCATGAATGACAGCGAAGGTGGGCCATTCGAACTCGCGCCGTAGTCAACGCAGACCCGGAAGGGTAGCCTGAGTGTACCAGCGGTGAAGACATGACTCGTCGAAGTCAGTTTGTATCTACAAGTATCATTTGTTGACTTAGTTTCTTTTGATAATAAGAACACCATTCAGGAATTCACTTTCCTTAGATTTATGCCTATCTCTAACAGTAGCTGTCAAAGCTGTAGGTCAATAGAAAGCAAGAAATGATGTATCTACCTAGTTTGTAAAGAAGCTATATCCCTTCCGATACAATTTAATCCAAGTTAGACTCAGTCCACTTGGCCCAACTTTTGGTGAGTGACCTCCTCAAGCTCACTCCAGGTTCTCAAATGCACGTGTGAGCCGTTGCTCCCTCTTTGCAACCTCCCGCTCCCTCTCCGCAACCTCCCTCTCCCGATCTGCAACCCTATGCTCCCGATCTTCACAGGAGTCTGCCTTCTCCAGATTACCCCGGACAGTCGTAGACATTGTGTTGCTGATAAGGAGCATCTGTCGTACCGGTGCTTTCTTCAGCTCTGGGTTTTTGTCCATCGCTTCGATGTCGGCTCGAAAAGTTGTTTCAAACGCGGTTACAAATCCCTGGGTCATCCCCTCCTTCATCATCCCAACATGGACTTGCTTGAGGATGTGATCCAGAGTGAGTGCACCACCGGGAAGCAGAGCACAATTGTCCGTAACAAGACGCACTGATGCTACCTTTCTACGGTCTGCATATAAGGGCCCATGCTCAATAAGACATGCATCTGAGTCGTCTCCCATGCACAGGGACCTTGCAGTATGAAAAAATAGTGCCGCAGACCAATGGCACATATGGTATAGGGTACTATAGTTCTCTGCACTCTGCATGATAGAGAGACCAAGAGAAGCGCAATGGATTATGTCCATTTTCCCAAGTGGTATATCAAATTTCTGGATGAGACCGTACTTCGAGTTGATGTCAGGACAGGCATCCTTGAGGTCGGCTCCAATAGTGATAAGGTCAGCATTTCCCGAGTTGCACTCTTGTACAAGTATAAGGAATATAACCACCACCATCAATTTCCTCTTTTTTCTTTATTTCGCCTTCCACTAGCTCATGTGCTCGCAACATGTACACGAAGTTTGGCTAGCACCTTTTGTTGATCATTGGAAGGGTGCATATTGGGCTGGCGCAACATTTTAGACCCCCTTTTCGCTGTCTCAGAATGTTCGTTCGCTATCCCGCACCTGGATCACATCTCGCTGCCATGCTTCCTCAATTTTTGCGTTAATGAGCACTGCAAATGTTCTTTGCCCTTATTCTGTGATTGCAGGAGGTCACTGCGACCGTAACTTTTCCCGCTATCATTATTTCAATGATGTGACATATTCTTGAACCCGAACGGTTCCTCGGACCTTTCTCGCAATGCGAGGCTCGGCTGACACCTTTCGCTCATCATTGGATGGATGTAGTGTTGCTAGTGCAACGTTAAGTTGGAGGCCTTTTCAATTTTACTGGAAATGTCTCAGAAAACTCGTTCGCTATGTCGCACCTGGATCACCTTATGCTCCGTCACTATGTGGGGTCTTCTAGTAGGTTCACAGCGGCATGGGTTCTAGTTTAATCACATATGTATCCTGTCCCTTCGAAGTCATCCAACTCCGTGAGATGCGTTTGGTCCGGAAAACCAACGATGTTCACAGCGGCATGGGTTCTTCGCGGTCTACGATGTTGACTTGTTTGTCAACAACGGCGTAGAAAACATTGGCTGTTCCCTTGATAGGGACGGTTTGCCAGTGCGACGACTACTACTACTACTACTACTACTACTTGCACTGAATGCCTTATGCACTCACTTGACCCTAGTTAGCAACAGTGCAATGACAAGAATTGACTGTGGATACTGACATTGTAGACGACGACCTCTGTTTGAACCGTTCAATCACCATAACTCTCGAGTCTGCTTTTCCTGCCCGTACTTCTTCGTCATTGCCCGACTGTATATAAACGACGACCAGCTCATGGCAGATGGTCCCCTGGCTTGAGCGATGGTGTTCGATACAGGTAACATGGCACGATTGAAGGGCACGAAGACGATCTCTGCCATGATCCTGTGAGATAACCTCAAACCAAACTCCTATACCCATAGTAAACTTCACGGTCTCGATAACGCCATGTACGAAGCGGTTGGGTTTCTGCAAGTGTACTGGAGGTTTTTTCTCGCTGTTAAGCAGAGTGTCGTAAAGGAAAGAGGCGCAGGAGAAGAAACGCATTGCGCCAATAAACAAGTCTTAAACGGCAAAGTCCTAACCATATTGTATATGATTTCAAATTCAGTTTTACAAGCCCCTTACATCGACGCTTGCTCATGTAGGGATCGGTTACAAGTCTAATAGGACTCGGAACTAGCGAAGCTGCAGATCAGGGTATTGTCGCAGGCGTCAACACGGGGTTTGCGGCTTTGCGGTGTCCACCGTTCGTCCTAACAAGAGCAGAGAGCTTCATGATCGTCGATGATCTCATTGGAGCGGACGAACCGTGTGAGTGTCATCAACTACGCCCTTGGGCCTACTAATGGTGATGGTAGATCAGATGTTACTTAACCTCGAAGTCGGAATACCGAATGACGTTGCGACCTGAAAACTCCGATATGCGGTTAACAGCCAAAGGTTTGACCTCGTTTGTATCTAGATGCTGTAACTTGATTGATTTCGTATATGTAGCATGCACTGCAATGTTAGTGTGGCATCAGAGGAACGTTAGCTGTCGTTCGGCCAGATGCTGCACTAGAAATACAACCAACCAGATCATCGACGTGTTGAAAGGTTGTGTGCTCAGTACACAGGTGGGTGACCACGTTTTCACCACAGCTTCATTTAACATATTTAACACAACGGCTGGACTTTTAACGTACTGATGATCGGAGTATCCATGAATGACAGCGAAGACGGGCCATTCGAACCCGTACCGTAGTCGACACAGGGAAGGGTAGTCTGAGTGCGGACATGACTCGCCGAAGTTGGCTTGTGTCTACAAGAATCATTTGTTGATTTAGTTTCTTCTAATAATGAGAATGCCATTCGGAAATCCACTTAACGAATGCTTGACTATGTCGCATGCAAGGGCTTCTTCAAAGCATTCGGACTTCGTCGCAAGACGCGTTGAACTGCAGAGAATCAGTCGGCGGCGCGAAGTCGTCCAGGTGCATCTTGTCAGGTTTTAGATACTGATGGTGCGCCAAATGCAAGAAGAGTTGCCACAGGCTAGTTCTTCTTGATGCTGAAATTAATGTTGGGCAGATTGTCGTTGCGTTCGACATCGAGCAGAAGCGTGACAATGTGACTAGTTGCGTAACTATTAGGCCAGGCCGCCAGGCCCTAACTATTTCGAATATATTTGCAATTTGCGAAATTTGTCATGTCATACTTGTCCGAAACAGGACATTTGCTATCAACTCTTATCATCTCTCTTCCAGTCACTTCCCTGGCTAAAATTTAAGTTGCGGGATATCCTACAGCTCATTTCCACCCAAATTTTGACGAGGAAGAATGTTTTAGTCGCTGCTCCCTAAATGGAGTGAAATACGGAATGACATCATGATCGAAATGGCTACAACTTGAAGAGGACCCCCTTTTTGGGTTATTCCCGCCATCTCACTCGCAGAGATAAGTTATCTATTACCGTACTCTTCCGGGAATGAGTGCAGTGCGCCTCCGGGTATCCTGTATACAGGTACTGACAATTTCTTACCTTTCGAACGTGCTCGCCGACGCCCCCTTGCAGAGCTCTTCCTTTCGTACCTTCTCTAGTTAAATACTGCCGAGTTTTACGTTCATTCGCCATCATCTGCTTGCCAACGTGCGCGTGCGCAGGTCTTCAGGTCATAATGTCGCTCAATGGCGAGTCGCCTCTTTCACGCGCAGGGTGAGGGTAATAGAAGCTGCTCACAAGACCATGGTTAACGTTTTACATTTTTTTTGATATATAAAGGTTACTGCCCGGTCCTTCATCCGTCCCTTCAGTTGCTCATACCCAGATGTCCATTCGCGCGAAAACGGTTCAGCTTTCGAGCAATGAAGACGAGGTTGACTTGACCTACACCCCATCCCCTCCTGCGTCTCCCAATGAGACAACTTCTCTTTTAACCCCCGCTGCACAATCTCTGCGTAATTCAATTCCAAAAGTGCCTAGCCGTATATCCCAAGGACAACCCCGCGTTCTTGTTTTCTTGCTTGAAACTGTCCAGACGTCCCTCAAAAGCATCCCCGCCGTCATTCTAGGGAGCCTTCTAAACATCCTGGATGGTGTCTCGTGTTCGTGTGTTTCATGTATAACTAACTACTCCTCCTGCTCATGGCAATATCTAGACGGAATGATTATATTTCCAGCTTCAGGCGTCTTTGACGAGTACCAAATGGCGCCTATAGGCGTATCCATGTTTTTCCTTTCGACATTAACCGCTCAATTAACCTATACCCTTGGAGCAAGTCAGTTCCCAGGTGCCAACGGCAGCATGATGATTGAAGTGGTCGTAAGTCGCCTTCGCCCTGTTTCTTTTGCTCCATTGACGATGAGACCCCCGTTCAGCCCTTCTTTCACATGATCGCGCTGTCAATTTCGGCGGATCTCTCGTCCCCCACAGAAATATTAGCCACAACGCTAGTGTCCTATGCCTTAAGCTCTGTGTTGACAGGCATCGCGTTTTTTCTGCTAGGATATCTGAAGCTCGGCACCCTTATTGGTTTCTTCCCGAGACATATTCTCGTCGGGTATGTTTCGTAACCACCTGAGATCACGCCGTTCCCAGACTGATCCCATGTTCAGGTGTATTGGAGGCGTTGGTGCCTTTCTAGTCGAAACAGGGTGCGTTTTTACGCGTTTCTACATATAGAACTGCGTGCGATCATCTCGTCTAGGCTCGAAGTTTCTCTTTCCCTGACATCCACTTCAACGTCCACTCCGCTTCCTCATATGTTTACATCTCTACACAACATCATCTTATGGGGAGTACCTCTGTTCCTCGCAATTTTCTTGCGAGTGGGGATGTGGCTTTACGGGAAAATGCACAAAGGTGGCGACGGAGAAGCTAACTCTGGCATCTTTGTTGGTTGTGAGTACCGCATCGTCAGATGACTGACCGGACATTAAACTGACGCCATTCTTGTGACCAGATTTTATTGCGATCCCCGTCATCTTCTACGTAGTGGTCTTGGCTGCGGGAATACCCATGGATGTCTTGAGAAAAAACGGATGGGTCTTCGACGTACAGAGCGGTAATGAGGCAGGATGGTATAAGTTCTATGGATATTTTGGTAGGTGCAATTTGCGCTCAACTTCGAGATACTCGTTCAGCTTTGCCCCAGACTTCACGCAAGTCCGTTTCAAACCACTCTGGGACACCTTACCAACGCAATTCGCGCTGTAAGTGGTATCACACGACCGACTGCGCTTGTTTGTTTACTTTTGTGTAGCCTGTTCTTTAACATCTTACATCCTCCTCTGAATGTTCCGGCACTGTGTGAGTCAGATGAATTCCGCTAGGTCACTTGCTGAACCTTAATGAACAGCCATATCCCTTAACGAGGATGACATCGATACTAACAAAGAACTTGTTGCACACGGTTATTCTAACCTCTTTGCTGGGCTAATAGGAACTGTGTTCGTCTGAATTTCCTTTTCGGAGAATTCTCGCTGATTTAACTTAGACCCAACTATCTCGTTTACGTCAACACGCTACTGTGAGTACTTGCACAGTGAGAATCCGTGACTGCTTGTGGACTCTGGGTAGATTTTATCGTGTCGGAGGCACCACTCGTATTTCTGGATTTCTTCTGGCAGCTGCCACGGCCGTCCTTTTGGCTATTGGTACGGGATTTGTCGGATACATTCGTGGGTGCCTCAAGATTTTACCCCAGATCGGGCGGCTAACTTTGACTCATAGCGGTTATGGTCGTCGGAGCATTGATATTCGTGCTTGGTATCGATCTGGTCAAGGAGGCAATATGGGACACCAGAGGACGCGTGAGCCGGTAACTGAATGTCCAGTATGCTTCCCTTTCGATCCCTGATCACATCAACGTTCTATAGGTCCGAGTACATTACTATTATCAGTATTATGGTTTGTATGACGGTGTGGGACTTTGTTATTGGGGTTCTTTTCGGCATCATTGTCTGCTGTGCGTCGCTTCTCTTGTTTAGCGGCGAACTCGGCTAAACTTGTCCTACAGGTCTTTTCTTCGTCATCCAAACATCCCGACTGAGTGTGATTCGCGCGCTACACACCGGGTCGACGGCGCCGTCAACAGTGAGAAGGCCAAGTGTGCAGCGAGCCTACATCAGGGAGGTGTCTGGAAAGCAGACATGCGTTATGCGGTTAGGTGGTTTCATGTTCTTCGGGAATGTTACGGAAGTTGAAGAGGGCGTGAGGAGAGTACTGGGTGGGGCGTTCGAGAAGGATGATGGGTATGGAAGCACGAGGGACAGGGTCGAAACCCCGGGCATACGTTTCCTTGTGCTGGATCTTACTCATGTGGCCGGTGTTGACATGAGTGCTATTGAAGGACTCGTAAGGGTACGGAGAATGTTGGAGAAGAAGGGCGTGTGTCTAGTGATGTGTGGTGTTAGAAGGGGAGAGGGGCCTGTGGGAAAGGCGCTGGATGTTTTCTTTGGCGACGAAGCGGAATCAGAGGATGCGCCGGGAGCCGTGGAAGCCGGGATAGGTTCAAAGGTGGAAGTGTTCGATACTTTCGGGGATGCCATGGAATGTAAGTCGAATTCGATGCATAGTCTCTTGGCATACAATGCTAACTCCCCTCCTAGGGACAGAAAACGCGTATCTGAAAGCCTGGTTCAAGGCTCAAAAGGTCGCTAGGAGTGTTCCATTTCGTATGGGGTTTTCTTTGTCCCCGATTTTGCCGGACTCACGAGATCACTTAGTACTTCCTGGTCGACAAGACGCCGATGTTGCGGACTATAGCGAAAGCGGGCTGGGTCTCAGTATGCTTGGGTCTCCGAGGATCGTCCATCTATACGACGCAGGTTCCCGGACCATCGCGAATGGTAAGATTCATGTCGCCTACGCAGTCGTGCCAATAGCTAAATTCACTCATTCTTTTGCAGAGCTCTACCCCTCGACGCCACCCAGTCATGACCAAGCGTCAATCCCTTCACTTTCTCTTGGAGGCACCCCGCCAAGACTTCTTCGAGAGCCCGCGTCCGGACGTGATTGCGGACATCTGATGCCTCCGCATGAGTTTCCCAATCACCCTCTACGTGAACCGTTACCTACACTGTCCCGCGCGTTGTCGCCGTACACAAGTCTTGACCTTAGCCCCCTCCCTGCGTACCTCAGTCGCGTATGCTATCCCGCTGGACATGTTTTGTGGCGACAGAATGACCTGCCAGATGGGTTGTATATTATCGAGAAAGGCGTTCTGCGGGCTTCATATGCATTTGAGTCTTGGAGTTCGAACACGGGCCTGGAGAGTTCTTCTCATAACAACGAGACTTACACCCACCCACCACATATTGAAGAGTCGATGGTATCGGGAACTGTTGCAGGTGAGCTCTCGGCTCTGTCGAATATGCCACGAAATGCGACTATGGTTGTGGAGAGGGATGTGGTGCTATGGAAGTTGGGCCGGGAGGCGCTGGGACGGATGCAAGAAGAGAAGCCCATCTTTGCGAAACAGCTCGTTGAGGCTATCTTAAAATGTAAGCTGCCCTTTCATCTCTTTGTTAGGGTCACGATACTCATGCATGCTCCTAGCGGCGAAAATCGACTACGACATTTTGCTGGCCGCGTTGGCTACAAGGCAATGATCTATATAGACATATACTTAGATTTTTTTTCGTCTTTTTTTTCAGGGATCGGATGGATACAAGCAAACACACAAGCAATGTTGTCACCACGCAGATTTGATTTTATCTTTCTTGCTATCAGATTATCGCATAAATATGTAACCACACAATTTATCTGCCTTGCACAGTAACGGGATTATGGACCGTGCGATTACCTTATTGAAACGCTAATTATCGGACGACAACTGCTCTTCCACTCGATGGAAACCTTCCAGGGTCGAATAACAGGTTGTGTTTGGCGCGACTGACATTCCACGACAATACTTTAGATGTTGTACTGAGTAAATTTTAAGTGCTGCGAGAGACTCCAACTTTTCAGTGCATGTCAATAGCTTCAAGGATAACGGAGAAATTGAAATGAAAGGTACTGTACAGTATCAAGTTCCGCAAGCATCTTGATTCGATTTACCAAGCTATAAGTCGTGTCAGGTGTGTTTTCGATACTGACAATTTGAAACTTCAACATTCCATCGGTCATTGACATACAAAGCGAATTCACGAAGTACACACTACAATGATTTGTGATTTTACATGCATATCTCGACACTGTATTCTAATCGTACAAATTTCATCCTAGCTTTCGTTTACAACCTCTGCTTAGCCGCGAACCCAATGTTTGCCTTAAACTGAACTGCCTCGTTCGCGGGCTTGCAGGCAAGAGGCTTGACAGATGGATGGCCGATTGCCTTAGCAATGCGGTCAGACAGGCCTTGGTCAACGGCCGCCCATACAGAGACTAGAAGGTTTTAATGTGAGACGAGACAGAACTACAAATTTTGGTAAACTCACGTTGTCTAGCCTTAACCTCAGGGCTCTTGACGTTACCGAAATGAGCTGCGACATTCTGTACATATGCCTCACGTTGCTGGTCGTTCCAAACCTTGGCCCACAGGGCACGAGGCTGCTCAAAGTCCACTGCGGATGGTAAGAAAAGGTACCTCAAAAAGCGTCTCGCACTCACGTTCGTTAATCTCATGTAAGTCCCTGTAGGCCGACCCGATAAAGTTCTCATGCTTGGCAATCCTATCTTGATCCCTCACATGCCCATCAAGCGTCGCCTTTCTACCCTTGTAACTCAATGGACTAATACTACTCTGGTAATTGGGTCTTGCTCCTTGACTGACGAAAGTCTGTGGCCCATCCCTTTGGAAGTTCGCCACGGGCACGATAGGCGCGTTAACAGGTAACTGCTGATAGTTCGTGCCGAGTCGGTGACGGTGAGTGTCGGGGTAGGAAAACAAACGCGACTGAAGAACTGGATCTGCCGAAGGTTCGATGTAAGGAGTAAGATGCGACGGAGAAAACGCGGCCTGGTCAAAAATTGAGCAGATGAATAACTATACTAAATGCTAACATACCTGTTCGATCTCAGCAAAGTAGTTCTGTGGATTTTCGTTCAGGACCAGCTTGCCGAATGGGCGAAGCGGGAATTCCTTGTGCGGCCAAACTTTGGTGAGATCCAGAATATTGTAGCGGAACTTCTCAGCCTGCTCAGGCGTCATCGTTTGCTGATACCATCAGTCAGAAGAGAAATTTGATGAACAATCAGATTAGACATACGACGTATAGAGTCCATGACGGATAATTGCCAGATTCGATGGCCTCGAACATACTTTGAATACCATAGTCAGGGTTGGACCCAGCCAACTTGCCAGCGGTTGCATCGTCAAGACTCTGGAACCAGAGTTAGAATATGTGCGCAATCGTAGAAAAAGCTAAACTCGCCTTGAAACCACCATCGGCGCGAACGTGAACTTGCGTGTATACAAACGAGCCGTCTTCCTTCAACCATTTGAAGGTATGGCCCGAATATCCGTGCATGTTATGGAAACCATCAGGCGTCCCACGGTCACTGAACAAAATCATGATTTGATGGATACTCTCTGGGTTCTGACCAAGATAATCCCAGAACATATCTGGATCTTTGAGATGCGTCTGCGGGTCTCTCTTCTGCGTATGGATGAAGTGCGGGAACTTGGCGGGATCGCGAATGAAGAAAACGGGCGTGTTATTGAATACCCAGTCCATGTTGCCTTCGTCGGTGCGAAGCTTCATAGCAAAGCCTCGTGGATCACGAGCAGTGTCGGCACTACCAGACTCACCGCCAACGGTACTGAAGCGGACCGTCGCGCGCACCTTCTTCCCTAGCGACGTCAAGAGACTGTTCGACGTGATGTCCGAGAGGTCGTGGGTGACTTCAAAGTACCCGTGAGCACCTGCGCCCTTGGCGTGGACGACACGCTCAGGAATACGTTCTCTATCGAAGTGGGCGAGAAGGTCGATATGGTGGAAGTCCTGGAGCAGCAGAGGGCCATTGATACCTGCTCGCTGTGCAGCGTACGGCTCGGAGACGGGTGCGCCGTTGGAGGTGGTGTAGAGAGCGTTGTCGGGCGTCGAGAAGACTTGCTTAGAAGGCATGATGGTGGTAGGTGGGAAACAAGTGGTCGTGGGCCAGTCTACACTATATAAATCGCCCATTCTTGGTCGATCCCGTGGTTAGTCAGCTGTGGAGGAAGAACTGAGTATGACGCATCACTGCGAGATCCACACACGTGATCGCATTCCCGTCATATCCCTCTGATGTGATTGGCTCCACAGCTTGCTTTCGTACTTTGTACTCCGTTTCCACCCTGATCTATTGAGTCCCTGGGTCATATGTCTGCGACTGTGAGAGCCGGGCGACCACCATTACCCCAGATTTTCGCTTCTCGGTCTTCGATGTTCGTCTTGGGTACTTGTCGTCCCGGAATACGTCCACGAACAGTCAGCGGGCTCCGATTTACCGACACGCAGTAATCCAGCCTTGACTTGGCTTGAAAATACTTTTCCTGAGCTAATACTGGGCTGATGCTAAACTTCGGTCATGATCACGCGAATTCGCGACCATCCGAAATGGTGATCACAGGCTACCAACGTTCCCATCTCGTGCCATTTTCATCAGTAGAGATGGGCATTCTTCGGGACAAGTCTGTGCCATACTATACGTGTGACTTTTCCCGACCCTAGGTTCACTCGTGAACGACCAATAGTTAGTCAAGGCTCTATAATTATTGACAACCCTTACCGCCATTGTATTCAGCCATCCAACGGTCTGGATCCCTGTAGGCTACGATGTATTGCGAGACCCGGACGTCACCGCTTCAATACAACGCACTGGTAAGCCCGTTACATGAAGGGCAGAAATTCAGCTTTCGCAAAATTTGCCTTGTAGTTGTATCAAACCATGCTAAACCTGCGGCTTGTTAGTTATTCCAAAGGTGAAGTCCCAACATTTTCAAAGTTATCGATAGTTGACTGGAGAGCGCTGAAGCTGTTGAGGAAGATAGGCCGAACGGAAAACAAGTGGGAGCTGAGCAAGGAGAAAAGGGCAGGCAATAATGATGGAAAAATCCAACTGGCATTAAAGTGTATAAAATGTTCTGTCCCATTGTTAGCGTGAGGAAAGGGCCCTTCGAAGACAGCAAAAAGTATCTTGGAGGAAGATACACATTGGATGGAGGTGCGCAGCATTTAATCGGAGATCCCGGCCTCGACGTGAGGAAAGTAAATATGCATATCCAGGAGGGAACAAGGCAAGTTGTCGCGTGGCTGCCGGAACCGCGTGAGGGTGAAGCGTCTCGGAAAGGTGTGAAGTTCAAGGGTAATCCGAAAAAAGGGTATCAAGAAAGAACAATGCGGTCCGGGTCCCGGTTAACTTTGCGTAACGGTGTCCCACGTGACGACAACGTCGGCATGTACGGCACAGCAAACGGCAGCAGGAAATTGTCGAACTGTAACTCACCACCACAGAGATGCTCAGACCGAAAGAATCCTGTAAACACAGGACTCGGAATGCTCGTTGATGCACACGTGCGTCCAGAGAAATCTGTTAGATTCCGAGCTTCACATGATACTGATCTACCTGTGTCAATCACCGTCAGTCACCGCTAGGATCCTTGTGTATTTGCTTACCTTCTCGCTCATCACCGGAGACCTTTCTGTAACATTCCTGTCAGGCGACTAATTAGTGCTGATGGAACGGAAACTATGCGAACACAGAAAACATTGTGACCCGTGCTTTTGACCACAGCAAAATGCGTCGGCTTTACCGTCAAAGGGGGATTCTACGAGCCTCATTCCTCGCTGATGTGTAGAAGTTATACCTGGCATTGAGGAACAGCGCAGAGACACCTCTTGGACTGCTGCACCTGATATCGATGTACCATGATATCCTTCCAACACTGGGAAGATATGCTTACGATGTGCTTAGGAATAGCAGATAACCTCTCTATATTGACCTAGCATAATGCACCGCTGTAGACATATAAACTTGTCAGAAAGTAGATTACCTCCGAAGCTAATTCTGAGAGGCCACATGCTGTGGGGGCTACGCTGAATCAGTTTGGTCAGAGAGTGTCCGCTCCCATTGCACTGCGTAGTATGGACTCTGGTTGGTTTACTTCTCAGGGACAGGATAACCAGAATAAATATCCCTCACCTGACCTCACTTCACCCGACTCATTTTGCTATGATCGAAAACCTTGATCACAATTAGATCTGCTGTCCACTGTGATTTCGTCCGATTTAGAATGGTCGCTTCGAGAGTGTACCGCATCACGTTTACTTTTGTAGCTGATGGAACCAGCCAGTTCGCACCATCTTCGATTGTCTTGGGCTCGCGGTCCGATATAAAACGTCTTGGATGTGTGTCATGAATTGAGACGTCTTCTACGGGATGAATCACCGGATAGTCAACAGTGGAAAACCCGACGCTTGCTTACGGCGATCCAGAATCGCCTTCATACACGTCAAGATATTCGAAATGATCGTCATTGTGGAGTACGCCAAATCATGCAACATATCGCAGTGGTTACGCCAAGGAGGACATAAGTAGACGATGCTCGCAAAATTTGCCTCATGACGGGATCAGATCGGATGGGGGGTAGCTCATCTCGAGACTCGGTACAGAATCAACGCACAGCCTTTCAGGACAAAGTTCCAGAAGTCAACAAACTTCGCCTCGTCGTAGGCACAAAACTCACTAGGAAATAAGCGCCTAAAGTATATATCAAGTTTGTGGCAATGTCTACTGCTCGAAACCTTTATGTTGTTGCGCGGCAGGTTTGCAGACAGATGGCGTTGGGGCAAAGCTGTCGAGGGTCGTCCTCTTGCGATTTTGTCTTTATTGCAGCACCCGAGGATCATATGCACGACACCTCCCATTATCGAATCGAGTGTCGTCTAGACCACCATTCGTCGAAATGAGTGCTCCGTGAGCTACGGTCCATACAGCACAAAGAGCTTATACGAGTAGGAAAAGGCAAAAAAGTGTCCCGGCCCAGAAGCCATTCAAATTTCTGGCTGACTTCCTAGTGTAACAGTCTCTGGAAGCACCAAAATCTGTGGCTGGGTTCGAGCTGCATGACACTTATAAAAACTACACGTGCGTTGGATTCAGAGCTTCAGTCTACTGGAAACTTAGTCACCATTAGGATTCTCGTACGTATGTACTCACCTTTTGACTCCTTTTGATTACTTCCGTTCCTTCCGCACGCATAACGTAAGTATAAGAACCTGTTGGATCGTTGCCGGAAATCAAGTTATCTTCGCAACCAGTTGCAGGACAACATGAGTCGCCAGATACCTTGAGAGTAAAGAAAACGGAACCAAACATGAGGCTATTATGCGTTCTTTCAGCCTGTTTCCAGTACTTGCGAGACAAAGCACCTCAGCCTTCAAGCCCGATCCTCAGTCGCCATGTCGGTTCTTTTGACCATCGCCTTGTAAGGCGGGTTTCATTGAGGGAAATTAAAATGTGATGGACGTCGACTTCATGCATGGCTCACCATGAGGGTTCCACGACCTGTTTTTGTTCTGATTGGAACACATGGCTTCCACGCCCTTTGTTATTCGGCTTTCCATATTGAAAGGACGGCATTAGAGCCCCGACCCGACTTTGACAGTTGTTCTGTCCGGGAGATGATTTCAGCGCCTAACGGACTGATAGAGATGGTAGTTGCTGCGGTAGCATAAACCTCTGGCTATCAGAAGAAAGGCGTAAACAACGTGTCCCACCTTGTGTGTTGATTCGTTCGGGTACCAGATCTTGAAGATCTTCTACCGACTCCGCAGCCAATGAGAGGGCAACCAAAGAGACAGGTCCAAGAGATGTTTAACGACGAGAACGAATCTTAATCAGAGTTCAGATCGTACATCTGCCCGAGGAGTCCGCATATTATATAGGCACGTAGTGATGGTTGTCATGTATAACACTCGATATTTTGAACGTGGGGAGTCCAGCATTATCATCGTCAGTACTAGGAGCTCAGAAATCAGATCCAGGATTAGCAACGTATGGAAATTACTCACCGTGGCCGTGCTGTTTATCCTAAGGGAACAAGAGGGCCTGAGATTGCGGTGATGTTCCCAGGGAGAGCTTGAATTAATGATACATCATCGGTATTGATTTCCGTTATTAGATTGCCCCCTAACCCCTTGAGTTAAATCTTACGAATAAGAAGGAACATTGCATAACGGCGCTGCCGCCGTTGAGATGTCGACAAATTGATGATGGGAGTAGGAGAAGAAGGGACGTCAGGTAGAGTCACGCCACCCTTCCACGTTCTTTCTTTCCTTCCTTCTACACTCACCTTCGTCGTTCCTTGACGCGGCTGGCCTGCATTCAAGGCATTTTCTCGGGATTTCGTTCTTTTACTAGTCTTTTGTTAGATTTCATCTTGCGAGTCAAGATTGTATCTTTATGGCAGCATTTGCTACGATGAGAAGGTCATTGAAATGGAAGTTGGAGGCATTAGTACGTTCTTTTATTTCTCTCGAATGCAAAATTCGGAAATGACGAGCAACGACACTGCAGTATACCCGTATCACTCTCAACCGACTTACCACTATATTCTTTCTCTTCGGTTTTTTCCACTGCTTTGCCCAGGGGACCATCCAATCCTTACTTTTCTCAGTCGACTCCCGATACAGCACATTGCTCAGTCATATTACCATCGCCGCCAATGTTCCTCCGGCGAACCATACATTCTTCGCGGGTTCGACCCTACGGGTGTGTAATTTCCTTCCTCACAACGACGGTTCTTGTTCGGATGTCTTTACGATTAACCGGCCTCCGTCAGCCATGTCCATTGATAACGACCAGAACGTGCGTCACCACAAAGAATCAGTGAACTTAATCTCACATTTTCTTCAGATTACTGAGAACAATGGTATCTGGCGCGCTGGTCTGGATGGTTCAGGCTTCTCCATCAAGGCCTCGGATGACACAGTGTCTGTCAGCCCGCTCGGCGAAAGCAGTGACATAACCTTGAGCAAGATTTGCATCCAGACTCTACTTTTACCATCCCAAGAGTACGTCTCGTCATTTCTATATTTTTTTCATTCACTGAACCTTGCTTTTAGCTTGTCAAATTTTCGTCGGGAAAACCTTGCGTTTGTCTTCTTGCAATTCTGGCTCTTTGGCATCTCCGTCCTTGCCATGATACAGGATTCCGTGCCTCATCTGTACGTAAATAAAGCTGTCCATCTCGTTCATGTACTGATCTATCTCAGTCTCGCTGGGATCGGTGCCCGGATACTGCTTACAGCATGGTCTGCATACGCGATCTGGCGTACGCATCATCTGTCGAGCGTGTACAAGGCTCTTCTCAGTGATCCTGGCACACCGTGTTCTGTTGATTTCTTCCCAACGTATTTCAGTACTCGTTCGTCGCTGGAGATCCCCGACCTTGTGTTGAATCTCACCGCCTTGACCATCATGATATGGACAGTCCTTAGGGTTTGTTATAATTTCATATGTGTTTCTCCACTAACAACTGAGGCAGGTATACGCTGTGCAATCATACAAATGTGTTGGTGCACCAGCTCATATCCTCAGAATCCACAAGGTGGAGAGATCTGGTACTTGTTTATGATGTGCCACTTACCGGGGTCATAGTTTTTCATGGCCATACAAGCATGCTTGCAGCTCGAGGTCTACATCCTTCCGGCGGGAATGGGACTTTGGATCGATCAATTGTTCAACACTTATATTAAATATATCTCCGAACATACGCAGGTTTATGAAAGTGTTTTCATATTCTACACTGTCGTACGTATTCTATCTATTGACGCTCGTATTCCCTTGCTGAACCTCTTTAGATGGTTGTCCCATGGATGATACTGGTAACGATGCTATTGTGCTGCTCTTCTACTCTCTGACCGTCGACAGGGATGGTATGCGATTCGGTACGAGAGAAAGAAATGGATGTTCACATTTATCTTTATCGGCTTCGTGTTCCTCTTGTGTGAGAGTATCATGTTCTATTCTCAAGTCTATCAATGGTACTCAACCACCTCGTTTTGTGATCATTTCATATGAATAGCTAATATTTGCTTAGGACGTTTGTCATGTGGCCTAACCTTGCCTGCTTCACGGTCTCTTTCATGATCGTCATCGTCGCCTGCATAATCTTGGGCATCGTTTGTCTACGGAACTTTGATCAAGGGCTGGCGCAGTACTGTACGTTCATCCGCATTTTACGCCTAATAGTTCCTAATACGTCCCGTTTAAGTGAACGCCGAATCCGTGCTGGCATCGTCCAATTTTGCCCCGGAGGTCTTTCAACATCGTGAGGACATGGATATTGAGAAGGCGCCGCTGCCTGAATTCCCGGTTCCACTTCATGTCCTTAAGGGTTCCGATGAGCTCGATAGGCCTCTGTCGACGTACTTCCTGCCTACGCTTCATGCTGATGATACGAGCTACGGTGGTGTTATCGGCGTGAAGAAAGATCGTTGGTAGTAGTTACCGTACCTGAAGACATTGATGAACACAGGACTATTTTCGATTTCATAGAGTATGCACTAGATTGTGGGTGCTCGGACTTTTTACTTCGTTTTCTTGGGTTCGCAGTGCGATATGTAACGAGCTTTTCCAGATGTATGGGTTATTGGAAGCAGAGAGGAAAATATCAAAGCTCTCTGCATTTTGAACGGTATGATACATGAAAACCGCGTGGACTCTGATTGAATAAGGGAGTCAGCCAAAAATAACACAGGAAGGTATTTCCTGTTGCCAATGCCGTATGATTGGATTTGACGGCAGAGTCGGAAACAACGGACCGGTCAGTCAAGTAGCACTGATCACTCCTGATCACAAGTACTTATCGTACTACTAATCGCTCTCTTCTTGCATTGCAGCTCCCATCCTAGACTATGCCCGAACCCAAGCAACCCCTCCATCCTTCCATTATTCCTCGTCTCGATCCAGAATATCTGGAGTTTCACAACAGCACACTGATTTATATAACGCCTCCGCACACACTACCCTCGTGGGATCCTACTTTGAGGAACGCGCCTGCAGTTCCGGGTGGCTCACCATTGTTGCCTGTTGGTAAGACACAGGACTTTAAACTAACTCATTGTGATTTTCGGGCTTTCACTCCCGAGGGAGAAGCCCCGACATCAGGGTGGCCGCTACTTATTTACTTCCACGGAGGTGAGAATGGAATCAAAGTCGCATAGAGCAATCTCACCACAAATATGATAGGTGGATGGACATTCGGCAATATCAACAGCGAAAACTCTCTTGCCACCAACATGTGTGTTCGTTAGTAGATCGAGTAGTACTGCGTTGCGATCATGACAGAATGCTAATCTTCACCCGCAGATGCTAAATGCGTTGTCATGTCCGTGAACTACCGTCTTGCTCCGGAGGATAAATATCCACTTGCTGTAGAAGATGCTATGGAATCGCTGTACTGGGCGACTGAGAATGGGAAATATCAGCTCAACATAGACCCGACTAGAATCGCTGTCGGTGGGTCCTCCAGGTGTGTCTCCTGCTTCCTAAGCACTGAATATTGTTCATCTCCCTTCAACAAGTGGCGGAAATCTCGCTACTATCCTTGCCCTCAAGGCCGCAGAAATGCAACCCCCCATCCCACTTATCTTCCAGCTCCTCATCGTTCCTGTCACCGATAATACAGCATCCGTCGAAACCCTTTGGAAAGAGAACGAACATACCGCATGGCTTACTCCGGCAAGGATGAATTGGTTCAAGTCAAATTATCTTCCAGATCCCAGAGACTGGACGAAATGGGACGCATCGCCTGCATTTGCGCCGAAAGAACTGCTGGAAAGGGTACCCAAGGCTTGGATCGCTGTTGCAGAATTGGATATCTTAAGGGAGGAGGGTATTCAGTATGGGAAAAAGATGAAAGAGCTCGGCGTCGAGGTAGAGACAGTGGTGTACAAGAGCGCGCCGCACCCAATTATGGCAATGGACGGTCCGTATATCTCTGACTTTGATGCCAGAGTCCTGACTGACAATTCGCGTTGTACCGCATTTTTGCAGGGTAAGTAAAAAGCTTTTGACCCGATTAAGAGGATCCTTTACTAACAAGACTTCTAGTGTGCTCAAGATCGGGGCAAAGTTGGTTTCGGATGCGGCCACTGCGCTTGGAAAAGCTTTCGGTACGATATAGCTTGTAGCTGTTCACTATTAGGGCTCGGAACTGTTACCCTGGCTTGTCGGTGCATACAGGACGATTAATCTAATCTGTACCTTCCATTCCCATGCTGAGGCGACAGAGTATACGATACCTACAGTAAACATGCTGGCATCACTGACGAATTTCTCGATCGAATCGATACCCTACAAGCGGTGTCCACTGACAGACACCGATCAGAGGAAGGTGGTGTGTAGTTTGGTGAGGACGGTGGCTTGTCCTCTTAACCCGCAAAGTCTTCTCATCAAAAAACCGACGACTGGCTTTCCCAGTAGGTATTTTTTCCTAACATGTCCTCCATTGGCATTGGAGTCCCGATGCCGACTTTCCTCATCTTGTAGTCCCATGGATGCTAGTGGCTCTCACGGCGACAACCAATCGTACTTTAATGATCCCAACCGTCACTCGATAGCAATTGGATACTAGGACAGTCCATTTCATGGGCGCTTTGTTTGAATTAGATTTTGCCACTCTTGGTAGCGCGGCGTTGATAGGTGTACTCGGATTGTCAAGTGATTGTGAGTTTTCTTTTCGTCTGTCACTGCTGTTTCGCTCATTTACCAAATTTCCAAAGGCGCGGTGGTACGGGCCATCGGACAACGCGCACACCCATATCACTGTATGGCATACCAAACTTTGCAATGCAGGATTGTCACTAGCATTATGTAGGCCGCTCCATTGCTTTGATTGTGGATAATATATCTACCCTATCCACACGTCTGCTGCCAGCATATTTTCTGTTCTTACCACTACCCATTCCCGAAGCCCCGTTGCACCTCAGCCCGATCGCCTGGCCTCGTAACCGGTCCAGTCAATGTATGCACGAAAGCAGAGTAGCGGCGTTTAGCTTGAATAGGGGTCAGTCAAACACAGTGCAGATGGGGAGAGAATGTTCACAGATGACGATGGAGCACGCGAATGAATGGGTCCACAACAAAAAATATTGGACTATGGAAAATACTAGGAGCTTCACTTCACGGGGTCCCGTTACGCGTTATGTGAATTAACGGTTGAAATAGCACAGTGCGTTATAAAAATAGACACGACCGATTCTCAAGGTTTTCCGTAAGCGCCGTAAGGTAGTGGGAATAAATTGACTGTGCATTTCCGAATGAAACACAATCGCTATAACTCTAACGAATAAATAATCACAGGTAATATTTCCTTCAACGTCGCCGTCGTCGTCGTCATCCCCGTCTTCCGTCTCCTCTACATGATTTTCCCGAGGAGTGGGCGGAATGAACCCACTGCCCAGCGTGCCGCTCGCATCCCTCGCCAGGCCAAGGCTATACATGGCACTTAAAGGTCTTGGCCTCGGTCCCTGATTCTCCACGGACACCGAAGAAAAAGGTGGAGAAACGACACAGAGGCCGAAATTTGTATAGAGATCCTTTCGCGTCTGGAATTTCATAGACTGTGCTTGTCGCAGTTTCGGATTAGTCATGACGTTTCCGAACGCAGTAGTAGAGGAGGTCCAGGACATCCACCCAGGAGCAGTAGAGGAAGGAGATGAGGATATAGGCGAAAGAAGGTCAAGATCATGTAAGTTCGCTTGATGGCCGCAATATCATGCTGTATATCACCTAGCTTCTGAGAGAGATTCTGCTGGGTTTTCTTTACTGGATCAGAGCCCGAAATGAACGCGTCGTTTCGCGCTTTCACCTCCTCCAGAGTTTGTGACTCTCCGGATTTATCGGCTAACACTCTGAGAAGGACGGTTAAAATTGTCTCAAACCCAAGCACAAGAGTCTCGTCAGCCTCGATGCGGATTTCCATTTTGACACGAGCGTCTTCTGCATAGTCATCCAGCTGTTCCGTTGCCGTGTGAAGGACCTGATTGGAGTTAGTTGATTCTTGAAGTATGCGATGGCAATCGGAACGTCTGTTGCATATTATCGTAACGCCGACTAACCTGCTCGACCTCTGCAGGTAAAGACGGCTCATCCTCTGTCGGAAACGGTATAGGATCCGATGTAATCAGAGTGGAGGTTGAGGTTGAGGTTGAGGAAGGGGCAAGTTCATCAATGATGGATGTAGACTGCGATACTGAGCGAGGAGAACGTCGATGAACATTTATCATCTTCGACTCTTCCTGGAGGGAATCCGATTCCTCTGCTTCCAATGTTGCCCTAGCCTCTTCTGGGTCTTCTCTCGTCTTTTCTGAAGCTGGGGGTTCAGGAATATTTTTCTGGTGAACAGGAATGGGTAGCAGTACGACCAACTTCTCCAATTCGAGCCTCCAAGCAGTTTGTATTCGTAACTCTTCAATCAAAGTGTCTATGGCATTCTCAGCCACAATAATCTGGCCCATAGACTCGGAGAAGCCATTGAGGTCTGATGCAAACCCATGAGCATCACGAAGCATCCTCTCCAGAAGCGTGCTCGCATCATCTCCTCGCTCGATGATCTTGCGCATAACACTCATCGTCGAAGCCACTCCTCGATGCTCTCTTCCCGAGCAACCATGCGAATTCTTAATGAAACCTCTCTACGACGACCAAATGCCTCTCGTATGACGTCGCCACCCACTTGGTCCAACGCAAGCCTCAGTTTTTCAGTATCGGCGCGGGACTGGTCGAGCTGAGATGACAATACGGATGGATATCTGTGTGCTCAGAGTATTGACCATCGCAGCGTGCCTTTCCTTGATGGACACAAGTGACGCCTGAAATGCCAGTTTGTAGACAATTGCGAGAATTTCCTGTCAGTGACATTCAGAAACAGGCGTCTGCTATAGAGCAAAGCGACGTACATGTATCTTGACACCATTTTTGCAGCCGAATTATCTTCCAGTTTCAGGTTCTCTAGCTCAGCCTGTGCTTTCGCGAGTTCTACCCTATCGTTCTCCTTGTTTCTTATCTCCACCTCATACTTGAAATACCCAATGACAAGTTCGCCTTCGAGGTGATCTGTTCTATGAAAGAGGAGACCAGAAAGAAAAATCGTCGAACAGCTTGTGGGCGTCAGATTTTGCTTCGGAAAGACTTGTGCTTGGCTGTAAACGGGATGACATGGATGTCTTCCCATCGAGCGAGCGAACGTGATCAGCATACTCGCTAACGACAAGGTTAGACATCTTGTTGTGTTCCTGCGCCTCTCCGAGCTGCCTCTCCCAGTCCCTTTCCCAAAACTTCCTCCTCCTCCTCCTCCTCCTCCCTCCCTCGGATTCGAGCGACCAAATCATACGCCCTTTCTGCAGTTCGCTTTGGTAAGCTCCGCGCTCGCATGGGCGAGTTGGGTCGTATGCTCCAGTAGGGCATCTTCCGTGAGAGATAGTTTGTACAACAGCCTCCTTAGCGACAGCGTCAATTTGCGTCAATTCTTGCGACTGGAGAACTGCTGGATGAGAATCGGAAGTATCTGAATGTGGATTAGCTCGAAGAACACTCGAGTTCCGACTTGAGTACACCACTTACGTGTTCTAATTCCTGCTACGTTAGTAGTAGGTCTTATAGAGGGATAGTGGTAGCCGAGTTTTGAGTTTAACCCGAAGTCCGATGTCATAAAAATTTCCATTTGTGGAAGAACTCACGGCCCAGCGCTTCAAAATTTCCGTTTAAGTCAGAATTTCGGGGTGGCACAGTCACCGCTTGTCACTGTTTACATGTGACCCTCTGTTACTATCACGCTTTCTGCGGCGTTGTTCGGCCGATCTTGCCAAGGATTCTGACTGAACTCAGAGAAATGCGAGCTGGTGGCGGCAGAATGCCGCCACCGAGCGAGTCTTTTTCTCTCAGCAGCAGAAGCTACCACCGCTGAGTGAATCATTTCAAGGAGTAGTACTCTCTCATTCATACTACTATTTTTGAATGCTAACTATTATTGATTATGACTTCGAGTTTTTTCTGCAAGCCAACGTTTGAATAACCCTTGGGCCTTGATTCAATCTCTCCTGCAGGAAATATAGCCAGTAAACCTCGCAGGATCAATCAATTATACATAAACTTGGTTTATTATAAACCATCATAATTATATAAAGAACAAGGCTTCCAGAGGGGTCAACGTAGCAGGCTTTGCCCCTGATGTGGGCCTTGCAGGCGTTATTTGAATAATTCCTGCTACGTTAGTAGAAGGTCTTAGGGAGGATGGATGGTAGCCGAGTTTTTGACAGCTCCCCGAGCCGTATGTCATCGGACTTTCTATGTGTGGTGAATTTGAACGGCGCGCCACACATAAATTTCTGTTAAAGTCAAATTTTCGGTGTGGCTGTTTCTTTGTTTGTCACTTTGTTTACAGTGACTCCTGTTACTCGTGACAGTACTTCGTACCAGGGAGCAGTCGCGCTTCTATTCCGACGTTCAGCGTCAGCATTTTCATCAAAGTTCTTCATCTTATAGATGGTGTTGATCTTGAGACATTTTCAGTAAGTGTATCGGTCTTTAGTAGTAATTTATCTCTGATCACACATGCAGTCCAGTCGTTCCCTTGGAGTAGCGGCGACAATGCGGGTCATAGCGGTACTATTTCTCCGATAACATGATGGATGTGGCAAATATTTCTGAATTTCAATGGTTCATTCCTGATTGCCATGACTACTCTCGCCAGTGTTGTTGAACATGCGGTGGAACTCCAAACCTTCGTTATGGTTGGACAAGATGAACTTAGAATGCGAGGTTTGCTTAAGCAAGGCACGAAGCCCAACGATATTGACAAGATCAACGACGCCATCAGGGACTACGTTGAAAAGAGGATGGAACTGGAATCAAATAGATCATCGGTGCAATGGGACTTGGTTACTGCTGCTCAGGTAAAACTTCGACGCTCCGAGACTGGCCATTAACTGAAGCATCATCTCAAGAACACAGTCACAGAGGCAGTACAATGTTTACACTCAGTTCGCGTTGTGGAGGGACATGTGCTCTGGGATGCGCCTCCTCCCAAAGTCGTCCAAATCCAAACTCCTAGCGCCAGTACAGACATACAAATTGTTCAAAACACTGAACCCGGCATGGGGAAGAGATCGTCAACAGGATCTACTCCGACAGGAAGCATGAAGAATGGGCAAAGTACCAGATCCAAGGCGGTGAGAAGACAGACGACGACGTCTATGGCGGCCTCTCATACATTGGTGCGAGCTGTCATTTTCAGTTTCGTGTACGGTGTAATGACTACAACTTTTTGAAGGGGATTGGTACTTGTGCGTCAACGCCAAAACCGCCACCAAAACCACAGGAACTGCCGGGAGTGTTGTCGAATGCTGTAGGTTTCATCTCCTTGCTTTTTCGCTGGCATTAAACCACCTATTTGTTTTGTAGGTACCGCTACGCTTTGGCCCTCCTAAAGTCAGAAAGAAAGCGAACGAGGATGACTTATGGAAGAAGGTGAGTCAATAAGTGATCAATGTGATTGAGCTAAACCGTCTACAGTTTTCATTGAACGCTACCCCATCAGAACAGCCGTCTGTTGAATGGCTTACCCAATTACGAGACTTAGTCGTTGACTTGGGCCCAGCTAACAAGGACAAGGTTATATCAAAAATCGGGCTTGAACTTTGGTGCCAACTGGTTTTCTTGAACGTACACCGTGGTAACTCTCGCACGTTATCAAAGACCAAAGTATCAAAAGTCGACATTTCCACTTGGGACTTGATTCCTACAGAAGCAAACATGCCTGTGAGTGTTGGATATTCAAATGAGACATTAAACAACTGATGTTCGCTTTTCTAAGTGCAAAACTTGCAGTCATAAAGTCGCCTGTCATTGGCCAAACTCGGAGGACCATTCGAAATGTCGGGAGTGCCATCTGCAAGCCAAACGGTGCACGTTTAGTGGCAATAGTATGAAAAGGGGGCGAAAACGAAAACGCAGCTCCGAGTCTCCTTCGACCTCACGAAGGCGCGTCAAAGTAGATTTAGAAGCGGATGAAGACGACGAGGTCGATTCACAGGATGAAATGCTAGATCCGCCTGCCGAAGCTTTGAACACGTTGACACGACCTAGACCCACATTAACCCTGCAGAAGATGGACTCACCGAAAACTCCAGCGACGAGATCGAGTACATCGAAATTGTTGTACCCTACCAAAGTCACTCCTCATCAGAACTTGGGTTCGGCTGAGCGGATAGCACAGTTGACACCCAGAACCACGCTTTCCCCTCGCCCGTCATCATCTTCCTTAAACCCTGAAATGCCGACACCGTTCTCAGAAATCCAACAAACGAGGTCAGATAAATCACCACCTGTAACCATGCCCCCTGTTCCTCTAAACGAAAGAGGCGACGACACGACAATAGGAAACGAATCTATAATCACCTGTCCTATGCTCTCTGTACCTGCCAGCAGATCCTTGACCATACACGATTCAAGATCACCAACCCCAACCGCAGATGACCCCTCAAAAAACACATTTCCGACACTCGCAAACGAATTTTTCCACTCTGGAAAGACCAATATGAGCCCTACGCGACCTCATGGTCGTCCAGACCACGATGAATATGGCAGGCTGTTGGAGGAAATCAAAGATTGGGACGCCGATACATGCAAAAGACACTTAGCAAGGGTGATGGCTGATCTTCATTGCGCCATCGGTAACACACGGGAATTGCAGAAGCAATTAAATGAGTTGTTGAAGAAAGACGAAGCATTGTTGGCATTCGTACTAGAGATCGACGCCGCACACCAAAAGGCACTAAAGGAACTGACGCAACTAAGATCCAATAGTCAATCATAGTGTACCATGTATTAAATTAAAATACAATCAGACGTAGCAGGCTTTGCCCCTCAGCGGGCCCTACAGGAGTTATCCCGTATTAATGCGTAGCCCAGTCACCCTCCCACCGGGAACGTATACGACAGTAGAACGGCGAGAGTTTGGTCACTGTGGGCTCATCCGCTATAATGCACAACAGCGTCGCCATCAGAATTGCGTCGTCAGTAATCAGCTGCTAAGCCATTGATCTGAATCATCCCACGCCACATTGGAGTTAGGAGGGACACCAGTGAATGCAGCGCAGAGCTAAACAGAATTGTCTATAACCCACTACCAAGGTAGCGGGAATTCAGAAAGAATCACGGAATTGTCGCAGCTTATTGACGTCTATTTGCCGAACTGATAGACCTCGTCACAGAGGTGCTCTACTTACATAACATCCTCGCTCCATTCTTACCCCGCCAACATCCTGCATCTCCCACGTGCTACACTATCCATTGTTGAGGACGTGAAAACATATGGATAGCCACTTTCCAACTCATGTGAGTCTGCTTTTACAGTGAAAGTACCTACAGTCATGAATACTCCTTTATCCCTAGCCGATGCGCATGTCAGGGGTAACTGGTAACCTGTTCAAGCTATACTCAGTGCTAATTTATTGTGGCTTGCAGGACATGAACATGAACACTTCTCTGCCCACCATCCCCCACGTCATAAACATTCTCATCCTCGACCTGGTCTCATTCCGCAGCAACGCACTGTCTTTGTTCACCCAAACAGCGTACGCCGCACCAATGCGGCGAACAACGATCTTGCCCATTCTCGTCACTATCAGAGATATTTTCGTAGAGCTTCTCAATGCCGTTGATACGGCCTGGAAGGAATCCTACCTTTTCATCAAGCAATGTTACCGTATCATGGGGTTAGAACAACCCGAAGAATTTCATCAGGGCGAGCGCCATTTACACGCTCTTCGCAAGAGCCATATACAAGCCAGGCAAATACAGCCTTTCTCGGGAAGGGTCTTGGATAAAGCTGAGGAGCTCTTGATCTCAGAGCTCCGTGGCTCCCGTAGTGTGGAACACGTTCTCAGGTTTACAAAAAGGTTCTTCGAATTATCCTCCTATCGAGTCGACATCATGGAGAATCTTCCTCGTCGCATGAATATGATTCGCCGAGATGTGAGCGAAATTATGGACTGCCTATACTACCTGGAAGAGCAGATGTCCAGGATTAAGATCTTACTTTGGGATCCCGAATGGCGGGCTTGTGTAGAACGACAAGATGTCATGGATTTGTTGTTCGGAGCTTGCTGCTCAGATCTGTCGTTGCGGCAGAGCATGGTTGGCGACTGGATACGTTGTCTATACCGGTACGGGTCGAGAGAAATCCCTATCGACTCTGTGCACCAACCTGCACAAGGTCGTGATCGTGATATGCGGTCTTGGTGGAATTTGTTAAGACCTTCCGCAAGGGACTGTCGAATAGCATTTTAAGTATCATACCACTTGCGAAGGTAAGCGAGCGCTGGCGGGCGCACATGGAAAGACAATGAGAGTGCACGGAGAGTTGAGTGTACGAGTCTTCTCGAATTCGGGCTAGAATCTACTTTCTCGAGCTGTCTTGAACACCCCCCCCCCCAATAAAAATAAAAAAAATAAAACAACAACAACGCAACATGTTATGGATGGTAGGTACCCGCTGATTCGGTGCAGGAGTCAACACATCCCGTACTCGGCCTTCTCGGTCTTAGCATTGATTTCCTCGTATTTTCTCATGTTTTTAACTCATATTTTCTCCATTCTTCCTAATACTAGAATACAATAATGGAACGTTGTAGAATAATAATGACCCCGTCCATTCCTTAGTATATAAATATGTCTACATCATTGTATTAGGGACACTTAACCAATCTACTACTTCCAGTACATTAATCGCTAAAAGTACTTATGAGATGAGAAGAGAGAGCGAAGCTCACATTCAGCGTAAAGGTCTCCATCTCCGCTCTGAAGAATCCGTTTCATCACATAGGTTGATGAAAGCGCTTTAAAGATGGGACTCACGTTCTGCATAATGGGTTCTAGTCTCTAGAAAATGAAATACGAAGCAGTCGGAACAGCTATCACACTTAGTATATTGTACCGTAGAGTCCTCATTGTAGAAAGCTCCTAGCCATTACGTATGAGGATGTTGTATGCTACCCGATGCTAAGAACCAAAACATTGACACTGAATGCAGGAGCAGAATAATCAAAGATAGAACCAGTTGAAATGGAAGACGTTTGAGGAAGAACAAGATCAGGGTCAGAAGGAACATTGGCAGATGTCTTTCCGCCTGTGAGCACTATTGCTGTCGCTGTGCTTGACACACTGAACGGCAACTCAAAGGTCACATCTGTAGCAGTGCTGTTTCTGTTGATGACCTAGAGAGTGTTGGGCTAGTTAATCGAGATGTACTCCAGCTGTACGTAACTTGCCTTGATGATGAGCTCGTTGGGAGTGACGGACGTCTTTCGGACGACACTCCAAAACACGGTACCGCTCCTTTCGGGAAGCGTGCTGGGGATGTATTCATCACCCCGATAGACGCTGAAAAGCTTACTGGATCTCAGCTGAGATTGATAGCATTGCAGCGAGTAAATATTACCTGTTGGACGTAGTAGCTGACACTTGGGTATACTGCTCCTGCGCTGAAGGGTTGTTAGTCTTTGACTTGGAAAGAGACAAAAGTTAGATCCTCACTCAAAAACCACCAGATTGGGATGCTATTGAGGGAAATATATCGTATGGAGTGATATGGATGCGAGGTGAAATGCGTACCCAGTCAGCTTGGCTAGCATGCTGTTAGAGAATCAGCATGCTGGAGCAGCGCGAAAATGGGAGGCATTTACTTGAAGAAGAGGAGCATAGGAAGCGGCGAAGACGATGTCGGCGTTTCCTGCACAAAGAATTAGTGACCCATAGCATAAACACATCTAGTATATACAAATCTCACGTTCGAATCCGGTCATGAAGACCGCGTCAGCAGTAGCAGCTTAGATCCGTGTTAATTCCTATGTATTTACCGGAGAATTGATTTACCTTCTACTGTAGAATATTGAAGGGTGGATCCTAAAACCAAATAAGAAGGAATTCAATTCATTCTTGTAGCCGAAAGATACATACCCTGGTCATTTCTGGTGGTGGCATACTCGCCCTCAAAGTACTGAGTCCCGTTTCGCTGCATACGGATTTCAGACCCGATCGGACATTTCAGTTGCAACGCCGCGTACCTGGAAATCATCGTAGTAGAACGAATTCTCTGACATCCACGCTATATGCATCGTTGAGTACAACTTCGGAAATAAAGTCAGGTCCTAGAACTTACTACTAGTCTGATAAACATGCACATCGTATTCAGTCGGTGCTGGGTCTAGAATCGGATTGAAAGGGTCTGTCGTCGCAATGAAATCTGATGAAATTCACGTGAGTATGCGAACCCATCAGTGAAGGAAAAAAACGAACGAAGGCTTGGGAATTCGTTCTGCAGAGCAGTAACGTATGAATTCCATCGATAGCCATATCTGTTAATCTGGTGTCAGTAAAATGCAGCATGCGTGAGGGTCAGCTCACGTTCTGGCAGCTGCGGTCACGAAATCCTGCGAGTCCATTAAATGCGGTCACAACATGCAAAACACTCAATTGTACTTCGTTTCCAATCTCGACGTAAGTCAGTTTGAACGGTTCTGGGTGGCCCAGCTCCGCCCTTCGCGCAGCTGCGATGTAAATAAAGGTGACCCAGAGCATTCTGTCTTGTTTAGATAGTACTGACCGTAATCATTGGTTGCCGGATCCCCGATGACAAAATTTATCTACCCACATAATATGCCGAAATTAATATCGCCAGAGACTGAGATTAGTCAAAGAAGGCGAACCTGATCAATAGCACTTTGGACATATGGTTGTAGGTCGTCCTCTGCGACAGACACGCCTCCAAGGCCGTATCCTATGATCTGAGATTAATGCTTCTCTTCATAACGCAAAATCCAACTGACCGGCCCAGACAGCCATGATGGGTTCCATCTCCAAGTCTTCGCACCACAGCAGGTACTCCAATAGTCCAAGGCCGCTAAATGACATGGTCATGGACTCTAGATCATCCAAAAAATCTGGGACGACGCATACTCTGTATTGATATATCCCCAGTCTCCCGATCGTCCTGCAGAACAAATCAGTAGGATATCCTCCCGAAAATTAATTCACCAGGACTGACCCGGCCTATCGACCAAAGGTCCCAAAGTAGCGTTCCAGACCCATCGTGTGGCCGTATTTTGACCCTAAGGAAGCCGGAAATTCAGCCTGATACTTGGTCAGAAATATGAAGGATGTAGACCTCCTAGAAATTTTGATCAGATGATTCAGATTAGATGTCAAGAAGGTGATATCGAGTCAACATACGAGATTGTTGCCTCCCGGAAACCTGAAGAAGGAAGGCTTCATTGCTTGAAGAGTCTGAAGGCGTTCTTGAACGGCGGTTCCCTGTTTATTCGAAATTGATTCTCACTCACCTCAGCGATGTCGATTCGCATTCCATTAGGCCTATTATTGAAAGTAGGAGGAAAGAGAGAAAACATTGCAAAATTGATGGTCAAGCCTGACGCTGTTGCACCATCGGTGGTAACAACGAAGACATTATCAGTTGAATCAGGAGTTGTATCTGAGGTGAGCGTGACGAAGACTTGCTTCCAGCTTGTTTGGTCGCCGGAAACTGAGACGGAGGCGGAAGCCAAAATGTCACCATCAGACATCTGGATACTAATATCCAATTCTCCAATGAAATCAGAAGTCTCGGGGAAACGATAGTAGAAAGAAGCATTATACGTGTTGCCGGCCGTAATCTTCATGCCTGGAGTGGCGTATCAGGAGAAGTCCGTCCACTATTGAGCGGGAATCCCTTACCAAAGTAGCCAGTGTTACCGAATCCGACCGGACCACTTGCACCACTTGTAACGGTCACGTTCAATGCGTTAGGAAGGGCAGAAGATACCGGTTCGGTTTCAGCAACAACAGTAAGGAGGGCACCATTAATAGAAGACCATGCTCTAAGCGCGGCGGAGGTTCCTGGTATGATAAGTAACCTTAGCTCTGGGCCTCAGTGACACCGATATTGCCATCATTAGCTTACCGGCAGTGACTTGTTGAAAGGCTCGATTCTGTAGTACTGAATAATCGCTAAGTATCTATGGTATGAGAAAAGAGAGTGAAGCTCACATTCAGCGTAAAGGCCCCCATCTCCGCTCTAAAGAATCAGCTCCATAAAACAGGTTGATGAGCATGGGACTCACGTTCTACATAATGGGATCTAGTTTCTAGAAAAATGAGATACGAAAAAGTTGGAACAGCTCTCACGCTTATATCCTTTAAAACCGCTACCATTTAGCAGAATGTAGTGTTAAATTTGGATGCAATCACCTCATACATTTGACCCCCTAATAGGGCGGTGACGTATCAATAATAGAACGACGCCGAAACGAAATCATGACTATACACGCACATAGTGTAGTCGGAATCGGGTGACTAGCTGTCGAGCTGACACTGACTGTAGTCTGCGAGAGCACAGAGCTGATAGAAACCAGAATGAATCCCAGAAGGAGTATCATGACTGTTGACACGAGACGCGAATAAAGATGGATCATACACCTGAGAGAAGGCTCCCTTTATACCGAAGTGGAAGGCGGACCGTTGGCAGCGAGAAAGAATACCACCAGACCAATCCCGGGCCTCATGAGTGGCAATTTCCGCCATTCTCCCGTGGCACTTCAAAAGCATATGGGTTGTTGGGTGCAACTGCTTCGCTTCATCATAATAAAATTGATACACTTCCATCGGTCCGGGATTTAGTAGGTTCGCGATCACATGGTGCAAGATCCTCCTGACTCTTGGATTGGTGAAGGAGACACATAGGGTCATACGCTTCGTTTTACTACCGTCACAAGCGGCTCGCGCGCAGTATATATACACCAGGAGTGGCTCTTTCGCCGAATTTCTCCTCATTGCTAAAAATTATTCCAGGATCTCCAATATACCAGGATTCTGCGTCGTGATATTATGTTCATTCTCATCCAAAGGATCTCGTCACCGATCATGCGGCTGGGCCGCTCCACACAAAGAATTTGAGTCTAGGAACCGTGGGCAAGGAAAGACGTGGAGACCTGCCAGTTGATGTATACTCGAGTAAGACTCTCAACGCGGCTCGAATCGAAGAGAACGGCGCTCCCTCTAAGGATGGAAGGGATATACATCAAATTATGTCGCAAGTGATGAAGAGACGATAGGATTTCGCCGCATTCTTCATCCTGAACGGAGACGGCGCTGGAGCGCCGGAAGACCCTCGTAGATGGCCAAAACCGCTTCCATCAACAAGTTCGCATTGACCACATATAATACAGCCATGTCACCATTGAAACTATTCCTCAACTGGTTCGTGGGATCCGATGTGCACAGTCCAGGATGGGGTCCGCTTGAGAAATTGGACCAGGCAAACACTTCATGTCCGACGCCGTCAGAGCGCTTTCTGAATACACCGGTGTGACCTGTGACCATCTCGACCACTCTTGCTCTACTCAGTGCTCGGCCGTTTCACGATGATTAAGTCATTCGTATTCGCGGCACGTATGACAGCAGAATGCCCTGTGCCGTAGACTGACGCGTCCCTGGGCAGGCATATAACGTACCCCACCGTACTATATGGATACACTTCGGGTAGGGGTCGTGAGGGTCCCATTGTCCTCGTATGGCACCGCATCAAATGAAGAGAATGGCGTTACAGAGGTGAGGGAGTCGTCCAATGATTTCACTGATCGCAGTAGATACGCTTCAGTCAGATACGATTAAAAGCGACTCCCGAGGCTCCAACTTTAATGCGACTAGTGTTCGAGTGGAGTTTGATGAAGAGATAGTGAGTGATACAGTTCCCGTTTCAGGAAACCACAATACAGGAGCTCTCAGCGCTCAAACGGAGATGACCACGTCTACCGATTCCTCAAAGCACTCGTCACAAAATAGACGTTCTTTTCATCAATCTCTCGATGGGTGAAATAAATGGCGGCATCATTTCGATTGGCAGTGGGTGCTAGATCGGATTGAATATCTAGGCTCGTCAATTCCGTTTGCATTGTAGAATTGAAAAGGTTTCCGTCGCCAATACGACTCCAGAGCTCGTGCTCAATTGAATGCCCTGGCCGTCCTACCCGAGCGTACAGGATGGTGGCAAACCGGCTAGGAGGATGACGACACCACCATCAACAAGCTCCAACAGCTGTTCCACCACTCCGCGGTGCACAGCTCGAAGCTCAGGAACGACAATCAATTATAACCAATCCCACTCGGTGCTGTCCTTCGGCTGTCCACCGCCATCAATTGCATCAAGTGTGTGAAGCCAATCATATCTGGTATGCCAACGGAATCGAACATGCCGAACAAGTCATTCCTATGCTTGCAACGGGCTCCAAGCCATTGAAACACGGCATGTCAACCGGATCCCCTGCTGCAACACGTGCTGCACCCGGCGAAGATATATTACTCGGTCCATCCTGTAGATAGGTTGCCTTGCGATCTGTATGGGCGCCAAACGGACCCATTGTCATCCCTGTGACTCAAGTCAGTCATGTTAAAAAATGAATATCGCGTATGCATACCTGAAAGGGCATGATCTTCTGGCTAGCGGGTGTGTTGACGGATCAAAAAGCAGGTAACACCTAAGGAGAACTGACGGTTGCCAAGCGCATTCAAAGAGTAAGGACAACTTGTTCCATCGAGATATTAACAGCTGGTCAGTGAATGATTCCGCGGAAACAAGGGTGCGTCATCTACCGGTGATATGCGCATAGGTGGCACCAAGTTGTAGCGATCCATTATTCCCATACGTCTGCGCGACCCAGAACTCTTCATATTTAGGCAACATCGACAGAAGCGGCGACCTGCAGAGAAGTAAAAGACACATCCCCATAAGGCTCTGCAGATAGTTCCGAAAACAAGCCAAGCTTATGCAGAATTGGCTTTGTAGTCGTAGAACTTGTTCACCGTCAGGTCAGGCATACGGCGAACATCGTATAGAAAGTTTCTGTGACATTGCCAGCCTCGACGATCCTTCCAGTCGCCTCCAGCGACCACGCGCCTAGCGCGTAACCACGGTGATGACTGAACCCTGCGGTCATATTCATCCCTACCCCACTATCAGCCTCTATCCCCTTGAAAGTCGCAGGGATCGGCAGGCCTATCGCGTCAAAGATAGACCTAATGCGGGCATTAACGTAAAAATCGACAACCTGTTTGCTAGATAAATCGATGACCAGGCCCATACCAGGAGTAGGTGTAGTTGACATATCCTAATCTGTTGTGATACGTCTAAAGCGAGCAACCGTCCAGAGGCCGCCGGTGAAGTTCCAACGTATCTGGCCCGCAGACAAGTCAAAGCGCCGCCAAATGGAATCGTAGAGACAGCACTTATAAAGAGTCGGTCAGACGCTAGTGCTACCATGCGCTTTGTGGTTCCACGGGGACGCCAACTAACCAGCCCGGACCGGACGCAGTCAGCCGGAAGTACTTGACCGACATGGCGTTGTTTGAAGGACTCTATAGCAGGTGCATCTATCCAACGCAGCGCCGGGCCCGGGAATGCTGTAACCTTGGCCCACGTCGATCTGTCGTTGAAGGAAGACAGCGTCCATGATAGTGGAAGTCGCGGGTATCGTCAAATGTATTCGCGGGGGTTACGATAGATGCTGATGGATGATGCGGTGAAGAAGTCAACCATCTCAACATCTAGAACGGAAGCACTGAAAGATGGTGGCAGCATCATGTTCACGCCATCGCGGAAGGTGCTCCGTGTAGTGGTCAAGGGCTGAGGTGTCCCATCTAAGTTAAGGCTAACCGCAGCGTCCCGGAATACTGGCCTGTTCTCCGGAAGTGCAGGGAAGGCCAAAACTGCAACCTCCTCATAAAATCCATCCTTCGCGAGTGGTCGAGCAAGCATGACAGTACCCCAGGTTTAGTTGACGCGAATTCTCGTCCACACTAGCTGCTGCATCGGCTACTCGGTGGTAATGGTCCTCCTGCACCTCAATACCCCGGGGCGTTGCGCTTCCATCTAGTCCAAGATCTGTAGCAAGGGTAGGTAATCAAATCACTCTAACACATAACGACCCTGCCATGGGGAGTTCTAACGTCCAATTTGAAGACTAAAAATCTTCCACAGCTCGCGTCTGCGATAACCCACACATGGTCAGCGCGCGTAATATGTCCATCCATTGCCAGATGCCATGAACGCCGGCTGTAGTGGGTAATGACGCGGAAGAGATGGCATGAGCGGTAGGTATCACGCTATGAGCTGCTAAGTGTAGCAGCCAACAATATCTGTCTGTCATTATTCAGTCGTAATCCCGTTTGAAAACCCGAACGGACGCACCTGCGACGATATTTCCGGCGGGACAGGTCTTTATCCCCTTCTCTCACCAACCCTGGCAGTATTTCCGGCCCACCAAACCGTTTTCGCTCTTTTCAATTCAACAATGTGATCTTGTTCTTCCGGTCCGCCAAGAAGTTTGATTATTGTGATTTGCGTCCGGCATTTAATTTGAGCATGTGTTCAGAGTCACCCAGCGCTTGCTAGGGCCTTGCGCATAAGGAGTTTCAGCCCCGAGAAGAAAACTGCGAACACAAACATCTCCGAAGCCTCAAGGGGGAACAGGGAAGGACTCGAGGTGTAGCGGAGGAAAATTTTGATGCTAGTCGGCGGAGATGACACTCAAAGCATCTATCGTAGAATCAGCCCTAGCCCTAGCTCTGTTAGGAAGAAAAGGTACCCACTCAAAGATCCTTTCCCTGCTCCAAGCCATCTTTATCTGTCTTTCCTTCGTATCAAATCTTCCTCGCTTGAAGGCGATGCGAACTTAGTTGGTATTCAAGCGCCATCTCTCTCTCCCCCAGTAGAGAACACAGCCCCAGTTCATAACAGCCCTCTGGCTCTCCGGCCCGAAGAAGATTTCGTCTCAGTCTCCCTGCCATCTAGGCATGTGGTACAAACATTCGGCAGATGAGCCAACCCAAGGTCGAGAAGCAAACCCAGGGACGAAACCGCCACCACAAGGGAATAGAACACCATAAAGGCCTGACATGGATCTTGTCCAGGTTTGAAAAGTGATTACTCGGAGAGTCGTAGCATCCGGAAATTAAGTTCGGAACGCGGGCGGACACCAGCCAGCACTAGACAGAATCTTGCGACTATGAAATCAGAGAGATTTTCGTTTTCGAGAAGGATACAACGTACCAGAATAGAGGGCACAATTCTGGCTAACTCTAGCCATGTAGCGCAAATAGCACTGTAGTATGATCCTGGTACTCCGGAGGCTGACTCTGTCGGAAAAATCAGTTCAAATTTAACGCACGAGGCAAAATACACGCACCTTTCTCAGTCCGTCTTCCTTCTTCTCGAACCTCTCTTCTAACTATACCATACGGCCCAGATAGCGTTTTCCTTGTCCCGCAGTGCCGCCCGGTAATGCGATCTTGGCGAAAGAAGCACGGTCCGCCGTAGAAGGAGAAAATCGCTTCCGCCAGGGTGAAAGTGATGCGTACCGTCACAGGCGCGAGATACTGGAAGGGAAAGAAAAGAAAAGACCCACTGCACGATGGTGGTGGTCTTTATGAATGAAAGTAGAAAATCACAAGCCTCAAGGAAACACATGCCAAATATTGCTTTCTTGGGGACCGATCACTCATCCCCGCAATTCTCGACCACGCCCCAGAGGCGTTCTGGACAGGTGTTGACCTCCAAAAAAAGAACGAAAATCCTATACAATTGTGAAAGCACCCTTGGCTTCGTGGTGGATTTTGAATTAATTTCCGTCGGTACTTGTACTAGTCGAATTAACGGAGAAGAGTTGTACTTAAAGTTTTGACGCGGAAAGCACCAGAATGAATCCATGAATCGCGTAGGCGTGTATTTAAATAAAATATATTGGCTCGCTGTTTTATTTGAACGCAGTACTGACAGTTCGTTTCACCACCATTCACTTCCCGGACGCTTAGCCGTCGTTTGAGCTTTGAAGTATATGGGGGCACATGAGCAATATAATAGACAAGTTACAGACATAGAACTGCAAGAAAGTCCGAATAACTAGCGCTGCGCACTCCACGGCATACCGCTAAGGGTAATTAGCCGCATCAAACGGGCGCTGACCGCCAAAGTAGAGCGCACGAGGCTGGAACACCCTGATAATAAAGCGTGCACGGAGTCTGTTCTCCGAAGGACTTGACGACCGCATTCCAAAGGAAAGAAAGGTCCAGTAGATAGTTTGGATCCGCGTTAAAGAAAGTGAGATATTGGCTTAACGGAAATTTCAAAAAACGATAGAGGTAGGGTTGAGTTAGTGAGGGAAGATACTGCAAAAATACAGAGTAAGTCAGCCACGAGTCGCGCTAAGATAACCGAAGCGGGCGGCCGATCGTTGGTATATGGTTGCTTACAATTGGCGAATGCATTGTACAATGGTAAGTAAGGAGATTGGAAAACAATGTTACCCCGTTCGGTATGTTGCATCAGTGAGGGATCAGATCACTCCGTTTTTTGTGAATGAATTGATTTGGCCCTATCATGATGTATCTGAATGCCAAGTTCTGGCCAGGATGATGAGCTTTCTGCGGAATAAATGGACTGCGATGCAATAGAGTTACAGAGCTCGAGGCGTATGGCTCTATAATTCCTAGTGATACACGGCCAGGGCGCTTTGAAACGGTTCCGGGACCGGTGGGCCAAACCTGGAAGTGATGTTACGTACCGCTCGCTCCGAAACAGGTCGGCGGTCGTAGCATCGTAAAAAAAAACATTGTTTTGTACAACAAAGAGGACGCTGTTATCGGTTGTGATAATCAGGAGACTTGCGCACCCCACCGGTCTTTGAGAGGGGCGAGAAGACAGCACAGGGTTGGAGACAGGCTCAGAGAGACTAGACAGGGCTTCAAGGCTGCAAAGTGTCGCCATCAATTTCCAAACGCCACGAAGTGTGAAGGCTCCCCAGATGCACGTGGATTGTAAATGAGAATTCAGGACTTAGACAAGCCAGAGTGAGAGGGGCGATGATTTGCGCTGATGATAACAATGATGGGTAGCGAGATGATTACCCAAGAGAAGTATACCGAGGAGCAAAGTAGTAAGCATCTGACTTTTTCCACCTCAAACGCGCCGCGGTCGCGTACCGGATCAAAGGTAACGGGTAAATCTGCATGTGCGGCATGGCGCGTTGGTCGGCGAGCTTGTTTCCACGGATCCGTCAGTCTCTCTCCGACGATGGAAGGACAGTATACTCCGGTACCAAGGGACGTGCAAGGGCCGGACTTGGACGGATGAAAGGGAAAGTGATCGGTAGCATAATACTTCCGCAAATGGAAAATTGGCTTAGTCAGCAAGACATTTGGTCCCAATACGGTACTCACTTCTTGCTTACTGCCTCCACGCTGGGCGACGACAGGGAGACAGGAAAATTTGCTGGCAGAACGGTTCCAAGGTATACCGGTACTTTCTGATTGATCACCACAATATACTGAATGATTTACAGCTCCCCTTGTTGCAGTATAGGATCTCGATTGAAATCATCTTTACCTTTACCTGGGACTTTCCTGATTCGAATAGGTGCAGGGACAGTGTTATATAAGTAAAGTCAGTATTGAACTGCTATGTGTATACAGAAATACTTATCTTCCTGCTATGTCGTCTACCAGGTCTGCAGGTTACCGGCGTCGAGCAAGGACTTCATCCACGACGAGCACCGACTCGGCAGATGCACCGCTGGCTCGCGAACCTACTCTGAGTCCGTCGACACTACGTAGCCTGCAGCGCTCGCTCGAATTTACAGCGCTGGATCATCCATTCATTCTGCTTGACAGCCCGCCCCCTCCCTATTCTCCTAAGGGCTCTACTCCATTCCCCCCTCTCCATCCAGTTCTTGCATCCAGTCCCGGTTCCGACATCTCTAGCGGACCAAGTTCTCCGGATACCTCCCCAGAACCTTCTCCGACTCTCTTTACGCCTGCTTTTGCGTACCCCCCTGTCCTTCCACGACCGTCTAACGCGTCGCGGTTCCCACGAAAGAAGGTCAACTCAGCACCTTCACTCCACAACCCTTCGTGTCCTCCCACTCAGTTTCTGAGACGAAGAAGATCGGCTCCTCGCATGGCCGATAGCGACGATGACGATAGTCGAGACGAGGAAGACGACGAGATGATCTTCATGTCTCACTCCCCCTCTCATATCCCCAACAGGTCTCCCAGCCTGCGTTCTCGCATCTTTGGCTTCGCAAATGGATCTCCAAAAGTGCGGGACAGACTCATTTGCACAACACCCGGCCATATCGGGGCCGGAGAGACAGAAACCGAAGCAGATGAACCTGTGAGTACTTTCCACCAGTAAACATCACTTCTTCTCCATCTTGGCGCTTTGTCGGTTGATTTATTACGCCTCAGTCACTGTTGTTATCAAAACATGATACTAACTACATTGTCTTTTCTTAGCCTCATCGTCTTCCCACGTCACGAAAAAAATCTCTATCAAGCCCTCTCGTCCCACCCAATACACTTCAACAATCACTTACACCACTGCTCTTCGAATTTTCTCGGTTGTTGTCTATCGTTCCTGCAGTTGTTGGTGCCATCTACAACATATATCTATTCTCTCAGCCGCCTACTTCCCGTATCAATGGACGTGCTCCCCCTGAACGTGTAGACTACTTTATTTCAGCCCTATGGGTAAGTCAATTCGTTCCTGTGAACTCGGAGTCTTTAATTGATGCGTCACCACCAGGCTATATTGACCGGATGGCAGTGCCTCTGCCTTACAACCGGACTGTTGACCCGGTGGCGCCATTATTACCCGCCACTCGCCACACTTATCCGCCTCCTCGCACTCCAAGCGATCTGCTGGCCTGCAACCCATCTGACGCTTTCCATCCTGGAGCACGATAAACGACCCGTTATCGTATGGGCTATTGTCGGCACCACCACCTGTGCGAGCAGGAGTGTGCAGATTTGGGTCACGAGTAATCTTTGGCAGGAACCAAAAAAGGACGGCCCTGTCGTCAATGGGAAAAGTCATCCCGAGGAGAGTAGGAGCCTGAGATGGCGCGGGGGAAAATGGGGCGGGCGCAGGTGGGATTGGACAGCGGTCGGTGTGAGGTGCATGTTGCCGGCCGGAGTGCTTTATTTTCTGATGGCATGGGCTGAGCAATTGAGAAGGGAGTGGTCTGGATGCTAATTCAGTTGCTTTACCCCCCTTCTGATGTATATCGGGTTTCTTTCTGCTTCCACTTTTTACTTTCATTATTGCTGCTGTCTCAAAAAGTTTTTAGGTAGATCTTTCACTGTAACACCAGGGGTTAACTTATCGCATCGGACTTGTATAGGAGCTTATATCATAGATTCAGGATACGCATTTGTTGTCTGCCAATAGAAACGCGCAGATCTTTTACAGTCATGCCTGACGAACCTAATGGTGGTAGATATCTCGTTCAATGTACGGGAGCTAGCATTTTCGAATTGAAGTTCAGGTTCATCATGCCCTGGATTAAAGCACTAGCGCTCGTCATTGCCTGCCTCTTTGACCGGGAAACAATGTCGATGGCGGAGTAGCACCCTGTTCGCCATCCATTATTATATACGTGTGGGAAAGATAAGACGTGCGTGGAAAGGGATCAAACCCCAGGTGCATTGTGCGGCGTTATAAAAAATAACCTACCTCCTGTAAAGTCGGGACTCGGTTTGCTTATCTTCATCAGGGAAAAGGGAGGGGCAATGTGTGATTTGAAGATATCATGCATCATCAGAAGCGGGTGCTGTCTCTTTACTATAGAAAACCGATTTGTTCGCCCTGTCTTATATTTGAACCTGGTAGGGATGCTCGGAGGGCTGATACTCTGTTAAGACATCATATGAAACGTGCTATCAGGGCGCTCCAGGTACTTGGGAAAAAAGTGCGATGGCCAGAACCAGCTAAGCACTTATTATTGTACGAGGGCGCGATCGCTCGCCTGTCAAAAAGGCACCGACGTCGAGTCGTCCTCAATGATCATCCGTATACCCGCTTGCGATGCCGACGCGCCCTTGTTCTAGTACACTCGGCGAGTCTTCGCCAACTCGCATGTCCAGACCGCGATATGTTCGGGTTTGCAAGAAGTGGCCTATAGGAGAAGGTCGGTACATAGACACCCAGATGGATATGTGGTGGTATACCTGCGGCACTATCCGGGAGCCTCGCAATGGAACTGTCTCCATTCCGTGCTACGAGTGCTTGACTATCGATGTCGGTAGTAGACAGTGTATCTAGGAGAGATCAATTACAGCCTTATTGGTATGCAGAAGAAGCAGGTACCTCCGTATCGCTTCGCATGTCGATATTTGCCTGTTATTAATGAAAACATAGGCTGGTCGCCGTCTTCCGTTTGCTCACTTCCTCCGTTCTGTGCCTCAAACTGACCTAAAAATGTAATCAGCAGCAGGAAGTAGATGGATGAAGGGGGAACCAGACCTTGTTCAGCGAGGAGCTTCTCAAAATCCAAGATATACCGGCCCGTCCAGTTTTGTTCTGCCTGCAAGGCGATTTCGAGCTCGTATGGGGTTACAATCGGCCGCAAGAAATCCTGCAAAGATGGTTTAAAATATATTGTACAGATAAGGTCGGACTAACTTTGGCGTCGATAAGACTGTTTTCAGGACAGGCCACAAGAACGAAACATTCCACCTCAAGAAAATTGGCAAGTTTAGCCGGATTCAGTTTTCCGACACTAATGGTATAACTTTTTTTGTGCGCGCGTTTTAGAATCGCCCGAATGTGTTTGATTAGAGGAAGATAGTTTGCGACGCCTAATGTTCCGACTAGGATACCAAAAACATCCGCGTCTCGGGCTTTTTGAACAACGGCATAACGTCTCATAAGAAGCTTGTTCGTTCGTGAAGATTCCAAACGGGTAGTTTTGGACTCGGGATCATAGGATATCACCTAGATACGTGACGGGTCAACATGGCTTGGAAAGCGGCGGAGTGATATAGCACTTACATCGCAAAAGGAGTGGGTTATTAGTAGATTTGTTAAGCCCAGGCTTTCCCCACCAATGTAGAATATAGTCCATTTCGATGATTCGTCGTCAGCTGATTGGGGTTCATCAGTGGGGTTTATATGAGCTTGCGGGATGCCATCAGAGATCTTGGAGACAGTCGGGTCTGGATTCATCGGATACAGTTTGTTTGGAACTTCAGAGTACCGTATTTCGGTACTAAGGTATTGTCTCATTTTGTCGACAAGCTTCGCTATTGAAGGGGTAAATTTGGGGTGCGGAGACACAACACCAAACCTTGCCTGCTGCATGCGTATAGGCAACGTCATGACGAACAACAAAAACGTGATCTTGAGGCTCAGATACCATGTTCACGAGCTTCTCCGAGCAGTCATCAAGATCGATCTGTTTCTTACCAAAGACGTACATCACAGGCAAGCGGTATGTTCTATAGATTATCAGTTAGATGCACCGTCTAGTCCTTGAAACAAGCGCGACGAACTGGCTCATGCACGCATGCCCGTAGTGGACAATTGCAGTAGCGTCGACATGCTGAGAAGCGACCTCATCCACGCAGCAGCTATGATATACAATTAGACAAGGACTGCGCTTGAAGGGGTGCAACGGTAGCATGCCTGCCGTGGGATGTATCTGCTAGAATGTAGAGGTCTCGACTGCCGACTTTGCTCCTCAGACTGCGGTATATCCGTACGGAATCGTGAAGGAGTTCATCGGGAAATTGAAGAGCTACCTAGCCCTCGTTATATCTGAGTCTTGAGGAAAACTGGAAAGAAGAAAAATAATTACTCGCTGATAATCTCCCTTCGAAATCCATTCTGCTGTTTCATCAATGTCATAGTAATCCTCGAATCCCTGGCTTGATTCCAGATGAAGCGCAGTTTCATCAGGCAGCACGTCGACGACACGGGATATTGGGTCTTCGCTAGATGAAGAAAAGGTGGCCATCGAGGAAAAGAGAGGGGTTTCCAAATCCAGTGAAGGTTTTGACGCAAAATATGTCATTCTGCTAAAATAGAGCAAAATAGTTTCGGCCGAAAAGTGACACTGGATTCGGCCAACTTCTGCTGTAATGTCAACCCCCAAGGACAAGTACTACTGGACCCAGCTCAGGGCGGCATTGACAAGCGGCCAGTGGTCGTCGTCGTATCCATCGAAAGCTCCAAACGGAACTTCATTGTCCTGGTCCGAATTATTTCGAAAATTTAACAAGCATTGCAAGGGATACGAAGATGTCACTGAAGTAGCATCACAAACACATGCTCTGGCTCTCCTGCTTGTGGCGAGCTCCAAGGACGATGACCAGGACGACGCACCACGAACTGGAGATTATGCTTTGGAGCTGGGAGACGAGTCTGTTCTTCCAGAGGAACAGAAAGGGGAGGCACAGGCAGGATACAACATACTGAAGAAACTCGAGTCGTCAAATTTCGACGTGAGTATTTCTTTGTTATTACCTTGCGGCTTACCGGAAGTTTTCAAGACATTGAATTTTGCGCTGGCGTACTACGCGTATGCACTTGGGAATCCTACTGAGTGTCTGTCGCACCTAAACAAGGTACCCGACGTCGTCCACATCCAAAATCATATTCCTCTTCCCGAGACTCTGCACGCAAGTTCTTCAACACTACGCGTACCAAAAACTATCACAGCGATCGTCGAATCTTCAATATCCTCAGCTGGGGCGAGTATCATCACCGACGCTTCGGTTTCGATTCCCGAAATCAAGGACGGCCGCGCATGGGCACTGACAGAAACTTTGCGAAGTCTCTGTCTCCAAGGTAAGCACCATTGATTCTTAGAATGCTTTTCGTTCCTTATACCCCTTAGGAATGTCGTATGAAAAACTATTTCCTGAAAACTCAAAACGTGCTTTAGCATCCTATTCCGCAGCCATCCCTCTCCTGAACATCGTGGAATCGGAAATTACATCCGCGGTAGCTCCTACCTCCACCGGCAAACTCGATTTCACTTCGTTCACGCGCTTTCGAGAGCTATGGCGCTGGGTTGAACGTCTTATTTGGAGAGCCGTCATCCTGTCTTCGTGGACGTCCAATGTTCGCGATAAAGGCGCGTCATTGTGGACATGGTTGAACCATTACTCGTCTTGTAGTGCTTCCTGGCCCTCAAATTTCCGTACCGCCCATCGCTCCGCCATTTCGGTCCTTTATCTCCGCGCGCTGATAATTCGCTACGGCCATGACCCTAGTATCACCCCTCGTGCCAAGCAACCAGTATGGTTGCCTACCGCTCGATCTCTAGTACAGGAATACCGGGCTATCCTGAGTGTATCAACCAAATTTCCCAGGGCCGGGGAACGAAATACCAAAGTGGAAGAATTCGTAGATCTATGTGTCGGGATCTGGGAGGCTAGCGGTGCTGTGGGAGAGTCTACTAGTTGGGTACTAGATGTAAGCTTCCTCGGATTTTATTCTCATCTCCGATCTGATGTATTTCGTAGGTCCTTTGGTGGGCGACCCGTATGACATTTAACTCCTTCAGGATATTGCGGCATATGATGCGGGTCCTGCGTGTTTCTGGCGACATAAATCTTGCGAAGCGTACTCTTCGCTTGTACGTTCAAGTTGTAGGAAAAGCATGGCAAACTAGTGATGCCGGAGTAGGTGCCGACACGGACACGGATCAGAACTGGGTGGAAACCCTGGTCTATGGGATACGGATGTTATGCAATTTAGCTTCAATGGCCAATGGAATCGAGGGGATTGAGGACGTACGAGAAGCAGAAACGTTGGTAGAGAAAGCAAAAACCCGTTTGGACGAAAATAACCAGGCACTCGTTGCGAGCCTCCTTCTGGCAGAGGGCGTATGTCAGTCTGTGATGGCCCTTAAACGTATGCTTCTGATTTTCCTGTTCTTGGCATTATCCTCACAATTTTCGTAAGAGCAAGACCCGCACAGTCGTTCGCAGCGGCTCGTAACAGCTCATGCGCTCCTGATCCGTTCTTCCCAAACTTTTCCCACAGCATCTGCTTATTATCACCTGGCGTTATCCTTTGCGCGCTCCGGAGAGCTGCAAGATTTACAGCAGGCCATTGTTAACGCAGGATTAGCTGTTGAAGGTGACCCTAGGGAAGTCCGATATTGGCATCTGTTAGGACTTCTTTCTGCAGCGACTGAAGAATGGGAACCGGCTCAGATGGCCTTGGAATCAGGGGCTGCTATTGGCGAGGAAGAAGTCTCCGTTGTTAATGGGCCCTGCCCACCTGAAGCTTCCCAGATGGACCCAGACAATGAGTTACTTGGTGTCCCCTCGCCTACCACAGTCAATGGCAATGGCCGGGTGATTGATGGTCTCCCTCACACCGACGATGATCGCCACCCTGCACTCAATGGTACGAAGGAGGCTCCAGAAGTAAAGCCTGTATACCTCCTCGGCAAGGACGACCATGATATTCCCTCTGCTTCAAATTTGCTCCAACCCGTCCAGGATCATCCTTCACCCTCGCGGCAAGAACTGTTCGAAGACTCCTTGCAGCTTCGAATGACTCAGTTTGCGTTGACAGAAGTCGTCGAAGGTGCCGAGGGTGCTTCTCAGATGCTTCCTGAAATATTCGTATGGATCGCCGACAGAATGGGCCATTCTGTGACTGATACAGGTAAGGGCGCTTTTGTACTTGTCAGTGTCTCTTGTCGACTTATAATTTATCTCTGCCAGCGAGAAGCTCCCTGGATGGCGGGAGATCGACGATGCAGCTCAAGTCTCCGTCAGAGTTAATCCTTTCACCAACTGTGACTAACCCAGAAACGCTCGACCAAACTAGCGAAGAAAAGCGGCGACTCTCGATACCGCATTCTGGGTCTACAGAGCCGCCTGCACCACCCATACCTATTACCATATCTCCTGCAACTCCAGATGGACAATCTCAGGACCCAGAATATGTCCAGTCCATGGCTTTGCACGATGAGAAAGCTGCGAAACGGAGCGAGGATCATGAAAGGGACGCGTCCAAATCCAAAAAAGTCCAGAAAATGCTCAAAAACAGGGTCCATAAGAGCGGTGCACGGATAAGTAATATATCGAAGAAAATTGGTAGTGGAGTCGTGAGGAACGGAAGCCTGCTAAGATCCAATTCGGCACCAGGTAGATTCAAATTTTTGTTCTACACTTCTTCATTCATACATATCCTGCAGATTTTCATGCCGTACTCCGTCAGACCGCATATCAAGCATCATCGATACATTCTCGAAGACGATTGAGCTTGCTCATCAGGTCATCTGATTCTGTTCCTAACGAGTCACCGCCACCACCGCCCACACCTGCGCTGCCTCAGCAAACAACATCGAACAAACGGACCGCTCGTGAAATGCGGCTTCTGAGCGACCTATGGCTAATGTCTGCGGCGACTTTCAGGCGTTTAGGCAAGATCGAACAGGCCAGGGGTGCCATCCAAGAAGCGGAGGTCAGAGACGAGAATAACCCCGCTGTCTGGGTGCAGGTAGTCATGTCCCCATTATCCGGTCCCTCTGCATTACTGACCCTCTGCTTTAGCTCGGTCTGTATTACATTGCTCTTGGTCAATCGCAAGATGCCATCGACGCTTTCCAAAAAGCGCTGTTCATCTCCCCGGACAATGTCCCTGCTGCCGTCCACCTGTGCAGATTGTATCTCTCCGGGGAAGCACCGTCGTGCCCTACCATGTCGGACTATATTGACCTTGCGGTCGGTATGCTCTCTCGCCTGGCAAAAGGCCCCGGTTGGGATGTACCCGAGGTGTGGTATTTCCTGGGAAAGGCGTATGGTGCACAGTCCCAGCGTGAGCGAGAGCGAGAGTGCCTCGGTCGGGCACTGACGTTGTCAGAGCGACGAGGAGTGCGGGAGATAAGCGCTGCGCTAGGATGGTGTTTGTGATTAGTTGTTCTCCTTTCTGGGCTTTCTGGTGGAAATCGTCGGAACATATACCCACTGCGACGCGCAGTATTATAATTCGCTATCTTCTTCCCCGTACTATAATGCAGTATTTAAGTAGTATTTGGGCAACCCCGGTATCAACGAACAGGTGGTACTTGCATTTTGGTCCACGAAAGCGTGTTGCGAGAATTGGCAGCCAAACTCGTGCTTAGATGCTCAAGCGCTCAAATCCAGCTTGAGATTTGGAACTAAAAATCTCAAGGCTGAACTGGCCATCATTGGTGAGAACTAACAGTATGACGTCGGCCGCGATAGAGCTAAACGACAACTACAATTGGCTAATAATTAAACTGGCTTGGAACAATCTACATCGTACAGCCAAACATCAAGGCAAAACCTCCTTCTGTTCCCAGTCCCAGATGCGCCCTCGATGCTCTTCTCCTAGGTCGTTGACAACGCTCACAACCTTCTCCGCAGCATCGCCCGGCTCAAACAGCTTATCTTCACGCACTCCTCCCCAAAAGTCCTTACTCAGGTCCGTCTTCATCGTCCCCGGATGCATACCAACACAAATCGCAGGAATGTTCTTCTGCGCGAGATGCAAGTCGAACGTCTTGACGACTTGGTTCAACGCCGCTTTCGAGGCGCGATAAGAGTACCATCCTCCGAGGCGGTTATCAGAAATTGACCCAACGCGTGCAGAGATGTGTACCCATTTGGTGGGCCCGTTCCCCATGGATTTCTTCATCTGCGACGAAGGGAGGAAGCGGGAGAAGTGTTTGATGAGGAGAAGATGAGAGATGACGTTGATGTCAAACGTGGATTTGATATCGCCTAGGTCAAGATCCTGGGGTTGCTTTTCCGCATGCAGAATGCCTCCAGTAAGAAACGCGGTGTGGATGAATGACTCGTTGGGCGATTTGAGCGATGCCGCAAGGCTTTCCGCTGCATGCGAGATGCTACTTTCGGAGGTCAGGTCCAGAGGCAAGAGATTCAGTCGCGTTGGATCTACATCGAGCTGTGAAATGATTTTCTGCTTGAGTGTTTCTGGCTCGCCAGAGCGATGAGTCGCGTAGACGGGTAAAGTGGTTGTCTTGAGTAGGTGACGTGTCAGAGCGAACGACAGCCCTCGCGATGCAGGACAAACGAGAATAAAAGGCGAAGGCATTGTGATGAAGAGATACTTACAGCTTCAAGTTCAACTTGCCTTTTATAAGACTCTGGAGCTTATGACATATTATGACGCATAATTGGGGGGCAGATGGTGTAGTGGTTACCTCTGCTTGTTCGATTGTACCTCGTTCCACACAGAAAATATTTATTTTCGCACTCGCGAGTTCGAGCCCCCCACCCCCCAGAAAGTAACACTCTAGACACTTTCCGGGTTCTACCACTTCCGATATCCGAATCACGTGAAACGCAGCCTCCCTTTCCAAACATGATCAAGTCACGCACATTACCCCCTCTAAAATCACACGACAAATCTTATCTCTCCTTGCCATTCTAGGCATCGGTTCGAGGCCCTTCCAGTGATCTTTCGAATAAGACAGGGAAACGGAGTCGCGTGCCGCAAGGCTGCCGCCTGGTTGGGACCCAGGTGTAACAAAATGGAGTGGTGATCCAAGCACACCCCGGCCCGGCACATCGCCCCCGCATCAATTGATCACACTGTGTTGGTGATCTTGGCCGAGTAAGGCAGGTCTGGGAAAGAGAGACCGGAGAAGGACTGGGATTGATGGAGTTTGGTGGGAAGTAGGACTAGGCCATGAGAAGGGTCTGGTGAAGAAACGACGGTGACGGATAGATTGCGGCCATTTCTCGGCAGAGGTCAGGATTTCCCAAAGTGGGAAAAGGTGGCAGTGCCCGAGTCGCACCAAGTTATCGAGGGCGAGGGATAATTTCGTGCCATAACATAAGTGCACAGCTTGTTAAGCTGACTTAATCGATGACATCATACACACAGTAACACAAGTAGCTAAATTGGACCATACGCATGCGTAACCAATATACTTAGGATTTAAAAAAAAAAAAAAAAAAAAAAAAAAATGACGCATAATTTACAAGATCGGATCGCATCTTCACGTTTCAGTCGAGTAGAGGGTGCATTGCAGTAACTGTAAGCTAGGGACGAGATAAATACGTGATAACAGATGTGATAAAGTAGATGGTCGTGAGTAGAGATGGCAGATCTTGAGCCACAATAGTATTCAGGGATTCGGACCACCTTTTCCTTTATGACATGCCCCTAGCGAGAGGGCTAAGTTGTGCTGCCATATCCGGATAGTTTTTCAAGAATTCCAACTGCGATGATGTAGCCTGTTTAAATGGCGAGTATTGTCACCACACAGAAACGAGCATGGCGCAAACACTCACATGTTGGTACGTCAACGCGTTGATCAGCTCCGGCTCCGTCCTCGCAAGCTCAGCTTGTCTGATGAAATATTCCACGGCCTTGTCGAGGTGCCCTTGCTGTAAGCTGAGTTGGGCGAGCGTGGCGACGGCGGCATCACAATCCGGGTCAATTCGGAGAGCCTCGTTGCAGCAGCGCTCTGCCGGGCCAATATCTTGCTTCCACTGGTATAAGGCGAGACCCTTATTCACGAGAGGCAGGACATTCGGCGGGGAAGTGGTCCTAGGTTCACGTTAGCAGCAAGAACAATAAGTGCTCGTGTTTCAACACCTACTTTTTTAGTTTCTCCAACTCTATGGCTCGCTCAAACTTCTCCACGGCATCCGGGTACCGTTGTTGATCGAGCAGCAGCTCACCGCTAGAAGAGCGTTTTAGCCAGGAAAAGAAGAAGACAGGCGACTAACTAGTAATTTTGGGGTTCGCTTCGTTGAGGGAAGGCAACCATTGTCCGGCGGAACTGTCCCATACTTTTCGCGAGATTGTCTTGCTTGTACTCTGCCACAGCCAATTGTATGTGGCTGAATACAAACTTATCATCCAGTTCAGTAGACTTCGTGTAGTTGTCCGCGGCCTCCTTGAATTTATTGAGAATAAACAAAACTGACAAATCACGTCAAACTACGGAGTATGCAGGGAGATAACAACTCACCTTGGCCACGATGGTAGTAAATGTCAGGGTCATTAGGGTTTTGTTTGATTGCGTCCTCGAAACACTCGAAAGCTTTTTGAGGGTCTCCCTGTTCCATATACACACTAGCAATCTTCACCAAACTCTGTGTGAATGATGGGTCAATGTCGATTGACTGCTGAAGGTCAGACTTTGCGTCTTCGATTTCGCCCATGAGGAATCTGCACGTTCAATGAGTTCGGTACGTAAGAAAAGCTCATCAGTGCACGTACTTGAAGGTACCACGAAGGTTGAGAGCCTCCGCTTTTCCAATGGGCCAAGAAATACCCTGTTCGAGAGCTTCGTTAACCAAGGTCACCGAGTGAACATAATCTGACGCGTCGAGGGCCTGCAGGGCGAGCAGGAGTGTGTTATCGCCCTGTGACGGGTTCTCCGGAAGTGTCGGGTGCGCTTTGGGTCGGAAAGCGGCAAAGTAGGCTGAGATGAAGGTAAAGGAAGGGAGGCGAGGTTGCCGCTGCGCGAGAATGTCGGCTGCTTTTTTCGAAGCGAGGGATCGTAATACCCGTTCTACAGACTCTCCGGAAGACTTGTTAGTGAATTTGTCAAGTATCGTAGAGGCCGTGAAGTCGCGAAGGGCTTCTTCGTATTGCTTGAGTCCTTCGAAAGCTGTGGCCCTGCGGTTCATTGCTTTGATGTACTTTGGGTCTAGTTTGAGTGCCTCGTTGCAGTCTTCGATGACGAGGTCATATTTTGGAGGTGAGCTGTTCATATAGCCTACACAAATTACTGAGATGTGTTCTGTTCAGAAATTGCGAAGACATACACGCAGCGCGGTTGCTGTAGAATACGGGTTCAGCTTTTGGCGACACTTGGATCGCGCGAGTATATAGTTCAGCAGCCGTAGTGAACTGGCGCTGTTGATATGCTGCATTACCCTTTGCTTTGTAGGAAGTCGCGAGTGCTGTCCGTTCCTACAGCCTTCACATAAGACACAGTCGTCAACCGGACGTAAGATAGCACTGACCTCCGTTGACAGGGCAGCAATTTGCTCGTCATTCAGCACGGCGTCGTCTGGAGGACATCACGACGTGCAACGTTCAGATGAGTACGGTGCTCACCGCCGGGTTCTTCCTGGACTTTCGGCTTCCGTTCCTCCAGAATAGGTCCATCCTTGTCCTTGACGGACTTCTTTTTCTTCGTCCCTTTCGACGACTTCTTCCGGTCCTTTTTGTCGCCCTTTTCCAAGTCCGTCCCGTCTGAAGGCTTGGATGTTGAGGCGTAGTAGACAGCGCCGCCCACAGCGATAGCAGCGGCTGCTGTTCCAATAAGGATGGCCTTCTTATTCTCTGTGACGAAGTCTTGTACGCGCTCAACGAACCCGGTATTGGAAGCCATGTCAGTTAGGCGGTGGACGGAAGAAAAGAGCAGCCTAGAGAAATCTGGAAGCCGGAATTTTGCAGAGGGAAACCGCTGACATAAAACTGATGACGTCATGCAGTAACGTCTTGATTGTGTCTGCTTGGCAAACGTTGTCTGGGAGTTGTCTCAGTGAAGTCAGTAGTCGGCCTTCCTTTGCAAGGCACTCGTTGAGTTCTACCCTGTATGTTTTGTCTTCATGACATACCATTGGTGCTCATGTTTTTGGATATGCCACCAGATTTGTTTGTCTTCCACTTATTGAATAAGACAAGCATTGGCAACTTGAATAATAAAACACACGACTGGTAGTTTTTTCGACTGATGCCTAATCAGAACTTACATTCTTACTTCTAGCCTTTGCGTTCAACGCGTTGATTCATAAAGTGTGTTCTGAACATTTTTCTTTGACCGTTTAGCAATTGATCTCTTTCACAGAAATGTCATTCGACGATCAGCCGACTTTTCCTACAGAACGGATAGCCCCTCCTAGGCAGTTACAAACGAGATCCGACTACGTTCCTTCTGCTGCCGATGTGTGCCAGATAAAAGAAAGTCTCAGTGCCATTGAGAAGGAAGTTCATCGATACGACGATGAGCTTTTCCGTCTCTACACCTTGGTGGCGCAGCGAGAAGCTGAGCAAAGGGAACTCAAACTAAACGCGGAAAAATGCCGCTCCATTCTGGCGCCCATCAGACGCCTTCCAAACGAGATGTTGTCAGAAATCTTCGCCCAATGCTGTAAAGAAGGCGACGAAGACGTTAATTGCATGAGTGACACGAGGACTTTGAGCGCCCTGAGCATCTCCCTCGTCTGCTCTCGCTGGCGTACATTGGCGATTTCAACAAAAAGCCTTTGGGCCGTATTTTCCATCACTCCAACGGACGTATCCACCTTCAGTATGCAATGTCTCCGGATGTATATCTCACGTTCGGGCGATGTTCCACTCACTATCCAAGTCCCAAATACTTACGTCAATGTACCTGCCGCTGCACTAGCTGGTGCATCCCAGTTTTACAACGTTCTCCTTGACGCTGCTCCTAGGTGGCGCAAAATCGAGATAGCAACTATCTATTTTGGCCAAAGGCTCTCCCCCATCAAGCATCATCTCCAGAATCTGGAAGAGCTGAACGTTGATTCGGAATGTCTTTTCGCAGCTGATCCTGACATCTTCGTTGATGCTCCCAAACTTCGCACCCTAACCGTCTTTGTAACCTCAGAGGGTGTTTTCCACACATTTCCTTACCACCAGATCTCCGATTTGTCCTTGTGCATTCGGTGTCCCTATGCAAGTTTCGTCAATTTCCTTTCGAAGTTCCCTCGAGTACAAAACCTTGAGCTCGAAGGCTACCTCGACAGTAGTGGAAACATTCAAGGTCAAGCGAAGACCGATTTAACGACAGTACAAACACTCTGCATCAACATGGTTGATATGATTCCCTTCGTCGTCCGCGCCTTCACATTTCCACGCCTCGAATCAATCACGCTAGTCTGCAATGACACCGCACAGTCATCCCGGTTTATGCCTATATACCGACCATTTCTCGAACTCTTGGAGCCTTCGCACGGGCTAAAGATGCTGGTCCTCGAGCAAATCGACGTTGAGGACCAGGAAATGATAGCCATCCTAAGGCTGACACCCAGCCTTATCGAGCTGTCTATACAGTGTACTGATATAATCTTAGCAGAAATTGTGGAGGACTGTAAGACGCTGAGGGATGGTTTCGTTCGGTCGCTTACCTTCTCTCCGCCCATCATCCAATCCCAGAATCCTCCAGTAGCCAATTTGCTGCCGAAGCTCACGTCTCTTGACCTCGCGTTGAACACGTCGTCTACCATGCATGATGCCTTAGTAGATATGCTTACCTCGCGTTGGCATCCTCCCGCACTAGTGTCCGTGCATGAACGTGTTTCATGCCTGGACTCTGTTACTCTGCGGAATATTGTCAAGCCGGAACATGCCACGACAGTCAGTCAATTGCAGGATCGGGCGGGAGAAGAGCATCATTTCCGGTGGTTGGACTCCAAGGCGTTGTCTCTGACTAGGAAGCGTAAATGATTTCTAATGGGGATCTATGATTGAGTGCAACAACCTTCGTAGTTATAGTTGCGTGTACTCCAAACTTGACTACTTGGGTATATCTCACATTTGCTTTATATTGTACCCTATGTATATCCTGTAACAGTAAAGTAACGTACAGTGTATGAGAACGATGTGAACTACTGAACAAAATTCGGTGCGTCGTCAAGACGCTCCCGGAACAATAAACTGGGTATCTCGAGTCTCAGCAAGTGAATTAGTATCTAGACGGCTGGTGATCACCGCCTTCCCTTCATGGTCTCCCGAAACTACCTAGGACTGATGACGGTCGTAAGGGTTTGGCAGACGAGCTTCAGCTTCGTTATTGCGGGAGTCAGCTGAAGGTCTGGGACTATGTCGAGAGGGTCGAGGACTATGCCCACCAGAAGGCTGGGGACTATGTCCACGGCGACAATCTTCTGGAGGAGGGTTCGGCGAGGGATGACCACTAGGGTCTGGCGTGTACACTGGCGGAGGGGAGAAATTCTGGCCTCGACTGGGGGTTGGCGAATGCCCTTTGGGCCCCGTCGACATCTGGGGTGTCCTGGAGTACTGCTTCTCCCTGAGAGCTTGCTCGCGCTCGGCCTGCCGCTCTGCTAGTACGGCATTGTACTGCCGGTCTAGCTCTGCGTCATCCTCTGCGGTGGGACGCTTTCTGGGAGAACAGAATAGGCACAATCGACAGAGGTTAGAGTGGCCGCATATTGCTAGGCGTCGTAGGTCAGAGTCAAGGTACTCGATAGAAAGGAAACCGAAGACATACAGAAGCATGAGCAGCAACAGAAAAGAAAACTGCAGCAATCATTCGACATTGGGATAAAGAATGTGTGTTAAGAGAAACGGGGGGTTCTTGCTCCAGGCAGAAAGGGTCGTCGTGGAAGGCTGTAAAGTCTTGTGTGAGCTGTTTGCATCATAATTACGAAACATAAAGGCTGTGAAATAGCCTCGTGAAATATATTTATGCTTGGCGTCAGGATGCATCCGCCGACTCCCGAGATTTTTTTTTCGGCGTGTTACCCGTCACGTTCATTTCGTGTTTCTACATAGCTCTGCGTTGATAGTGCGACTGCGTGACAGGAAGGGGGCCAACAGGAAGTCAAAGTAGCAAGTATAAAATAATTTACCCTCGATTGTGCGATGTGGTGGTGACGGTATTTTTGGACCTGTTTAAATTTTAATAATAATATTTCGTCGATCACGCCGTGGCAGTGATTCCCTTTCTTAGAAGTTTCCTTCGTCATCGTCTACGACAGCGACGACGTGCACTGGCCCGACGTCGTCGTGAACAGCGACGGGCATATCTGCAAACTAAAATATTCTATCTCCTCGCCAAAGATGCCATTGTCGCGTTCCAATACTAGAGCTCAATCTCCATCCTGCTACCCGCCGTCGCCTCGACCCCCGAACTTTTTGCCGCCATCTCACTATGCTGCCGCTGGGGGCTTCAGTTTCCTCAGTAGACACGCTCAGCAGTCCAGCACGGAGAGCGATGGGGTATACCGTCCCGTAGAAGCCCCTTCGTCGCCCGACATATACATGCCAGTTTCGCAGCCAGACTCGGATTCCTCTTTCGAATTCCAGCCTCGTTCGGACAAGCGATTTACAATGATGTCGTCGAAAAACAAATTTAACAAACGCGAGAGCCAGATGGTGAATCTGCCGTTGGTCGAGACGCAGCTGCTACCGTCGTTGCGGGATACCATTGACAAAATGACGCGCCCACCGTCGCGTGCAGCGACCTCCCATACCACGCCTTCTCCCGCCCAACTTTCTGTCAAGAGCTTTCATGTTGACAGAATGTTATCTCCAAGCATTACACCATCTTCGCCACGTTCTCCACGACCTGTAACCCCTCAGCCGCCGTGTCCGGAGCCCATAGAGGAGCCCATGACACCCAAGGCAAAGCCAGCACTTAAATCTGCTTTACGTGCGCCTACTCCCAAACTTTTCCCGCCCAAGACTCCCGATAATGCCGAGTCATCGTCACCGGGTTCATTTACTGGAGCGAGTGCCCTCAGATCTGTGAGAAGTTTGCTGCGTCGGAAGTCTTCGACAACGTCCTCTACAACAACATGTGAATCTGTTGTACCGAAACCTATAGTCAAGGTACGTTGCTCATGCTCACCGACGTACATCTGTTAACCACCGCCGTTTGTAACAGACTGAAAGTAACATACCTATCAGACCTTCCCGCGCACGATCTCGGACAGATCCTGGCACGTTTCTCAATCCCAAAATTAGTCAAGATCCTCCCTCGACACCTCAGCCCGGAAAGCCGAAAGCATTCGTATCAAATATTCCCCGACCCAGAGGAAAGTCACCGGGTAGCGTCCGATTTCGAGGGCAGTTCACTGATGAATCCGATTTTGAGTATCGTTACGATGCACAGAAACGCAGTACACGCAAACTCGTCGTAGCCAATGCCGAGGTCTTCGCTTCAAGTTCAAGCTCTGAGAGCGAGGCCGAACCATTGGAGGCTGCAGGCGATGTTCTCGTTGCACCAAACCATATGCGAGGGCTCGGTTTTCGATTTTCACCCGAGGTCACGAGAAAAAATCGGGACGAGGGCTTTGAGTCCTTCATGACCGAGGTCGTCTATGAAAAACCAAAGGAAGATGAGGCCAGGCAATCCATCATTTCATACGCATCATCGGACTCGGAATATCAGGACGAGTATGACGACCGTGACAATGAAGACCCCTCTGTTGATGCCGAGGGCACAGATCAAGCTCATCTTCGACGAAAGGCAGAGCTTATGGGTATTGTCAAAGGACTGCAGTTTCCAAATGCCGGCGAAAAGAAAGCCATCTATGAGGAGAGCGACTATAGCGGCGAAGAAGGTTTGGCTATCAGCGGGTCGACGGAGGTCATCAAGCATGATCTAGAAGACGGTCCTGTTTCGGAATCTGAATATGACGAGGAGGACGACTATCAAGATGATCAAAGACGAACTCCTACCGTCCTAGTATCTGCTGAGGACGACCGATCTTCCCAGTCGCCTCATTTTCCTTCTTCTCGATTTCATACCTTGTCCAAATCGTCCATCGAGAAGAGACCTTCTGAATCTCCCAGGATCGACAAATATTATCAGGACTATGATTCGCAAAGCTACGAGGCTGTCACATTGGCTGAGCACTCACGAATCGCTGCCGCTCGGGAGCGCAAGGCTTTCGGTATCCCTCCATCGGAGTCAGACGAGGTGTATCAAACTGCTAGCCGGGGAACCCAGGAGGTGTTGTCCCATGCGGATAGTATCTTGTCTGCGATGGGTAGCGAAATCTGGCATAATGACGAGTGCGAGGAACTGAGCTCAGGAGCGGAGGCTCTGTTCCGTACTCTCAGCGGAGGACGGTCTCGAGAATCCTTTGGGCGGAAAACCCAGCAACAGCAGCCACGCTCAAGCGTGGCCGAGCCAAGGAAATCACGTTCAAAATCTACCAACGGAGGTCAAATTGAGGAACCATTGACAAGGCAGAACTCGTCGGAGTATGGCGCGCCTCAAGTCCAGCACAAAGAGTCCGAAGTTCGCCGTCAAGAAATCTTATGGGAGCTTCGGGAGACGGAGGCAACCTTTGTTCATCGCCTGACGTGCATTGTCAGACTGTTCGTGCTCCCGCTTCGTGTGCAGGATTCAAAGACGTGGATATCAGGCGTACCCTCTGGGATTGCCAGGCTGTTCGACTGGCTAGAGGACATCCTAAATCTGCACACGCAAATCCTGTCCGCGTTACAGTCTATGGGCTCAGATCAACATCTTGTTATCGAGGGACGTGTAGAGGGTTTACGGGAGTTTGTCCCTAGGTTGGAGATCTATCAACCGTACATGGTGAGATTGGCCGAGGGCGTGGAGCTAGTTCGAGCTCTTGTTGGAGACAGGGACAGTGAATTTGGTGAATTCGTCCGACTGCAAGAGGCGACAAGTGATTGCAAGGGTTGGACCTTGGATAGGTTCCTGGTCGAACCAGTGAACAGGATTGCCGTGTATCCTGGTGTCTTTGAGGTGATCGTTTACTGGTTAGACTATGTTTCCGGAACTGATGCGTTTTTGTAGCGACTTTTGGAAGCGACACCCCGGACGCATCAAGATTATCTACCAACCCTATGTCTCCTACGGTCAACTGATCTGATTATCAAGGTCATGGCAGAGGTCAAGCTTCGGGAGGATGAATATGAGTTCGTCAAGAGTATAACCGATCGCATTCCTGGCCTAGCTGAAATTGCAAGACGTGATCGACGACTTTTGCATCAAGGTCAAGTTCGCCGGATTGACTGTGACGTCTCTTCGTCTACACAGGTTTCTGAATCTCTTGGTGATCGTTTCCAAAATCGCTCCAGCAGACTGGTAACTGCTATCAATGACTGGGATGCGCGTCGTGCGCGATCTGATTCTGTGAAGTCAAACGCTTCTTCTGCGACTGGCTCGTCGATTGGAGCGGCTTCTACTACTAGTTCTTGGGATATGCCTGCTTCACCGACGCCGGACTATTCTTCCCTTGACTCGAAAGGCGGCAAAAAGAATGTCTCCAGACTTCAAGCGACACGCTTCCAATCAAGAGCTACAAAGAACGTTCCGCCAGTTACTTCTGATGTTTTGCTGCAGCTATTTGTCTTTACGGATCTCTTGGTCGTCACGATGCCGACAGAGCCTGGGAGCTGGAACCTCTGCGAAGATGTCGGTGTGGTTAGAATCCTGGGCATCCTCCGCCGAAGGTTAGTGATACTTTTTATACTGGTCGTTCATCAACTCACCCTATTGTAGAGCCGTCCATGATCTCGCTGCAAGTCCTTCCTGTGACCGATCTCGCCATCCTACAGAGCAAGTCTGTCGATATCGTCTCCTCAAGTGCTGGAATCGCTACGATACATATCAATACGGAAGTGGATGAACGGGCTCGGTGGCTTGAGGCTCTGGAGCGCTGCAAGAATTCTACGCTGAGGTTGATGTCCATACCGCTTGGGTTGGAGTATGACGACGACCGATTACAACGCACGGTTGTTGATTCACTAGTGGCTTCGGGTCTTCCTATCCCGAAGAGTCCTTCCTTACAGTTGGTCGGGAGTGAGAAACGTCAAGAAAGAGAGGAGCGTGGGTGGTGGTCGTTGCGTTTTAGGGAGGTTCTGAAGGACGTAGTGGGACGGGAGCTGAGCTAATTTGTTTTTATGAACTGAATGATATTTTTGCATGCAACAAATGCCTGGTTAAAGGAAAAGTGGATAAAATGTATTTAATGAGCTGAAATCGAGATACTTAAGTCGATGCTGCTGCGCATACCTATACTACGGAGAGCTGTGAAGGTTTTTCTTGCGGTTCCACTTTCTCGTGAAAATATGCCATTCCATCATTAGCAAGCTGAGCCATCCGTGATCCATAATCTACTGTACAATATCGATAGCAATGTATGTGTGCAAAACCCAAGGGTAGTCGTAATCCGCCGGTATAGAAAATTGTACAATCATAGCCTACATATTCATTGACTTTCATTCCTTCGTTCATCAACAACTTTCTGCATCCACCGCATCAGGACTGCCTCCAACATATCTTCCCACCCCTCACTTTTCCCTGCTACGACTTTGGCATCAAACGTGATTGGAGGCTCCGACGTGCCACCAGAAAAGCGAGTCTGAGAGGCCTGGGGCGAGCTCAAAGGCGAATTTCCCGGCCCACTATGGTTCGGCAGTAGTACCTGCGTAGGAACGACGATGGGAAGCATATACCGCAACTTTAGGGCACTATTGGCACCCGTCAGCATAATTCAACCACACTCGGAATTGTACGCACCCAACCCACAGACGTAGATTATCAGTCCGTCGGAAGGTCCACCCTTTCTTGGGGCTCTCTGGATCGCCCGACTCCTTCTCGGCCCTTTCTAGAGAAAGTATATCATGTATGCCGTCCTTGTTCACGTATCCCCATGGTTTCTTTGACTTTCGGACGCCGACATTATACGCAGAGCAGAGAAGTTGGCCAGACGATAGACTGTCGAGGAACGCCGATCGAGGTGATACTGGGGCCAGAGCACCTTGTAACGAAGGAGGAAGAAGAGCGGCAAGCAATGCATGAGCACGACCTATAGCCAGTCAGTTCGGCGTCACACTGAGGAAAAACGTACAAACCTAATTCATCATCCTCGAATGCATGTCGCTTGGCCCACTCGGGAAGATCCTCTTCGTCCATGCTGTTTTCAGTCTCCTCAGCGATATCTTCTTCCAAGTCCTCAGGCTCCTCGGTGATACGGACATCGAGTATACCAGTCGACACTCGCCGCTTTCCCGCAGAGATAGGATATAAACCAAAACCTTTCCCTTCGGCATCTCCAGCGCTCACTCTCCGCTTATTCCCCCGCACAGCAGCTTTACGCGCCTTTCGCTCCCATCCGCGAGAATCGTCTTTCCTGCCTTCGAACAGCACTTCGTCCACGACATCCAGGTAAGACCCAACAACCTTCCGTTCTTTCTCCAATTCTTCCCATTTCACGTCCTGCCGGTACAGCCAGCCACTACCAACCACAAGCCTCTCATCCCAACGGTCCCTCTGGTCATCTTCCTCACTCTCTGATTGTTCGTCTTCATCCTCCCATACAGGCACGCTTTCATATCTGCCTTGAACTTGCATCAGGGTAAAGGAGACCGTTGTATCCGGGTCCACCTCGTGTACATGCAAATTGTCTTCCTCTGAAGGCGGCTTATCAGACCCCATACTCGGACTAGCCACTCTTGATGGTGGTCCACCGCCATTCCGCGAAGTGGCACCCTCACTTTGAGCATCGTATACTTCATCGCTGAGCGGTAACCGGCTCTCCTCCTCTAGCTCCCGAAGTACGGTCAACACCTCTAATGCCGAGCGTCGGATGAGTGTCAAAGGATCTGGAGTCGAGCCTGATTGTGACTGGGAGGGTAATCGTGTAGCTCTAGGACCAAGAACCTTGGAACGGAACTGGGCCCGTATGGTACCTGCAGATTCGTCCGGTAGAGAGACGACATAGTTTCGCACCGCACGAATGGCGGTTGTCGTAGTTTTCAGTACGCCGAGCACATCGAACGATTCTCCTCCTAGAAGTTCGGAGTTTAGCGGGTTATCGATCCGCCATGCACGAGCGACGGCCGTGAGGTCTTCAATGACGCCCGGTAATAAGGATTCCGGGTCTGTCTCATAAGTCTTGACGAAAGGCGGGAATGCAGGGCCGTTGGAGTCTGGTATTACTGGTGTGGGTGGTAATCTAAGTTCAGGGAGGCTACCGAGACTAGAGTTATTTCGTATATGGGCTTTGCCACCGATTGCAGGTACCAGACCCTTCACAGGTTTTCCTAAATTACTAGACGAAGTCAGTAAACAGAATGATAGACCCCCCAAGGCACGGATACAATTCAGTTTGCTCACTTCTTCTTGGCGGCAATCCCTGTCTTCGTGAAATAATATTGCAGGTGTTCGATGCTCCCCAGCGCCATTACACTCTGCCGCTTCGCAGCACTCCGACTGAACGGTTTCTGCGGTTTATTCGATGAATTCATATTAGGATAAATGGCAGTTTGTCGCCTCGATTTCTTCATGGCTGTATCCGTTGAAATTGGTTCGGGTGATGTCCCTGTGGATTCTGGGGTTAGGATCAATGGCGTCGTTGATGTCGAAGAATCGGAGGCCATAATTAAATAAAATGAGGGTATCAGAATGCAGAGTCGTGAAGGGAAGAATTGAAGGTCGTCCGGCGTGGAAGTGCGGAATGATGATTGTTGTTTGCCATTTTCTTGTTTTGGTCAAAATGCGATTAAAATCCGCAGCGGTGCCCAGGCGTTTTTGCCGGATATTCCTCATATGGCCGAATGCTCACTTTTTCGCACAAAAGTCCACGTGTAGATCCCTTAAATGGAGACACGCATCTCCTCCTAACTTCCATGACGAAATCCGATGGTGGAAAAAACAAGCATCCACAAGCATCTTTTGGGTCAGCTTTACCCTTGATATGGCTCCAGCTAGGCTCTCGACTTTTTTCTTTTCTTCTGAACCAAGCTCTGCTTCGTATGGCCACCCCCAGCGCGTTCGGCACGGCTGCAATTCAATTCGAGCTCTTATTGAATACCATCTTATTTCTCAGTCGGGAGGGCGTTCGGATCGCGTTATTACGCGTCAAAAAGTCGGGGCCTAGCATAACTAATGTATCTTTTGTCCCCTTCTTGTTGGGGTGCCCGGTAGCTCTCGCAACGTGTTACCTCTACACCAGATTCGCTGGGGAAGAGACGAGTTCCCAACCATATTTCCACTCAGCTGTAATCTTCTATGTTATCGCTGCTTTGCTGGAACTGCTTAAAGAACCGATGCACAATGCGTAAGATTTGATGATTTACACTGTCGAAATGCATTCAAATTGTTGCATCATAGAACGATGGCGGATCTGAACACTGGAATCAGATTGCGTGCTGAGGGTATCGCTATCGTCGGCAAATCTGCCACTACTTTTTTTGTACTCCTTCTCGACCCTCATAGGGACGATAGCCGTCAACACAGGGCTCTTCTCGCTTTCGCTTTAGGACAGACTTTTTACTCCCTCTGTGTTTGGGCTATCTATGCTGCCCACTATGGACGCCAATATTTGTATCCGAAACGTCCTCCCAAAAATGAGTGAGTCCTTATATCATATCGCCTTCACTCAAGCCTAATTACTTCCAGTAACTTCTTCGACCCTACAATTCTCAAACTCTCCGTGACCATGACGTCGCAGTCGGTAGTAAAGCATTTCCTTACAGAAGGTGACAAATTGATCTTGTCATGGTTCAGTCCCCTGCAGGATCAGGGAGGATATGCAATCGCCCTGAATTATGGTAACCCACCTCACTCAGTTACTTCCATGTCATATACTGACTCTCTTCAGGTTCTCTCATTGCCCGCATACTGTTACAGCCTCTTGAAGAGACATCCCGCTCTCTCTTCTCTCAACTTTTGGCTGACAAGGACGATAAAGGCAGCTTAGCTATGGCTTCCAGTGGACTCATCTCATTTCTCTCCGTCCAAATACCTATTTCCCTCATCCTACCAGTATTCGGACCTCCATTTGTACCCCTAGGCGTGCAATTCCTACTACCACGACAGTATCTGCAAACGAGTGCGCCAGAAATACTATCCACGTGGCTCTGGTACATCCCCATACTGGCTTTGAATGGACAACTCGAGGCCTTCTTTGCCAGCGCAGCTGACTCGAGAGACCTGAACAAGCAGAGCACGTAAGTATCTCACGTCTTTCACGCACACACTATTTCCGTTGTTGAAACTCATTTCTCAGGTGGATGGGAATATTTTCCATCATATACACATCGCTTGCTGTCGCTTTGTACCGCCTGGGAGTCGGTGATGCGTCCCTGGTGTATGCAAACATGATCAACCTCGCGGCACGGATTATCTACGCCATGATTTTCATTTCGGCCTTCTTCAAACGTCGCGGCTCGCCAGAGCTTCTCCGATGGACAGCGCTCATCCCAAAGGCACTTTTCTGCAGCGCCCTTGGAGGATCATTTTGCTTGCTCCGGCTGCTTTACAGTCAGCTAAGGATAGAGAGGATCATCGAAGAGAATGGAAGGGCTTCACTATTGAATCGAAACGTCATCGTGTTTATTCTTACAGGTGGCTTCTTCGGGCTTTTGTGCCTTGGGATACTGTGGAGATCGACAAGTGAGGCTCGAAAGCAGCTCAGGTCTAGGCGAAAGGCAGATTAGAAACTCATGGCATCGTATCTACTCATACTACAATACATACAGAAATTGTCTATATAGTAGAACAAGTAGTTTGCAATATAGCAAATGAGAAGAAGTACTCGGCCTCGACGTTTACAAGGTACCAGTCCCTATGACCAACAAGCACATGCTTCAGAATACAAATCCCAACCGTTCCCCCAATTAGGGAAATGCAGCTCGCAGCTCGCCAGTTCGAGCCAACTTGGACACTGAGTACATTCGATGTTTTTGCCAGGTCTGAAAATACCGCCATATGCCTGCCGTGCATCGTCGGCGTGTTTGGTACAGAACGCTACAAGTCCGACCAGAGGCGGCAGTGATTCACGGCGCTGGCTGTCATTCACTTAAGCGATACAGCTGTGATAATTCCATTCGTCCATCATCCGAAGCGTCGGGTACTGAGTCCAGCGCTCGATGTACGTCAGCTGCCTCTATCTCCGACTACTAGGTTGTATACCTACACAGGACTCCTTGGCGAAGTCCAGAGCATTGCATTGCTATTCTATTTGCCTCTCACACTGTATAGGTTCCGTGAGTTAATGATAGAGCACGGGAAACTGTCTAGGCTACCTCTTGAAGTAGCCCGGCTTTCACTGGCTGTCAGATTAAAAACGCTATCCCCCCGCGTATTGGGTAAACTTAGATTTTCGAATTGAATACGCCTGGTTGGAGGACCCAACAAAGCGTTTTGTGGGCGTAGTCAATACAAAAGATGCAACAGTCAACCACTCAAACTTCTGAAATCGTTGGAGATAAGTGATAGTGTACAGAGTAAGTAGCTCGACAAACTATCCTACAAACGATATATTCGCATTTGGCAACCTTTGACCCGCCCTGCAACAGCGAACCCATAAAATAATATATCTACAATACAGATAAAAAATATATTAATGCAACGTGACGATTCATAGTCTAATGGTTGGTTGATATCATTAGTATATCATGTCCATGTCCTGGGACTGGAACAGCAGTGGTGAGTATGGTCACCTTGCATACGAAGCGCGACTCACCCGAAATACTCCCCCTCGGCAACAGTACGCATAGGTATCCCTTTATAATCTGCGGTACCAGACACAACAGCATTTCCCCACCAAGACTTTATGCTATGCTCTCCGATCTTTCCTCCCATTGGGTAATTCAAACAGAAATATATCGCTACAGCGGAAAATGCCACACCTCCGTCCAAGGCAGCGGAGAGTACGTAGTTGTATTTCGTCCACCACGAGAAGTGATACCGGCGGATGTAGAACTGAAAAAGGAATCCGACAGCAGCCCAAGGCACGTAGTTGACAGCGCTCGCTGGAGGCATGTATCCCGTCCCAGAGAAGATGATAGGAAAACTATAGAAAGAAAATGTTATCGAATGTGCTGTGTCAAGGAGCAACAGTACCCTACGTCAAATAAGAGAGCCACCCGTTTCTTCGGAATTTACGACTGATGTAGTAAGCAATAACCGGACAAACGACGCCGATAATAAAGCAAAAGACCAGGGCTAGAAGGAAGAATGTTTCAGAATGTATCAGGGAAACCAGATGTATCAGGGTGAGTTACCGTAGTAGATTTGGCCCCTGGATAGTTGGCGTGAAGGGCCAATAACGCCCCAGACGACGCTTGCCGTACCAAAGACTTCCGTCGAAGGACATATCCAACCATCTCTCTGTTTAGGCGTACATATGTCCGCGATGTTCGCAAATAACCAAGTCTGAACACCAAGTTGTGTGGTACCAGCAATAACCGCGGCGAGAACTTGGGCTAAAAACATTACCCGTGGAGGGATCTTCATGTAGTGGCCGAGCTTAAAATCCGATGTAAATTGCAAGGCTGGAGGGAAGTTTCAGACCGGAGCTTTGATATAGGATGGACGGAAATCGTACCTTGGGTCATGGTAACATAACCGTATGTCTTAAACAACATCATGGAAACTGGACGACCCGGATGTGCGAATCCAATAATCAGCTCGGTAAAAACGTTGAGAGATATTTGCTGGTTAGTGATAGCCTGTATAATCCCGACAGGAATAACATAGAGAAATGCTATACCACTGTTAGACGGAAAGAAATTTTAAGACCAAGCGAAGGTACCACTCACAGATGACCAAAGCAAGAATAAAAAAGTGGCTAGAGATCGTGATATGAGACTGCGGTATGAGAGTATTAAGAAGACATACATAGGAAATTTTGTGTCCCACAGCTCGATGCTTACGGCACCGAATATGAACATAGTAACTAGGAAAGTCGATTAACATCAAAAGGAGCAGATATAGCTATAAACTCACTAAATACTAATGCATACCACCATGAAGGCACTTGGGGATAGTACGACATCAAGCGCGCATGTATATCCGGCTGTTCTTGTAAAGAAAGCCGTGAATGCCGCATGATATGGGCGCGAAAGTAAAGGCTAGAAAATGATTAAAACAAGCTTCATCGAATGGTTGATAGACTACCCACAACGAGTGGGTGACTGTGGCAGTTATGCTTGCGAAGGACAGTCCGTACGACATAGCAAATGTCGTAGAGAGGAAAAGTGGACTATAAGCTTGGTACTGTTCTTCATTGAAGGTTGTATCAGGATTGATAATCCTAGTCACATTGTACGAAGCCCCGGTATTGTCGTACGCTCCCCGAGACGAGATCCTAGAACATGAAACATCAGATGGGGGTTCTTCGGGGAGCAAACGAAAACTCACGGCATATATTTGCCGTACCATACATCCGTGAACTAAAAATGATAAGCATGAACAAGCTATGGTTAGGCAAACAGCGATTGGACGGACGTGCAGTGCCGGGACGATGATCCCTACAACCCGATCAGTGGACGAAGAATACCAAACCGAGAACAACGCACAGTAAGCAAGCACAAAACCTGCAAAAACATTGGCTTCGGCCCACCACGGAGTGGCCAAAGGCGAGCTTATATAGGCAATCTGCATTCTTATCAGACATATCGCTGGTGATACATTTTCTAATCCTTACCTGAGCCCAGTCGAAGGTGATGATACTCATGCCCATTCCATGCACGTACCCAAACATCTCGTTAATCGGTACGCTGTTCGGTGCCAACCACGTCACCCATGTGAAGGTGCTGAGGGCGGTGAAGAGATAACCAGGCACGAAGTACCAGCAGAAAGAGCCAATGAAAGCGTAGAGAAAGAAGGCCTCACGGCCGATTCCTGCGCGGTAGCCGATGCCCGCGTAGGTGTGCGCATGCAATGTATTGAATAGGGCGCAGGTTACGAGGTTAGTTGGCCAGACTGTAGCGCAGTGATCAACTAATTAGTAACAAAGATATAACGATGACGCGCACTCATGGATGGTGGCTGAACGAGAAATCGACGGGCAATGCCGCCAATGGAAAATCCAATCAGCTGAGTGGACATTATCATCATCCATTGGTCTTTAACAAATGATAAGCATTTGTTCTCAATTTTACTGATCCAACTCACGTCCAAAGCCGAAGTCTTGATTATAATAGAGTCTCTGGACGGCAACGATGTCCGTGGCGTATGCGCTGCAGGCACCTACGGTTGCCATGATAGTGATCAGGACCTGCAAATAGCATTGAGGACGGCGGATAGCATCAACTATCAATGTCAGTCTCTCACATGTTCCTTGATTGAGAACGGGCCTGGATTCAGCGGAATCCCGAGCACTTTCACTCGAGGGACAAACCTCGCCAGTGCTCTGCCAACGGGGAAAACCGTCAATTGTGCAAATATCTGGAACAATACAGCGTCAAAAGGTGACTATGGCAGACGTTTTGAGAGCAAAAGCGTACTCCAGTAAGTGTGAGAGAAGGATATCGAAAGAAGAAAAATTGGTTCAGGCCCTGGTTGAAGAAGTAGTTAAAAAAGTCCTCTCTCAATATATTGATTGTCGCAATTACCGGGATGATCATCGCCCATATAATACCAAGCATCCATGACCGCACGGTTGATACGGGTATTGACGGATCGTCTGAGTTAGCAACGGCCGAGCGCACTTCTGGATAAGGGGAATCGTCCTCTAAACGATGATCATACAGACTGGTGAGACAAGTAGCAAGGGGGGCAGATAGGGAGGAAAGATGTACCAAAGACAGAGGCGTGGCTTCTTCTGGAATCCGACTCCTCCTCATCTGCTATTGATTCTATTGGTGTCTTTTCAAGATTTGGATCATCAAAGTCATAATCTGCGTTCTTGTTGATGTCCGCATTGTTTGAGTGGAAACTGCTGCTCTCGACAAACTTGAGGGAGCCACCATCCACGGCTGAAATCAGGCACATGATGAAGAAATTCGTCATTAGGGCACCATGGGAAATTTTATGGGTACCACGCACCTTTGATACAATCCTCAGCATCCACGAACACCGTCACAGTACTCACCAGCTCTTTCTCTTCGCCACCGCTAAGCATCAGAGAGGACGGACCGACAAAACGGATGGCAAGGTGTAATATCCTATAATAGATGCCAAGTATAGGGTTGCCGTTGATAAGAAGATCCGAGGTACCGATATTTGCGTGGCGTTCCTGAGGCGCAGGGGCAGTGACCGTCTCACCATTTCAATGGGTTCACAATACCGCATCTCGGCGGACTATCATAAAGCTGAGAAAATCCAGACCCGGGACTTTTAATATACGGAAAATCCTGGAATCAGGGCCGGTACGGGACGACAGGGAGAGAAAGTACGATGCGATGCGATACTATTGTTGATGCATATTTTTGATCATCATGAGTGAAATTTCGAAAACGCTGAGCAAGGGTAAACGTGATTTAGACGCTAAGGATCCGAATTGAGATGACACAGGCGATATGCTCGGATACTCCGTATTCGATGAGTTTGGTATTGACATCGGTATCAACGAATGCTCGAATGTGCTTTTAATGGGGGAGAGAGCGGAGTGGAAGCTGTGGAAGATCCAAACAGGGTCTAGTTTTACGGCATCGTTCGTACCGACGTCAAATTTTGATATCGGAGCAATAATTGAGCGATCACTATACAATTCAAAAAAGCCATCTTTTTAGCAGCTCTGTTTAACTTGAAGTTTGTACAGCTGGGAGGGGAAGACGGGAGTGAAAAAACAGGCTAATGAAACGCCACATCACGTGATGGCGACTGCGTATATTTAAATGTTATTTCCGTGCGATTTGCTTGGACCGGCTCGTACTACCGATGCTAAAAATCAGAAACGACGTTTCGAAAAGTATGTTGCCTACCAAAGTCAAGGATACACAAATTTCTGGTCAGAGGGTCGCTCAAGGAAGAAGCCGCGCTGACCATATGGCCCTTCAATCGCGGACTTGAAGTAAGTATCCGAGAGAAATATAAGGCTTCCCTAATCTGGTGCTGTACTTCGATTGAAGGCTCAATATCAAGTATATTCTTTGACTTATAAAAAGTTGTACTTCTTGAAATTTGGGAATTATATGGTAAGGAAGGCATCGATGAGCATATAATGTCCACCTAGACTGGGACCAATCTGCCGCGTATCAAGCATGTTGTCGGCAAAGTTTCCCACTTGCGACAACTTCCCCCGGTAAGCAGGATAGTTTGCGTCTAGCTCCCACCATTGTCCCGGCGTCTACTATTCTGTGATCTAAGGCAGACCCGCGTTCTATGCTCCTAGGATGTAGTTCGCTATACTCAGTTAGCCAACAAATATATTCTTCAATGATGTCTTCGCCTGAATCACAGATGATAAAATTCATCCGTGATATTCCAAGTCTACACATGTTTTAGGCATGGCTAACTCAGAGCGGACACTGGTTTGGTTCACCCTCGCCGAGTCCTAGTGCCTTCGTGCATCCTCCCTCGCGACCGAGTGTTGTTATCCCATGTCTCGGATTTTTTAATTTCTCCTGTCCACAGCATTCTCAGAGCTCTAGTCTTAGTTTTAATATTTTCTGTCACTGCCTTCACGCTGCGTGATGAGCCAACACTCGAATTCTGTGTCGTTTCCCCCAGATATGGTCATCTCTCCTTTTTCCCTTCTAATTGCGTTCTTACAACCCCTGGAACACGTTCCAAGGGTGTTGGGTGTGTGAGAGCCGCTACGTCGGACGGCATAAGTCCTGGGGAAATTGATAATTCAATCCCTTTCGCGAGATAAGTCATTTGCCGTTCTTCTACCGTCTGTTCCACTCTGTTCTATCAGTTTGGCGGTCCCGACAGCCAGCGACGGTTTATTAGGACGCCTTAGTGCCGAATATTCTTGCTGATGTAATTACTCGCCCAGATTGCCAGCGGCGAGTAAGGTTAGGGTTACCGCGCTTCCTCGCCACGAGCTGAAACCAAGGCAATTGCTGCTTGATTGCAGCTTGCCCACCGCTGCCATGCTAAGTGCCCCAGAATTTAGGAAACGACTTTACGGTTGGCTGAGTTATGCTTTTGCAAGGTACGTTCTGACTGTCGAATAGTACTGGTGCTGATTTGACTACATACTGTACTAGCGAGGTATTCGTCATTGTGTCACTGACGCTGTTTTTGCCTATATGCTTGGAGCAATTCGCACGAGATAACGTGGGTCTACCCGCCAGATGGCTTCCTCTGTTGTTCATGTGCAATAGGGATTTCTACTGCCTGACAGAACCACGCCATGCTCGACGGTGGCAAAGAACCTGGACACCGAAGATTCTCCTGCGAGATGTGTAGTGAAGCTCGGATTTTTGTGGATAGATACTGCTAGCTTCAGGTGCGTTGATAGCGAGTCTTCAAAATGAGATGAGCCTGACATGTTTCAAGTCTATATGTATACTCAATATCTGTCGCACTGCAAGCATTAACCGTGATTTCCGTGGGAGGCATCGCTGACAATTGTGTGCATCTACGAGCTCCTTGGAATCCCCGTTTCTGACTTTCTGAGGGTAGTGGCCCATCGCAAACGGCTTCTCCTTGCCTTTGCTTTACAAGGAGCTTTCGCCGCGATTCTCTTTCTGATATTAGCATCTTCTTCGCCATTGTGGTTCTTCTCCGCGTTGTTGGCGATATGCGCGAATGTAGGGTTCGGTGTCTCCGTTGTCGCCATGAACGCATATTTGCCATCTCTGGCAAGAGACTCGCCGGAGGTGGCTGAGTTACGATCTCAACTCGAAGCCAGTCAGGATCCTGAAGGCTCAGATGTCGCTGATACCAGTCACATCGTATCCGACGCCCACACAGAGGACGCTGAAGAGCCCCTCATATCAAGAACCCGAATAGAAAGCTCAGAACTACGAACTCGTTACGACAACGAGCTTTCTCGAGCCACGTCTCGTATCTCATCATTGGGCATAGCCCTTGGGTATGGTGCTGGCATATGCCTATTGCTAGTTGCCCTAATACCTGTGACAAAGCTGAAAGGCAGCACCTTCTCTCTCTGTTTAGCGATCGGCTTGAGTGGAATATGGTGGACTGTCTTTTCCATCCCTGCTGCTGTGTGGCTCCCAGGTTCGACCGCTTTGGCAACCCCAGGAACCCCTGAAAGTGCTGTATGGGTCGATAACTTAGATATCACCGACGGTAAATGGAACATACGTGCCGAGGTCGTCGCCGCTTGGAAACGCTTAGGCGGTATGCTGCGCTGGCAGGAAATCAAGAAACTTCGCAACACATTCAAGTACTTGGCGGCTTGGTTCTTGCTTTCCGATGGTATGTGAGGTATTGACGATGTAGCTATCAGCCTAAGTCTTCTCTAGGGTTTACGACCATAACGTCCACTGCGATTCTTTTTGGAAAAACGTCATTGAATATGCAGCCATCAGCACTCATATTGATCGGAGTACTGACACCATGCGCTGGCATACTTGGATCTCTGTTGTGGCCTATGATCCAGCGCAAGTTTCTGTGGTCAAACCTGAAGATCCTTGTCATTCTCGTCATCTTATGTTCTGCTATACCTGCGTACGGATGCCTTGGATTCGTCTTTCAAGGAAGGACAAGGTTCGGTGGGCTAACGTCTCAAGGCGAAATGTTTGGCTTGGCCGTCTACTTTGGTATACTCTCTTCATCACAGCGTCCTTTGACATCATCTTTACCAAGGTTTCATAGGTTGCGTATATGGCGCTTTTCAAAGTTATGCACGAGCATTTTACGCCGAACTACTTCCTCCTGGGGAAGAGGCCCGATGGTATGTTCACGACAGATCTATATTGTATGACAGTGACTGACCGAATCATCGTTAGGTACGGACTTTTCTCCATCACCGATAAAGTAAGTACGTTTTGAGCCAATTCTGCCGCTGTGCTTAGGCGATCACATCACAGTCAAGTTCCTTCGTCGGGCCGCTCTTCGTTGGTGTCATAGCTGACATGACGGGTAACATTCGCTATGCCTTCTTCTTCCTGGTATTTATGATCTGGGCTGCTGTACCAATATTGATGAGTGTGGATGTTGAACGCGGACGAAAGGATGCGAGGGAGTATCGGTATTCGTATAGTTCTAGAGATGGGCGCAGTTGACTGTTCACACGCTGGCTGCGCGTACTGTACTAATAATGATTTATACTTTGAACTCCGCCAAAATCTGAGGAAGCTGGGTTAAGGTCAGGAAGTTGCATATGTCCGCCACTTACTAATTAATGTCCATCGGTATTCTAGGATTCGAGTGCCGGGCATGTTCAGTGGTCTGGGCCGGCGTTTAGCTCATGTCTAGATTGTCCAACAGAGAGCAGTCAGACTCATGTCAGTGCATACATCTGGGAAAGTTAATTATTCGGTACGTCGATGGCTTCGAATTCGCTCTTGGTGACTTTACAGTTGTTTCGTGGCGCTTGACAGTATCACATCTTTTGTGTGAGAGAGGAGCGATTTTGATTTTGTCATATACCATGGTTTAGGCTGTTACGCGCTGGTTTATGGCTATCCCGGCATCCTCGGATCCCTTTTGTACGTTCGCAAGTCTTCAAAATCCGGCTTATGACGAGGAAATCGGAGCCTTCTTTCCTTTTCCTCAAAAACGCCCTTGGCTGTCAAGCTGCATGCAAACAGCTATAAAAGCAAAGACTCTCCAAAGACCCCCTTCGTCAGCGCACATGTCTGCTTTTCTTTTCCTTGTCGTCGTCTTGGTTACCACATACTGCTACATGAGAACTCGAACTAGACGTCGGTTACCTCTTCCACCTGGACCGAAGAAATTGCCATTCCTTGGAAACACGTTCAGTATGCCAACCTCATCAGAGTGGGAGGTCTTCGACAGATGGTGTAAAGAATATGGTATGCCTCTTCGTTTTGGGTTGTACCGCACCTCTAAAGCTGTTCTTCGTAGATACGGACATTATTCACCTCGATGTTGCAGGTACTTCAATCGTGGTCCTCAACACCGTCGAAGCTGCTACCGAGCTTCTCGATAATCGTTCGGCCATATATTCCAGCAGGTTTGCTTCAGTGCTTGCGTAATATATTTCACTGCGACTAAGCGCCTAACCGTAGACCACGAATGACAATGGTTAACGAGCTAATGGGCTGGGACTTTAGTTTCGGTTTGATGGAGTACGGTATGTGGTCTGTGGTCCATGTTGTGTCACTACCCGATTATGCTGACCCGAATCAAGGAAGCGAATGGTTAGTACTGCTTCTATGTCAGCTGTTACAGTCGGCAAATTGGCTTTCCCCAGGCGATCACAACGCCGACTCTTCCAGCAAGAGTTTAACCCGGTAGCCGTGGAACGGTATCATCAGTGCGAGCTTAAGGCAACGCATGAGCTGCTTAGGCGACTTCTAGATAACCCCAATAAGTTTATTGAACATATTCGACAGTGCGTCTTTTGAGTTTAAGTTTATCCAGGCCGAGGGACTAACTACGCCTTTGAAGCCTCGCGGGATCTACCATATTGTCTATTGCCTATGGGCTGGAAGTACTTCCGGAGAACGACCCGTACATTTTGGCCGCGGAAGCAGGTCTCTACTCGTTGGCCAAAGCGGCGGTGCCGGGCGCGTTTCTTGTTGATTCAATTCCCCTCCTCAAGTACATTCCAGGTTTGTCAAAACGCAGCTCGAGGAACGTCAGACTGATGAAGAGGAGTGAATCCTTTTTCAGACTGGTTCCCTGGTTCGCAGCGTATGATTCATTCACTTGCTGTACTCAAACTTATGGTCCCCAAGGTGCAACATTCAAGCGTAAGGCGAAGGAGTGGCGGCAATATTCGAAGACTATGAGAGAAATGCCTTTTGAGGCCGCCAAGCGGAGAATAGTTCGTCGATGCTTTTCTTCGGTGGAGGTGCTCTGATGTGAAATGGATGCAGGCAGAAGGTACGGCAGCTCCTTCTTATACTTCGTATAGCCTGGAGAAGCTCGATCACGAACGAGATGCGGCCTCTGAAGAATGTCGAATTCAATCAACAGCGGCAACCATGTATACTGGTAAGAGCAGTGTCTTGTCCCAAGGGACGACTTCTTGATTTATCTCCTCCACGACAGGTGGAACGGATTCGGTATGAAGACATACCGAGAATGTACTATATATATTTACTTTCTCATCCAGACAGTATCGGTTCTATGTACTTTCATCCTGGCAATGTTAGCCAATCCCGAAGCACAGAGGAGGGCACAGGAAGAAATTGATGTGGTCCTCGGTCCGGGAGAGCTCCCACGGTTTGTCGATGAGAATTCGCTGCCGTTTGTGAGTGCCGTGGTGAAGGAAGTTCTGAGGTGGAAGAATGTAACACCTATGGGTGCGTCATCCATATGTTGCCTGAGAAACGTAGATCTCATCTCACGAGGTAGGGATACCACATGCGCTCACTGCTGAGGATGTCTACCAAGGGTATAATATTCCCTCTGGTTCCACCGTCATCGCTAATATCTGGGCTATGCTTCATGATGAAGTATGTCTTACGCCACAGTCATTCAATGAGAAATTCACAGACGTCTTTTGGCTCAGACAACTTATCCCGAACCACATTCTTTCAGGCCAGAAAGATTTATGAAGGAGGGGAAATTGAATCCGGATATCAGAGACCCAGACACAGTACTTTTTGGTTTTGGTAGGAGGTAAGTACTCCGTAATTCTTTAACCCCTTCTCTGGTACCACATTAGCCATGTCCACAGGATATGCCCGGCCCGCTACATGGCCCATTCCTCAATCTGGATTGCTATAGTATCTATGCTTGCGGTTTTTGATATTACCAAGACAGTTGATGAGTTTGGCAACACCATAGAACCTACATATGCATACGCAAACGCCTTGGCTTGGTAAGTGTTTAAGCAAGATGAAGTGTTCACTAATGAAATGTGCACTAGTGTTCCGCTGCCCTTCAAGTGCTCTCTGAAGCCACGAAGTACAATTGCAGAGGCGTCAATTCGAGCAACGATAAATGGCGACGCCTGACGTGTGTAGACAATGCCAGGGTACCACACTTATAGCGTAGACCATAGAGCGATGATGTTGTACGAACGTAGTATCTTTTCCACTGTGAGTCTGTGACTTTGATAGTACCATCACTCCACTTGTGTGAAGGTTTATTTAGGTCCCTCATGAATCAGGTGTGGTTTCATTTACGGTTTCTTCCATGTTGCAAAAGGCCGACGGAGAGAGCAACGGAGAATTCTCCGTCCGGATACCTTTAGCAATCATTGACAAACAGTGCCACGTGTACTGCACACGTACCGGATGCATTCACATAAATTGTCCCTCCACACCACCATCGGACGTTACACGGACGATGGACTTCCTTCATTCGAATCTGGCTGCAATTCAGCATAAGCTGGCCTTTGTGGCAGTAGAGCCCATTAATTGGAAATTATACGTCCAGTCGTTCTCTTGGACCGTGACTCTCTGGGAGTGCTACCTGCTGTAGGCCTCGTCATTCTGTGTATCTTAGATATATTGACCTTGTCCTTAAAGCTTGCGTCAGTATCCCCTTTATTCGAAAAAGGAGCCACCTTCGGCCCTGGCCCCGCATCTAGGCGCGGACGTTTTCGAAAAGTCGCAAAAATATGGCAAAGAAAAGGCCCAAGTGGCATTATTCTCCAAGTTGTACAGCCAGGTCTTAGACTCGTTGTTGCTTCACTTTGGGTTCTATGCTTGGTGCTGGGATGCATCAGGGAGGATCTTGGCCAGGGTAGGATACGGTTCTGAGTATGAGGTATGTCTGTTGCCACTGAGACTAGTGTAGTATCTGACGACCCTTTCAGATCTTACAATCTATAGGATTCTCCTTCTTGCTTTATTTTGTATCATCGTTGCCTACACTCCCGCTCTCCATCTACTCTACTTTCGTCTTGGAAGAACGACACGGGTTCAACAAGACCACACCTGGCCTCTTTGTAGCGGACATGCTGAAATCATGGGCTGTCGGAATAGTGCTTGGATCACCCTTCCTCGCTGCATTCTTGTACATCTTTAAATGGGGTGGCGACCGTTTCGTCCCTTGGCTCATGGCCTTCATGTACGTATTTTGCAGGCATTTCACTAGTGCTTCTCGCTTACTTGTTCGCTTCATTTCCAAAGGTTGTCTTTCCAGATGATTATGGTTGTTCTCTATCCCACTGTGATCCAACCTCTCTTCAACAAACTCACTCCTCTCAAAGACGGCGAACTCCGTGCTCGTGTCGAGTCTTTAGCTGGAAAACTCAAGTTTCCACTGAAACATCTATATGAGATTGATGGCTCGAAGCGTAGTTCACATAGCAACGCGTACTTCTTCGGACTTCCTTGGGTAAGCTCTATTTCATCTTCCCTCTCCGTATTTAACACCCTTCCAGAGCAAGCATATCGTCATCTTTGATACCCTGATGGAACAGAGCTCACCGCCTGAGGTCGAAGCTGTCCTTGCGCACGAGCTCGGCCACTGGTACTACCTCCACCCTACCAAAATGATGATCGTATCCCAATTCCACATCTTCACCATCCTCGCTCTCTTCCCTGCTTTCCTCCATGCTCCGCCCCTCCTTCGATCCTTCGATTTTCCCAAGGCTGTAGCTGCCCAACCCCCCACAATTGTTGCGTTCTTGATCTTCCAGATGATTTTAACCCCGCTTGAGGCGGTGATCAGCATCGGGATGAACGCACTGAGTAGACGGTTTGAGTGGGAGGCAGACAGATTTGCGTGCGAGCTACAGGATAAGCTTGGGGAAGAGAGCATGAAGGACATGGGTGAGAGGCTGGGGAGGGCATTGATTACGCTTCATGTGAAGAATTTGTCGACGGTTTGGGTGGATTGGCTGTATTCGGCGTATCATCATTCTCATCCAACCTTGACTGAGAGGCTGAAGGGCTTGGAGATGTATCAAGCCAGTCGGGAGAAGAAGAAGGACTAGTGTAGAGATGTTCTGTAGCATTAATGCATTGGATATTTATCCATCTCTGCGAGGGCAAGCGACGTCGATTTATTTCCTTTCATCCGAAAAACTCGTGGAAAAAGTAATAACTTTGCTTGTTATTTTTAATAGATTGATTTCTTATCCGTAGTCTTCGTAAATTAGCGATACGTGTATCTCTGGGTCAGCCTAGGGCTAGGCCCGATACCAGCCAACCTGGCATTAAAATCACCTCAATAGGAACTACGCGACCTTAGGTCGTCAGGCTTGTTCGAGTCTAGCCTAGGTTTTCCGAGCCCAATCGGTGCACCGGCCCGACTTTCATAGGGAAGCAAATAAATAGCTACGCGGGTTGCCTTGCTACACCCACCATCATCATGCCAGCAGACGTAAAAAACAAAGTATGCTTAATGTATGTGGTATCCTTTACTCTCTGTATGTGCTCTGACGCCATCTTCCGTAGTGTCCACGACGGGTGGGGCATCGCGACGGTTCCAGGACTCGAAGGCAATGCCATCGAGGCCGGTACGACGACGAATATGGATACCATCGGCAAGGAACATAGCCAGAGGAAGCTTGCTGCTCATGGTATCGCTGTCGGGCTGAGCGAAGGCCTCATGGGCAACTCCGAAGTCGGGTAGGTACTCCGCCGTTCTCAGCAAGATCGCCCGTTGAAATGCATATAGGCACTTGAATATCGGAGCTGGCCGCATCGTATGGCAGGATATCGTGCGAATCGATGTTGCGATCAAGAAACGGGAATTCCATAAGAACAAGGTCATCCTTGAGAGCTTCAACAAGGCAAAGGAGGGCACGGGCAGATTGCACCTGCTTGGTCTGGTGCGTCGCGTCGTTCTGCTTCCTATGATTAGGCTAACAGGCGACATAGATCTCCGACGGAGGCGTTCATTCACACATCAATCATCTCTTTGCTCTCTTAGAGACGGCAAAGGAGGTCGGCGTGCCCCACACTTATGTCCATTTCTTCGGAGATGGTCGTGACACGGCTCCCCGTTCCGCGGCGGAGTACTGCCAACAGTTGCTCGACTTCATGAAGAAAGAGGAGTATGGAGAACTCGCTACCATTATAGGCAGATACTATGCCATGGACAGGGACAAGCGGTGGGACCGAATCAAGATCGCCATTGATGGCTTGGTCGGCGGCGCAGGCGAGACGGCTACCGTGTCGGGCGTAGACAATATCAAAGCAAACTATGAGAAGGACGTGACGGATGAGTTCTTGAAGCCCATCATCGTGAACGGAGACGCTGGCAGGATCAAGGACGGCGATTCCTTATTCTTCTTCAACTACCGGTCTGATAGGATGCGAGAAATTTCGTCTGTGTTTGGATTACCTGACAAGCCGATGGAAGTGACTGTTCCGAAGGATTTGGTGCGTACTCTTCCTCCTATATGCTGCACATTTCTTAGTCATTACATAGTCTATCACGACCATGTCCAGATACAACATCGAATTCCCTTTCCATGTGGCTTTCCCACCTCAAGGCATGGCCAATGTCCTAGCGGAGTGGCTATCGAAGCATGGCATCAAGCAAGCGCACATTGCAGAGACGGAAAAATACGCTCACGTCACATTCTTCTTCAATGGCGGTGTCGAGAAGCAATTCGAAAATGAAGAACGGCATATGATTCCCTCACCCAAAGTAGCCACGTACGATAAGCTTCCCAAGATGAGCGTACATGGCGTGGCCGAAAAAGTCGCGGAAGTTCTCAAGAAGGGTGAACACGAGTTCGTGATGTGCAACTTTGCGCCTCCTGATATGGTAAGTTGCGCCTTTGTTATCTGTCGAGTAAACAACTGAAGGACGACAGGTGGGCCATACCGGTGTGTATGATGCCGCCGTCGAAGCTATCGGGCACACCGACGAAGCCGTGGGTATCGTGTACAAGGCATGCCAGGAAGCTGGATATATTCTCCTCATTACCGCGGACCATGGAAACGCGGAGCAGATGAAGAACCTCGAAACAGGTGCTCCTCACACCGCGCATACGACGAACCCTGTACCGTTCATTATGACTGGAGACCCGGAGAAGTATAAATTTACAGAAGACAAAGAGGGTGAAGAAGAGGGTGCACTGTGTGATGTCGCTCCGACTGTCTTGGACCTTCTTGTGCGTATTCTTCCTTCTGTCCTTGATGTTATACTGATAGGGCTGTACGATATCAGGGTCTTGAGAAGCCTGAGGGTGAGCTATACTCTTTTGTTGTCAGGCCGCGGAACTGACGCAACTTTGAATTTTAGAAATGACAGGTCGCTCGCTTTTGGCTAAGGCTTGATGGGATGATGGAATAAAATGGGAGGATGTAAGTCTAGTTGTTGCTCTTTACAAGTAACCCATAATAACATTTATTTATCCAGTAGTGATGAAAAAATAATTGTACAAGCAGATATATTAGAGAGATACCGATATGTACATTGAAGATACACTAACGAGGACGAAATACAGATTTTACATTTGTCAATACCCTCGAATGAGATGGCGTTTATAGCCAACCATCATAATTCTGTAACGAATGGCGCATGTCGTTCAATTGAAACGAGAGTAGTACTTTTTGGACATTGAGGAGAGGGTGATATAAGTGATAAGTGTAAGTTGCCATCCTACACCTAGTTGAAGATGATGAAACCAAGAGTAGAACAGATGGCCAATGCGAAGATGTTGAACGACACGCCAGTTGTTCCTGCACCATTACCACCACCGAGACCGCTAAGACCAGTGGTCTGGCTACTCGCCGCAGAACTGCTGCTGGGAGTCAAGGATGCGTCGTTGACCCCAGTGGCAGTTGCAATGGCGCTGCGAGTAGTGCTGGCGGGATTACAATATCACTTATTATTATGTAGCGACCTCAACGGCGAGAGTAACATACCTAGATGTGGTGCCGGCCTGGACGTTCGTCGTGAATCCTAAACCGCTGCTGCTGTGCGAGAGTATGGCACTGGAAACCGCCGCTTTAGTCGTACCAGAAGCGAAGCCAGTCCCAAAGGCGCTTGAGATCAAGCTCGAGGTGCCACCTCCGCTTGATAAATCGCTGCAAGCAGGGGATCCAGTGCTATCACGGTAGCATAGATCGCCAGTAGCTATGACGCATGTCAAATCCCATTTTTAAAGCAGAACTTAGAAAGAAGACTTACGACAGCAGAAGTCTTCGCCAGAGCAGAGCGTGTATCCCACGTAGTCACACTCCTGGTTGTCGTTGGCCACACAGGTCTGGCCGTTAGGACAACACCCGAGCAGGCCTCCCCATGTGCCACAGTATTCGCTGAAAAAATAACGCTCTCATTAGAACAAGTGACTCGGGTTGTACGAAGATGGGTTTTGCCTACCCGATTGGGCAACAGCCGCTTCCTGAAGAAAGTTGTATTAAGAAACGGTACAGATGAAGAAAAACGGGAGACGCACCATCACTGCAAGGGAGGTATCCAGTGTCACAGGTACCGGCTTGACGGACTACGAGGCCATCTGTTGACCTGGGGAAAGGAGAACGTAGGAGAGCCGGAATGGTGCCATCATCTCTTGCTACTATCTCCCGAGCGACTATTTTTCTCGGGAGAGGACCAGAAGCCAAGGCTGGAAGGACAGTGAAACCAAGAACAACTGCAGCCTGGAGGGTGTTGAACATGTTTTCGTAAAGGAAGAGGGAATGCGGACGGATGTGGGCCACCGTCCGTTATATAGCATGGAAGTTTGGCGGACAGGCCCCTGGATAAAAATCTGTGCTTGGCGTCTACTACCGTGCCCGTGATACACTTGAGAAAGGTACGCATTTTGGTGATGAGAGTGCCAATTTGACTTCGGTCCTGGATAGCATAGCGTACGAGAAAAAAGCGCCTTTCCGCTACCTGAGGCAGATGACTGAGGTAAAAAAAAAAGATGAATGAACCTCTTCTCTTAAGTGAAGTGTAGACGAGTGGGTGAATTTCACGTCGAAGATCATTATTGTTTAGAATTATTTCCAGCGTGTATCAGGTTCCCAAATTCCAAATGACAAGAATCGTTTGACGACACGCTGCCGCCTGCAAAAGGTGGCAAAATAATTGGGAAGGTGGCATCCTGGTGACAGTGATAGCGATCTATTACGTTGTTTTTCATATCGCATGACAAGTTCACAGCCATCGCAACTACTTATCTTTGAATGCAGCACCTCACACAGCGTCAGGTTAGACTGACAGGCGATGGTAGCTTTGAGTATCGAGACGGTACTAGGAGAGAAGCAAACATTCTTGATCGGTCCACGATGAACGAGAGAAAACGCCCCTATCAGTTTCAAAGTGGCCCCTGATACGTTTGACGCGTCGTTGCTAGAGCTGCTGTAGTCCCTAGGCGTAAAAAAGTACACAGCATATATATAATTTATGAAGATGCGAACTTTGCTCACAATTTAAAATGGCAATGATCTTCCAGGATTTTCCGCAGCATCCCCAACAGTCCCGAACCCAACTTAAAAGTGAGGCGATGCAAATTCAAATCCCCGCCGGCACCGATTAACATCTCAGGAACGGAAGACAGGATCACGAAGTGTTAGAGAGAAGAATCAGCGGGAGAACCAGAGGCTCCACCAAGCGAAGACCTAAGTGAAGCTCCTGTAATATGTAGCTGTGCTGGGACGCGAATTTTACCTGTGATCAATGCAAATTCATTTGGGTTAATGAAATTGTTATATTCAATTGAGTAGGAATCCAACGCACATGATGGAACAAAGTTAGAATGCAGAGGAAGCAGGAAAAGTCGATAATTCCACGGTTCTTCGAAGTTCGAGTTAAAGACAAGATGGTAGCATCGCCCGACGAAGCTAAGCTTTGTCGCTGTTCGCTCCTGCAAGTAGATTGAATTGGATCTGAAAAGTTACGGTCCCAGTAGTAGAAGAAGCTCGCGCATGGGAATTTCACCGCCATAAAACACTTTCTTCGGGACCAAGTTGCGGCGTCAAAACCTTTTGTGCGAAATACACAGCAAAAATCCCGAACTTATTGTGACCTAGAAGACCAGTGGTTATTCGCAAACTCGATGCAATATCAAAAAAGGACAAACAAGATATTCTTCATACCGATCACCATGACGTTCACGTTATGATTATTGAAAAGTCTCCATAGCTGGGGGAAAATCCGGGGACCAAGAGGTCGCGGAGTATCGCAATTCACGGAAGATTTTCCCTAGTCCATGGATTCGATAAGGACGTGATATCCCAGGGTATTGAACAAGTGAACGGCATATTATGAGATCGAGCCGCCCCGACAGGCTAAACTCCTCGAGCGCAGCATACTTGTTGCACCAAAATGACTCATTCGGAAGACACGTGGGTAGCGAATGGCTCGAGTCATAACGATAAGCTGTCAACTTCCCTTCCGCTTCTAGACCAACCCTTCATCTTCACAAATGGCTCCAGCGAACTTCTGCTTCCCCATTCCACCGGTGTTGCAGAGCGAGCGCGTCAAGCTAGTACCCTTTGACGTAAGTTTTCAAAGAACTGGCAGAGATGTGGTTATTGATTTTGTCGCCAAGCTCGCTGTTCATACGAGACTACTGGTCACAGCATGCTCTGATGAAAGCCTCTATGATTTCGTTCCCTTTGGTCCGTTCAAGAGGGAAGAAGAATTCATCACTTCGTTCTGGAACAAGAGGATGAAAGACAACACCGGAATGACCATGTTCGCGGTGTACGACAGAACTAAGCCTGTGGAGTCGGCGTATGCAGGAGTCATCGGTTATCTGAACTCGTCAACCGAAGATCTAGTCACGGAAATCGGTTTCGTGATTATCGCTCCGGCGCTCCAGAAGACGCATGTAACGTCCAACGCCGTCGGAATCCTCATGAAATACGCATTAGATATGCCAGAGGACGGTGGTCTTGGCCTGCGTCGAGTAGTTTGGCAAGCCAGCGCAGCCAACATTGCCAGTGTCAGGACGGCAAAAAGGATGGGGTTTCAGCAAGAGGGGATACTAAGGTGGCATAAAGCATGGCCTACATCCAAATCCCGTGGTGCGAACGGAACCCGCGTGAGAAAAGGGGATCCTGAGGAGGAGCTATTTCCGTTGGGACGAGATACTGCCATTTTGAGTATTTGTTGGGATGATTGGGAAGGTGGGGTGCGAGCACATGTTGAGGCGACAATGGCGCGAACAAAATAAATCGCTGTTCCTATCTAAAAAAAATCTCTAGTAGCTTGGAGAAATGCATAATAAACACCTACTAGTACCAATGCAGTATCAAAATGTCTTATTCGGACCAATTGGATGCTACTGAGATGAGAATCTGAAGACATAAATTACTTGGTATCCAGCGCCGCTCGCAAGTTATTTGTACTTCCTGAGTTCCCTAAGGCGCTCAGGCGTTCAAGCTAGGTTCCAAGACAACCCCAGTACAACTTCCTTCTATTCATGCACAGCCCGGCAAGTTCCGCACCACGAGCACGTGCCACTGAATGCCAGTGGGCGATTTGGCGAAATTCACGGACTCGCAGCTTCGACACGTTGAATGGTCAAGTCCATTCCGACCCTAGTATTCCCCACGAGGTTTCGCTGCGCGGCCATTCTAGTCTGACGATTTCGGTCCCCTTGTTCATGCTTCGGCCATCTAACAGCGCTCGCGGGTACAGCAACGTCAGAAACCCGGCCTTTCCCCCCCGAAATCCAGATATCCCTGCTTCAATTGATAGGCATTTTCCTGAAATATCCTGGATATTTCTGATGTCGGTATATTATGTGCTATTATTTCCGTGTCGGCTTCCATGGATCACAATATAATGCCCGCACTGTATCCTTACAGTGCATGACTGCATCTGATCGAGTTGCCTGTCTTGTTTATATAGGCCGGTACCACTAAAATGAGTTGTCCAAGGACGATTGGCTCATACCACCTTTTTGTAGCAGCCGGATATACATGCATCAATTAAACCTGAATTTACCCTATAGATTCGCAGCAGCCGTCATCTGGACTAATGGACTTATCTTCATGGCGCTCTCCCAGCATTTAAAGATACCGGATGGTCGAGTTTTGCACCTCCCTACTCCTCCCATCATCCTCTCACCACAGCATGTCCCACATCACTCAATCACTCATGCTCACATCTGCCGACGGTACCAAGATTTATGCGGACGCATCAGGAGATTCCACCAAACCTGCAATTGTATTCATACACGGAGTTTCGCTTAGCTCTGTCGTATGGAATGACATATTTTGTGATACCAAATGGACCGACCTATTCTATCTGGTTAGAATTCTGTCCGTTTTCTTTCTGCTGTACTGACTATTTGCGGACAGGTGAGATATGATACTCGCGGTCATGGTCGAAGCGGAATGCCCACTTCTCCATCTGCGTGGGAATCTCAGCGTCTTGCGGAAGATTTCGATGCCGTTGTAGAAGGCTTCAATTTAAGAAGACCTTTTGTATTGGGATGGTACGTCCATACGATATCCAGTTCTAACAGTCCCTCACCCCACCACAGGAGCCTAGGAGGTCTGTGTGCTTCGGTTCTCGTCGCGAAGCCGCTTGAAACTAATACGAATCTAGCCACACACATCGTAGACATCCTTGCGCTTCACCCCGGAAAGGAAAAATACCTCTCTGGAGCTATTCATCTCACAGGAGTGCCCTTCATGGGTCCTGGAATCGGCCAGGCCGGAACACAGTTCGCACTCGGTTGCCTGCCCTCCCTAAATCAGACAAATGATGTGGAAAAATTCCAAGATGCATCTCGGAGATTCGTCAACGGGTGCTCCAAACACGCTTCATTCGAACTCAAATCACTCTGTTTGGGAAATTTTGTCACTCAGCCGCGAGCTGTAACCAAATTTGTATTCACCCGTGAGCAAGATGCAACCGAATTCTTCAGAGCTGGGGAGAACGGGTTTTTACCGCTGCTAGCGATAGCCTGTACAGACGACTTGATAGTGAATGGGAGGTCGGCTGCTAGTGCCTTGGGCTCTTGGAAGAATCTCAAGGTAGTCGATATTGAAGGAGCTGACCATATGCCCTGGTTATCACATTCGGAAGCGATGCGAGGCTTAATCGCCGACTGGGTGAAAGGGGTTCTGGATTCCTAATTACTCATTCATCGGAACTTTTCAGGACTTTTCGTATAGGATTTATTTAAATACCGCCTGTAGATCTGTATTGTTTCTTGTGTATTGTCTATGTATTCTTGTCTGTACTCGCATGTTACATTCCGCGGCCCGGACTTCAGGACTTGATTTTATTTGGATATATTATTTCCTAATGGCCTCGAATCCTCTTTCGTACCACCATCACCGCCTCCGTGAAGCATCGTTCCTCCTGCAGGCTTCACCCCCTCCGTTTATTTTCATTAATGACCCAATTTCACCCCGTTCTACTGCTCAAGCTCTTCTTGGCGCGCTCTCACTCCCTACCAGCACCACCACATCTATGCACCATGTTCATGTCAACGCCGTAACATGTTTTTCTGCCAGATTATTGTTCGACGCGATTCTAAATGGACTCGCACGATGGATGCCTTCTTGGGAAGAGGGGTGCACCAACTGGTCAGGACCCAACGATACCGGGCATTATAATGAATCGTTAGACGCGTTTTTGCGCGGCCTAAAGACGCTCTATTCGTTCTTGCACCATAGCAATAGCAATCTATCTCAAGTGACGCGATTTGTAATCGTGGTTGAGCGTGCGGAACGTCTCAAGGATCGATTACCGGACCTCGTTGTTCCTTTGACGCGTCTTGCAGAAATGGTAAGGTAATGTCCATTTTCAGGAGGATACAGGCGGCTAATTTCTTCAGGCACGTATTGATCTGGCAATTATCTTCATCTCTTCCAGACGGTGGGACGATATGCGGCCTTCTTTTGGAGCTTCTCCGGATCCCTACTTTGTGGACATCGCTATTCCTACCAAAGAAGGTGATCTTATCTCTCATTTCAATGAGTACACCTGATGTAAACCTTACCTAGCTTGTGTTGCATACCTTTGCTCCATGTTTCAGTCTTGTCAGACTCAACCAAACCTGCCTCTCAATCCCTATCACCCAGCCCTTGAAGGCATGTACACGTCTTTCGCATCAATCCTATGCGACACATGTTTCCCGTTCACCAACGATCCTGATGAACTTGCATATGCCGCCGCTGCGCGGTGGCCGGGTTTCATCCAACCCATACTGGACAATCATGCAATCGAACAGGGAAAAGGCAATAGCAACCTCACCGAACGGGATGATAATGAGCACTTATTTACCGACGATGCGATGCTTGTCGACGATGTCCACGGTTTTGTCACACCTTCGGAAGAAGTCCGCATGCGTCTAAATCGTTACTTTAAACCCAGTATCACTGCTGCGCTGGAACAGCTATATCCCCGTTCTAGCAATGCGCAAGACTGGGCAGGTGCTAATAAGCCTTCTCCTGAGGCACTGGGGACCATATTTCCCATTCATCGAGCAGATCACCCGACTGAACCACGAGTCGATGCTGCCGTTAAAGAGAAGCTTGCAGAACCATATCGGAATTTGACGAGAATGGCCAAGTTTATTCTCATCTCCTCGTTCCTGGCCTCGATGAATCCGGCTAAGTCAGACCTGAGGATGTTTGGCAGGGGTCTGGACGAGAAGAAACGCAAACGTCGACGGATCACCAAGGCACCTTCTGCGAAGACCAAAAGCGGCCCTATCAAGGTTACCATTTCTCGCCCTTTGCTTAGATGTAACTGATTGTCTTGCAGATTCCTCAGCATTTCCTTGGGCCAGCAGCGTTCACCCTTGACCGCATGTTAGCCATCTTGGGCGCGTTGCTCGAAGAGAACGACAACGACGACGATTTCAGACCTTTCAAGATTGACTTCTCGATTCCTGGAGAGTACACTGATATGGAAGTTAGCAGGGTCGGTGTATGCGCTACTGTGAGTTTCGAGGGTCGTCCTGATGAATGTGCTTGCCGATTCTGACGCCAATTGTGTCCGTAGATCGTGGATCTGACATCGTCAAAGTTGCTCCATCGAACTTCGCCGGCCGAAAAGTTGGATGGACCCCCGATGTTCAAATCCGGGGTTTCATACGATGTAGTGTTAGGATTAGCTAAAGAGTTGGACGTACCGCTGCAGGACCTGCTATGGGATCCTTTGTGATCCATCTAGGACGCAACCATCTGTCTTCGGTGAGATCCGTACCCTATTCAAAGATGTCGCTTCTCATTTCAGTGTGCCTTTTGTCAGATTTGTATTTTATTCCACGGTTTTATCAGAATCATCTGATGTCTTTGTAGCGATATCTACTGTCCTCATTGCCTAAACTCTTAAGAAGTGAGGCAAAGACATCGATAAGGTCGTGCTACCACCCAGAGAAGTTGAAACTGTAAGTTCTGTTCTCGTGGACTGCCAGGGTAGCCGTGCCGTAGTGCTTCTCGAGAATAGAATCGATCGCCGGTGCTGCAGCCTATTTCGACAATACGTTCCAATTTTTAAGTCCGCCACGGTCTTTATGGCAGGCACGTGGATCATCTAGGGCCATCTTCGTGGCAGAGCGTTGCTATCCCCGGCCTCGTGAGATGTTCCTTCGAAAACTTTAAGTAAAGAAAAACATTTTACGCTAGATTCTGACACTTGTCGTCGGTCTGGGGGATCGATTCTCGATTGTGGAGTTTCCGCCCTTTCATTGCACTCGCTGACCGGTGTTTCAAGTAAACCGACCTTTTTGGTGCGTTACACACGAGTCCTCCGTGTACGTTTCGCTGATCAGCAGAAACGGGTTACATAAATATACCAAGAAAGCGGCGTCCCGGTTTGTTTCCCAACCACATCGACTCCTTGGCCGAGTGACCCGGATACAACTACACCATAACGTTGTATCCCTTGAATCATTCCAACCATTTTCACCCGAGTCTCGTGCTGCTCAGCGGTTGTCATAATTAGAAAGTCCGCCGAAAAGTCCTATTAGGATCCACGATTCCATGTCTAATTATTAAGGGCTGACTCGTACACTTTCCTCGGACGTTCTACGATTTCCTTCGCTGTGCGATCCAAGCTACACGATTTACTTCAACGTTTCTTTCGGTCCTCGGCGTAGAACGCTTTTGTGTCAATGTCTTTCTCGTTCAACCACGCTGTATCTACCTCGGCACTACAGAAATCAGTAGAACCACGTTCAGTGATAACTCTTGTTCTCATTGAGAATTCCCGGGCTTTAGAACGGTTGTGGCCAGATCTCCGGGATCATTATCTTCGCTCTGCCCTCAGCAAGCTCGAAGCCAGGTATCCGGGAGTTCCGGTATGTTTTGATGTTTCATCTTGTGTCTGCCTCAGTTCTGATCATATCCTGACTAGCATATATCCTACGTTCTGGAAACACTAGTTCCCGGTGACCAGTTCACGGGACCTGGAGTTGCCCGGCAATGCGATAGTCTAGACACTTGTCTAGAGGACCTACAATTCAATTATAGTCCTTTAAATGTTCTCTCAAGTTCAGATATCTGGCGCGCAATTGAGGTAAGTATACTGTATCGCTGCTACCCGTTTACGGCAGATGTGAAAACTGTCATACATATAGTTTCTGTGTTCGGCAAGTATACAAGGGCCGTCGACTGTTCGTAATATCCTCGTCATCGCTGCTTCTTCACCGGTGGAAGGCACAAATGCCAAGCAGCACACGTCAACTGTCCCATTTTACAATTCGTGGTTCGGCCTCGCGCAGAGGCTCACGGAGGTACTTTTTTTATCCTCGATGATCAAGCCCGTCGACGTTTACACCATCATCCATCTATCTAGACCAACATCCAATGGCACATGATATTAAACGCAACCCAAGACATGCGTAGACTGAACATGCTGTTTGATGAAACGGTCAGGGTTTCATTATCGCATCTGGAATGCATTTAACCGTGGATCGTTTCCACCAACAGACAATGCTGCAAAGAAACGTCGAGGAGCCCTTGTGGCTTCCTGCAGAATCGGACCGTTTCCTCGTCCGCTTCTCTAGTAAACCCCAGGTCATTACACCAAGTCTCTTTGCCCAAGGTCGGTGACAATTGTCATTCCATTCCTAGAGCTGACTAGACAACATTTTTGGTCGATGTCTTCCAGAATCCTTCAAAAATGTACGTAAAAACCGCCAGCTTCCCTCTCGTGTTCTCTCTTACCTGAAGTGCAGCCCCCTTCAACGTCTTATCACGCACTCGACTCTTCATTCCCTGATGACCATCCGGATAGCTGCTCCCCTCCTCATCTCCCACCCGAGCCATCAGCTGAGGCCCCGAGTCTGGTTGCTCAGTTGCAGCAGGTGCATGGATTGACGAAGAAAAAGGTTTACGGCACCAAACCTGTTCGAAAGCCGTTTTTTCGGGATGAGCGAGTCACCGAGACGAGTCGAAGGTCAACATTACTTGCCAGGTCAGTCCCCGTCGACATGGACATGACAAGAGCTCCTGGAGGACGCGTTGTCTCCCACTCTGTGATTGACCGTAGCGCTCGTGTTCGACACACAAGTTCTGCAGGAGGCCGTATGCATGGGTACCATCAACCGGCACCGCACTGGTCGCCTATGCCCATGGCGTCACCGATTCCGTCTAATCTCCCGTCAGTTGGCTCGTCATCCGCAGCGCCCACGAACCTGGATTCATATATCTCATCTCCATTCGATGCATCCCCTCCGTCTAACGTTAGTAACACCCCATGGGCACCATTCTCGGGCACATCTCCGCCTTCTTCTCACCTCCCCGGCAGCACTCCCGCGTTCGCACCGCTGCCAACATTGCCCTTCAATCACACTCCTGGCTCTCCCGACAATTCCCCACCGCCGTACCTACGCGATCGAGCCGTACCGGAGATATCACCTTCTGGGGTCTTGTTTGACCCCCCGAGCTTCTACGACCATGGACTGGGAACACAATCGTCCAATCATGAATGTGTATTCCCTGGCCATGGTTCGGGGATTCTTTCGTCAGCAGCGTCGCCATCTCAACCCAATTCTGATGCTCGTTTGGCATCGCAATCGGGGCATTCATCCACCGAGTCCGTTTGTTCACCTACGGAGCAAATTTCATCGTACAACACGAACGGATGGAGTCAGGCGTCATATGGACCTACGGACTCCGTATACGGTTCACCTAATTCATCCGGTACTAGCTCACTGAAAGGCTGGGCTGGCTGATTGCAACGGTCTACCTGTTGCTACTCTCTTTTTTGATGTACATACTCGTTGCCACAATGTACCATTTCTGTGTGTTGTTGCGAGGAAGACACACTACTCATGTTGTTAGCCACATATTGTACACTGATATTGTTTATGCCGCCGCTTCGCTCTGTCATGTAGCTTATTTCTTTTAGGGATTTTTAGGTACTATTATTACTGTTGTGTGTCGAATTAATTTATGCTTATAATTCTAGAGGTGCAGTCCTCAGAAAGGTAATATTGGGGGCCTGACGGGTCAATACGTCCTAATGTTTTACTCAACATCGTCTGTGACGCCTTTCAGCGTTGTTATTAACGTCTCGACCTTGAGGATGCCAAGGTCAATAGTGTCTGCCTTTAAGATAAACTTCAAACTTTGATGCAGTTACTTCGAAGTCGTGCTCGGTAACTTCATCCAATATACTGTGCTACATAGTACGTTTCATTTTTTGCCAACCTTGGTGCGGCGGCCAGTTCCTGACAACGCAATGAGAAGAACGAGTTGAGTTTCACCATTATCGCAACGATAACGATGACTTCTTTCTTCACATATCCAAGGTTTTGTTTGAATTGTTGCATGGAATAAGATAAGCAGAGCCAGAAAATAGTCTTTACGAAAGAATTCGAAGGCGACACATGGCTGTTACCAACCTCCGTGAGAAAATAAAACGGAGTTTCAATTTACTTATTTAAACGAGATGCTGACGTGTTCCTTTTTCACTTTCACCGACGACGACGACGCCATTGTGGACAGGACTGACAACGACGTCTTCGTCTCCGCCGGTATCAGTTTTATCTTCCTGCTTTTCCTTACTGTAATCACATAGTCTTCTACTTATTGTCTTTTTCACGGTTTGCCCCAGCGTTCGTGATTCTTCAGCTCCTCCAGTGACCACGTTACCATGAGTCGACCTTTCAGAGGCCGTTCTGATAGAGGTCGTGGCGTCAATGACAGAGGCCGCGGCGGTCGTAGTGGTGGAGACGATTTTGGAGGTCAGGTCGAGGAGGATTCAGTGGCTCCGTCATCTATAAGGAAAACGTTTCGGCGCGGATTCCTGAATGCTTGACGCCTGAAAAGCAAAACAAGCTCGTCGATTCCCTTCGAAAAGTGCCAGCAAAGCCAGAGCGTCCAACACGTCCAGGCTTTGGTACCTTGGGCAAGCCTACCATTTCGCGTGCTAATTTCTTTCCACTAGAACTACCCAAGGGCCCTCTGTATGACTACGAGATCAAGATTGAGCCTACGACCTTTCTGAACAAGCGCAAAGACCGTATTTTCCAGTTGCTTGAGGCCAACCCTCAGGTTCGTGCTCACCTAGGCGTTGTTGCTCATGATAGAAGTGCACGCCTCGTGTCTGCTGTGAAGCTGCCAAATTTGCACGTAGCAGTACCGTTCTTTGAAGAGGGCCAGAATGGCCCCCCGACTGGTGCTATCACATACCTGATTTCCATCGTCTTTAAGCGCGAGCTAAACCTCGATGAACTCTCCAAGTGCGTTTCTTGTAATTTTTGTTTCACTGGGCTTATGTGTATTCTCCTTAGGTACCTCAACGCTGACAAGGAATATCGAGATTACGATCCATTGCCCATTATTTCGGCCGTAAATTTGGTACTGCAGCAGAATGCTATGCGCACAGGTGTGCGTATTGGACAGAACAAGTACTTCTTTCCACCCCCACCTGGTGAGCGCAAAATCCTGGGACCCGGCGTTGAGGCGTGGAGAGGGTTTTTCATATCTGTTCGGTCGACTTATCAGCAACTGATGGTTAACATGTGAGTACCACACAGAAGAAACACGAACAAAAGTTGACGCACCCCATAGCAATGTCTGTATGGCCCCGTTCGTCGAGCCAGGTAATCTTGCAGATGTTCTTGTGTCGTTCAACCGGAATTCTTCAGGTGGAATGCCAACACTTCCCAAGGAGCTAGCCAGAAGCATCAAAGTCGTCACTAACCATCTTGGTCATAAACATCGGTACAAGCTCTGGGAGATTGGCCGCAAATCTGCTCGGAATACTACTTTTCCTTGCGAAGAATTTGGAAAAAAGAACATGTCAGTCGAGGAATTCTTCAAGAGAAGTGCGTACGACCATCCTCAGAGTCCACTTATGAGAGACTCACATACCCTCGTACAGAATATAACATTACTTTGCGTCATGGAGCTGACCTCCCAGTGGTCAATGTCGGGAGTATCAAGAAACCAACATGGCTACCCGCGGAATTGTGTACGATCGAAGCTGGGAATCCGTACCGAGGACGGCTAGGCGAACAAAAGGTTGCACAGATGATTCGATACGCGTGTAACCCACCATGCGCTCACGCGGAGTTGATCGTCGGGGAGGGGTTCAAAAACTTATCCCTTTCACCTCCTAGGTCGCCCGTCGATGGATTTGGCATTTCCATCGACCAGGAAATGCCTGGGATTCCGACTCGCGTGCTTCCCCCTCCATCGGTGTCGTATCGCGTTGGAAGACCGAGGGTAGACAATGCTTCATGGAATATCCTTGACGTCAAGTTTCACCGCGGTGCGACTGTCAACGAATTCTGGGTACTCCCGATACGCGAGCGAACGCAGAACAGATATCCGCCCCCGGATCAGATACAGCCACTGATCATAGCGTTTTCGAGGAAGCTGCAATCGGCTGGGATGAATGTTCCAGGAGGGATGCCGCGATTGTTGAGGGAGCTACCGGCGCTAGCTCCTGTGCACGAGGACCCGGGGGGGGGGTCAAGTCATTGAATAATATTAGATCGTATCTGCGACACGAGATGCAAACTGCAGGTTCCAGGCCGAGTTTTGTGTTGGTGTTGTTAATGCATAGGGATGATTTCATTTATCCTGGTGTCAAAGTGGGTATTTCTTTTGTATCTGGGAAGGGCCCTTGCTGATAGATAGTACTAGCGGATCGGAGACTCTGAGCTGGGATTACAGACGGTTACGATGCAGCTCGAGAAGGCCATGAGAGGAGACAAACAGGACCAGTACCTCTCGAATATCGCGTTGAAGGTGAATACGAAGCTTGGCGGGATCAATCACAAGGTATCTATTGTTTTCAAAGAGTGTTTGAATGCGACGTACTGATAGGGTATGTTCAGTTGGACGATCAAGCGATGAAGTGGCTGCGCAAGAAGAAGGCGATGATGGTCGGGATCGATGTCACCCACCCTACTCCGGGGACAAGATTTGGCACTCCGTCGATCGCGGCGGTCGTGGCGAGTGTGGATGATGATTTTGTCCAATTCCCGGCGAGCATGAGGATCCAGAGGCCTGAGGCAAATAAACATTCGAAGGAGGTTGGTTCTATTTCTGTTAGTTTCTCCGCGGCTGCTTATGATTCCATTTAGGTCGTCGAGGAGCTACAGCATATGATGCTTGAGCGTCTATTAGTTTACGAGAAGAAGAACAAGGCGTTGCCGGAGAGGATTCTCGTGTTCCGGGATGGTGTCTCCGAGGTAAGTGACACGGGCAATTCATTGCGACGGTCTCGGTGACATTGCTGTTTTAAGGCCAGTATGATATTATCATTCGAGACGAGGTCTCACAAATCAAGGAGGTTGCGAAGAGACTGAATACCAAGGACAGGAAGGCGTACAGACCGCTTGTATCTGTCATGATATACCGGAAGCGACACCATGCTAGGTAGGCTGCGCTCGTCTGTCCTTGACTCGTAGCTCAATTGCTCTTAGACCCTACCCTACAAATGGTCCAGATGCAGATAAGAACGGCGACACAAAACCTGGGACGGTAATTGACAAGGGCATTACTGGAGTGTGAGTTGTCTGTCTTTTTCTTCCCATGCATCACTCTTAAACAGTCTTGTGTACAGATTTGACTACGATTTCTATCTCCAAGCGCACGCTGGTATCAAAGGCAAGGCCAAGCCAACACATTATGTTGTCATCTACGACGAGAATAGTCTTGATGTGGATGATATCCAGAAGGGGACGAACGACGCTAGTTATCTATATGCACGTGCGACGAAAGCCGTTAGTCTCATCCCGCCGGCGTACTATGCGGATCTGGCGTGCGAAAGGGGGAGATGCTATTTGAATGATTTCTTGAAGGATGATGGGTCGACTGTTTCTGGGTCGCCCAGTCGGGATGAGGAGGCGGCAAGAGTGTTTAATGCTGCTCGCAAGGCTTGGGGCAACGGGGTAAGTGTGTGTTTGTTATGTAGTATCGCGGCTGACTCCTTTTCAGCTCCATGAGAATATCAAGGACAGTATGTTTTATATCTAGAGTCAAATATTTAGAAGGAAGGGAGACGTTGGGTGTGTGTGCTTTTGTGCTCTCTTCGGTCTTGCAGTTGTTTTGGTGATGTCGTGTTATAATGCTATATAGCCAAGAAATGGCTTTGGATCGTAACTCGGCGGGACAAACTCTGACTGAGAGAAGAGCGGCAAGCGTGAAGGTACTGAGGCCGACCAATTACGACAACCCTTGATGCATTTTTCGCCCATCGCCGTAGTCATCTTGAGAGACTCGCAACCTACGCTCAGTAAGAAAATGGACGTTACAAAGACAGTGCTAGGCCCAGCATTGCTACCGAGCATTAAGTTTACGAGCCAGAACTTGAAAGTTATCTACTTGAGTCTGGGATGATTTTAAATATCCTCAACAGCTTCGTACTCTGCCAAAGGTTTGTCTTTATCCAAGGAATTGGGGATAACCACAAGGACGGGACCAACCAAAAAATTGAAAACGCGGGCATTCGAAGGATATCATAGGTTTATACATTAGGGTAGATTGTCTATCAAGACTGCCATCTGACGGTTATTATACCACCAGAAGTGATACCAGTTCCACACAGACTGAGTAGGATCCCACGGCCCGACATACTCGCCGATAATGGCAAGTTCCTGAGAGTTGAACTTATACAAGCGCGAGACGTGACTACTACAAATTCGATCACGCCATTTGAACGTGAAAGAGAGCGTCTTAGAGAACAGCTCGATAACGTCCTCTCGACCTGAATAATATGCTCGCCATTCGGGACTCCGAAACCGTATCTGAATCCTGCTCATCACCTCTCCCAAGTGATTCATACAAGCCAGAATCTCACATGCGTCGTCCCAGAGCATTGAAAAACGTCGAGGAAGTCCTTCCATGATGATAAGTCGATAGGGAGATAACGTGCAAAACCGCTTGGTGAGGTGAAGCAGAATCTCGAACCCACAGCAGCCTCGGAGCTCTGCAATCAGGAGCTCCTCACTGTCCCACAAGAGGTCCTCAAAACGGGTTTCAATGATTTGACAAGCTCTCATATAATCCACCTGAGCGGCGCGTATGTGATGCTCGGCGCTTGCGATATCTTTATGTGAAGACTCCGACTCTGAGTGCGACTCGGAGATATTCAACCCTCGGTTAAGAAACAGATACGTCTCCGTCCACATTGCAGAGATGGCCCTATAGAATTCTACAGCCGTATCTCGGATAGGAGTAAGAATGCTGGAGATGGCCGTGTGTCGAAGTGCGGCTGCGAGGGACGTTTGCGTGATCAAGCACATAAGGTTTGAGTGGAACGATTCCACGTCATTGAGGAGGGTGCATATTGCATTAGCTAGGACTGTTATCTCGTTCTGGTCCTATATGAGCTACGTTAATACAGTATCATAGATGTAACGAAAGGATACCTTTGAGGCATGCTTCATTATGTCCAAAAAACCCTTGTCCTGGATACCCTGATGAACCACCAGTGTCAGTCACGAATGAGTATTTCATGGAACAATGCTTTAACGCACCTTGAATCGAGGATTGAGTCCAGATACAGACATGGTTGTTGTTGGCTGACAGAAAGCCGCTCCTTTTCAAAGATGAATGTCTCCCGTTTGTCTCATGCTGTCTCACAGAAGCACACGTTGGAAGGGGTGCATAGTGTCCGGACTAGGAAGAAATGAAGTAGAGTGTCACTGAGAGGATGCTTTGAAAGAAACTCGGCAACTCTGCCTGATGTGGTCTTCGTCCTAGGAATCGGGAATCCTGTCTAACCGCAAAGCTATGTCATGAATTGACCGTAACGCCAGTCGACATGGTTGTAGAAAACGGACTGTTCGTCTGGGTAAGTTGTGATGACTAGTAAATTCACCGAAGAAATTATATACGAATAATATTGCGGTTTGTACACTGCGTGCTACATTGTCTGTTAAGACTGTGATCTATGGTCATTCTAACACCACCAACAATACCAGGTCCACACGGACTTATTGGGATCCCACGGCCCCACATACTCGTCCACGATGTGAAATTCCTGAGAGTTGTACGCGTACAAACACCAGTGGAAGCTTTGAATCAAATTCTGCCGGCTTGATGTGTAATTGACAGTCTGGCTGAATAGTTTGATAACATCCTCTCGACCTGTATAATACGCTCGCCATTCGGGACTTCGAAGTCGAATCTGAATCCTGCTCATCACCTCTCCCAAGTGATTCATACAAGCCAGAATCTCGCTTGCGTCGTCCCAGAGCATTGAAAAACGCCGAGGAAGTCCTTCCATGATGATAAGTCGATAGGAAGATAAAGTGCAAAACCGCTTGGTGAGGTGAAGTAGAATCTCGAACCCACAGCAGCCTCGGAGCTCTGCAATCAGAAGCTCCTCACTGTCCCACAAAAGGTCCTCAAAACGGGTTTCAATGATTTGACAGGCTCTCAGATAATCCACCTGAGCCGCGCGTATATGATGCTCGGCGTTTGCGATATCTTTATGCGAAGGCTCTGAGCGCAATATTTGCAATCCTTGCTTAAGAAATTGATACACCTCCTTCCACATAGCGGAGATGGTGTCGGAGAATTCTACAGCAACGTCTCGAATAGGAGTAATATGTTGGAAATAGCCAAGCGTCGAAAAACGGCTGCGACGGACGTTTGTGTGATCAAGCACATGAGGTTTAAGCGGAAGGCTTCCACGTCGTTGAGGAGGGTGTTTAAGGCATTAGCTAGGACTGTTATCTCATTCTGGTCCTATATGAGCTTTGTCAACAAATATTGTAGTGTCGTATAGCTGCGAAAGGATACCTGTGAGGCCTGCCTCATTATAGCCAAAATGTCCTCATCCTGAATACTCTGACGCACCATCACGTAAGTTCCTGATGAGTCTTTCATGAAGCAATGAACGCACTTTGAACCGAGGATTAAGTCCAGATGCAGACATGGTTGCTTTGAATCAAAGCAGGATCGCGGTTAAATATAGCGTCAGAAAAACAGCCAATCAGTCCTTCACTTCCAGGACCTTATTCATAAAAGAGCGGGCTAGGCTTGGGGAAGGAAGTGCTGCAATGTCTCGGTAGCCTGAGACCCGGGGCGGGCATCCATTTTCAAGCACCGATTTAACTTCTATAGGGAGCATTCCGCAATCTCCGCCTCAAACTTTAGCACTTTCGAGGCCGTTGCTTCCCTCGCAAAGTCCATAGGACCTCTGATATGGTTTAGATGTGATCTAATAATGCATATGCTTCACATCCTGATAATTTCGGGCGAGCCGATGGGAACAGAAACATCGGCCGGCAATCAAGTCACTGGCAGCCGAGTCAGCCGCCGCCCCGGATATACCGGCTTGCCAGGCTATGCTTCGTACTTATCATCATCGTTAGAATACAACGGGTGGCATTCTGTACTCCGTCCGAACTCAATCTTCCTTTAACCCACCTACCATACCACATATACCATCTCAAAAATCTAGTACAGAATCGTGCACGTTGTCGATTAGGGGGCCTTCTCTCTCCTCAGTCGCTACCATATTACTCATGCGCTGAGGAGTATTCTGACATAATGTATTCGGTATAGGTACCGTGGCTGACATCTCTCATATGTCTTTCGATTGGAATGTGAAGGTATTGAAATTGGAATGCGCTATCTATTACGATTCCAACAGGATTCCAACATGGCTGTTGCAGGTATTCCCTTGTAGCCGATTTTATTAATTCCAATTAATTTTAGTGATTGTAATTGCATGCGCTTGGCATGCCCAAGGTTTTTCCTGATGACAGCAAGGGGAAAACTCGGGGAAGGCAAATGACGGAAGGGTGAATATTTTACAATGTAGATGTAGAAAAAAGAGAGAGAACTAGCCTGTGAAATAATGGGACGAGCACGTAGTAATTGTGACATAAGAGAAGGAAAGGAAAAACCAAAAAGAAACGATAAAAAAGGATAAAAATTAGAACCAGTACCCAAAAAAAAGTAGAGGATGGATGTTTCATCAAGCACCCGACATTTCTCCTCAATAGAAGCGTGCCGAGGCCCGTACTACAGCTTCCCAGATGTACATATACACTAGCTAATTAACGCACTACGAGGAGCATGGCGAGAAGAGAAGGCGATAGAACCACCACCTTATCACCCCATAGCTGAAGCAAATGGGAAGGCGGTCGCGAAGCAATTCGCACTGAGCTCAGAGAAGCTCGTTTGTTGAGACGCTTAGATACACAGAACCAGGAAAAGGGCGAGACATAGACAAGTAGCATAATCTCACCATACGCTAGCGTGTAGGATCACGATACATATCATACTAATCGGATTCAAAAAAAAAACGCACTACGAAGGCGGGAACAACGCTGCTACGGCCGAACCAGTCCTACGCTCTGTCGCTATGGTAAAGCCCCATTATGAGTAACTCCTTCACAGCCTCGGCAGCAGGCTGATGTTTTTGTCAATATTATTTTTTGGACACTGTGCAGAAGCATCAAGCCAGGCGGAGTCGTAGTGCGGTAGCCTTTCGATGGAAAAGGATGCGAGAGAGTCATAGCGCGAAAGCTTTTCAACAACCCTCCTTTGCCGCAGCGTGGTACCCTTGAGATGGAATGATACGAATTCGAGTCACTCATTAATGTGGGGGACGTCCTCAGAAGAAGAAGCGTTCTAGCCCCTATTCTCTGCCCGGGCGTCCAGACATCTTGCGGACCATCCATCGAAGTAAATGCTTCCTGAACGACTTGTGGCACTGAATGTTACACTCAGAGGCTTGAATTCGAATGAGGAAGGATGACGACCAGAAGGCACGGAGTGTGGTAATTAGTGGCGAGTCTTGTTTTAATCGCGCCCCCCTTGTTATCACCGTCGAATCCGTTACGTCAGCTTCCATATGTAGAAGGACTTTCCCATCACTCCTTGAACCAGTACCACCGTGTCCGTTCGTGTTTCGGCGCGTTTTCCTTTGCTCCTATCATTATCTGATATCGTTATGACCAGAAATCTCTCATGAAATGACCCTGAAAGTATTTAAACTGTCAGGGATGTTGTCGCAAAGCGAATACTGAGCTGGAAGGATGGTCTTCGGCCATTTCAAGAGCAACCCATTACTCGTATTCTCAACGGTGAAGATAGGACCATAAAATTCCATTTGTGTGCAAAAACGCGCAGGTTCTGCACGGGGGGATGTAGAAACACGCAAGAAACGCGCCAGAACGAGGTTGTAAATTAAAGTGTTGTAGTGCACGTGATTCAATTACGTAACCAGACCGACGGTGATAACAAGACCCCCCAGATAAACAACAGACTCATACATACCGTCCGCCCACCCTCAATAGGTATGTATCGTCTGTCTGTCTACGAGAGACTAGTGGCGAAGCAGTGAACACGATGATTTGAAGAGAGAAAAAATCGAAGCAAGCAAGTGGTAAGTAGTCAACACGCATGGAATGGAAGATAAGGACGGTATGAATGTCAGGACGGGGAAAAACCCCAACAGGAGAGTCGAAGAAAGCAGAACATAAGGAACGCAAGGAAAAAATTCTGAAAAACTAAGTTCGGCATAGTCCGTGATAGATCGATACCTTGAATAGAATTTTCTCACGGCTGCTCAACTACATAATAACCAGGTATCCTCAGCATAGGATTCGGAATGGACTTCGATGGCAAGAATGCGTGCTTGATAGTTTTTTAACAAGAGAGAACGAATCAAGCGGGTGACAAAAGACAAGATGACGACCAGGTGAATCTCTGTGGCAGAGCACGATCTTCCCCTTGTGAGAATGACGCGAAGCGCGCGACGATCAACATAGAAGCAGCAGCGGTAACTTGAAATGTCCGGTTCAGCTATGCTTTATTTTGTCCAAATTTTGGGCCTGGGTTGGGGATTAATTTGCCCCAATTTCTGTCCGAATCACGATCTGGGTCCGACTTCAAGGTGGGTCCTTCCCGACTTAGTACGGTCCGCTCCTAGTAGGACAGCGTTTCTTTTCCAACGACGATGAATCCAGCGACTCAATCACCGTACCCGGATATACGTGCCCTACACTGTTTTATACCCATTACCCCCCGCACTCGAGCTGAGAAAATCGCCCTTCGAAAATTGCGGCACGTCCTGTATGTTGAAGATTGCCCAAAATATTGCTCCTTTCTGGAGTTAAGCTCGGCATACATAGCTTTGATGGACTCGTATATAACCGCCCAAAGATATGCAAAGCGGTATGTCATCACTACTCTCTTCCTCTACGTGTTCCGTTAGTTAATTTCTCTCAGTGTTGAAAAAACTAAAGACGCAGCTCTGCTGCTTTCTTCTATCGACTATGTCATAACCGTTGTGGAGAAGCACCAAGACCCTATTCAGAAAATCTCTATGTCAATGGCGGAACTCATGAAGGACGACAGTATGATTGTCAACGACAGTTTCGCTGAAGACTGTTCAAAATTTGCTGAAACTGTGGAAGCTGACGTTGTCATCTTCTTAGATCTATTCCGGAAGACGTTCCAGGCGAGTCATGTTGAGATATTGCTGCATCTGCCTAACTTAAAGAACATACCACTTTCTTAGAACTTCAAGCGCACTGGCTTGCTAGACGTAATGGCAGGCCAATCTGTTCACATCGGCGCATACATTTTAATCTTCTGCGGTGTATGCCTCATTCTATCAAATGAATATCTCCCCACCCAGTTTCATGGTATCACATCGCCTTCAGTTCTTTGGCCGATCCTAACAATTCCTACATATGTTTGTACGTATCAATTAGCTTCACTTTGTGGCTTACTCATCTAGGCTACAGCTTTGCGTGCTTTCAGGCATCTTGGCCGTCTCGAAAGAGCCACCGCCACAGTTTACCGAGAACTGTATATGTTCGTTGCGGCTAGGATGGAGCTGGCTGGCTGGATAAGGTCGTTGGCTGGATTACGCGGTACTAGGCGGGAGTTTTGCCACTTGCTATCAGCAGGCTCGAAACATTCCAGAAGCATGTGCGTATGTTACGCTCATCGCTTCTTGCATGATTCACTTATAATCTGCACTTTCAGTTCACTTCTGGACTGGAAGATTTACTTAACACCTGCGACAGTCTCTGTGACGACGACAAGATATGGGATGACTTACCTTCCTATCCCACCCCAGCTGACTCAAAGTCAGGGTCTGTTTCGCCTCACCAGACCGCGCGCACTCACGATCCTGCGGCTTCCCCAATAGCCCAACAGCCCTCATCCCGCCCCGAAAGTGTTAAGGGGTCCTTGGATGACCGCGCCATGAGGGCTGGCCCTAGTAGCAATCAGACCGTTTCTGGCACCATGAAAGCACTGAGCTCTTCATATGTCGAAGGAAGTCGGCCTCCGGACAATTCTAAATCCGAGTCCGGCTCCGATTCACCTATGTATGTTTTCATTCATTTTTTTGTAACCGAATAATGTTCTCATATTGAAATAGTCAGCATGCCGCGACGGAAGCTACGCCGCTCCTTATACCGAGGAACCTCGCACGCTCTCCTTGATAATGGCAGTCTCTGTACTGGACATTCGCCGTTGCTCATAGACTTTCGGGAGTATCTTCGCCTTGCGGAATTCTCTGCACACTTACCATCCAAGTCACCGTATATACTTGAAAAGCTCCTGAACTGGCTTTGTCAGTCTACAACTATCTAGATTCTGCATTCTCAATCTCTCTTTGGCATAGTGTCGGCTAGCGAAAAGGACTCTTTGAACTTCCGCTACTTGTTGTAGAAATTGCGTTCGAGTCAACAATTGCCTGTATTTTTCTGTCATTTAGATACTTAATGTGCATGTCACTCACTCTTGATTTGACAAGTTCGCGAATGTGGTAAATTGACACAACACACACAAAAGCTAAGAACGCCGCGGCCACTTCAAAGTAATTTCACGGTGCTCAGGGCCCCTAGATCTTCTTCGTATTCGTAGTAACTTGGCAGAACCTAAATGGTTGTCCAGCGTGTACTGAGTCGAGGAAACGCGACAACCCTTCCGGAGATACCAGCATGAAGTAACTTCGACGGTAGGTAAGACATGGACAAGCATGGACAGTATCCAGCTTACTGCTATGAGGGTCGCTCAAATGCAGCAAAGAAGACGGGCAGGAGTTTTATCCTGATCGATGTCTTTGAGAGCTGGACCGTGAAATACCCCCGGAATCCCGTTGGTCATTATGATCAGCAAGGGCTAGAATCCGAACAAGGCAAGAGTCGGATCGGAGGGATTCGTTACATATATGCCCCATGGGCCTCGTACCCTGCCTGAGGGTTGGTGCTCGTCCTAAGAATAGTGGGACGATCACAGAGCAGCTGCATCAATCGAGTGTAATGTTCGCCAGTTGACATGGTTCATAGACACGAATTTTTGCCACGTTAAACTGTGGAATTTGGGATAATCGGTGAATTCACTGAAGAAAGTAAAAGGTGCCATCTGTATTTGAATAATATCAACGTGCAAAAATGTCTTTCGCCGCTGCCATTTAGGTCCTATCAGATCCACGGCTGTTCTAGCTCCAGCAGGTATACCAGTCCCACACGAACTCGTTAGGATCCCATAGCCCCACATACTCGTGCTTGATGGGAAGTTCCTCGGTTTTGTGGCGGCACTCAGATAGTCCGATGCGAATTTTAATCAAAGTATGCGACCCTTCTGCGTACAAGGAAGTCTCTCTGAACAGCTCGATAATGTCCTTCCGACCTGTATAATACGCTCGCCATTCGGGACTTCGAAGTCGGATCTGAATCCTGCTCATCACCTCTCCCAAGTAATTGCAGCAAACCAGAATCTCGCTCGCGTCGTCCCAGAGCATTGAAAAACGCCGAGGAAGACCTTCCATGACGATGAGACGGTACGAGGATAACGTGCAAAATCGTTTGGTAAGGTGAAGTAAAAATTGAAAACCACAGCAGCCTCGGAGCTCTGCGATTAGGAGCTCCTCACTATCCCACAAAAGGTCCTCAAAACGGGTTTCAATGATTTGACAGGCTCTCAGATAGTCCACCTGAGCCGCGCGTATATGATGCTCGGCGTTTGCGATATCTTTATGCGAAGGCTCTGAGCGCAAGATTTGCAATCCTTGCTTAAGAAATTGATACACCTCCTTCCACATAGCGGAGACGGCCTCGAGGAATTCTACAGCAACGTCTCGAATAGGGATAAGAATGTTGGAAATAGCCAAGCGTCGAAAAACGGCTGCGACGGACGTTTGTGTGATCAAGCACACGAGGTTTAAACGGAAGGTTTCCACGTCGTTGAGGAGGGTGTTCAAGGCATCAGCTAGGACAGTTATCTCGTTCTGGTCCTAGGCGAGTCGCATCAGTGCAATATCGTAAGATGTGGTATAGCTGCGAATGGATACCTCTGAGGAATGCTTCATTATATCCAAAAAGTTCAGAGGCTGCATACCCTACCACCTGTCAGTGACGAATGAGTCTTTCATGAAGCAATAAACGCACTTTGAACCGAGGCTTAAGTCCAGATGCAGACATGGTTGCTTAGCCGTTAGTACTTTCCTGGTCAAAGATGCGTGTCTCACACTGTCTCGCGGAAGTCGACGGTACATCGGAAACGTACATAGCGCTCCGTAACAAGAAAGTTGTTGAAAGGAAGCTTGGAACTGAAGTAATGATAATCGAAAGACAGTAAAATGTGATCGCGACTAGTCATGGCGAAAAATGAATTTTGCACCTGTCTTACCTTTGTGAATGCCGCCTTTCGTTTCATTCAACATTCCTTTTAGGGATCCCGTAGCATAAGTTCGTATATGCTTAAGGTCTGATGTTCAATTGACAAAAGACTTCTAGGAACGTCAATATGTACTCCAGTAAAGACATAGATTACAAAAAAAATACAGGTGCACTATAATGATAAAGGTCATTGGGACTGCTCAGCGTAAACCTAGACGGGAAAATTGTCAGTGACAGGAAGTCGCTTCAAAACGAAGCTTGACCTTGATTGTTTTATCAGCACCACCGGTGATCAACCGTGTCCCAGTCATATCGAAGGTCGAACAGAAAACACCTGCTTCTGCTTCAAGGGACCCAGGCTGAGGAACGTCGTCCATGTTCTGGAAGGGAGTGCCCGTATTATAGTCCCAGAATGTAAGAGTGCCATTGTCACCTGGGAAAAGATGTACGGTAATGAGTAACTGCGGTAATGAAAAAGAGCCCGAGGGGCCTCACCTCCAGAGAAGAAGACACCCTCGGCGTTGACCGACAGCGTGTTGATGATTGCGTTATGTCCACTGAAGTTGAACACGAATGTCCCCTCCGGACACTTCCATTTCTTGATGTTGTTACCACCAGCCGATCCAGATGCAAAGGAATATTCCGTGGGATGTATAGCTAAAGACCGAATAGACTTTTTGTGATGCGTGAGTGTCACTATAGTTTTCCCGGCCGCGAGGTCCCATAATCTAAAAGGTCACAGTCAGCATCTGGAGAAGACGGGGAACTCATTGTATTGAAATGCACCTGACTGTGGAATCCATGCTTCCGGTGATGACTTGTGGGTCAGATTCTTGACACTTCACATCTGCAACCGTACCGGTGTGACCAGAGAGAACATGGATCTGGGCCTTTGTCCGCATGTCCCAGACACGGGCAGACGCGTCACGACCGGCAGTGACTAACACATCGAGAGTTGGATGGAGGGATAGGGAATATACACCAGACAAATGTCCGTGGTAATGCCGGATGACCTTGTTGGCTTCCAAGTCCCAGCATTTTACCATCTGCGAAGAGCTCATCAGCATCACCTTCATACTGACTGAACAAAATGAACGCACTTTATCCTCACCACACGAGAAGAGGTATGGATGCCGTGACGATACGGCCAAACCTCTCACGGTGGATATGTGCCCCGTTAGCGATAGCTTCAACTCTCCCGACGCAAGATCCCAGATTTTTATCACACGATCACCAGCACCTGTAGCAAACCATTTGTTGCCTGGCTCGACTGCAACGCTTCGTACCCATCCCAGATGCCCTGAAATGACACGAACAAGCTTCCATGGAGGGTGATACGTTGGCTTGACTGTCCGTGTTGTTTTGTGTAGGGTGAGAGCTTGTGAGAGTCTACTCGAGGATGTGAATGTTGACGGCTTCGAGACAGGTGTGTTGTCGATTTTGGCAATCATACGTGACGTCTCTGCATCTGCCGAGGCTGTAAAACTCAGGACAATTTTTGCGACGTAGTCAAGGGGGCACACCTCCTGCAGTTATTAATTTCCGTTGTTCCTTTGGACGTGACGGTCCCACATGGCCCTGCTGGGAGAGAAGAGCGGTCGGTAGTTCCTTGAAATCACGATACTCGACGTTTATCTTTAACGCTAGCCGTAGTCGTGTGCTGTCGATAAGATATGGGACAATGTTCTGCGAGGAAAATAGGTCACTTACCTTTTCTCTTCGTCTTTGAAGCCTGCCTCAGGACATGAGGCGAATACACTGCGCGTTCTTTTTCCATTCAGATTGAAAAGTGGTCCCAGAGGCGGCAAGGCAGCGGTCGACATGGCAGAAGAGAAAAGAAGAGACCGTCGTCGTGGTCGTCGACGTTGAGCAGTGTAACCCTAACCCCAGAGAAGGTAGCCAGTAATGCTTAGTCAGAGTCCCAAAATGGATAGACGACAAACCGAGCAAAAAAGCTCAAAAATTCATCGTCTGTAGCAACATGTATCGGCTGCTACCTACTTCTCTAACGAGTATGTGCCAGAGATACTCTTCGCTCTTTCCACACAACTGCTTTCAGTGTCCGGCATATATTGGGACCGTGAGAAATTTACGTAATCTGCTTGCGCCTGCTTTGTTTCGAAGCCTCAGCCACTTCCGCACGGTTCTCTCTCTTTCGATTGTACAGCGATAAGGAATTGCTGTAAACTTCCTGGAGAGAGTCTGTATTCGTCTGTATTCGTCGTGTAGCAGTGTATCCGGTGTACGTCGCACAACTATAGTAGGAGAGGCATACACAATGTCGCAAGTGTTAGAGTTAAAGAAACACGCTAAACAGCTTCAAAGCAGTGGCGCTTCTGAAAAGGTGTGTGTTGCCTCTGTGTTGCACCTCTGTGTTGCTGATGTTGTCTCTGTAGGAACTTACAGCTGTACTACACATACTAAAGAAAGATTTCCAAGTAAATGAAGCGGTCCTTAGGGTGAGTATTTCACCTCGATTTTTTTCTGGTCGTGTGGGCATGTACTAATCGGGATTCAATAGGAAAGCAGAGTCGGTCTTGCTGTCGGAAAGCTACGAACGCATGCATCGAAGACTGTCTCCGACCTGGCGAAGGATATCGTAAAGAAGTGGAAGAACGACGTGGAGAAGGCGAAGCAAGGCCATCATCACAGTGGAGGGTCGAGCAAGCCGGTGCAGAATGGAAAACCAGCCCCGAGTGCGTTTTGGTTCTTTCGTCAATCACGAAAAGTCTTGACAGTCGTTTTCTACAGTCAGGAAGGCCTCAGTGGCTTCGGATGGCAAGCCGACGACGCAGACAGCAAACAAGGCGGCCACGAGGTCGGCCAAGACGGACGGCGTGGAAGTCAAGATGTTTGGGGACGATACAAGGAACAAATGCCTTATACTCATGTACGACTCTCTTGCGTTGGACTCGAATGCTCGTGAGTACTGTACCGAGATCACTAGTCACCTACCTAATATTCTTTGCAGCCAGCGACCTGATCCTTAGGCGAGCTCAGGCGGTTGAAAAGGGAGTCTTCGATCTCTCCGGAAGTGCCGACGCCGAATACAGGGGGAAAATACGTTCCTTGTTCGTCAATCTGAGGGACAAGAGTAATCCCTCACTGAGAGAAGGCGTTATAAGTGGCGACGTACCTGCTGAGAAGCTGGCTACCATGACCAGCGAGGTAAGAAATTTTCCGCCTTGGCTAGATGCTGCATGCTCACCACGTCCAGGACATGGCCTCCGAAGAAAGAAAAGCTACTGATAGCAAGATTCGAGATCAAAACTTGTTCCAATCTCTTAGCGCCGAAGAACAGCAGGCAGAGACAGAAGCATTCCAATGTGGAAGATGCAAACAGGTGAGTCCAGCGAACAATCAGTACGGCACGTTCTATTGATCCCATCAACTTTTTAGCGAAAGTGTCGCTATCGTCAAGCCCAGACGCGGAGTGCCGACGAACCGATGACTGTACGTACTGTCCATTGCGTTTGTACGTATTTCAGTAGCTGACGCTCTCTCTCTTCTTAGACCTTCGTAACGTACGTTCACCCCCTTTACTAAGCTGCATCGTACTGACCTTCTCCTTCTCATTAGATGTGTCAATTGTGGGAATAGGTGCGTTTGCCCATTTTCTTCCTTAATCCTCCAGCTGATTCAACCTTTACTAGATGGAAATTTTCATAAACAGCGCGTTATATTTTTGTCGCTATTGATCCCCCGTATGCCGTACACTCCATCTGCTCTTAGTTTTATAGTATCGTGAACCAACAAGTAATGGTTTTTTGTATGATCATCTTTCGCTCCATTATACCACGTTTATTTCCTTCTGTTCATATCTGTCATTGTGCCTCGATTTCGCGGTATTGCGGGCAAATGGGATTTCTTTTCACCTCACTTCCCGACACTATTTTTTTTTACCAGCTTTGCTCCATTTTTCATCGTCATCATCTATTTCGCGGCTTCGTTATGTACTGACCGCGTGTCTCGTTTCCACATTCATTATAAGGAAATAGCGAGTTAAATGTGTCTCCGTGGAGCGCTGCGATCCCTTCTAGTGGCCAAAAAATGGAGGGAAAACATATAAAGCCTCGCTGTGCGTAATTATTTTTTCCTTCAGCCACATAATGATCGCCAGGCACGTTCTATAGTGACGTCATTATTAATTGTCGCCAAGCCAATGGGGGTTTTCACGTCATTAAGTCATAGGTCAAACCACATCGACGTCATCTGCCTCCACGGGCCATGGGTATATAAGAGAATAGACAATTCATCAGAAAGTCTCACTTACCCACACGTTCGAACCAAAAATCAATTTCATACCCCTAGCACCGTTAAACATGGTACGCGTCGATACAACAACCTTCCTACACTTGTTTCGTACTAAATTCAACGCGTTTTTTCCAGGGATCTGTTGTTTCTGCAATCGGACGTGGTATAAACGCAGTCATTTCTGCAATTGCCAATGTTATTATGACCATAATTGGTGCTATTACTACGGTACGGCCTTTTATTATTGCACAACTTTACCAGGACTGATATAAAATGCTGCAGGTGATTGTTACAATCTTTGACATTATCGCAGACATTCTGTGCTGTCGCTGCTGCGGCTCGCGACGAAGCAGCATGCGCACGGGAAGGAGACGAGGACGCGCCACTTATTAGATGCAGACACCACACAACACTGCCGATACGAGCTAACTAATATACCTCTGTATTTCTTGACCATCGTTTTTTCATACTTTATTTCTCAAACGTACTAGTCGTACACGATTCCACCTCCTTTGTCCGATAGTTCGCCCAATACACGTCCAACTCTTTACGGATGTTCTAGATAGGTACCCTGCCACTACTAGTCCGCCGTCAAGGTTATTTAATTTGACTGTATCTTCCGTTATGCATCGCGAAGGATGTTTCTTCAAGATGTTTCAACTATCTCCAAGAAATGGGGCACCCCGGTAAAGCCACATTTGGACTCATCCGCCTTTCCAATGTGGTATAAAAAGAACAGAGTCTCAGAACCTTGCTCAGAAAACTATCCATCTGAACCAAAAACCCACCTTGTATCCACTACTAAAGATGGTACGCATCAAATAATTCTCGTCTGCTTGTTTTGTATTGACTTTTCCACGAGGGATCTGTTATTTCTGCATTGGGACGTGGTATCGGTACCATCTTTGCTACAATCGGACGCGGTATCGGCCGCATCGTTACTTCGATCTTCAACGTCGTGACGACGATAATCAAAGCTTTCACAGCGGTACAGCCCTTCATTCTCGTCTGGCTTTGTGTCGAGACTGACAAACTGCGTAGGTCTTCATTTCCATCTATGATGTTATCTCGGACATTGTTTGCTGTCGCTACTGCGGCTCGAGACGAAGTCAAATGCGTTCAGGGACGAGGCGGGACATCATTACAAAGAGGCAGGATGGCAACGAGAAGAGGGACGAAGGCACTCCCACGTATTAGACGCCGGGTTTAGTGGTATTGTACATAGCACTGAACATCCGTGAACGAGCTACCGCATAATATAGGTATGTTTGATGCGATTACAATGATATTGAGGAGTCCAACAGCGTCTACGACCCCTTTTGATGGTATATAATGATACGGCAGACGACAACGATGAGAAAAAATTTGGATGGTCATGATAGGGATAGCATTTTGATGCGACTACTCACTACTACAGCAACGTTAATTTGAAGGTATTTGTTTCCAGTACCCAAAATCTGCGGGTGTTGAACTAGACCTTCCATGACCTGTGTTATAAAGTGCGAAAGACGCTCCTTTAAAGAAGAAACCACTGCAACACAACGTGAGCCTGAAGTCCTGCAAGAGATGTGAATAGACTCACCCTGTCGGCGGAACAGTCATATACACACTACTGAACGTCGTGAGATACTCGAAATGTCCCTGTTGGCCTTCTGCATAACCCAATGTATACTCCGTAGACTTCGCTATAACCTTCAACCGTACTGGCTGGTCAGTCGTCTTAAGCTCGTAGTAATTCGTTGTGGTGGCCGTATTATTGGCAAACGTCAATCCCCATGGCCCTACTTGTTGCGCAGGCACCAGCGTCCGCGTTACAATATACCTCTTCCCAGACCCCCCGGCATCACCAGTGATTCCAATATCGTTGTGCATCATGTCGCCATAGAAGACACTCAGTCCGGCCTCCGTCAAATTAGTAGCAGGGGAAAACTCGAGGACCGTCTCAAACGTCTCCTCATATGCGGTTTGTTTGCGTATTATGATGGCCGCGCTGTCTCTGTCTCCAAGTGCGTAGCCGTTCGCTTTCAGCCTGAGGTGTCCTGGGCGGGCAGTGAGTGAGTGAAACGCCTTGTATGGATTTCGGACGAAATAGAATGAATTATCGAGAGTTGCCGAGGTGAAGCCGTTAGTGTATGAAGAGAGCGGGGACTTGTCTTCCAGAATACCGTCCATATGCAAGCTCAGGGGCCGGCCTCCGTTGAATACAGGCCAACCATCTTCCCATGTCACAGGGAACAAGAAGGTCTGGCGTCCTGACAGAAGACCGATGTTAGCGCCTGTGCCAGGGAGAACATAGGATTACTTACCTAGTTGCTGGTAGCTAAAGTTCCCGTTCTGCGGTACAGTTCCCAGGCAGGTACCCCACCAACTTCCGTCCGCTGCTTGCATGAAATCGGCATGGCCAGTAGACTGCACGGGTAGCGAAAGGTTTGCGCCATTGTAAATGATCGGGTTGCTGGGATTGTTTTCCCAAGGCCCTGACGGGGATGGACCACGCTGAATAGTAGCTTGATGATTAACGCCCGTACCGCCTACAGTATTGAATGTGAGTGACGCAAGTATTAAGCCATAATTAGCTGAGATGTTTACCTTCTGTGATCATTAGGTAGTAGGTACCGTTGACCAAATATACATGCGGACCTTCAGGCCTAGACGTCGAATTGTTGGGAAGAGTGCCATTGAAAATATGTTTATCACAAGTGAGAGAATCTCCTGTAACGAGATCAATTTTACTCTGGTAGATGCCGTAGATTTTGTCCACGGCGTTATTTATTCCAGTCCATGTAGCGTATACCTGCGAGATTATTTTCAAAACTGCTTATAGTGCACTGGCAGGATCTACTCTTACATCGCCGTTGGTATCCCAGAACAGATCTGCGTCATATCCAAGAAAGTCTGGGTGAAACATTAAGTTTGATGGAATGAACATAACGTAAATTACAGAACACGCACCGAAGTAAACCGGATCACTCCATTCGCCTGAAAATATGTCTTCTGTGGAAACGTAGAAGCTTCGAGGGAAGAGCCTGAATTCCGCTTTACGGACATCAGCAAGTGTGACGACGCGTAGTATGAGATAGACGCACGAGTATAGACATATCTGGTCGTGCACACGAGATAATATACCCCCTCGTGGAATCTCAGAGTTGGTGCCCAAACGCCTTCAGGTACATCATACTTAGCGCCCAGGCCACGGGCAGATATGGAAGGATGGCACTGACCAGCATCTGATGGAGTTCCCAGAAGCGACAGCTGTAATGGTCGGGTCAATCCATGCCCAATGAGATCCCAATCTACGAGATTCGTGCTGTGATAGACGGGGACTCCAGGAAAGTACTCGAACGTGGACGTAGCAATAAAGTAATTCGATCCTACGCTCAGTATAGAAGGATCTGGATTGAAGCCCGGGAGTATTGGGTTAATCAGTGCGTGAACTAGTGCTGCGAGAAATCAGCATGATGTTCTTGTGATACAGCGGCGCGGCGTACCGACTCCGCTTCCAAAGACCATCAACAGCAAAGAAAAAATGCTCGGCATCGAGATATAATGAGAATATTTCAGAGATAGCTGGCCTTGAGGACGTCATGTTTTTTTGCTCATATATATGTGATTCCCAAAGGTCAGCTGGATGGTGGCGGTTTTTAGTCGGGAGCCTGTGGTCGGGCCGTCCGGTAGCAGCGGGAATAAAAAGTACAGTATCTTTAACCTTATTGCTTAGCATTAGCATAATAAAAGGCAGCGCTGTAGAAAAAATGCCCACCCGGTGTAAAATTCGAGCTTTTGTCCTGCTATGGTTAAGATAACCGCCAAGGTCCGCCGGGCATAGTCGGGCCGCTGGAGCGGCTTGTTTGGTATCGTCACTTTTACCAAATACCGGATCTCGACGGCAGAAGCCGTACTTTTCTTTCTCTCTCCTACCATCACTTCATGTCCGTATCGCCTGGCTAGCTTTTTCTCGGACATTCAGCTTAGTATGGGTGCCTATTACGACGAGATTGAAATCGAAGACATGGTGTGGGATGCCGAGAAGCGTGTCTATCACTACCCATGTCCCTGCGGAGACCGCTTTGAAATTTCACGACAGCAGCTGGCCAATTATGAAGACATTGCTACTTGTCCTAGTTGCAGTCTCATAATTCGTGTCATTTATGATCCTGTGAGTTGACATTTCGCTGGTTGTTGTTTTGTGGGAAAGGCTTATCCGATGGGGCGTAGCTAGATTATGAAGATGAGGATGAGGAAGAGGAGGATGAGAATGGTGACGAGGAAGAGAGCGGGAGCAGCGGTGATGAAGACTTCCAGGATGCTATCGAAAAGCTTTCCCTTGGCGATGCCGAGGAAGACACCAAGGCATGACCCACTGGATTTGTATATTCTTACTCTACATATGCTGTGCGCCCTTGTTCTCTCCTTTTTAGCTTGGAGATTTGACATATTATCTATGCAGATGTATTTTCTATTTTCATTCCGTGATCATGTACGATATTAAGTCTATGTCGCCGACTAAGAGCATTGTCGTATTCACGACGATCCGCGATGAGCTCGACCCATCTCTGACAAGCGGTTAACTTCCTAGTTGTGCCTCGTGACAGCTGGTCCTCGTTTCATGTCCTCTCTGCATGGCTTGACTGTAATCGGTGAGAGGCACCGGGATGCCTTATGAAACTTTACTCTGTTACCGCACGGAAATACAGCCACTGTCCATGTCGCACACCCCTAGGTCCTGCCGGTTGTAAACCCACGGAATTGAGCCGTCGCCCTTTTTCCCGACATCCTTATGTTTTGGACATTGACGCGCCTGTTCAGGACTTTTCTTACCGACTGTCTTCTCTTCTTATGAAGTCTCATCTCTTTTCTCGTGGGTGAGTGACCTCAGCATGTTGAACAGGCACATACTCATGCGTTTGTTGTTGTCAGCCGCGCTGCTGATTTGGGATCCATCCAATAAGGATGCCTCAGAAGATCTTTAGACAACCAAATCTCATTGGTTCGTCCATGATTTCATCTCTCACTTGAAAGCTATCAGTTTCAGCTGACATCATGGCCGCGTCATAACTTCGCTTTCGTCTCTTCACAAAACGAAGGAGTTGACTTGTAACATTGCAGTCACTTTGAATCGGCAGGCCGACCGTCTTGGCGTACCATGCTCGGCAATTCCGGGGTCTTCCCTCGTACATTGCGCCTCATGTTTTGATACATTGGTCAGACAAGAAATGCGAAGCCAAGATATAACCAAGCTTGCTCTGATCTTTCCGCTACATTCCCACGAATTCTCCAGAAGGAGCCAGTAAACCGTCTCATGGCCATACCACGTCGACGGTGCCTTTGTTTTCATGATCGTGCCGCGGCATTCATGGATTTCGACTTTAGAAAGACTTCCATGTCGCTGTGGCGCGTTTTCATTTTCGGGCGGACATTGCTGGGGTTCTTCAATCAGCGGATGATGAGACACGAACACGAAATGAAATCGTGGAGGTCGCCGTTCTCGCTAACTAGCTATAAAGCACTTTGTTTGAAGGATGGGTTCTGCAGAAACACGAACTTGACTGAACAACAATGTCTGCCAACGAAGGCTAGTCACCCTCTAGAGCTTTGACTGCATATTTCTTACGGTTATCCAGGCGGCACCAGCGCTCTCAACAACTGTAACCCTTTCTGAGTCTGTTTATAGACTGTTCCTCATAGTCCTCTAGATCTTCAAGGATTGAACCGTCTTGACGCTCTTAGCTGGGTCGAGACCACCTCCGGTCCCCAAAATGCACCCACTTGGACGACGGTATGCAAAAGTGAGCATCGACGCGGCTCTTCTACATTTTTCTAACGTATCTTCCTGTAGTTGACGGCGTCGTTCGTGGAACCGGTACGGGGTCAAAGAAGCACGTCGCCAAGAACGAGGCGGCAAGTCAAGCGCTGAATTACTTGAAGAACCCACAGTAGACCACTGGATTGTCGATGCCTCTCTGATTTGACTTTAGGACTGTAATATGATACCACGCATGTTTTGATACGATACCACTATGTCTTCTCTCGCAATTTGACTTTTTTCATTTCCACACAATTTCGAACTCCACTAGTAAGATCGTCAATCAGGAACATGAAGACGAATACGGCTGGATATCATGTGTCTACGGCATGACAACACGCGACCCGAGGGGAGATGATAACATTTCGTCTCAAAACACATCGGTTCTTTGTATGTTATCCAGTGATATGTACATAATTAGTGTAACTTCACATTACCGGCACAGGACTTGTAGATTAGAGATGCATAACCGAAGATTATAATGATATCGCTATAATAAGGTGAAAACACTAAGCGAAGTCGGGACATGGCGCCCCTCCTTGCTGTAAGAGACGTCAGCAGAGGAACATGAAAGGGAGGATGAGGTCTTACCTGCTCCAAAAATGCATATATTATATCATCGTCCTCTATATCATGCTGGTTCGTTGCTGGTTAGAGCTCAATGCCTCCACCACACAGAAGGTCACGACACTTACATCTCCTGGAGTCTCTTCAGGCCGCAATCGATCCCCGTTCAGAACAAATTTCAAGGTACCTGTACCCAGATAAATGATAAGAAAAATAAAATGCCTGCAAGATTCTAACCACGAACTTTTTCTACACACGTCGAGTTAGCTAACAGAACGCGTCAAAACGCGTCAAAAGCATACCTCCGCAGCTGTAAATACTTTAGCAAATTTTGTCGTCCGCTTTATCGCAACTGTTATCTCTGCATGGTGTGATTAAACGCGAATGCCACTGGGAGATAGATACAAAGGTGAACCTACGCTTGTCGCCGTCGCCCCCATATTTGATGGTAATGTTGATCTTCGGCTTAGTATCTTCTCGTTCTTCTGACATTGTTGAAGGCAGGATATGGAGGAGGGCGACAGGAATCGGGCCTAGTGGTGGTTGAAAGATAGAATTAGGGTCTCGGATTAACGGTGATGCACACTAAAAAGGAAATGATGAAGTCACGAGCGTCACCTCTTGAAATCATAAATATAATATTTAAATATTAATAATGTTTGCGGACACCCTTCGCAGCTCCCATGGGGCACGATTCGCACGAAGTTCTGGAATCCCTACCTGATTGTTTCCCTAAGTGTATGTTCCCTAACCCCGATTAAATTGTTGTTAAATTGGCCGTTTCGAAACACCTGAAGGTTATCTAGTACTCAGCATCCTAAGGCATGGCTAGTATTTACGAGAGAATAGCGCTACATGCTGCCTGCTATCTATGCATCCCAGAAGACATCTTCGGACGTTCTATCGTAGTACCTGGTTCAACAAATCGAAGATGCCGTGCCATTGAGAACATTTCCTACATTCACCCCTCCTTACTCGCTACCGCGTCGCCGCATCCCATCTTATCTCATCTCATCATTACATGGCAATGTTCCGCAGTGGGAGCCATAGGGTACATTGCCATCACACGACTTGACCGTGGAATACTTTGTTCAAGTTCAACACAAGTTGAATCCGTCTGGTGGATATTTTCAGAGCTTACCTGAAAAGTTCGGTACAATTGCTGGTGGGCAAGAAACGAACCTGAAACCCTTCATCGAAAGAAATTTGAACATCAAGCCGCACCTCATTAATCATTTCCGGGGGACGTGGACAAGACGTGGATCGTATGGAGAAGGTTTTCTCCAGTTCATGAAGCAGATCCCGGATCTTGGTCCACTCAGATCGACCTGCTTGACGAACTACTAGGCATCCGCAGTTCATTGTGAGCAACTATGACTTGTGCACAGTGCAGTGTGCATTGGCAATGATTTGGTCAAAAACACAGTGGGCACGTGTTCCACTGCCCACAGACTCGCATTATGAATGTAGATTGGGTACATCGACTCGGAGGCTATTCAGACTGATTATCAAACGCCAGCTCCCCGCTATGGAGTTCCGTTCATGAGGACAATTGCTGCGAGTTCCCACTGTAGTAAGCAAGGTATCTGGTCCAGGTTGCAGAGTTTTCTCGCTGAGAGGGCTTGAAATTTCGAAGGTATAAGCATCTCCGGGCGCATCAATTGTTTTACTGGAAGGCGCCATTAGTAAACGTGTTTCGGTGAACAATTATCGCAAAGAATATAATTCCAAGTTATTTTCGAATTACACCGCTCGAGGAACTCTGCATCCACCACTTGAACACAAATTCCAGCCACAAGACCAGGGAACCCATCACGCAATACCGAACCACGCCAAATCCATAGTTTCATGGACAGGCACTGTATGTCCGACGCCTGCAGCTGAATAACCAACGACTACATCGCCGTATGTGGTCTTTGTGTATGCCGACTGTGGGTTGTTTTGTGCCGTCGTCGTCGGTGTCTGCGAAACGTCAAGGACATTGGTCCACTCTTTGATCTCTTCTCCATAGTTGGGGTAGGCCAGAGTCGTATCACTGTGAAGATAATAGCGTCAGGTTACGCAAAATATCAAAGCTAGATGAAGATTCATACGCGGTACCGTGCCACAGCATCATCTTCGGACGTGAACCCGTATATCCTGGGTAGGCCGCACGGACTTCGTCGCCCTATATTGGGTTTCAAAAACGTAACATTGACAAAAGTGCGATAAGAACAGACCCATTGTTGCGCGGTCTGAATGAGCTGTCCTGTGGAACATTGAGAGTTCCAAGCATTGGGACCAGCGAAGCAGCCAAAGGGTACACCCGAATATGCAGAGGCTGCCGCGAAGAGTTCAGGGTATGAGCCGGCCATGACGTTCGTCATCATCGCTAAACGGACGAGCCATCAATAAATGCATGAATATAAAGGACATGACAAAATTATGAAATGACAAACCTCCAGAGGACGTCCCAGTGACGAAAACCCGAGATGCATCAACGCCATAGTTGGCGATGGCATAGGTAACCATTGACGCGATACCCTGTGAATCTCCACCACCATTGTGCGACAACGTAGCAGGTGTGTTGACGTCGAAGCACTTTCCGCTTCTCGGGGCGTCTGGGTAGATGACAATGTATCCATGTTGGTTCGCGAGATTGGCGTATTGAGTGCTTGAGTAGTAGATTTGAGCCGAGGCCGTGCATTCGTGGATGGCGACGATGAGGGGAGGGTTGCTTGGGAGGGTTGCGGGTCTGTAGACGAACATGCCTACGTTGTTCGGGTTAGGCCCAAAGTTGGTCACTTGTGTCAGTATGCCAGCTGGGGGAAGGGATCCTGTGGGGGTGCTTCCGGTTCCAGTAGTAGTAGAGGTGGGGGGAACAGCGGTAGTAGAGGTGGGGGGACCAGCAGGGATGGTGGTGGAAGAAGCGGCTCCGGGTAGGCATTGGGAGTAGTCTTAAGATGAGAGATCGTCAGCAAACATGGTCTCCTACTCGTTGCAAGCACTTACAGGCGTTTAATACCACACACTGTGTACCAGCAACGCAAGTGGTTGGTCCAGTCCATCCAATTCCCTAAAGACACAGGTTCAGAGAACGAGTTTCGGAAGGATGTAGACCATATGTACCCCACATTGCCCCCATGTTGGTGACTGAGAAAGCACCGGACTGGAGAGTGCAGCGACAATAGCCAAAGACACAAGCGTGGAAATCGATTTCATCTTTCAGAGATGTAGAGGACGACGGATTTACCCCTCAACTTTTATGTAGACCCACTTCACTGTAACCTGATCAACTGAGCTCGTCATCTACCCGCTAATTCCCCGAATAGTTTCCTGATTTGCATCACATGCAGGTAGAGCTGATGACACTGGGCAATACTCGTCATCGAGGATGTTCCGAACCAACATCGGTGGACCCATACGGCATTAAGCCCAGCCAGCAGTACGGAATGCATACTGCCCAAAAGCTTGATTTATATCAACTTTCGACAGCGCTTCCGTCGACAATTTACCGAGAAATACGATGTTCAATGAATGGTATCTCGACTCCGAGAAGGGCAATATCAGTAGTTATGGTCAGGCTTCCATTAACAAGGTTTCTCACCTTATGGTTGGAGGAGAGCATGCGGGAAAATCTCCTTAATATACCGGGTGTTTCGGTGTATAGATCTGCCTTTACTTGTCAGTACTTGATCCATGTATAAATGCGTAAATTTGGGGTATTTCGAATGCCAGGGTAGCGAGATGCAAGTAGGTAAGCACTTGGCTTGCACTGGCAGGCCGACGCCAAGCTCAACCAAATAGTCTGCGTGTTATTGAGAATTAACTAATTAAATAATAAATATACAACGTTGAGACCTGCTCAACGTATCAAGGATTAATGGATGCTATTGCTCTGCTCCAAGCTTTGCAGTGGTAAAGATGCTTCATTTCGTATCTTAGCCGATTCTCAGCTTGAATTCACCATACTGAATGAAGCGTTGATCACTACGGCAATAGATACCAAGTATCAGTGTTCCTTCTTCGAATGACCATTCTTGGTCTTCAATCTCGAGGTTCTACGGGCAGTGACATCCTTAAAGGCACTTTCAACGCTACTATCGTTGGCTTCCAGTTATAGATATATCTATCTCCAGTACCTCAATTCGAGCTGCAAGCGTATTCTGGGGTTCTAGTCAGGCTCTTCCGCTAGACCTGACCGGTCCCCTACAATGAGCAAGCCCTTCATCGACGCTTGCTGATTGTAGGGGCCAGTCACAGGTCTACTCTTTCGCATTTTGCTTCGGACTATGCACTCAACGGCCTTGACAGAGGGCTCGAATGCTTGAGCACTAGATATGGATGATCACGACCGTCGTTGGTTGCCGACCATCCTATAACGCGCGAGTAGCAATTCACCATTGATGAAAGTGATCGCGGAGTCCCGAGGGCAGGAAACGTACTGCCTACGGAAGCGGCGACCAAAATGATGGATGAATCTAGGAGCCCACTCGCCGACTCTTTCCCGCAAATCAGACTACTCCGCTTATATTACTGAGTGAGAACCTGCGCACTAAGTGCGCAGTTCTAAGATAGATCAGCCTGATCAATCTGAACAAATCAAGCAACTTCTGACCTCGAATAATCGAAGGCTACAATAAATGGGTCAGTACGGTTCTGAGCACCTACTACGCACGGGCAGCATGCCTCGATGGTAAAGCAATGGCCTGGCTTCATGATTTCCAGGCTCTTCACTGTCTAAGCGTCATTCAATTATAGCAGCAAAGTCCAGTGACTCAAACTTACAGGCGTGTAATATCCAGGGTTTAGTGTGGAAGGTCGTTCCAATCCCATGACCATGAGTGAATTGCTCCGATATACAAAATCCCATGCGAAGCTGAGATCTACAGCCAGCTACGATGACCTGACCAATAGCTTTGAAGGGTTTTCCCGGTCCGCAAGCTGCTATACCTGCCTTGAGGGAGTTTAAAAAGGAAACGATGTCGTGGACCGCGCTAACTTTAAGCACTGGAATTTGTCATGTCTACTCAACATCTCCTATTCGAAAAGGCAGCCAGGATGACGAGTTTACCCTCCGCTTCCCATCGCCTTTCGTCCCTCTTGGAATCACGGATCATGTTTTCTGACACCCAAAAGACATGACTCAAATATCGTGGACGTCGTGCCGTACCTACACTCACCCTTTCAATATCATGATGTTGTCTTGCTCTCTGAAATTCGATAATTCTGCCCGGTTCGTTGTGGAAATTTCCACGTACTGTATGGCAACATGGCCCAGGCCAGATCGTACTTGAAATAAAGACATTTCAGAGTTTGCGGCTCCACCAGTCCCGCCATTGTTAGTCCCCGTCGGGCGTTGACATTTTTAATACCCTTCAAGGAATTATTCCTCCGCCACATATTCCCCATCTGAGAATCCTGGACCTTCTCAGGAATATCAAATAGTATTCATGCGTAATGAAGGTCCATTTCCTCAATACGGATTGGGTAGCCAGTCATCATGGTCACTTGGACTCGATTTGATCCCGGTCAGCCTCATGGCGTCTGCTTCGTGTCACAGCTGCTATGGGGCACAAAACACTGGAATTGCTGCCTGCCTGTATCGCTAAGTATACATTTATTAGTCTCAGTTAAATTGACTATTTCCTGAAGTCTCAATCACTCAGCTGCCGCCGCATCACCAATGCTACTGGTAACTTCGAGACAGTTACCACCGGTGTCTACATACAGTCTGCCGTCTATACATCTCAGAAGTCATCTCCTAAAATTCTATCTAACGTACCTGGTTCGATATATCGAAGACGCCGCGCCATCGAGAACCTTCCTGCATTCTCCCCTACTTACTCGCTACCGCGTTGCCGTATTCCATTCCATCTCATCTCATCTCATCAGTACACGGCAATGTTACACGGTGGAAGCCATACAGAACATTATCTCACGACCTGACCGCGGAATACTTTGTTCAAGTTGGACTTGTTGGTAGATATTTTCACGGAGCTCAGTGGTCCCCCCATGACTTGTAAAGTTCAGTACAGTGACTAAGGAACTACTTGACCTGAAACCCTTCATCGAAAGAAATTTGAAGAACATCGAGCTGCTTCTCATTTCCGGGGGACATGAGTCGTACGGAGAATGCTTTCTCCGGTTCATAAAGCAGATTCCCGGATTTTGGTCTACTCGGGTCGACCTGCACAAGGGCTTACCAGACATCTGCAGTTCTTTGCGAGCACTCATGACCTGCTTTGATGGAAAATACCACAGCGTGAAGGTGTTCCGCAGACTCCCTTTGTGAAGGTACCCTGACATCGAGATCACTCAGACTTACTTGGTACTTGGAGAGACCCGCTTTAACGAAAAATAGAGACTTTCATGTTTCGTTATGATTTTCTTTCAGTTTAGACACCGTTTGCAAATGGAAGATGAAAGGACTGGGGAATTCAAAGACCAGAGAACCTTGATTAATCTGCCCTTGCTGAGCGCTGAACCCTAGCGACATACAAGTCCCCAAGTCATCGCCTCTGGTCCTGGGTAATCGTCGAAGTCACAGTGGTCGTATAATTCAATACATGGCCAAAAAGACAACCGTCAGCTATATAGTATTACAAAACGACAGCAAGAAAACAGCTGCAAGACAACAAATAGACGGTACAAAAGCACATCAAGATAGACAGCACAAACACACTACAACATATACACCAAACAGATTCCTCCGTCCTACTAAATTCGCGGCTCTAGATATAGAACATACTGTCCTTAATATTGTCATGGAGCTGAAAACGCACCATCAGTCAGCCGTAATACTACATAATAGAAATACACTTACCCCGTTGCCCCAAGCCTTACGCGCAGCATCAAACACTCTCGCCGCCTCCTCATCCCGGCTGAGTGACCCAGAAACAGTCGAGGCGTCGTCCGTCAAGAAGTCATTCAAATAGCACCTTCCCCTCTCGCATGCAAGATCCGCATAATATGCCGCGGGAATGAGGCTCACAGCTTTCGTGGCCCGCGCGTACAAATAACTGGCATCGTTCGTTCCCTTCTGAAGATCATCCACACCAAGGCTGTTCTCGTCGTAGATGACAACGTAATGCGTTGGCCTGACGGTGCCCTGCAGACCAGCGTGCGCTTGGAGATAGAAATCGTAATCAAATCTGCATACAAAGGTAAGAATGATGCACTGGAGGAAAGAGAGATGATCGCTTACACTCCGGTAACACCCTTGTCAACCACTGTCCCAGGTTTCGTGTTACCATTCTTATCTGCATCTGGACCATTTGTAGGGTAGAACCTGAAAGTAGTTGAGCGAAGAGCCAGGGGAAGACAGCAGTGCAACCTACCTAGCATTATGGCGCTTCCCGCATATGATGACAGATACAAGCGGTTTATACGCCTTTCTGTCCTTGGTATTCAGTCTCTTCGCAGCCTCCTTGATTTGTACAAGCTCCTCTCGAATGACAATATCATATTGGCCCTAGAACAGCAATGTCACCGAGACCGTCGCAGTGGATTGCCGATGTCACTTACCTCGGAGACACCATCCCGGAACACTAGAATCCTCTCCGGCAATGCCTTGTTCTTCTTCTCATAAGCTAACAGACGTTCGAGCAACATATGCTGCAGCTCCTCGACGACCTAAACGGGATCATAAGCAGCCGCAGAGAAACTAACAGGAATAGAACCAACCTCCTTCGAATGCCTATTGGCATCAGGCCTCTGGATCCTCATGCTCGCCGGGAATTGGACAAAATCATCATCCACACTCGCCACGACCGCCGCGATCGACGGAGTGCCAAATCTTGTCCCCGGAGTAGGGTGGGTAACATCGATCCCCACCATCATTGTCTTCTTCTTACGCAACCACCTCATCGCTTGATCGTCCAACTGAACACACCCTGTCAGTACGTCATTCAAACACTCTTTGAAGATAATAAATACCTTGTGATTGATCCCGCCAAGCTTCGTATTCACCTTCAACGCGATATTCGAGAGGTATTGGTCCTGTTTGTCCTGTCTCAAGGCTTTCTCAAGCTGCATCGTAACCGTCTGCAATCCCAGCTCAGAGTCTCCGATCCGCTAGTACCATCTATCAGCGAGGGCCTTCCCAGATACAAAAGAAGTACCCACTTTGACACCAGGATAAATGAAATTATCCCTATGCATTAACAATACCAACACAAAACTCGGCCTAGGACCTGTTTGCATCGCATGCTGCAAATACGATCTGATAGTTCTCAGAGAATTGACCCTCCCAGGATCCTCGTGCACAGGAGGTAGCGCTGGTAGCTCCTTCAGCAATCGCGGCATCCCTCCTGGAACATTCATCCCAGCCGATTGCAGCTTCCTCGAAAACGCTATGATCAGTGGCTGTATCTGATCCGGGGATGGATATCTGTTCTGCGTTCGTTCCCGTATCGGGAGCACCCAGAATCCGCTGACAGTCGCACCGCGGTGGAACTTGACATCAAGGATATTCCACGAACCGTTGGCTACTCTCGGTACACCAACGCGATACGACAACGATGGAGGGGCGAGTTCACGAGCTGGAATGACAGCCATTTCCAGGTCGATGGAGAGGCCAAACCCGTCGATGGGCGGCTGAGGAGGCGAAAGGGATAGTCTTTGGAACCCCTCATCAACAATAAACTCCGCGTTAACGCGCGGAGGGTTACACGCCAATCGAATCATTTGTGAAACCTCTTGTTCGCCTAGCCGTCCTCGGTACGGATTCCCAGCTTCGATCGTGCACAGTTCCGCGGGTAGCCATGTTGGTTTCTTGATACTCCCGACATTGACAACTGGGAGGTCAGCTCCATGACGCAAAGTAATGTTATATTCTGTACGAGGGTATGTGAGCCTCTCATAAGTGGACTCTAAGGACGGTCGTACGCACTTCTCTTGAAGAATTCCTCGACTGACATGTTCTTCTTTCCAAATTCCTCGCACGGGAAAGTAGTATTCCGAGCAGACTTGCGGCCAATCTCCCAGAGCTTGTACCGACGTTTATGACCAAGATGGTTAGTGACAACTTTAATGCTTCTGGCTAGCTCCTTGGGAAGTGTTGGCATTCCACCTGAAGAATTCCGGTTGAACGACACAAGAACATCTGCAAGGTTACCTGGCTCGACGAACGGGGCCATACAGACATTGCTAATGGGGTGCGTCAACACTTGTTTGCGTTTCTTCTGTGCGGTACTCACATGTTAACCATTAGTTGCTGATAAGCCGGCCGAACAGACGTAGAAAACCCTCTCCAAGCCAAAATACCGGGTCCCAGACCCCTGCGCTCATTAGGTAGTGGCGGAAAGTAATATTTATTCTGTCCGATACGCACACCTGTGCGTAGAGGATTCTGCTGCAGCGCGAGATTGAGGGCTGAGATGATGGGTAATGGATCGTAATCTCGGTATTCCTTGTCAGCGTTGAGGTATCTAAAGAGAATGTATGTAAGCCCAGTCAAATAAGAGTTACAGGAAACGTACTTGGAGAGTTCATTGACGTTCAGCTCGCCCTTGAAGACGAAGGAAACCTGGTATGTGACAGCACCAGTCGGGGGGCCATTCTGGCCCTCTTCGAAGAATGGTACTGCTACACCCGAAATTGGAAGCTTCACGGCCGACACGAGGCGTGCACTTCTATCATGAGCAATAACGCCCAGATGCGGACGAACCTGAGGATTGGCCTCAAGCAACTGGAAAATACGGTCTTTGCGCTTGTTCAGAAAGGTTGTGGGCTCGACCTTTATCTCGTACTCGTACAGAGGGCCTTTAGGAAGCTTGACTGCAAAGAAATTGGCGCGCAAAGTGATGGGCTTGCCCAGGGTACCAAAGCCAGGGCGTGTTGGGCGCTCCGGCTTGGTTGGTACCTTTCGAAGGGCATCGATGAGCTTCTTTTGCTTGTCTGGTTTCAGGCGGTCAGGAATCTGTGCCGAAACGTTTTCCTTGTAGATGACGGGGCCACCGAATCCTCCTCAACCACCTCTTCCACCTCGACCTCCAAAGTCGCCACCACCACGACCACCACGGCCCCTTTCAGGACCGCCTCGTCGACTCATGGTAATGTAGTTACTGAGGGGAGCCGGAGAGCCTGTACGGAACTGAGATCACGGGCGCTCGAGGCCTCGAGGCAATGATGGAAAGAGAAAAAAAGATAAAATTGAATGATTGCAGAGAGCAGCAGCAAGAAGATGAAACTGAGACCGGCGGAGACGAAGACGTCGTTGTCGGTACTGTTGACGGCGTCGTCGTCGTCGTCGATAGTAGCCAAGAAGGAATGCGTAAGAAGCCCATATATATGCAAGTTGAAACTCCGCTGCGGGACCGAAAGCTGTTGTGCTGTGACCCTGAAGGCCTGACTCCTCTAACAGGATAATGATGACTCGAGGAATGGTTAGTAGTAGCAGACACGCAACAGAAACTGTAATTCACCTCTTATGAGCAAGCGAATATTGTGCAAGGGGACTAACCACGAAACTGTAGCTTGAGGGCCTTCGCATCTATGCAGCATGTCCCTCAGATTTTGTTACGTCAATCTGTGAGTTCACTTACTGACTTGACATCGTGAATAAGTCTGATTCATCGCACATTGAATCAAAAAGGAAATACACGGAATTGAGTATTTCAAACGTCGTCGGTACTCTTTTCTGCAGGACCACCACGGCAAACGTCACTAGATGGATATGCTTTGAGCGTTGGGATAACGAGTATAAGAACCTAGAGGTGGTGGAATCGGCAAATTACAGACGATAACAGTCCAATCAAGTCTGCGGGTGGTTGAGTACCTCTGGTGAAGAATAGAAGCAAAGGATATACGAGTTTATTGATCCTGTATTACTCTTGTGGAATCCAATCCCGGAACGGAAGGTGCTAGCACTCGGGCAGTAATGAGTATTCAAGCTGACAGAGGAACGCCCGGGAGGGACGACGTCTACATGTCACAAACGTAGACTCGGAGCTGCGAGGATGGTTTCAGCACAGTATCATCGGGAGGATGAAGTACCTTGAAGGGTATCACCACAATGGGAACCTTTAGCAAAGCACCGAACTCATATCTGATAACATCGTGTACAACGATGACCAGATAGAGTAAAAATACTGGTGCACGTATAAATGACGGAGGAAACGTTGCTGATAATGACACCAGCATCCACGACCAATACTTCCACGCCCGAAACGTAGCGGCCCTGTAATTCCTCACCTCGATATCAGTCCCACCTGGACCAGTAAGGCTCTCCCTTCTGAAGATGTCTTGTGTCCCTCCTCGTTGTCGTTGCGATGCTCCCGGTGAGTTGCTTCCTGAACGGGTCACGATGCCAGACGATAGCCAGTAGTTTATTTCCCAACACAACGAATGCCAAAATGTCGCAGCTGGTGCCAGTCAGTGACGACTCAATGCATAGTAAATGGCCAAAGATGGGCGACCACTTCCGGTACGACGATCTATTCCAGCAATCGAGGGTAATATCTGGTTTCTAAAGCGTGGTCCCTCAGGTCGACAAGATTCACATTGACATTTGGGCTTCTAAAGAGAGAATCAGCGAGCGAAGATAAGAGAGGATTGGAGGGAGTACTTCTACGGTACGAACCCGCGTGAGCCATCTGATCGTTAACGTTCTTCAAAAACAGATCAGGATCGACGTGAGGAAGAGGGACTGGGATAGATGGATTACGACGGCGTCAGGCAAAAACACGGTGACCATATCAAGGTATAATAATGCTCGCTGCCCCAAATCACAGTCTGAATATTAGTAACATGATCCTGCGAACAGGTCTATCAGCGTTTGTTGGATTTAGACACACGGGACCAGTTTCATATTCTTTTATCCAGTTCTATGACCCATGACCGCATAGCCGTTCCTTTAACATTGACTATGCTCTCTGGTAAGAAATGAGATACCTGCATACCGACGACCGGCGCCGGTGGCGAAACGACTGGAATTGTATAATTACCAGCAGATGCCATAATGTCCCACATAGTCACGAGCACAAGTTACGCATGCAATTGATTCTGAAAAAGACGTATCAGAAAGGGAGAACAGCGGACAAAAACCTTGGGGTAAATAACCGTTGAACTTATGCCTTCTGTTTCATGTTGCAAACCCATGGTAAAAGGTAGCTGAAAACGAATCGCTGGTCGGCTTTCATGGCATAATCGAGAGACTCATATTACACGCCCAAAGATACCGAGTATCATGATCCCCACATGCCGTACTTGCTGTTCCGGAACAACGGCAGATGCGATCCGTAGAAACCAGAAAAATCTCACGTCTGTCTGAATTTCCTACCCACAAGGGCTACACTGGGACCGTAAACGTCTGAATCATAGAGCGGTTCGATTACTGGCACCTGCTCACGAAATAGTGATCAAACAAAGGGCAGATCGCGCTTGGGAGTCCTCCTCCTTGTCCTTGGTTATCGAACCAATGGAATTGGGGCTGCGCGACGCACACAACGCCTGCTACTAGGCTGACTCCTTAAAATCCTAAGCCTTGATTTCAAAGCAGTGTAGAAACGACCCGATCACTCACATACGGCGATTACTTGCCCCAATCTTAGACTCTGCTGTAAGATAGCTCCAAAGATCACGGTGGTAAAAGGGATGAGGAAGATGAGCACAACAGGTGAGAAGAGGTCTTCCCCAGAATAGAAAATCTGAGCCGAACCTGGACCAACTTGTAAGTTCCGTGGTGAAAATTAATGGATTAAGGAATACCCTAGAGATCCGCGGAACTACGGTATGCATCGGACGCATTTGGATCCGATAACTGGACTGGGAACACGCATGCATAGCTTCACGATTATGCAACGTAGTTCGAATTCTTGATACAGCTCAACATAGAACAAACCCTTTTCACGGATATATACCTTGCGAAATATTGCCAGCTAGAAATAGACAGCGGGGTGCCGGTTATCAATGAACGCAAAGCAGTCACATCAAGTGTAGACAATGCCGGGTCGAGCTTGGTCAATTCCTTCAAGTTGACACTCTCCTAACCAGAAGTCTACTACCCGCAACCGTGGAATTTTTGAGCGCTCATGGCAGAGTGTGAATATTAAGGCGACTAGCATCCAGTGCGAGAATTAAAATCGACGAAACACAGAGTACAGGATCGGTGTAGCTGGGTTGAGAAAAAATACCGCCTTAGCACTGGTATTCGGACATGAAGGTAAGTACTCGGATCCTCGGGCGTTTTTGTTGCCGAACCTTCGTGCTCAGGCAGGCCCGCCAGGGTTAGGGTTACACTGCTTTCATCTTCACCAAATGGTACTATCGAAATTCTTATCCCACATTTTCTGCAGAAATCCTCAAGGGATTCTCAATGCGTTTTGCAAACCGCCGAATCATAATTCAAATTTCCTTTTGCCGTGCCAACCTAGTCTCGACCTCTCGCAAGAAAAGTGAAACGATTTCCAGTGCCATCATCCCTTTGCGATAGGTACAGTAAGTGTATTCTGTGATTGCGGAGGGAACTTCCATTGCAGATGTCATCTACAGGTGGTTGTATATATTGAGGATTCGGTGTCCCTTTCCCGCTGCCTTGGTTCGTGGCGGATTATTGATCAAACGTCATTGTGCTTCTGCTCAGCGTCACCCAAATCTTAGCCTAACGGCCTGCTGCTAGCCAACCGGTGTACTCCCTGATATTTGTAGCTGTGATCTTTTTGATCTAACCTTGCTGGTTGCTAGTACTTACCTCCTATAGTATCTGTTTGGTGTCTATGTCCGTCTGCCGTGCTCTGTCGTCTGCGTGTGCGTCCAGGACTGTGATAAGAATTTCACTTTTGGGTCTTGACTGTCTCCATCCTTCTCCAGCTTGCAGCGCTCTAGCTCTTCGTCTGTTAAGTTTATATCGAGCCGATTCGGGAGAACTCCGCTGCGACCTCTCTTACCTCGGGCTTTCCCGCCAACTCGCTGCATTCCATCTCAGTCATTTGAGATATGATGCCAGTGGGCCAGTGGGAATGGACTCGGGTCAAAATGATAGCTCCATAATCGAAAATTCATGAGGATGAGGATGATCTTGAGCATAATATGGAAATATGAGCGGGAAGACCCTGACCTTTTGATCCTTGATTATTACCTGAAATGATATTTTCGTTACTGGATGACTGAAAGGAATCTCAATCCTTGTTCCAAATGGGATCAGGGTGAAGTGTCGGGAGATAGTCTTCTCCTTGCTGAGAAAATTCTGTTACTAGTAGGTCATAGAGACTACCGGACTCACCTCCCAAAGTCCTTTGTCAACTAGTGAACGGCCATACCTTTGAAAGGTTGCCTGGAAGATAAAGATACTGCGCACGTATGATACAATCCGAAGCATCATCTGGCGCTTAAGCCATTTTCTATAGATCCTGACACGGGTAAGACTTTACTTTTGATCCTCCAATGTCATTTGCTTGAAAGTCGACATGGAACAACTTATTTCATAGTTCCTTGAGGTCTGCTAGTAGATCAGCCTACTCAATACAATATAAATGATGGTAGTTCATTAGTAATGGACGAGAGGAAAATGTGAGCTCGCGACCGTGTAGCTGCAGCTGAGCAAACATTTTTTTCTACGTCTAGTCATACTACGCCCTTAAATTAAACAACTAAGCATTGCGAGGAGTCGACAACTCGGTGACCGTCAACATAGAAAGCAGAAAGTATTACGACTCCGAGTCGGATTCAACTTTTGGCCAACTTAACGCCTTGGACTATCTTACATAAGTGACCGGGGGCCGTGATGCGGCGCAGCCAGGCCGACTGATTGGGACCTTTTGCTGCCGCCGTACCAACACCACGCATACCGCGCATACCGAGCAGCATACCCGGCGGACTATCTTGCTATGAATGAACTCTCGAAAGTGTTGCCCTCAAACAGTTGATCCTTTGGTTTCAGCTGTAAAGCCTTGCTGAACTTGAGAACACTCTCAAGTTACTCTCAGGGTCGAATGCCGCGAATCTGGGGTCGACAATGAACATATCCTTCAATCAATACTACATGCAGGGCTGTTGCATTAATGACAGTGGGCATGTGAAGCGTGTTGATCTCGGCTATTCGGCTCATCCTTCATTCTCTTTTCGAGCTATTTTCTATGGTCGCGGAGGTTGAAAAGTCTTCATGAACATCACGTTCTCGGGATTTTCGTGATGCTCCCTGCGAACATTGCTGGTCTTCCTTCTTAGCACCAGATGCATTACCTAATGATTTAAGCTCTCAGTTTTTCTAATGTCTGCGCGATTTCTGGGGCTAGTATTCCGTATGGAGATCGCACCCTTCCCAGTTTTCTATTTCTGTTCACCTGGCGCTTAACGATAACGGTCAGACTATGCCGTGCCATCTTCCTCGTCATAGTTGCTTCCCGAGATAGCCCGGAAAGCCGATCTTCTTTGACCATTGATTGAAGGTGCTTTTGGCAGAATCATAGCCTAGTAGCCTTTTGATCACGAGGAGGAATATATGAGCGAAAACGGTGAGTTAATATCACACCAATTACTGCCAAGTCGAGGAAGTAATACTGATTATTGTGCCGATACGATCTCTCTCAGGAACGAACTGAGTGAACCACAATGTTATACACTGCCTAGTACTGTCGTATGACCAGCGGCCTTAAAATCTTCACGGTATCCCTTTAACTATACACTGAGTGCAAGGAATTAAAGTTGCATCAGTTTAGATCTGTCCACCTTGTCCACCTTGTCCACCTCTTATTCTTCTTTTTATTGTTGTGTGGAAGCTGCCAGGATCCTTTCAAGTGGCTTTGTTCCCCATCGCCTCCGGAAGTCGCAGAATCCGTAATTGCTTCGGACGGTTCAAGTTCGCCGATGAGAACAGACTCTCAAGACGCATGCATCAAGAAAAATAGTTCACTGTCACGATGAGTACTCCCACTCCCACTCTAACACCATCCTTCTATGGTGCCAGCGTCGAGCTCTCCCGACCATCTCACGATGTCTACAATCAATGGTACCAACAGCGCGTTAACTTCTATGATTACAGACAAATGCAGCAACGGCCTATTCAACAAGTCAATGACCGACGCCCAATAGAGCCTGGTATGCAACGAGACAGGCACAATAGCTACGGCCAAATGATGAGCAACATGTATCAGAATTGCCTCCCATCGATCAAGGCTGCTCCTCCGTCAGTGGAGCAGCCACAGAAGACGCCTCCAGACAAGACAACGCCCACACCCACGAGGGACATGGATGGAAGCTCCAATCGCAATGGCGACAACGCCCTTAGACGCAGACCGGGTGCGTGTATTGGGTGCAAAAAAGTCAAAATGAAGTGCAATTTTGCACCCGGCGAAAAAAAATGCCAGCGATGCAAGCCCAAAGGTTACCGTTGCATCGTAGAAGCCCCGAAACCAAAGGTTTAGTAAGCCATCCATGTATGAACATTGCTGCACACTCTAATTGTACGACAGCAAGCGCGAGCGCCTTCTAGCCGAAATCCGGCAGAAAGATGCTGTCATCGAGCGTCTCCTCAAGCAGCTTTATAATCCCTACATTACGACACCTCATTCAATTGATGAATACCTCAAATCTGTGTCACCCTCCGACCTCAACAATCCTAATGTCCTTGCCTGGCTCAGTCGCCTCAAGTCCGCTGTACAAACAGATGTCGGAAGCTCGTTTAACCGTCTTCGTGAAGGCATCGATGAAGCGGGCGGGGAATATGATTCAGGTCAATGGCTGCATGATCAGCGGTATAACCTACCTGTCTATAGCAATCAAGAGGCACGGGACTGCGAAGAGATGCAGACGCCGCTTACTGAGTCCTTACACGCTCCTGTCGGACCCGTCCCAGATTTGACATTTACAAGTCGGAGTGGAGAGGAAGGGGAACGCGAAAATTCTCCGCGCGGCACAGCTTGCGAGCCACAAGAAAGTTCTTCGAAACCCGGTTCGTTTCATCGTTATCGCGTTTCTATTTGGTACACTGATGTGTCTAGAATCTGGACCATTGGAAGGGAACCAATTCTTCAGAGATACTGGCTCTCGGGCTCGTGACACTTGAAGACGCTGAACAATTGTTTGACATGTGAGGCTCCTCGGTCTCCGTTTCGTTCGCATTTTTCTGATTTGGTTCGATTTGAAGCTTCTATAAATATATCAATGTGAGAAGCACAGGTTCGTTTTGATTGTAAGGTACGCTGATGATATGATGTAGCCCTTCATATCCATCCTCGATCCGATCTTGCTTACTCCAAAATCGACTTTGGCCCGATGCCCCGTCCTCTTCACAGTCATCTGTGCCATATCGTCTCGATATCATCCCCTGAAGTCGAACATTTACCCGATAGCCATGCACTTTGCGAAACATTCGGCCGCAAATGTCCTCATCCAAGACGAAATGAAAAGTATCGAGCTATGCCAGGCTTATATCCTGATGAGTGTATATGCCGTCCCTAAAAGGAGTTGGGATAGGGATCAGAGTTGGTTATATGCAGGTCTGGCAGTTAGGTACGCTCAACGTATCCTGTTGTCTTATTTTCTGACTTCTCAATAGTATCGCGACTGCACTTCACTTGTATCAAACACCAACAGCGAAGCCAGAGAACGAGATACAGGAACGCGAAGCACTCAACCGAGATCGTATCTGGCAATCATGTTCTCTCCTCGATCGAGGGACAGCGATACAATTTGGAAAGCCTTGGACAATAAAAGAAGATATGACGATAATTCATTCGGAGGAGTGGTATAAACAATCCCATTATAATCTTGACTCTGATGTGCACCTGTGCGGGTACAGTGCCCTTTTGCGCATCATATCAAGGTTCCATGATGAGGTGCTGTCAAAGCAGAGCAGATTGATCCATTCGGAGAGGGGAAACTTGCGGGTCGTCACCATGAGATATGATGCGGAGCTAGAAATATTTCAGGAGGAATGGAGGAGGAAATTCAGGGCTGGGGGATTCCGCCGTGGAGCTATGCTCAAGTGTAGCCAGCTATACCTGTAAGTTCAGAACCGTTTTCTAGACCAGACGTAACATTAAGACAAGCTTGCGCTTAGATACGTAGCCTATTTCAAGCTGGTGATGTTCTCTTTTGGTTTCCATCAAGTCTTTCATAGAGGTATAGAAACGTGGTATGATTACTTCTTTAGCAAGGTTCGATCCTCCGTTTTTCTTTTGGATCAGGTCCTTGATGCATTTGACAGTCCCTCGAATACGCCAAATCTGTGATCAGATGTGTAAACGAGGATCTGGCGCCTAGCGGATTTATGCGATATGCTCCAGATCATCATTTCATGTGTATCGGATTCGCAGCTGTATTCCTGTTCAAGGTACGTACTGTGTCATTAATTCGATTTTCGCCAACTTAATGAGACTAACAGCTCTTACGACCGGAATTTTCGTCCCTCCTGGATAATGCTGATAGAGACGAGAGCATGGTTCTCATCGGGACCTTGATTGAGAAATTTAGCTCATCCGATATCGCAGTAGACGATCGCCATACCCCGAAACTGTATGCCAGATTCTTGGCTACCATGTTGGGCAAGTACCAACGCAACGACCAGAGAACGGCTTTCGGAGTCTCGCAGACAGTTTCCCGGGAGAATATAGGCATACCCAGGAACATAGGTGGAGAAGCGAATGGACATGGCTATAACCAACAGTCATCTGTTGCCCCAGAACAAAGCGGATACGATTCTTTGGGTTTTGATTATAGTTCAGAGGCGACTCATTCAACTGGCACCCCACTAGTACAGTCCGGAAGCGAGGCATATTTTCTTCATTTCACTTACGGGAGTGGGAATACTAATGAGAACGGTGGCGTGGGCGGCCAGGGGAGTATGGAAGACGGAATGTCTGCGTTGATCCAAGAACTTAATAATACCGAGTGGTTGCGGGAAATGTTAATGCCTGGGTATGGTCTTCCTGTTGCCATATACTCCAGACAGTACCTGACTCTTTCTTGGGTATAGGTTTACGTAGTTTCAAGAAACAAAACCTTCTAAACATGGATAATGTACGAAAAACGCTGGACGAGCGACCAATGGTATCTATCACCGGGTAATTTCGAAAGCCATGACGAATTTTAGCAACTATACGTCGAAACCCCTGTTGCTGAGCGTCTCGTTGGTAGAACATTGCTGTTGCACGATCGTGGTTATCTCGGAATTTTATTTCATGTCTGAAATCGTGGACTTTATAGGGCGTTGACTCGCGCGGCCACCAACATGTGAACCCAACTCGGGGTCGTCTAGGCATTACGATCTCTGGTATGCTGCGATGGATGTGACTTTGATTATCCAAATCGACGAGCGATATTTGCAAGACTATCGATCTGAATTGTGTTCGACTCTGAATTTATCTCATTGTAAGCGACAAGTCACAAGAGGAGTTGAAGCGAGATGACGGCGGATGGGGGAAATTCCTTCGGCCGTCGCCGGTGCCGGCCCGACGTGGCACCGTTCACCTCTCTACTTACCACGACGACGACGGCGTACTGCTCGCCATGGCTGCATTGCGACGAGTAGCGTCGCACGCATTGTCATCGCCTGCACGTATTCGCCCTTTTACTCCTAGCCGTGGCCTGTTCACCAAATCTTCCACTGTCCCGCAATCACCCGTTCGTACGGGTCTGTATGCGACCGTCTTCGCCATTTCAGCAGGTCTTTTCGCGGTATACTACTTCGACTCGCGTTCTGCGATTCACCGTTATGTCTTGACGCCTCTTCTGAGGTACTCTTTGGATCCGGAGACAGGGCACAAGTTTGCCGTGCAAGTGCTGAGAAGTGGACTAGGGCCCAAGGACGTGGTTGCAGACGACGAGAGACTGAAATTCGAGGTGCGTTGCGCTCTGTTTTGATATTTTTGCAATGACACAAAAAATTAACAGCTCTGGGGAAAATCAATATCCAATCCGGTCGGTCTTGCAGCTGGTTTCGACAAGGATGGCGAGGCAATAGATGGTACGCTGCCAGACGTTCCAGCGTCTCCATTCCTAACAATTTGCAAGGCCTCTTTGATCTTGGATTCAGTTGGGTGGAGGTTGGCAGTGTAACCCCAAGTCCACAGGTACGTTGACTGTTCAATCTTCCTTGCCATCTTCTAATACTGAGCTAGTCAGGGAACCCCCGGCCGCGTTTCTTCCATCTACCTGAAGATTCTGCAGTTATAAACCGCTATGGATTTCCTTCACAAGGGCATATATCTGTCTTAAACCGGATACGAGCGCGTATACCGACATTCCTGCTGGAGGACAATGACACCGCGTCTTTTCGCTCTGGATCCGTCCTAGCTGTCAACCTTGGCAAAAACAAGACCTCACCAGCAGATTCAATACAGGACTTTGTTGATGGTGTCCGCATGTTTGGACCTTATTCCGATGTACTGGTGGTCAATGTGTCGAGTCCCAATACCCCCGGGTTACGGTAGGCTTGCTTCAATTTAACGATGACACACTCATTGAATTCCGATAGTGGTCTCCAAGGTCGCGATACCTTACAGACACTCCTTGAGGGCGTGACAAAAGCCCGGGACAACCTCCCTCCATCTGCTGTGACTTCTACTCCCAAACCCAAACTAATCTTGAAGATAGCTCCGGACCTCAACGAGTCGCAGCTCGTCGAAATGGCAGAGGTGCTACGAAATAGTCGTATTGATGGTGTCATCGTGAGCAACACGACTATCTCACGACCATCTTCACTCCACCACCGTCAGTGATGCCTTTGTAATTTAAACGTATATCTCATGCATGTCTTACAGCGAGTAAAGTTGAAGCTGGGGGACTATCCGGGGTTCCTTTGAAAGAGCTCTCTTTGTCTGCACTCAAGACGCTTCGACAGCATCTTCCGGAGAGTATACCTCTCATCGGGTGTGGAGGTATATCTTCTGGAGAAGATGCGCTGGACTACGCTAAGGCCGGGGCGTCCCTGGTACAGGTATATACGGGCTTTGGGTATGACGGTGCTGGTGCGTGTAGGCGCATCAAAGACCAGATTGTCGAGACGCTGGCCAAGGACGGGGTCACTTGGGCGGATGTTGTCAGTAAAGCGGTGAAGGATCTAAGCTGGAAAGAGAAAGAGAAAGAAAGCGAAGTGTCACTGCTGACGAAGGAGGCGGAGGAGCTGAAGAGGCTCTTGGATGCACTTGGAGATAAAATGGGATCCGGCGAAGTTGGTGTGTAAGTAGAAACAATGCTTCATGGAATTATTGTGAATGCCCTCAGAGAACATACTATTTCTGCCACGCATTCATTAAGTGTCTTTGGTGGTTCCTTCGTCAGATAGAAATTTGGTTGTTTCAATATTTGTCGTACGAGCTACTACTGTTCCACGTGTTAATACGCACATTACTTTCACAGCCGCCATCCATCATGTTTATCGAGTGGGCAATATCGACGCCGTTCCGAAATTCGGACAACGCATTTCCAGAGGACCGAGGTGAATTCAGAAAATCATTCATTGGAATTTCATTATAATCGAGATTGTACTGCAAACGTATACCCCCATTCGTTGAGGTCCCGATACTTCCCCATTCAGTATTTTGGAGATCGCGAAGAGTTGAGTTGGATCGACTGTGACTGCATGTATACAGGAGGAGGAAGGAATAACATACACACAGAGATGCTTTTTACTTTATTGCGCCCCTCGCTGCGAGTGTCAAACTTGGAGGACTCGACCCGACCCGATATGGCCAGTGGTAGATTACCGACTCGGATGCCATCCTGATCCCGGACCGCAATTAGTCGACGGCACCGAGTCGGGTGGCAGTGCACCAACGATCTTTGTGATCGTGAATGAGCTGAAGGAAGAAAGATGGACCAAAGCAAAGAGCCTCGAATTTGAAGAGAACTGAGAACGAGCTGGAGTGGCTGTGTCGCAACTCGGACGAAACGGGAAATACATTCATGGAAAAGTAACAGAAACAAATAAAAGTCTTTTCAACTGGATTTTCATCGTCTTCCAAGTTTTCTCGCTGCCATCATCCATCGGCGATCAATTTCGCATGTAGCGAAGTGTGGACCGTAACCATCTCGTTCTGGTTACGTGTGGGACTCCCGCGTCATCCGAATCAAAGCCTTGAGAGTTGGGGTCCTTGCCAAACTGTTACTGGCTCAGGTATATACCACCTCTGTTGGATAAATTAATTATTAATATTATATTCTCCAGACGAGAGAAGAATGACTGGCAAGTATATAAATTTTGCCTGTCGAAATGATATTCATACGGGACCTACAGCAAAGTATCTAGGCCGTTTCGTCCGCACAGGAAACCCGCTCTCGATTGAATGTTCTATATCTAGAGCTTTCTCTTCCTGGAACGTTGAAATACCTGTAACACGGCTAGCCTCGAATGGGTCCATCTACCCCTCAAGTTACAAATTTTCTTCGTTACTTCCGAATCTTTGCGCTTGACACAAAACATGCTTCAGAGCCGCAGGGGACTGATAATATTCTCTTTGTGTCCTCAAGGCGCATTTGGCCTCGTACGCCGTGCGGCGAGGGATTTTCCTATGACGAGACGGTTCCCCATTTGGTTCTCACCGCTTGTGTGCGAGTCGGACAGGGTCGCTTATGCGGGCGTAACCGCATGAGGAAAAATCTTGACGAGATCGACCAATGATATTCCAGCGATCACAAGAATCTGAGATTTAGGCGGTCCTCGATCGAATTTCATTGACGAGCAGCCGTTGCCCTTAGCTGAGCGTCGCTCCTGCGCCTGCTTTCGTTATTGGAGTTTGCCTTCCAACGGCCAAATGGCACGAAGCGCTTGCGTGTGACTGGTATATAGGGACGGGCGTGAAGACAGGAAGAGACCAGGTTCTCTGCATCCTACAGTCTTCTACCACTGCTCAGCTTCTTACAATGGCTCTCCCTACCACTCTCCTACAACCGTCCTCCGCCTCTTTGGTTTCCAATAAGGGTCCAAGGGAGACCATCACCTCAGACTTTGCCTCAATCTTCTCGAGTGTCAAAACCTTCCTTGCACCACCGACTCGGACTGAGGTTGGTGCTTGCTGGGAACTCTGCCGTCTTCAAAACGGAATGGGATGTGCGACGGTGTTTCTACCAGTTGGTGAGTGTGGATCCTTGTGTCTTAATTATGCCGTCACTAAGGGGAAATCGTAGCGTGGTCTTTAGCGATGGTTTACCACGCATACCCCGAGCTAACGGGAATGGAATGCCTTACCCGGGCCGCCGTCTACTTTTTCCTCTGTGTCGGCATCAAATGCTTGGTGAGTTTAGAATTTCCAATGCTGTCTTTCCCATCTCATCTTTTATCTCAGATCATGACCATCGATGACATTCTTGATTACGATATTGACGCAAACGTCGAACGTACAAAGAACCGGGCTCTCCCCAGAGGTGCCATCAGCATCGAGCGAGCCTGGTTGTTCTTCGCTCTCCAAGTCGTGATTGGTGTCTTTTTGGCTTACAAGGTTCTGAGCCCTGATGCGTAAGTATTTCGCTCTAATACTGCTCTCTTATGCTTACCATATCTGTGCACTATCCAGTCTGCGCATCTCCATGTATGTATGGCCGTTGTACGTGCTGTACCCCACTTGCAAACGCTGGATGTACTTTGCCCCCATCCCTTTGGTAAGTACCTCTAATTTACGCAGAACTCCGCAACCTAACCTTCACTCCCAGGGCTTGATGTTCAACATTGGAGTCTACATGGGATGGGCCGATCTCACTACTGACGGCAAAATTCCCTACCACGCCCTCACTGCTGCATATCTTGGCGCTACAATGTGGACCGTCACATACGAGACCGTATATCAGCACCAGGACAAAGTTGACGACGTCAAAATTGGCATGAAGTCACTTGCCATCCTGTGCGGCAAAGTCACTATTCCAATCTGTTCCACTACCACCGTTGGCTTTGCTGCTCTGATGTCATGGGCTGGTTATTTGAACGGCCAAGGCACTGCCTATTATATCGCTGTCGCTCTCTCAGCCTTCATCTTACTGAAGGAACTCCTTGTGACAGACATTGACGAACCCAGGCAGTGCATGAAGTTTTTCCTGCAAACGCCGACCATTGGTAATCTCATCCTTGGTGGATTGGTCGTTGATGCTGTAGTCCAGCGTGTCCTCGCAGGAATCCCTCTCTAATGTATACACAATTGTACTATTAACTTAACAATATCTATCGGTCACGACTTATTGCTTGCATACCTATCGCTTACGGTCTAAGCGGCGCAGATCCTCTTCCCAAAGGGCTTGTCAATCTCGCTTACCGACTCGGATATTTCATGCCGTATTTTAAGAGCATCACGGACCGCAAATCTTGGACGGCCCCGAGTCGGGATCGCGATTCCGTAGTAATGGGGATAATGATGGAACGTCGTCTTCTGCAAAGAATATGCCTACAGTGTATACGAAAGTACCCTTGTGACTCAGGACAAAGCTTCACTGTTTTTACATCCCGTACAGTTGGAGTCATGCCGGCCAGGCGTGCATGAGGTTATCCACTGATAATATCCCCCCTCCCCCCCAGATACGGAGGCCAACACACCTCTGGCAGGGCGATTTGAAATGGAAGTAGACCTTCAAGGCCCCATTAAATAGCCATAAAGGGGGCCTTGGGGACCCCCCTTCACTACGACGTTCCACCCTATTAATCCGAATTGGGAATTTCATTCAAACCCATATCGGGATCGACCATCCGTCGACCTTCTCCGCGCTTCGGACCGCCTGCACATTACCCGCCTGTGGTCGTGCATGCTCCCGTACCCTTGTATACATCGGAACATATGTAGTTAAGGCATACAGTCAAAGACGATAATATACTGTTGCTTCTCTGTTGAATCTTTGCCCGTGACCTGTGTTTTTAGTAATCTTTCGAGCTTCTTTGACCTTCCCCCGCTCTCACGGGTCGCTTCCCAGCGATAGATTTTTAGAATTTAGCTACAACTCAACCAATAACATCAACAGAAGGTCCTCTGCAAATGTCCCAATCCACGGCCCACTTGTACTTATTTTCCGGAGCGTCTTTGGGAGCTTCCGCAGTGACCTTCCAGCTTTGAACTGCCGCTATTGATACCACTTGCCTTGTACTTCTCTTCTCCGTTTTCCATTGTCATATAAGTCACAAATTGATTCGTTATATACATTTTCCATGTATCTGTGTAGGCTGTATCAAATATTCCGGACGGGAACTCGGGGGCTATCAGTCCTTCCGGGCAGTAGAAGGTTCAATCATTTCAATGACCCGGAGAACGAACATTGTGTATCTTTTTGGGATCTCAACTTTTCCGGAGAATTAGTATGGTTGGTTATTCTTGACATCTTGCCCATGATGAATGGATCCAGAATGAGCTAGAACAACTTTCTCTGTCATTTCCTGTACAATCGTGAACTAAAGTAACAAATTGTGAAGGATCCAAGTTCTCATCATTAAACAGCAACATTAGCTTTCAACAGGATTGCAGGGTTGTTTATTATAGGCATAATATTCTGAATGCAACTATGCATTCTGCTCATGATAATATATGCTCGCAGTGAAGATATGGAACAGTTAGTATATGGGGTACAGAAATGATCGATCTCCAAACGTCATTGGGGCTCGCCGTTCACCATTTGTGGGGTACGTGGGATGCTCTGATACATATTAGCATTGCGTATCGACAATAGAAGCTAGTATACATAGAAATGGATGAATCCCGGATGCTTCGAGCACAAGAATAAGTCCGGCAAGCCCAAAGCCAGAAGATCGACATCGACGTTCCCAGAAGTTCCAGAAGATGATACAGACGGGCCGAGGAAGCTTGGAACATATGCATATGTACTTTTATCACTGTTGTTGCGATACCCTAGCTCAATCCAAAATATTTACATCCCGGAAGCGACGCGCGAGAGCAGAGGAAGGTCAAGGAAGGTCAAAAGATTACCGCAAACACAGCCCACTTAATAGGACGTAATAGAGAGGCAATGATATATTACACACGCCCAATTGTACGGCTTAACTACTGCATTCTGATGTGTACAAGCGCATGGGAGCGCGCACGACCGCAGGCGGTCCGAAGCGCGGAGAAGGTCGACGGATGGTCGATCCCGATATGGGTTTGAATGAAATTCCCAATTCGAATTAATAGGGTGGAACGTCGTAGTGAAGGGGGGTCCCCAAGGCCCCCTTTATGGCTATTTAATGGGGCCTTGAAGGTCTACTTCCATTTCAAATCGTCCTGCCAGAGGTGAACCAGTTCCGATAGTACCTTCTCTTTCAGTCCAGTAGTCAATTCTCTATGCTCCGGTGTTCTGGAACTTATTGTCTATTGGAAGAGGATTTTATGAGGTATAGCAGAATCGGCCGTTTGTAGTAGAGGGGGACCCAAAGATTTTGATTCTTGCAGAATTCCATGTAATGGTTCATATTGACGTAAACCGTTGTCGGAGGAGAAACATGCATACCATACCCTTAGTTGTGAGCTGTCGACGTCTCTTTCTTTACTGGGGACTGGGATTCATTGATGAATAACTAAGTTTCAACTTGAAAGTCAGTCCAAGTCCCGATTCAAGGCTTCTCTGGTTGGTTCCATAGAGATAATGATCAAATCTTACGCTGAGCGTAGGTACTATTTTTGGTGATCTTTTCAGGCATCAATCAAAAGAGTGGAATATCTCCCTCTTCATTTGACCTTTACGATTTTACATACATTATTTTACCATCCTTCTGGAAAGTTTAAACTAATCTTCGTTAGGGAAGACGAGCGAAAGAAAACGGAAGGAAATATCGAATATAACCAACTAGCCAACTAGTGATAGATTGAATCTCCACTTGACCACGGCGATTGCTCTTACTTATCTTAGCCATATCCACATTTGCCTCTGTTGCCTCACGTGTTTTCACCATAAAAATATAAGTTAGGGCATGCATAAACACTAGTACACCAACAACGTATAGTACACTAAGTAGCACATAACGTCAACGTACAATGGTACGATAACAGGTGCGCAGCCTCTACCAGTGAGAGAGTCTTTTTCCTAATCACAGAACGATAAAATGGATCGTGCGCCACAATGAATGATCTACTTACGATGATGTTCAACCGGTTCCAACTGGGCGTGCACAAAAGTCGTGTGGCTCTTGTTGAAAGACCATCCTCTCTTGTTGAGAGTATTGTCTGGCCACCAAATCAAGTAGACCCAGTCTCCGTCCTGGCTGAGGTTCAGATAATGTTTAGGGAACTGAACAGGAGACTCACAACCAATCTCGTCAACTTGCTGTCGACTGTTAAGACTGCGCCGTACATCTGGTGATTCATGTCAATGACACGAACCAATCCCTGGAATAGAAAACGAGGTGTGAGCGAAGAAAAGAGATGCATAAATCAGCTAACCTGGTAGGCCGGGACGCACGGCTGAGGATAGAAATCTGGTAGGTTGCGGTACGCCATGATAGCAAAGATTTTTAGTGGGTTAAAAAAAGATGATGTGGAGACCTATTTAAACTCAGGCTGATTGACAGAAAAAGAAAGCGGTTGTCGAGTACTGATTCTGTGTGAATAGATAGGAGTCAGATGTCCAAGCGTTGATGTGAATAAGCGCTGGGATACCATTCTAAGCCGGGCGCCCAATTCAAAGGATGATACAAATCCCCCACTTCGCAGGCACCAAGATGCCAGAGCAAGAGACAGGCCCGCGAGAATGAGAGATGCAAGAGCGAAAGCAAACAACAAAGGAGAATTCAACACAGGATAAGATCAAGCCACGAGAGACGATGAGCACCAAACAAGTGCCTCATGATTAAGCCAGAGTCAGACGTCCACGCTCTCAATTGAAGACAACATGTGGGAGAACGTGTTGCCTAGGTTCCCGGTCAGAAGTGTATTCATTGATACCCACACGCCACGAATAGTCAATTTCCTTGGAAATACTGAGAGTAGGGTGAGCTCGAAGGAAAAGATAGACGGCCAGAAAACGCAGACGGGTAACCACGTTCACAGCCACCAACCGGCGATTTCCGTCGCTTGCATGGAAGAGGGACGATTCATAATCATCCAAAGACGAGCGACGCAATGCTACGCTGGCGAGAAGCAACAGGTCTGTTATGGTATTACAATCACAAGAATCAACCAAAGTTCTGAGGGAAATGCCTAGACCGACAAATACCCAATGAACGAAATTTCAGAGAAATTGTTGAAAAGCACCAGTTGCGAAGACCGGAGTTATCGATGTCATCATGTTCCTGAACCTTTTCCCCGAGTGTTTCCGATTGTTTTAAGTAAATCACCAGGATGCAAAAGACTGCAGGCACACCAGAAGAAAGTGAGATTGGTAAGAGCTTAACGAAGTCAGAAGACATGATAGCTTCAGAAATGGTCGACAGAATGAATGCCTGCCTTATCGTCTGCTTTGCAGTTCCCCCGTTCGAGCTCGGATGGAGGAATGTGTAGCATCGAGCTCAAGAAGCATTTTCGTTTTCATCCAATACAAACTGCGGGAGGGGTATCCAGATCCTAGGATGAAACATGTTCGTGCGCCTTCCATGTCTTTCATAAAGATTCATGTCAACGGCAAGCTGCTACGACCCTAGAATAAACTAAAATCATGACCGGTAAGCGCATTTTACGGTTAACAGAATTTCTGCGATAGTTACGTGGATTTATGAGGAAAACTAACTTGGGTGGTTTTGATTCCTCTTGCGGCCAAGGGTTCCGACAAGCCCTATGAATACAGGATTATCGCTCGGAGTCATTATGCAAGTGGGGAAGTTCGCGAACACGGAGTTTGCCGTTGAATCGGGCCCCCAGGCCATCGGATAACCGGACCGAAAAACAAAGTCTTTTCGTTACCATAGTTGACGAAGGACACTGTTACTGCGTTCGACCGTTGCCTCAGTTCGTGAATGTTTTGTGTCTGTCTACGTCTGAATTCCTGGTTCTCAACGATCAGAATGGCGATCTTCAATGCCACGAGGTATCTTCCTTGTCAGTTCTTTTCAATATTTTGGTCTGATATCAAATAAGTATTACCAGGTTGAATGAACACTGTTGCCCTTGTTTTTCGTACTGTATGCACACGGATATGTTGCTATAGAGAAAGCCAAGCAAGGTCGTCTGGGGGCGATATTCCTTCACCTCGCCCCTCACCTTCTGTCGCACTTGTATGAACGCGTTAAATCATCCCATCCCACCGCAAGGAGACTCGGAATCTCTCCGTTAACAGAGAAAGCAGTTCCTCCGCATCCCACCGAACTGCCATCGTCTCCGGTGAGTGCAAACTTGAATGTGACCCAACACTCACGAGTAAAGCGTGCAGGTCATCCCAACATCCGGACGCACGGACGAAATGTTATCGTACCAGGCGTCACCTGGTGCGAAGGTGATACATTTTCCACTATCTACAGTGGAATATGTGCAGATGCCCTCGAAGTTGTCGTCTTTGCAATAATAGAAACCTGGGTTTCCTGCATTCTGTGCGACGTGAGATGGTAGTGTCAATCGATGCTCGACGAGGCGAGACTTACGGGGGCACGGGAGGCGATGTCAACTGTACTGGCGGGTTCAGAGCCCAAAGGAGCTCCAGCCACGATAGCCACAGCGGAAAGGACGAATGCGAAGAGTTTCATGGGAAGCTGATTTTGCAACCTGGGTTGCTCTTCGAAGATGCTGATGCTTTATATGTGGAAATCCTGCACAATAAACGGGGCTTTGTTTCGTGCGACATGGCATGCAACTCAGGTTGTCCAACAGAAAACGACCATACGAAGAGATTCTGGATAACTATTGTGTTCATTCATCCGTAGTCTTCGTACCTGTAAGTGTTTGTTCCTTTCTTCGAGAAAATTTCCGATTGACGTATTGCTCGCAAGTTCAGAAAAGGCGCTTAATTCCAACAGGCGCCATTTTCTGAAGCCACGGAATACCTCGAGCGTCGACATCAGATGGTGGCGTCCGACCCAAAATCAGATCCAAATGATGTGGATCCAATTCGATGTTACAACTCTGTAGAAAGTCTGATTTTATTCGCCTCATAGCCCAAACGCCAAGAAGGAGTTAGTTTATTAGCCATAATCGATAGAATTGGGCAGAGTATTTCCAGCGCGGGTATGGTTGCTTCAAGAGCATGCTATACTTGATTCAAACTGATGTTCTGGATAGCTATATGGAGTTTATTCGTTTATAGCTCCCTTACCAAGTGCCCGTCAACTTCGCTAGAAGAATTCTGACTGATGGATCACCTGCAGCGATACATCAGACAAGATTGAGGTGAATGACGGGCGTCTATGATTCCACGGAACCCGTCTGAGTCGCGGTCAGGGTGTGGTACTCTCCACGAACTTAAAAATCCTCTGGCGCTTGGCTTCACGGCTCAACTAAAGAAACTGTTTTCATAACCATAGTCCTATTTGACAATTTAACTATAGCTTTCTCGGGATTTCCTTTCGATGTTAACAGCAACAAGTATGGGCAAGTATAATCTCCGGACACAAACTACCAATAATATTGAAATGTCATCGAGTACCGATATTCTGACTAGAACATAAAATCGGTAAGAGTCCATTTTATACTGAAGATCATTCAGGTTTTGCTTACTGTCTAGGCTAGGTGCACAGGTAAGAACTGGCTTTTTTATTCGCCCAGGTAATATTGTTGTTCTGAGACTTGACCTCAAAAGTCGTCGCGGTACAGTTTAACCCACTGTGAAGGATTGTAAATTCAATCTACATAATACCGTCGGAAGACGTACTTGTACAGGGTGCACACTACGCCAATATCCGGGCGCATAGACGTGACAACGTTATTCCAGAAGCTTCCCGTTGCGAAAGTGACGCAGGTGCCAGATTCAGCCGAGGTGTACGCACAAGCGCCCTGGAAGCTTGCTTGGGTGCAATAGTATGTTCCGACGGTCTGTATTCATAGAGCCTTCAGTGGATTGAAGAAAGCAAGCGTGTGGAACCTACGGCTGCATGTACGCTGGCCACAAGAGCGGCGACTGATGCGAGGGCGCTAAGTTTCAACTGCATGACAAAAAGTGAACAGGTCCAGCGATTTTTCCAAGCTCGCCTCTTATAATAAATTAGGCTCTCACGAACACTTAAAATCGCATTTTGAAATGTTTCCTTCGTGTCGTCTGTCATTCGCAACAAGAATTGAACGGTGCAAGACCTTTACCTTGCTTTCGACATGGAAGTCCTGATGAGAACTAGTTAAGCGCCTTCGTTGGACTGAGCTGTCTGTCAAGAATAAAGGACAAGGACCTGGAGAATCATTCCCCAGGAATTGATGCAGCAGCGTATACCGGTCACGTCGGGAATGATAGAAGCTGACATGAATTCGGGAACAATACGAAGGTTGTGCGTTGAAGACTGACAGTGTTGTGGGAAGCGACCATGTGAAGTGTTTAAGTTATTCTTCGATTAGCTGCATGTTTCTGCCTGAAATGTCATGTCCCTCAAACTATGCTATCTAAAATTGAAATTTTGATGTCTTCGCTCGCGTCTAGGTTATTTGGAGATGCTCAATTTGTCCCTCAGAGCGGGTATTACGTAGAATCACAAGCATATATTTCGTCAAACAAGAACTGGCAGTAACCACAAAGTATTATCTTATTGCAGAGTGAATCAGAGCCAGATTTGACTGAGAGGTGCGTTCCAATGAGCAGCCTCAACGGCCTGCGGAGAACGTTATTAAGAAAGCTTGAGTTATAGACTGGTGATACGACTTACTTAACTGAAGTTCCTGTCGCAAATGTAGGACACTGCCGTATTGTCCCATCCGACTGTGCTCAAATCACTGTACCCCTCATCGATGGCCATAGAGGCACCGGTGCATTTGAGTCCGCTGAATAATAATGATAAGCACCCTTTCAACGAACAGCGAGACGACTAACGAAAAAATAGTGCAAGTATTCTCGGGATCGTTTCGTACGGATGAGATAGTCTGGTAGAAGGTATCCCCAGAGCCGAAAGTGATGCAGGTACCTGCGCCTATAGTAGCATGGGTGCAGATACCGGCGTAGCCTGTTTCAGTACAGTAGGTCATCCCGATATTGGCCCATTGCTGATTGGTAGTGGCGTCAGTCACGGCAGCCACCTGAATCACATTTTGTACTTACAGCTGCACGAGAGGAGATGCTAGCTGCAGCAACACTGGACACAGAAACGAGAACGAGAGCAAACCACTTCATCACGTATCAAAAGATGGTGAAATTGTCAACTAAGTCACGGATGACCTTATAATAAGGGAGCAGAGCATCAAGACAGACTGAATAGAAGTCATCTAGCATGCGGTATGTTTCATTGTGCAATTGCTTCAGACCCAGATCCCGGTTCTGCAAAATGAATGCTAACTGTCCAGCGATGGAGGCAATGCAATCAGAAAGAACGCGCGTAGATCGGAAATTTGGCGATGAATATGAGCGAAAGGGTGACAGAATAAGTCGTGGTTTGAATATACGCTATGATTCCAGGAACAGCGTACTTTGCTCAAGCGCTTAGAAGTGGAAGGTCAGAGTACGTAGTACTTGGGTGTACCGAAGGCACAACAAAAGATTAGTGCCTCTTTGTCATGTTCCGTGAACCTAGGCTGTCAGTCAACCCGCAAGCGCCGAGAAATGACGCTTGACTTTGGGTTAAAAGAATGGAACTTTGATGGTCTGTAATTGTATGTCAGCTGCTAGACTTTTGGTGTGTCGAATTGCCTTGGTTCCGACTTGACCGTGTCTTTGGCACCGTGGATGGTTGCCAAGCTAGAAGCACAAGAAAGACTTATACTATAGAAAAAATGAGAGCGTAACAAGAGAGATTAATGCGTAGTTCTTGAAAATTATGCACAGAATGAAGCAACGTAGCACTGGAAGGCCCGGGGTCTTTTGAACACCACCGGGGATCGAAACCGAGAACGCAACAGGCAGCTTCGGACCGTTGTGCCGGACACGACGCTTTTTCTGCCCAATGAATTTGCTTCAATGACTTTTCCCGAAGCATCTGTCGATGGCAGTAAGTAGTTAGCCTGGTTCTTGTCGTTATGGCCACGGGAAGACTGGGGCGACGACGAGGCCGCTTCCCTTGAAATATAAGCCGTCGTCGCCGTGGGGGCGAGTACCCAAATACTTACAATACCTTTGACGTGCGACTGGGATGAGACGTACGACCATGGGTAGTATCCATCGAAGTTCCCAAGAGTTCTGTTCAGACGAAGCATGCGAGAAAGCCTTCCTCGTCGTCATCACTTGGCAGTAAATTTCTGATACTCGTCGGGACAGTGACGGCCATCGGAAAGCGAGCCGCGTATTTCTTCACCCTATCATGTAAAAGTTGGAAGTATACGATTAGTCAGATACACCCATATTAGTGGTATGCAAATACAGGTATAGATAGTCAGTACATATTATTACACAGAGAGCATAGCAATGAACTCAATCATGATTGGGAGACATAGCCGGTGACGGATTAAATTCCTGCAAGCGAAACCACAAGGGGATCATCTTCCACATCTTCTGCCTCTCTCTCGCTGCCCACGCTTCCAGTGACCTTGCACATGGCTTGCATTCGGAGAACTCGGCGCTCTTCAGCTGCCCCAGTTCTTCGGCGACATACAACGGGTCACAGAAGCCGCGCTCCCGATCAAAGAGGTAATGCTGCGTTGCGAGGTCGACGAGTTCGGAGAAGTCCTTACGGCATGCTGCAGCAGAAACGCAGACAGAGGAGGGCTTGCGAATGTGAGTGCGAATGTACTGGCTCGTACCCATGGCTTGGATAAGGGTGGTGATAGTGTTCTGGGCGATCTCCTTGCCGAGACAGAGACGCTGGGTGTCGGAGAGAGAGAGGGTCGACGGATGAGAAGAACTAGGGGAGGTTTCAAAGATTTGGCAAAAAGGATACCGACAGAGGTCGTAGAAGGCCGGAGGGAGGAGGGAAGGAGCATCTACTTCGCGTGCGAGGTTTATTATAGCCTTGATTGTTGTTAGGACGACGACGACGAAGAAATGGTGAATTACGCACAATTGGTGAAGGATAAAGATGGGAGCCATTTGATGTCTGCATTTCATACAACCGCGCCAGGTCTTCACGGCAATCCCAGCCTTTCAAAGTCGAAGGCCAGGCGATCCTCAGATGCGCCAGCGCCTTCTCCCGCAGGGAATCGATAATATACTTTGTCGAAAGTCGTAGGATGCCTGATACTCTTTGAAAGTCATCCTGTCCGTTATCGCCAAAGTTCCTGAAAGGCAGTGAAGCAAGTAGCAAAGATAATATGCTGCATGCGAACGTACGGGCCGTCGTACAGTGCGACGAGAAGGTTAGCCAGGTCCTCGGCCTTGTCATGCAGAAAGACGACTGGGCATCCCTCTATCTCGTCGAGGCTCCCGGGCTGTGGATGTCGAGTCGACGACGCCAGTGAGAACATATCCCGGAAGCATACTGAGTGGCGAGCGAGCTGCGACATGTGCACTCGGAACAGCGTGTCCTCTGCGCGACAGACAACGCTGCCATCGTCGAACCACAAATCAGTGTGCCGGTACAGCTCGACGCCTGTGTCTGGGTCCACGATCTTTGAGACGCCCGGACTGTGCTGGTGAGACAAAGCGAAACTGGAACACCAGAAAACGGACGTACTTTGACGAAGTTGAAGAGGAGGCACAGGGATCCGACATGTTCACTCGCTGCTCGCTGTCTCTCGTGGTGAGCACGATGGAAGTAATAGGACAAGGAACATGACACATGCTCCTGCCCTTGATGCGTCACATTTTGCCGAGGTGATAAGATGTAATTTATTTTTTCAAATCTTATCTCAATTACAACAATTACATTCAAAGTTTCAAACGTCAGTCTCAATAAAAACACCTCACCTCAAACGAAAGATAATTTACAAAGCATCTGTGAAAATTATCAAGGAGCAAGTAATTATTTAGAAAGAATTTCGAGTCGCATTAAATATCGGTTTCAGCTTTGCCTCATCGCTCAACCTTCAATGTTCAGTATCTACCAGTTCCAGCAAGTGACAAATTATACAGCAGTGTTTGCTGTTTCCTTGTAGTAAAGGAGATATTCAAGGGAAGCAGTCCTTTTCGAAACAAAACTGAGAAGGTAGCGACGCTTAGAAAGGACATCGGACAAATCGGGCCGGTACATCTCAACTTGTGCTTGAACGGTTACGTACGAAAAGAACAAACACCACCCAGCTCGGAAATCTTACAAAATCATCCAAATGAACTGTGTAGGTATCTTACGTTAACCGTATACTTAGCGCGCGTCGAAATAATTCTACCCGGCTTGACGTTGGCGCTACCCAATGAAGCGTTTCATTATCGTCTATCTTTATGTGGATGCTGACAAAACCATGTACAGGTCATTGTTATCTCGGACTAAAAGCTCGACGGGTCACCAAGTCTGACAAGTGCTATGCATCTAGGGCAGAGGCCGAGAGGCACTTCCACGTAGCTTTCACGTAGTAAATGCCAAGGACGAGGAGTCGTATGCAACACTTCACGTTCTCGGACGCAATGGTATCTTGAACAACTTTTCTCCTTGGTTCTTGTTCCATTCGTTTTGTCATTCCTTATTTTCTAACCCCGTTTCTCCTGTCACCACTTGGGGTTCCGGAAACACTGATCTTTGGATTGAAAAAAATCAAATCAAACATGCGAACTTTAAGCGCCTTCTATTTCGCCTGTCTTGATGCTATAGCACGACTGCAAGAAATTTAAGATGGCATATCGACGTTCACTCAGTTAACTGTTTTGTCATCTTGTTATTCACGATGAAGCTACTCGCCCTCGCCCTTACCTCCGTCTCTCTCGCTGCCGCAGCTAGTATCTCCTCTCGGGAAACTGTGAGTGCGAACTTTAGTCAGGCAACATAGACTTGAACGGATACTCTTCAGCAATGGAGCCACATCGGGATGACCTACTGCACTGAAGCGAACTTCACCGGCATTTGCACCCATGCTACGATTTCTTCAGGGAATTGCGTCACTTTCGGTCCCGGGGATACTTTCTACCAGACTATCTCATCCGTACGAAACGATCCCGAGAATACTTGCACCATTTTTTCGTGAGTTGTCTCTCTGTCCATCGGAAGGGTGCTTATCATCCTACAGCGGACTCAAATGCACTGGTGCCTCTATGGCCATCGATGAGGGGTATAATGACTTGAATACAACTGGTTGGGACAACACGGTAGTGTCCTACATTTGCGATAGGAACTTCAGTTAAGTAAGTCGTGTAATCAGCGTATGACTCAGGCGCTCTTAATGGCTTTCTCAACAGGCCGCTGAAGAGCCGTATCTTCCAATCAAAGTTGGCTCAAGCTCATTATGGAATGCCATATATCGTTGTCATTGCTCCACCTTTTGTCTTTGTGGAATATACATATTTTATTCTGCGTAATCATCATTGAGAGGTTTGAACTGTGTGCATCTAAGTAGTGGCACAGATGGAATCAACCAAAATGTGAATTGTAGACACTGAGAAATCTGAATACAGTATAGTATCTATCTTCGAAAATGCTTTGTTTGGAGCTAGGAAAAGCGATTGTGGTCCCGAAACACTCTGCAGAACACGCATACGACCACTTCGCGTGATCCCTTCGTTAAGAACGGTTCTAAATATGGATGTTAAGCTTTTAAGTTTTCATTTCGCCGAATGATGCTATCCAATCATGTCCGATGTGATCGACCTATGTTGAGCATTTCTTGATGCACCGCTCCTACGCCTGTTCCTGACAGGAAGATCAGTATAACGAAGGCGCTAAATTATCCTCATGAGCTTAGATCGGTGGTGTTTTTGTAGACTCGGAGCTTTATTCATGTTCTGCATGATGGGCGATACGGAAGCAATTCAAGATGTGGCTTCAGGGAAGCAGGAGAGCCCCGGAATTGATGTTCTTATAAGAAGACGTGAACTTGAGCCGCTCACTCAATTTGGTCATGCAGTTGTGAGGATTGTATGCATACTTCAAGTCCACTTTCTAGAACGCGCTGATATCTAGAATAACTTTCTTCTTTGGACTTTGTTCCATTCGTTCCGTCATATTAATTTTCTAATCCCGTTTCTCCTGCCACACTCGGGGTTCTTGCAACACTGGCGTTAGGGTTGAAAAAATTAATGCGAACTTCCGAACTGTAAGCGCCTTCTATTTCGCCTGTCTTATACTTCAGTACGACCTGCAAGGTTTTCCCTTATTTAAGATAGACTAACGACTCCAGTCATTTAGCTGACACCGAGTTTATCATCTTGCGATTCTCCATGAAGTTACTTATCCTTACTCTCATCTCTATCTCTCTTGTTTCCGCAGCTAGTATCTCCTCCCGTGCGACTGTAAGTGAAAATCCTATCTGCATGGCAACTGCAACTTACCGTGACAATGTTATTGACCAGCAAGCAAGCAACATCGGGATGGTGTATTGCACTGAAGCGAACTTCACCGGAATTTGCGCCCATGCTACTATCGGCGCAGGTACCTGCGTCACCTTCGTTCCAGGCGATACCTTCTACAAAACCATCTCGTCCGTGCAAAACGATCCTGAAAATATCTGCACCATCTATCCGTGAGTTCTGCCGCCACCCCTGGAATGAGTGTTTATCATTCTACAGGGGAGTTCAATGTGTTGGCGCCTCTTTGGATATCAATCAAGGATACAATGACTTAAGCACAGTTGGCTGGGACAACACGGCGCGTCCTACATCTGCGGTAGGACCATTTCTTGAAGTAGGACGTGTTGTTGCGAGAGGAACATTCTTACTGACTAGCGTGACTTGTATTCGTAGGCCCCGTACCTCGCAGTACTAGTCGACCTTGGTTCTTTCTGTACTACGTTATATTGGTGTCATCGAGGACTGCCGACTCTTGTCTTTGCGAAATACCTGCATTTTATTAAATACGATCACCAGTTGAGTGTCTCTGGATGGACTTGAATTACATGATCCAGATATAAACCGTGTAGACTCGGAAAATGGTACAGTAAAACCTCAAGCATCGGATACACACTAGGGGCCATGGAAGATTCGGTCTCGAACTATACTACATAACATGTCAGGGATACGGATGTTTCTCAAGGTCCTTCCGCTAAGAATCGTTCGAAATATGAACGTTAGAACTTGAAGTTTCTATTTCGCCCGAATCATGCTACCGAACCATGTTCGATGACATTGTAACATTTGATGTCCAATTCACGGCATTCCTACAGTTTGTATTCTTAAAACACGAAGATCAGTATAGCGAAAGTGTTCAGTTCTTCATCAAAGCTTCCATAAGTCAGCGGCGTTTTTGGTATCGCGGTGTAGACTCGGATCTGCATTCATGATTGTAACAATGACATGCGATACGGAAATAATTCAGGACGCGGTTCGAAGGAAGCAGGAGGGGCCCGGAATTGATACTCTTATAAGAAGACGTGGGTTTGAATTGCTCACTCATCCTAGTTATGCAGTTGAAACTCTCCACCCTCGCATCAGTCGTCGCTCTCGCAGCCAGTGCGCAAGCAGCCGTAAGTGCTACGCATCAGTTCCCAGCATCCGTTAACAGACACAGATTGTTGGAACATACTATTGCTCTCAAGCAAATTTCTATGGCCCGTGTGTTTATACGTCCGCTGAGACTGGGACCTGCATCACTTTCTCGACGGGGGGGTTCTGGAACAAGGCTATTGCGTCTATGCGCCCAGATACTGGTGTGGCCTGCACCCTGTACAAGTAAGTCTTCCTACGGTATCATGTGGGTTGAATTCACGCTTCTTCAAAGTGGGGTGAACTGTACCGGGGCGACCTTTGTGGTCAATTCACAGCTCGGTACAATTAACTGGGCCAATAAAGCCAGTTCCTATAGCTGCGCTTAGGCTATACGATAAAGAAGATCTGAGTGACGATATATGATAGACTCCCACTTTTATTGCATTTCAAGTGTGTGCCGGAGAGCGTGGAGAGGTTTGAAGCCTTCTGGTTTGCGTCAGAGAGCCTATTGTCACCAATACATGTTTTGTTGTCATCAAAGGTCGATCCTATGCGAAGAAAACTGTTAACCAAGAAACGCGGTTTTTGGAATCGTCGTCAAGTTCGCTGTCAGTGACTGTGCCATATCGAAGCTACCCACATTCGATTTATGACTCGAATCTCGTAGATGCTATGTAGGTCAAGTCATGTTGTCCTCTGGGAGCTCAAGTCCAGAATTGAAACTCAGTAGCATTAGGCGCCCGTCATAGCTCTCGATATCACACTTGATAGACTGGCGAGATTCTAGCTGCAAGTAGCACGTCAGCAGGGATTCGTTCAGCGATGAGGACGGACGCTCAGTAATAAGGCTATGGATGAATGGAATCCTGCACCGGACCACTAACAGACAATTCGCAATCCAATAGTGCCAACTGCTCCCGAAGAGCACAAGTCTAGGCGGTTAGCGCCCGTATTTTCCGTAGTGCAGAGGCATCACCTGTAATTCTCACTATTGAACCGACTGTGCCTACCAATAGACGCATCGGGTCTTTAGCTAGCTTTGATTCTGAGTGAAGAGAAGAATCGTGCTGATATACTGAGTTAGCATTCGTCAATTCGATTGGACTAAACCACTTAGAGTGAGCTTCAAGCCGGACGCCACCATCTGATTTTGACTCCCGAGGTCTTCCATAATAATTGATGGAATCGCGATAATTCTAGCTTATAATCAATACGTCAATCGGGGTTCTTCTCGAAGACACTCACGGATGAGAGGTAATGAATTTTTGCCTGTTATCCAGAATTCCTTCGTATTGATGAATTGAATCCGTCAGTAGTAATGTTTTGTCAAAGGCTTGAAATGTGATCTCGCACGAAGCAAGGCACCGTCTCTTATGCATCATCTGTATATAAAGTTCAGGTAGCTTCAATAGTAACCTAGGCTGAAATCGGCTTACCATGAAACTCCTCGCATTCATCCTATCTGCTGTAGCCGTCGTGGCTGGAGCTCCCATGGGCTCCGGACCCGCAGAAGCAGTTGATATCTCCTCCCGCGCTCCAGTACGTCTAGTTCTCTCTCTGAGCGATGCTTCCATCTCACGTCGGACAGAATGCAGGAAACCCAGGCTTCTATTACTGCAAAGACGCAAACTTTGAGAACACATGTACATATTCCACTACTGAGGGTGGAGTGTGCATTACCTTTGCGCCGGGTGACGCGTGGATCGATAATATTTCGTCGGTGCGCCCGGATATCGGCATGACCTGCACGCTTTATTCGTAAGTACTGCGTCACATTCATGTTTGTACTCACCTACGCCGATGACAGTGCGGTTGGATGCAAAGGAGATTCTCTCCCTGTTACCGAAGAGATACCGGACCTTCTTCCGTTGGGATGGAATGATCTAACGCGTTCTTACAAGTGCGCCAGGAGGTGAGGGGAAGGTGTAGGAGTACTATTGTTGCTGCATAAGTCTTCTCTGCCATCTCCCGTAGCATCATGTGTGGAGTATAGTGCACATTAAAGAGCTTCATCGTTGTCAAAGGTAACAGCAGTGGCCAATCTGTGTCTCGTGGCCATGGTCGCGTATCGCTATTGCTTGCAGATAAATCAGTGGCCAAGCGACAGTCGTTCAGAGCGTATTGAAGCTAGAAATATCCGTTGCGGAACCATAATCCCTGAATCGATTATAAGCACAGCAGGTTGTGTCAACATTGATAATCAGTCGTGAAACTACATGCAAAATAAATGTCAAAAATTACATGTACATCCAGTCGTCCGGATCATACATCCTGCAACCATCACAATGGCCCGGAGCACATTTTGCGCGTATAAAAACGTCTCCAAGGGGATCATATGGGGGCCACCATACCTCAAGCAAAGCCTTGTCCTTCAACTTGGAATTACCGCGCAAGTCTTTCACTGCTGTTGGACTCAATGCAAGTCCAATCATCAAATCCAGCGGGAATTCTTCCCAATCCCAGTGCCTGTTTGAAACGGCCTTATTTGCCAAAGCAAGAACTCTGTAGGCAACAGAGTCAGCCTTGGTCGGGATGGCTTACACAAGGACAGCGTACCTCTGGTTATGCCCTTCGAAGCCCCCATGACAATCCATTGCACGTTGTTGGACTTCTTCGTAGTCCAGTATTTGGAGTGGATCAAGGACCAGCAAAGGATTATTAGCGGTTTTTCTTTCGAGGCCATCGAGCTCGTGTTGACGCAGCTACCGTATCTATTAGCCTCGGCCACAAAAGTAGACAAGATGCACGTACAAGGAACAGGTTCATAGCCTCAAACTCAGTGATACGCCTGAAACTAGATCTGAAAGCAAAATTCTCTGGCAAAGTGTCTTTCGTGGATCCAAGCTTCGGAGGCTCATATAAGGGAGGTCTCTCGGCGTAGTTGGGAACCCAGCGCTGTAAGCATCTCAGAAGATGGGATGCATACTTCCTGGATTTTTCTTCGTCTTCCTTTCTCCAAGCGGCTTGGCCAGCCTTGGTTAGGCGAGTGACTGTTGCACCGGTTCCGTCAAAGTCTTTGTCCAAGCTAGAGGAATATCAGTAAATAGAGGTATCCACTGGATCTAGCACTCACTATTCATACATGCTCTTCACTGTGTCTGGTAATTCCCCGCGCTTCTTGCGACTAACATGTTGGATTTGTGGAACGGAAGAGTTTCATTAGATACCCAGAGCCGCTCACTTGCTGCTCATAGGGCAAGGCCTTGATATCATCATCCCTGAGTTTGTACTGCTTCTTGGCTGAAAGAAAGGCAGATATTGGCAGAGTATATGCGGAGAGTAACAGGATACTCACCGTCGCCCTTGGTGATGGTCTGGACAAATGATGAGTTTCGTACTGACGAGAAGTGTATGAGCAACGGACCATCGTTCCCTTCTTGAATTTGAAGGTAGGATCAACTTTCCAAGCGTCTGTGTTCTTTAGCTCCTCCTTCCAAGCTTTCTTCCGCTCCCTGGCGATCCTTGCCCTTTGTGCTTCCACAGTCTCTGCCGTGCCGCGCTTTACGGTCTTTGTGCATTTGGAAGTCGCTGGTACAGCATCATACTCTTCATCTGCATCGGCCCCGCTTTTCCTTTTCCTTGGCGATGTCAACCGCATAGACTGTCAGGAATTCAACTATTGTTTGTATGGCAATGGATGGAGATTCGAAGGTTGGCCCTTGCAGACTGGGTATGACGGCAGTAAGTAGAAACGTATACACTGACAGGGAAATATAGGATGGAGCGACTGGTGAATGAGCCGAAAGAGATGTAATCATGGTTCGTCGAAGCTGAGTCTCGGCGTTTGCCGAAGCCCGCTTGAGTGTTAAAAATAGTGCTTACGCTTTCCTTAAGATGCCCCAATCACGATTGATAATTCCTAGGGCTCAGGCCTATGCGGCTCAGCGGCTCAACTTAGGGCACTATTGAGGCTTCTTGATGGGACCTGCAAGAAATCTGATGCCGGCGACTGCGTTTCAATGCAGTCCTTTCCTCGCGACTCGGAATGGCATCGACCTTGCCAATGCTTTATCATCTCCTCTCGTATTTCCACCACTCTCCGTATGGTACTGCCATCATCGGGGATGATCTCTTTCTTTCCCTTTCTCAACCTGCTCACAGAGCAGAGAAGGCGACTTGCGTCAAAAGGCGAGAATTTGGTTATTTCAAATAGTGCTAATCAGTAGATAATGCAGTAGTGAGGAGTCTTTGAGCTTTGAGTGATGCGTAATTTCTGATGGACACGATGGTGCGTAATATTGTAAAGAAGCAAGCGCATCGTCGTATTTAAATACGTAGGGTATCTACCTGTTTGTCAGCTTCATCATTGTGGATCAAGGGGCATCCACTCACCATGAATATATACGCGACGATTGGAAACTGAGCAGCCGCCGTTCCCGAAGAGCTACGAATGCTTTGTTTACGTCTCTTCGGATACGAGGCAAATGAGACACAAGACGCGTGAACCGGTAACTGATATCAATGGTCACTGATTTCAGTGATGCCATTAAAGGAGTGCTAAGGACAGCATCAAATTTTGACCACATCGCAGTGTCCAAGTACTCCATATTGTATTCGGAGAGCACGACCGAAATTACTATGTGTTCGATACGAGAAACGCTGCCGATAGCAGCAAGATTGAGCTGCCACCAATGCGCGATGGGACAGTCGGATGAATCGGTCACGTTGAGCCCAGTGACTCCGTATCTTAGATTGAATGAGAGACGCCGCAGATGGGATATATTCATCAGTGACGTGGCACTTTTCCAGTCATCTGTAGGGTGCATGAGATATTAGAACCCTCAGTAAAGACGTCAAATCCTTACAAGGATAATCGCAACAGATAAATTGCAGTTCCTCCAGCGTGTTGGACGTCTCCTTCAAAAAGGCATCCAGCTGGGGTAAATCCCAACAACGCACAAAATCGACGGACAAGTATCTGAGCCGACTGACAGAGAATGGGACATCCAAATTGCCCACAGAACGGAAACAGTCAATGAATGGGCTCAGTTCCTGCGAAATGCGAAGATCTAGTCTGAGAATCGGAAGCCCCTGTCCTCCCTTGAGCGTCGCCACGAACGCTTTGGATTCAAGCACCTTGACCGTTTGACCCTCCAAGTACAATAGGTCTGTTGAAGGAAATTGGTCAAGCAAGAGACAGATCTCTTTGAACCGCAGCCCCCATGACTGGACGGAGATGCGAGTAACGGAACTACGGCACGCCGGCTCAAGTTCTTGGACAAAGTACGCGAAGGGTAGAAGATCACACTGGAACAGCGATATTTGTTCCAAATTGATAGCAGCTTTCATCACGTTGCATGCTAGGCTTGGGTTGGCGCCGAAATTGTTGAAAGAGATATGTTTCACGAGTAAAGGGATTTCGGAGGAACTAAGACAAATGGATTCGAACTTGGAACATTTATTGGGGGCCAGGTAGATTGTCCGGAAGAGGAGGGCACGAGCACGGGAGGAGAATGATCGACATAGAGTGCTGCACAGCCTAAGTGTGACGGTGTCTACAAAAAATTCATCGACGATAGTGTCGATAATTTCCTGTGGCAGGTCTGAGGCAGAGGTAGGGGTGCTTTCGACGGAAGACATTTGAGAAGCAGACGCCGGATTGTCACTGTCTGCAGACATGTTGTTCAGAGAATACTGTGCGATAGTAAGAAAAGTAGTTTGATATCGCTGATGATAGTGGTCGATAACGTAAAGAAGGGCGGCAAACCGGCGTCAAATACGTCATTCACTCTACAAGTGCCTGCCGCGTGCCGAGGCGAGTACGACCTTGCTGAATCTTGTCCTTGAACCCTATTGCTGTCTCTTTCGAGTCGACCTTTTCATTGGCAATGCTCCCGACTCAAAACATGTAAGGAAACACTGAAAGCGACGATTCCTCGTCGAGTTGATCTACGTAAGTCATACCAATATGTTACGAAGTGTTTGCGAGGCACGTCTGCTTCTTTGAATACCGATATACCAGTCGTATACCTCGCAGATCATTTGTACATTGAAAAATCCACACTGCATAGTGCCAAACCATCTCTAATAAGAGTCCCCGAACTCAGACCCATAATCTATTCCAAAATTCCGACCGGTGTCACGACGCCGTGCGCTCGTTCGCCAGATGTCGATACGTCATGTCCGCGCAAAAGTCGTCGTCCAGGGAGAGGCTGGGATGTGAGGTGTACAATAACAGCTAGACGCAAAGGATCTCGATCAGTAACGAAGACAGTCGACATCGTGCGACGTGCGTACTATGTCCAGTTTACCCTAGCCCTATACTCCTTGTATCCCCAACAATACCCCGACGCCATGCTCTCGCTTGCCGGACGTCGATACATGGCGTCGAGGTAAAACCAGTCCCTCCTAAGACTACCTGCCGTCCCTACCCTATGCGAAGTTTCGCCGTGGGTGTGTTCACCGGTTTTGAATACATCGTCTAGGCGCAGACGTCTTGCTTGCCGGAAGACGATCCATTGTCTCCAGCCAAAACTCGGACACCTACACACCAGGATGGGGTGGGGTCATATTTCGCGCAGTCTCTAGGCATGCTCATTCCCTCCTCGCACCAGACAGGAGGCAACGTCCTCTTCTACTTTCCAACAACGCACGTTACTAGCCATTGAAAGACCAGCGCAGCGGGAACAGGTAGACGTCGTTGAGTGGTAGGGGATGACGCAATATCGGAAGGGAATGTCCGACTGAAGAAGGGTCGTGGGGATGGGTCGTTGGGTTGGGGTTGATGTCGATTTGTCATAGTGTGGTGGATACGTGGCAAGTGGGAGGAGAGAATAGCAGAATCTAGTGAACGGATAAGGATCAATGGCGTAGAGCACTAACAGATGTACTCACCAGTATCATATTGGACTGCGTGCATCATGCGCAAACCTGAATATAATATATTGATGGTGGCTGAGAGCTTCATCGGGACCATGAACAGTAGATGGGCGAGCTCATTCCCATATAGGCTTACGAGATAGGTGGTCCAGGCGATCACACCTAGCTCCGCGGTCCTGGTCATCCTTGGCTATTCCCTCTGCCAGAAAAGCATTCAGTTTCCACTCTGCCTCGCCTTTTCCTGTATTTTCCCCTTGGACGAGCCCCTTTAGTACCTCGACTATCACCTTGTGGTCCTTTTACAGGCTTGTACCGATCCTCGTCTTGCGGGCTGATATACGTGATAATGATCTTGTTGGGTACAATGTTCTCATGTATTGAGCATGGGATGCCAAAGGGAGACTTTCCCTCTGCAAGTGTCCAGAGACGAAGTTAGAAAGTGTGCTTCTTGTTGGTGGCAAGAAGGACAGATGCAGTGTTAATTGTGCTAGGACAGCACAGCGAGTAGTACTAGTCCTCGTAAGTGGAACAGACTATAAAGTGCGACGCATGAGCATCAGCGAAGGGAAAATACGGAGAAGGTATTAGTCACTCACGATCCAATTCTTAAGCAATTCCCCAGATGTTCAGGTTCAAACGTTCAATATTCAATGTGCGAGGCGACTTTTTAAAGCTAGTGCTGCAGGTGCGATAGAGTCGAGATGGTAAACGGCTGAGTACTGAGTACTGAGTCTTGACATGCTGCACGGCAGATGCGAGAGTAGGAAGAGGACTGCTGGATTGAGCACAGCCACCTATTGGTACTTAATTGCTGTTGGCAGACGACGGAAAAGGAAACTTTATGACTGTGGGTTGACCTTGCTTTTCACCAAGGTAACTCGTGACTCGTCTCTGAAGCTTGCATAAATTTCAGTCATAGTACTACAAATGTCTGAAAAAGTTCTACAAACAACGATGACCGGTAAAAGCACAGTGATGAGAATATATTCCAGTCGAAGCGTATTGTTAGTGTAGTGTATGAGACGTACATCGAAGAAGAAGAATGTTAGACTACAAAATCTAGCGCAGCTTCTATCCTACAGCCATCGCAGTGCCCTGGAGCGCAGACCACGCGTGTAAATTGGTCACCGATGGGGTCATAGGGAGGCCACCAAACCTCAAGAAAGGCCTTGTCATTCAACTCAGTCTTGTCACATTTGTTCTTCAGCGCAATTGGGCTAAGAGCAAATTCGATCATCAAGTCCTCGGGAAAGGTTCCCCAGTCCCAATAATTTTTTGAAACGGCTGTATTTGAAAGATCAAGAACTCTACATATTGCAGATTTAGATGTATGCCAAAGAAAAACCTTGGTAAGAAACGTACTTTTGGTTGTGTCCATCAAAGCCGCCATGGCAATCCATCGCGCGCTGTTGAACTTCGTTGTAATTCAACCCTTCCGGTGAATCGAGGGCAAAACCGTTATTAATACTCCTCCTCTTGAGACCCTCAAGTTCGCATCGACGCAGCTAGCGAGCCAGTTAACTCCAGCGACATATACAGTATTCGTTGCGTACCAGGAAAAGGTTCATAGCTTCTAACTCTGTGATAAGCCTCGACCCAGGTCTCATAGCAAAGTTATTCGGTAAAGAGCTTTTCGTGCATTCGAAGGTCGGAAGTTCATAAGACGCAGGCGTCTCAGCATGGTCTGGAACCCAAAGCGTCAAACAGTCCGTAAGGACTTGTCTATTCTTCCGTGCTTCGTTCTCTTCCCTCTCGTCGAAAAATTCTCGGCCTTTCTTGGTCAATCGGGCGATAGTCGCACCAGTTCCGTCGTGGTTTCTGTCAGGGCTAAGGGAAAGGATATGAGGGGGAGTAAGATACTATATCCATCAGGACTCACTACTCAACGAGATTCCTCGCTCCGTCTACTGCCTCAGGGCCGTGCTTTCTTCGACAAATGTCTTGGACTTGTGGAAGAGAATAAAGCTTCATAGTATAGCCTCTCATCCCCAGCCGCTGCTCATAGGGAAGGGACTTAAGATCGCCATCATTAAGCTTATAATTCTTCTTCGCTAATCATAGCAAAGTTGAATTATAATTTAGGAGAGAAAAACATCCGCTCACCGTCACCTTTGAGAATCGTCTGTTCAATGGTCAGATTCACAGCACAGGACGTCAATAGACGGCGTACCTTCACTCCTTGTGGTATCACGAAAGTAGCGGTGTACTTCCAAGGTATCATTTTCTTGGCCTCGTCCTTCCAGGCCTTCTTCCTTTCCTTAGCCAACCTTGCTCTTCTATCTTTCTCCGTCTCTTCCTCAGCCTCGGCTCCCCGCTTTGAGGGTCCACTCTTCACAGTCTTCTCCCGTTTTGATGTAGTCGTAACACCAGCATACTCGTCGTCTACGTCTCTTTTCGCTTTCCTCTTATTCTGCGACGACGTCGACATTTCTCGGACTTGGAGAAACCTGATTGTAAGCAACGATGCAAATTTCGAAAACGTAGTCCAGGAGGACTCTTCGAGCTGTAGAATTTTTGATAAGCTTTCCAACTTTCAGTCTACAAATGAATAGCGCCGTACCAGAGGAGGATGTACTAGGGGTGTTCAGGGATTAATAGGAGAGGTCACGCTTGGTCAGTGTTTCAGTTTTTGCCGAAGTATGTTCATATAGTGCTCCCGCCTACTTAAGCTTGGTTTTTTGATTTCTTTCTCCTGTCCCGTAGTATTCCAGTGAACGAGTTCAGAGAATTCAAGCACAGAACGCAAAAGGGTCGTTTTTTCCCCTCAGATGTGCATTCATATCTGATTTTCTCCGCAGGCCCGCTGCGAGATTCCGCGTGCCTTGGACCTGACACCTGCATTGGGAGGCAGTGTTCCCGAACTTTGTGAATTAAAAGTGTTAACCTATCATTTTTCGATATCTGGACAACGGAAATCGAGGCAGGGACTAGTACGTACACAGTCCTGTACTGACTCCGAAGTGTCAATTCTGTCTTCCGGCAGATAAAAAGATGAAAGAGACATTGAACTGATGCCAGAAGCAAACGCGTCTTTTTTCTCAGCTGCGGAGCGAAGGTGGTAACAACGCAGTTGCGGTAACCAAGTAAGATGCCGGAATAAAGCTTTTCACTATCGGAGCGTTCGTTATTCTGCACCCACCTTCTCGATTACTCTTCAACTTTCAAGGACTGTCAGAAAATGATGCGCCACTGGAATTTTGGTGCAGACGCCAATGGCCGGCTGGATGCCGGAATTCAACGCGCCGCGATCCAGTCTCACCCTAGTTCAGGGTTCTGACACCTGCCGACTAGCATGCCCTGACTTTTGCTGCCCTGATTTCTCACCGGCAAACGAAAATTCAAAGATCTTGTGCTTTTCCCCCTAGGTACTCCTGTTTTCCATCAGCCGAGGGGTCGCCTAAGGCCTTGACCCACCTTTCAAAGTGTTTTCCCGAGCTGCGTGCAATCTCTTGCGAGTGATTGTACCTGTCCACTCGTATGACGTGCCTGGAGACTCGCCCGGTATTTGGATGGATATTCATGAGTTCTACAGTGCTTATTTGTTAGGTGCTTCTGAGAAGGACCTCTAGGGTTCTTGAAACATCTCAGATGATTTTCGTATACAACTTCAACGTAAGTCCTCTATTGCTTCGAACTAGAGACGCCGTGATTTACATTACAGCGCTGACACGGTGACAGCTTGGCTCAATCTAATTCCGAAGGACTTCGTGAGATAGTTGGTCTTGCTCTGTCGCGAGTCGCGACTCCATGACATGGAAGGTTAAGTCTCTGTATCTCTATGAACGCTTCATGGCACTGATCGGCGTGTACCACTATCAGCTGCCCAGGAGTATTTTATACACACTTCCCTTTAAAGCGAATCTGTGTCCAAGACTTCACTCTGTCGGTGGTCGTCTAGGAGATGGTAACCTGCCGCGTCATGTGTGTTTATGATTCACTTCTGAGTCGGTCACTCCTTCTCAGAGGAAGGATTCCTCACAGCAGCAACTTAACACGGAATCAAATACGTTTACCATGTCTAATTTTCCGGTGTTGAATGTCAATTTTATTTTTGCGACTGTTTTTTTTTGATTTGCTTCTCTTAGCTATCGTCAGCGTCGTTACGTTGGGATATCGCCCAGTATCATGCTAGAGTTCGATTTTTATGACTAGTGACATTCGCTCCTGCAAACATTATTGTCATATCACCGCTGAAAACCTTGGGTTGCACAGACCCTGAGGTTTCAGCTAAATCGCAAAGGTAAACCGTGCTCCTTGTCGATCCGAACTGAGAGAATTCTGAAGTGCAAAGTTTGATATAGAAAGTGTTTTCCGTGAACAGGAGGATGCAGGTTCCAGTCCCTCGATTTTGTCGTGGCCGTCGCGATTATCATACAAGAGCTACGAACACGAGCTTATCTCCCCTCTGGAAATACCAGCATTGTCCGACAGTGGAACAACTTCAAGTGATCGGAATAAATCGGGCATACCGAGAACCTGTAAAGAATAAGAAGAATTAAATCCTCGGAGTTTGGTAGAAAATGGCATTGATGACGGAGGTGCGAAAGACCTCAAAAACTACAGCGTACTCAACGAGTCCAGTGGCGACTCCGATAGCGTTTAGGTCGGTAAAATGCCGTTTACCCTCGCGATCACAATGGATAAGAATGTGAGAATAATAATCTGGTCGAACTGATCGTAGCGTGATCGCGACGCTCTCGATCATTGCCACCGAAATGATTACTTTCTTTTCGACCAGGACCACCGCATACCAAGGACTTCGTCTGGGTTCTTATTCAGAGATACTTAGCCCGAATAACCCTTGATTGTCCTTGATACCTCGTTGATCATTTTGAGGCGGCCTGAAAGCGGGGTTCCCCGAGGAGGAATTCCGAGATAATCGCTGGGTAAGATGTTCGAGAAGGCCGCAGAGCGAGACGATCGCTGAGAATAACACGGATTTCGTTAAAAATGGAAAGCATATGACTAGGATATCTACGCTTTTCTCCATAATGATTGCATCTTTGTCTCTGGTCGTCCGCGTCATCGGCGATGACATCCTTCATTGGATTCTTGGGACGACTCACTGTACTGTGGCTCTACCTAGGCCTCGGCATCCTGCTTGCTCTCGGTGGATCATGACTACGGCAGGCAGGGTTACATCGCCATCATCGCTACCATGCCCCGAGCCTTCTTCCGCCATGTCCGGCTTTCGGATCCGTAATGAAAAGCTGGAGCATTGGCTTTGGTTATCAATGTGTTCTTAGTCTCGCGACAATGGCGGCGGTGACAAAATATGGTTAGGCTATCGGGGGGATGTGGGCGCCTCGGCTACTTATTCGACTCACCAGGGTTGGTTTCTGATCTGTTTGTTTTTAGTATACTGCTAACTCGTGATTCAAGGTACTGCCAGGGTCATTGAGAGTTCGAAGGGTCGAAAGTCTTGAAGCTACCCGCGAAACGTGTTTCGCTCGATCGTCAGGTACCCCCATTGGCACGTCTGACTAGGTTACGGGCTCCGAATTCTGATCTCAGTCAGCGTAGATGACGAGGTTCTAATATCCTATCTGATTGGCTTTGCGCGATGGTTCGTATATTATGATAGCGCCTTAGTGTGCGATACGAGCGGGCCTTGGTCGATGAGGATGTTGTGTCTAACTCCGTTTTGGAGGTATGTCCGTGGCGCTCATGGGCTCGGTGGCGGCAAGAACTTCGAGCGCTTCAGTGCCAAGACGAAATAGCGCTGGCTGTCGTAGTGAAGAATTGTACGATCAACGCTTTAGTAGTAAGCTGAAAGAATTCGCGACGAATTGCTATTGCAACGTTGACAGTTTATGACTCTAGGAACGGAGGTTGAATAACAACTCTTGGCACATAATTGTCCCAATTTTAGTGAATAACATGAACACATATTGGGCATCATTCGTAATATGTTGGCAGATGTGTTCAAATGAGTCACTACACATGTGGTCTATGGACTGAGCCGCTGTGTTTTTTTTATATCGCCGGTCTACCAAAAGGTCAGAACAATTTATTCACGGGAGACGAGTATGCGAGCTAACCTTCGCAGCACTGATAGCAACGAGTCAATTATATAGGACAATAACGAGTTTAAACCCGCCGATAAGCAGAGTGACTTTCCGCATTCTAATAAATTTTCGAGTCTGTTGATTTCGTAGCAAAATTCATAAGGGTGCCGGCGCTCAATGTCAGATAAATCACCCAGACGTTGGGCGTCCAAGCTATACGACCACAACGTCAATGCACGAATTCTTTTCATCTCGAATTCGGGGGCAGTCACTGAGTACCTGACAACCTGGTCTTTGTCATTTACTTATTCCATACGTCGTTTTCCAGGAATTCCCGAGTCGAACGACATGACCAGAAATTTTATCCACATTTTTTTCCGTATGTTGTGTCGCATCACACTGGAGCAAGTTTCTTCCTGAGGCTCATCAGGAAGTCTTTCCCCAAACATTTTAGCATCCTCAAAAGAGTTCCAGCTATTGAATACGTACGTTCGCCCCCCCTCTAGATAATATTTGTGCCTCAACAAGGCGCAGCAGCGGATATAAAATCATTCGCCCCATGGGCGAGACTAATACGGCCGGACTGATGAAACAGGACGACACGACCCTAATATCCTGTCTGTCGGTTCATCATGCGGTACAGTAATTGCATTGCCAGTGGAAGAATATGCACGAGGCTGATTACCCCACTTTTTAGTATCTCGTTACGGCCATATTAATGCACCCTTTTCCGTACGAAAGTGTGTCCTCCTTACCTGGAATTGCAGAGCTTTAGCTATTATTTAATTCAGTTGAAAGGGTTCAAGCTTTAGATGTAGGTTACCCTAGCGATCTCTTGAAAGAGCCGACTAAGATAAGGCAGCAACTTCGAAAAGCAAGACGTCAATCTATCCGCGGAGCCAGCATCCATGTGAGCTTCTCTCTACAACGCATGTCAGGACCTCATGCTTCATTACCACTGTAATCCATGTGTCCTGCCATGACTCTTCAAGAGATGCGCTTGTACTATCTGGTGTCGTCTTGGTATTGGCCAGTTCCTTAAGGACTCGAACCACGTTCCTTGTCAGAACTGTCCATTTATCTTGTGCTCCATTAGAAAGGATCGTCCCAGGACGTTGAATGACTAAAAATAAAGCGCTCGTGATTGCGCCCACGTTGAGAATCCACCTCCCGTTATGGACTTTTAGTTACGTAAAATGATCATCCCGACCCGGACCAAAGAGTTTTTGTACAAAGCCGTCTGAAACGAGGAAGAAGAAAATAAAAAGGTACAAAAACCGCCTCAGATTTGTCCACACCCGTGAGGCTAGTACGTCTCTTGACACTCTCCTTCCTGCTCCCATTATCGCGTAGAAGATGCAAGGATATCTTCTGGATCTGTAGCAAATACTTCTCGCTATTCTACTCGCTTTTTCTCCACTTCTCCACCGGGAAATCGCAAGAGCCGAACCTGCTTCGGCTGATTGGCAGGTGAGAAACTTGTGGACATAGGGGGAAATAGACAACCCAAAATGAACGCGATCTTTGCGGTTGGCAGTTTGCTCAATGGCGTCAAGAAGTCAGCCCCCGGGAGACGACCCTCAGGCCACTATGATTGGTCCTACCACCACGTTCTACGACCCCGACGAGCTCGTCCAGCATCCCCAGGACGCCCATGCCCAGCGATACCAGCAATGGATGCAATCCTACGACTACGGACAACAGCAGCATCATCACCAGCAGCAGCAGCAGCAGCAGCAGCCGGTGCAACAACCACCAGCTCAGCCTGCGAACTACTACCCGACAGAGCCGTATCAACAGCAAAATGACTACAATAACTATTATCAAGGGTCTTCTAGCTACCAGCAGCAACATCAGCAGCATCACCCAGCACCGTCATATTCTGCTCCACCAGCAAAGCAACAGCAGAAGCAGACACCGAACAAGAGAAAGCGCGTACCAGCGAGGGATAGCGAATCCGATGGCAGCGACGACGACATCGGTATCAGCGTAGGGGGCGTAAGCGGTGCAAGAGTCTCCAGATTGTGAGTACGGCATCGTCCCAGGGATGACTAGCTGATAGCGTAGACCCGGCGCATGCACCCACTGCAAGAAACTCAAGATGAAGTGCGACTTCCCAGCCAACGAGAATACATGTAAGCGGTGCAAGACTGGTGGTCATGTCTGCATCGTCGAGGGGCGGAAACCAAGGACGGCACCCAAGTAAGTCGTCAATTTCCTTTTTTTCCTAGAGAAATCCTCATATATGCGTCCCAGCAAACGAGAATATCTTCTAGCACAGATCCGGCAGAAAGACGCCATCATCGAGAGTCTCCTCAAGCAGCTGCACAATCCGTACCTGGCGACACCTCTTTCTATTGCCTCATACCGTATGGCGACTTCACCGTCCGATGCCAGCAACCGCAACGTTCTCGCCTGGCTTGACCGTCTTCAGTCCAGTGTACAGAATGCTGCTGGAGGTACGAGCTCGTTCAATGATCTCCGCGGGGGGGATGAAGATTCGGACGACGATGAAGGTGGGAGTCGAGTGACGCATGCCCAACGGTATGGTTTGGTTCCCCGAGACGAGGAGGAGGAGGAACAGGAAGAGACACAAACGGCACTTCCCGATTCACATGTTCCTCTCGGGCTCATTGCGAATTTGAGTTTGACATCGCATCAGGGAACTAAGAAGGGCAAGGGAAAGAAGGGTGACGACGTGGACGACGACAATGTTGGTGTGGCGAATGAGACCTATTTTATGCCTGGTAGATCTCCTGCCATTTCAATATTTCTGGGCCCGCTTACACTGGCTCTAGGTCCTGCAACCAATCTGGACATTCGTGCCACGTTGATAGAGGAACACAGTCCTCCAGAGATACTGGTGCACGGCCTTGTGGCGCCGGAAGATGTCGAGCGGTTGTTTGACATGTGAGAATTCGTTAATATCTTCCGTTTTTCTTTACCCTGACGTTCTATCTGAAGTTTCTACAAACATGTTAATGTGAGGAAATGATCCTTTCAACGATCGCTGCTGACGATATTTTAGCCGTTCGTATCCCTCCTTGACCCTGTTCTACACACTCCGCAATCAACATTCGCAAGATGTCCTTTCCTCTTCACGGTTATATGCGCCATTTCCTCCAGATACCACCCTCCGAAGTCCAGTATCTATCCCATTGCGATGCATTTTGCCAAGCATTCTGCTGCAAACGCCCTCATTGACGGCTGGAAGAGCGTTGAGCTGTGCCAGGCGTATATTTTGATGAGTATCTACGCCGTGCCTGCCAGGCGATGGGAGGAAGATCGGAGTTGGCTATATACGGGTCTGGCCATCCGGTATGTCCATAAATTCGTTTGTTTTCTTGCTCTCATTGTCCTGTCAGTATTGCCACCGACCTAAACTTACACCAACTTCCTACTACAAAACCGACGAATGAAAAGCAGGAACGCGAGATTCTCAACCGGATCCGTGTGTGGCAAATCTGCTTCAACCTCGACCGCTCGACAGCGACTCAGTTTGGAAAACCTTCAACGATCAAAGAGGATTCCATCATTCGTCATTCGGCGGACTGGTATAAAAAGTCTCGTTACAACATCGACTACGATGTGCATATGTGCGGATATACCGTATTATTGCGCATCGTGGCGAGGTTCCATGATGAAGTTTTCGCCGAGGGCAGTGGACTAAGCAGCCTGAAGAGGGTGGACTTCCGGGACGTAACGATGAGGTATGACCGGGAGTTGGAGGCATTCAAAGAAGAATGGGAGGGGCGGTTCAAAGCCGTTGGTGGTGATCGCGGGGCTGAGTTCAGGTGCAGCCTATTGCCATTGTGAGCTTAGCCTCGTTTCTTCGAGCTAGAAGTTTCATTGATTTCAATCTCTGCGCAGTTTGGTGGGCTATTCCCGCTTGGTGATGTTTTCGTTTGGATTCCAGCAGGCATTCCATAGAGGTATTCAAGCAGGCGATGACCTGTTTTTCAACAAGGTCAGTAGCCGTTGATTTCTTTCGAAGCTACTGTTCACAAACAATGTCGTAGTGTCTTGCATCCGCTAAGACGGTGATCAGGTGCATGAATGAAGAACTAGCGCCAAGTGGGTTCATGCGGTACGCGCCAGATGGTCACTTTATCTTCGCAGCTTTCGCGTCTGCGTTCCTACTCAAGGTAACTGACATGGCTAGTCTTCTTCCTTTTGTGGTACTGATACAAGAACAGCTCCTTCGACCCGAATTTTCTGCTCTTCTTAGCAAAGGCGATGAAGACGAAATCTTTGACCTCATTGGGACTCTGATTCAGAAGCTCAGCTCATCCAGCATCGCTATCGACGACCGACATACGCCAAAGTTGTACGCCAGATTCTTGGCCACACTGCTAGGCAAGTATCGGCGCGATGGCCAGGGAGCGACTGTCGGACGTTTACAGACTATTCCTCCAAGTAATATGGGCGGACCTGGTAACGGGGGTGGCGGTATGGGCGGAGGGGGTGGTGAATACCAGCAGTTCTCGGTGGCCCAAGAGCAGAACGGTTACCACACTGCGAGTTATCAGCCCACTCAACAGCAACAACCGCAAACACCAATTTATAGGCCAGAAGCGACATACGCGGCTGGCGCCGGACCGATTCAGTTCGGAAATGATCTTGAATATTATAGTTTCGATTATGGGAGCGGGAATGTCAATGGAAACGGGGTCGTTGGGAGTCCTGGAGGTGGAGATGTTGATATGCTCGCGTCGATCCAGGCGCTCAAGAATCCCGAGTGGTGGCAAGGAATGCTGATGCCTGGGTACGTTTGAAATCTGTTTTTCAGATTCTGGACAAGATTTGACGGTTCTTGGCAGTTTTACGTGGCCGCAGGCAAATTCTCCTGGAAGTGGAGGATCTGCGAGTTCAACTCCACCGGCAACGTACACTCACGTTCACCACCAGAATACGTATGGGGCCTACCAACCACAGCAGGTGATGGTGCCCATGCACTAACAGTAAGTATTCTGGTAATAAAACGATTTGCTTGCGTAGAATATCTGGTTACATTCTAGTGTATTATGAGTCTGCTTTCTTGCTTCGTTGTACGATACCTCCGTATATCGTTGTTGTAATCTGATCTGTAATGAAAATGTCTTGCTTTACAGGACCCAATTCTTACTGGGGAAGCTGAAGATACGCGATACCGACTCGGGGCCGTCGTGGATTTGCGGTCAGATGATGAGTTTTGTATAATATCCGAGTCGGCAAGCGAGATTTACATCTCCGTTTAGAGGAAGATTTACGCCGCTACCGCAAGCGATGGATTTCATTTCAACGACATTTTTTTGTAACCTTGACGTTCGAGAAGATGATGGATACAACTTACATATTTTCGAAGGGGAAGTTCCGCCCTGAGGCACAGCCACAATGGATGTCTGGTAAACTTCGACCACCACCAAAGTCTAGGTCACACCCGCCGGTTTCCTCTTCCTGATGGACTTCAACGAATCCAAGAATTTCTTTGGAATGCGAGGACGGTGTGGCTGCCACTGGAAGCTTGCGCGTGCCTGTTCGCCCACAGACTTTCAAGCGACCCCATCCCCAGAAAACGAGAATTTCCTCCTTGACGCATGAATCTACAGTGCAAGTCATCCACGAATCTAAGACTACATTCTTCCGAACATGTGCCGAATTGCCTGAAGACCTCGTTGGTCGTCTCTGCTCCATCTTTGTGTATCTAATTTTTGACTCGTCAAGAGAACGCGAACCGAGGACTGAATTTTTGGGTAGAATGGACGAAGATGAGGCATCTTAGGGCGGGATGGTGTACGGTATCATGAAAATTACGTGCTGTTGAGTGAGTTGCCTTCTAACGTTCTTTGATGATGCCTGACTCATGCAGAGATAACGATCAGCAGGTGTGAGGAGAGTCATAAATAGAAGCGGTTGACTTGCTATGTGTTCCACGATGGAAACTTTGCGTCTCGCCTTTCGTGATTATGGAAACATCTCGGCAATGACTGCCGGACTTCGTGGTGGTGCTGTCCTGGTGTCTTGAATAAAGTCAAATTTCGACAGTTTGGGCCTACATAACGCTGGCCAACTAAATCTGTGATCAAGAGTTCGCATCCAGTGTTGCCACACATATAATATCTTCATTGAAAGACTCCTTGCATTCTTTTTTAGCTCTCGGCATCATATACGCGGTCGAGCATCATCCGAAACCCAAGTTGATGGGTAAAGAAAGCAGACAGAGCAGTGATCTCTGCATGCAACATTGCTGTGCTAGATTCTGTGGGGTGGAGGAAGTGACGTGCTAAGGCGTGAAGGCCTCGTTTAGCTGAGGAGGCTGATGCCGAGTTGTTGGAAGGGAGTGGACTTGAGGTTTGAGAATCTCGCGTGACCAATTCAGAAAGGATGGAAGTTTGGATAGACCGGGTACGTTTCGCAGTGGGCCGTGCAGAGGATGGTATGCTGTATTAATTGTTTTGGTCACAGTGTCGCGACAGTCAGTTTCTCTGCAGGCACTGAAGAAGAATCGTGTAGTACACGCGTTTCAGTGTATGTGTTGCGTCAACCCACTACTTCACATCTTTTTTTATCATGATCACGGTGCCGTCAGACCGCTACGGAGGCTTTTAACATTTTCGTGTTCAGAATACGACCCCTTATCTTGAGCGTCACGCTGTCGTGAACGAGGGATGAGGTGTTCGTGTCCACTATTTATGGAAAGCACGTTTTGGACAAGTTCCCGGACATCATGCTTGTATCAGATTGTGGGTTAATCTGATGACCACAGATGGAATGCACACGAGCCTCTCTGCGTCCATCTAGCTTCCCCGCTTCTTCCCTCCCCCACAGCACCGTGCCCGACTTAAAGGATGCAAACGCCAGCCCAGCGATTGAACAGGCGACACAAATTACCTACAGGTAAGAGGTTATGGTTATGCCCCATCGGAGACATTAGCTGATGACGGTGTACAGTGCAGTTCGCCTTACAGGTCACTCATTCAGGCATGCTGTATTCCCCGCCATACTGAATATACCTCATAGACTTGACGATCAACCTTCAAGGGGACTCGCATCCGAACCTCCTGCCCTACAATGCGGTCCTCGCTAAATGCACTACGAATGACGCTGTTATACAAGAGTCGACGATGATCAAAGAAGCTGAGAGTACTGTTTGGAAGTTGACGCAAGACATTCAAATGTCCGTGTTTCCGTTCAGCCATTGAAGCGTCTGCGATCCAATGCAGCTAACCTGTGGTCTCTCGCAGAGCTACCGATATTCCTTCGTTCAAGCTGTCGATTTTGAGCCGATGCCCTGAGCACGATGATCATATACTTGCTCAAGTTGAGTTGAAAACCGCGAGCCTGATCTTAGAATTTGCGACGCACGATCGCCGTACGTCACCCTTCAGTATCATGCCTTTTGCATCCCCACTCACGTTAGATAAACATAAGGGGTGGTCTCAAGTTAGCAAGTTGGATAATGACGACCGAGTCTTGGAATTCGCTTCCAGGGTTGTCGCTGTACCGTCAGAACCTTCTCCCAATCCTTCGTCAGCTACTTTGCCTACCGCGAATGAGCAATCAGGACCTCACCTTTCATTCAACGACCTGATTCATTCCCCTACATTTTTGAACGATTGTGGCATCCACTTGATGCAACGCTTCGAGCAGTTCGGTCGTGAGGACGACCTACAAAATGCAATTTCTGCCCTAGAACGTTCAACATCGTTCACTTCAGACCGCGATCCCGATAAACCTCCTCGATTGAGCAATCTTTGCCTCGCATTCCTGCGTCGCTTCGAGTTGCTCGGCGATCGTCGAGATCTTGATCAAGCGATTAAATCGGGAAACGACGCAGTCACTTTGGCAGATGGTGACCGGGACGATCAACCCTCCTTTTTCATGAATCTCAGCAATTCCTACACTCGTCGTTTTGAATTCCTGGGAAATCTGGACGATCTCAACTCAGGTGTTTCAGCTGCTGAGCTTGCAGTCTCTGTCTCCACCGAAGGAAATCCACGGAAACCCAAGTCGTTCTACACCCTCGCTTGCTGCCTCAATCGACGGTTTCAGCGGCTTGGCCAACTTGTTGACATCAAGTCAGCAATTGAAATGGGACGGCTTGCATTATCCCTCGCTGCTGAAGGAGATCAGTTGAAGCCTATGGCCCTAGAAATCGTTGCCATTTCATTATATCAATACTTCAAATATCTCGGCAAACCTGATGATCTCGAAGAAGCGATTTCAAAACAGAAGGATGCCATACGTTTGGTGTCAAAGGGGTTTCTAGGGAAATTTCGGATGCTGAACAGTCTCAGTATCTACCTTCGTGAACGTTTCGAATTGTTCGACGACCCCGACGATCTAGACCAGGCAATTTTCAAAGGGACGGACGCTGTAAATGCAGCTCCTAGTAGAAGCCCGGAGAAACCCGGCATACTAAGCAACGTTGGCGTTTGCTTATTTCAGCGCTTTATACTACATGGAGCCCTCAAGGACGTCACGGAGGCCATTTCATTGATGCAGAGTGCCGTATCCGATGCTCCAGACGGACACGTTTATAAGCCGACCATGCTTAACAACCTTGGCATTTACTTCCGTCACCGTTTTGCCAAGACAAAAGACGCTAACGATCTCGACGAGGCAGTTTCTGCAGGAAGGCGTGCCGTGGCCTATATCGCTGATGGCCATTCAGAAAAGCCCTCTTGGATCAACAGCCTTATCGCTTCTCTTCGAGAGCGTTACAAAGTTCACGAACACTTCGATGACCTGGAGGAATCCATCTCCTGTGGAAAGAAAGCATTGTCACTTGTTCCCGATGGACATCCGGACAAGCCTAGCATACTACTCCAACTCGGTGTTTCGGTAGCATCTCGCTTTGACGGTCTCCCAACCTCACGCCTCCAAAACTCACCAGACGCTATCGAAGCTATATCATTATTCAAATCTGCGGCACTCTCCTCAACTGGCCCACCGTCAATTAGGCTGGACGCGGCTATACAATGGGCCGAGCTGTGCAGGGGTATCGACGTTCTGTCTGCATTGGAGGCATATCAACTCGTTATCGAGCTCCTCCCCCGGGTTGCTTGGACCGGGAAGAGCATAGCTGCACGACACAGGGAACTAACCCATTTTGGTCATGCGGTCAACGGAGCAGCGGCGTACGCGCTTCACTTGGAAAAAGCTGATACCGCACTTGAATGGTTAGAGATGGGGCGGGGCCATTGTTTGGGGCCAGTTACATAACCTTCGCTCGCCTGTCGACTTCCTTTCTGATGCACGTCCTGATCTCGCTGAACGCCTGTCCGAAGTTGCGGTTGCTTTGGAGAAGGCGAGCAATCGAGGTGTTAACGCAGAGCACTTTAAGGAACTATCAATGGAGGAAATAGCAAAAAAGCACCGTCATTTGGCTAACGAGTGGGATAGTCTAGTCGAAACAGTTCGTGCGCTTCCAGGCTTTGAAGACTTCCTACAACCGAAAAAGCTCGCTACGCTCAAGAATGTGGCCAAACTTGGTCCAGTCATCCTCATCAATACATATCACGCGAGGTGTGATGCGCTCATTCTAATCCCCGGTCTAGAGGATGTCGTTCACATCCCACTCAAGGATTTCTCTTACGGAAAGGCCGAAATTCTACACAAACGATTCAACAAATCTCTTTCAGCTCTTGGCGTTCGCACACGAGCATCGCGACCAGTGTATGGTACTTCGGACAAAGATGTCTTTGTGATCGTTTTAAAGGAGCTATGGTCATGCATCGTGAAACCTGTGCTCGACGGCCTAGCTTTCTCCGTGAGTAGTTTTCTTACATGACGCCAAAACATCTCATCAAGGTTTCTCAGCCCTCTGAGGCCACCAACCTGCCGCGATTATGGTGGTGTACAACAGGTCCGCTAGCATTCCTCCCTATCCACGCCGCCGGACAATACAGTACAAACGACCCAGGAACAAAGCTATCTGACTATGTCGTTTCATCATACACTCCAACGCTCACAGCCCTTCTTGACAAACTCCAGAAAACTCGAGCGTTCAAAGGTTTGTTGGCAATCAGCCAACCCAACACTCCAGGGTTGTCGAATCTTCCTGGTACAAAAGGAGAACTGCAGAAGATTGAAGAACGAGCTAACGAAGTCGTTGTCGAGTATCTGAGGGGAGAAGAAGCGACACCGGACACAGTACTCCATGGCATGTCAACCTGCAATTGGGTTCACATGGCGTGCCACGCTACGCAAGAGAAGGCAAAACCTTTAGACAGCACCTTTCGCCTTCATCACTCTCTCAATTACCCAGATGGGCATTTACCTCTCTCACAGGTTATCGCAAAGTCATTCCCTGATGCTGTTTTGCATACCTCTCCGCATGCCAAACCGCCACAGGAGATGAGTCATTATCAGAGGAATCAGTTCACCTTGCCGCGGGAATGCTTATGGCCGGATATCAAAGTGTTCTCGCGACATTGTGGTCCATCAGGGATGTTGATGCGCCTCTCATTGCGGATGAGGTATATTCTCGACTTTTCGAGGACCTAAAACCTGATAGCGGGAAAGCTGCAATCGCACTACATCACGCTGTTCAATCTCTTCGCAAGCGTGTGGAGAAGGAACCTGATTCGTTCGTGAGATGGGTGCCTTTCATACATGTAGGAGTTTAGGGTCCAACGTGCAATTGCCTAATCAGTCGGTGACAGTGTATTTAACGGTTCCTGTTGGTCTCGCGGTGCGAATACAATAGTGCAAGAATTTCTAGTACGCTATCAGTAATAAAATCAGTTGACCAGTGCTAATAGTTATCGAGGGCCAGTACATTCGTGTAGCAGGTCCGACTCGGAGTCCTATGTGTGTATAACAAGCCCTTCTGGCCGTGATGGCAACTTATTTTTATGGTTGGTGCACAGTGCTAATGGTGATAAAACCTAGGGTTGAGGTACTCATTGGACAATCTTCAATGCTTCTTAAAGTAAATCACAACGCTATCTTGGTAATGGATAGCTGGCTTTGATCTCTGTCTGAATGATGAATGAAATACAAAAATGGAAAGTCGACGGTGGATGACGACCGCAAGTTGAGACAGACGTAATGGTAGTCCTACATACAGTGTGGGTTGCATACCAAAGATGGGGTGTTGGGTGAAAAGGGAACAAAATGTTCAGGGCGCCGGCCTACCGAGTATTTGCTACCTACATCAAAAGAATGGAGATTGTACTGGTCACACTGGACACTGTACCTACCTCAGTATCATGGCACGTCACCTCCCTTTTTCTGAACAACGGTAATACGCATCGCGTGCCAAAGGCCCCTCTTCTTTCCCGAAGGTGTCTCGCTCTTGCGACGATCATCGAAAGGCGATTCTTGGACGATGCCCGACAAGTCCATATACTCCGTCGAAAAGAAAAGCTTCAAGAAGCCGACATCAACGTCCTGGCCCTTTCTTAGTGTGTAGTTGTGCGGAACCGTCCCACTTGCGCCGTACCCGATGGTCAATGATTTTTTAGGAGGAAGAGAAAAATCAACGGCGCCGTCTCTCGCGCTTCCCGGCTGATAGTATGCAGCTGAAAATACAGAAAATCTAGTCAGTAGAGCGGGAAGCGAAGATCAGCAAGGCGACGTACCGATGCTCAAATCACTGGCATCGAAATAGAACATAGAAACATAAAGGGGCACCGCCGACGTATTCTCGATCTTGAATCCATACATTGCCTCCTCATTGACGTCGACGGAAATCACACCTCCGATGTTCAGATTACCGCCATTAGGGTCAGGCTTCAAAATTTCTTCCAAGTCGTCCGTGTACTCCCCTGTCCCTGTAAGCTTCATACATTTGAGCTTGACCTTTCCTGCAAGGGGGCTTCCTTTGATAGAACGGTGAAGGTGCCAGTAGAAATCAGCGGAACTTCGAAGAATGCGGTGAATGGCGTCCGAATCATTGATATTGACTTCGAACGGCATGCGTGTTAGCCCGTGGTCTATACAGTCCTTTTCCATGATTTCGAAATGGACTTTGTCACCATCCGCGGCAATAACCAGATCCGGCTCATCGTCACGACTGTCCACCAAACGGAATCCTCTCTTTCTTGCTTTGCTACTTTGCATCTCGTCGGCTATTCGCTCAAAGACACCGAGTAACTTCTCGTCGAGCTCAACAAGAAGTCTAATATCCTGTCCCTCACCGACCCGAGTCTGCAAGGCATATCCATCTTTAGCAAGGGTGAATGACTGCTTTTTATCGCCGCGCGGGAAGAAACAACACGTTGTGGTGAAAGCGGTGGTCTTTACAGCAACAACAGTTCCAAGAGTAGACTCCATGGTTCTGTCAGCGAAAACAACGAACTCGGCCTCCTTGGTGATCCCATGAGCCTCGCCAGCGTCCAAATCGTACTGGTCGGGTATTTTAGGGTCGGATGCTCTAATAGGATATAATTCGCGGTGGGGACTGGGTACTTTGGAGTTGAAAAGACGTCGGGATTGATGAACACCTTCACACTGGGGATCTTGTCTGTAACGGACAGATCAGTGTTAGCAGACTAGGATACAAAAGTGGACATACGCAGACAGATCATGCATATTGGTTATTACGTCCTTGTAGGTAAGCTTGTCGACGCCGTTTGTTCGTAACAAGCTCAACAACGCTGAAGTAAAGGCCCCACGTTGACCTTTCTCCCAGGCACTCTGCTCCGCCTTACATGCTGAAAGGAGAACATGCGATGACAGACCCGACTTCTCGAATCCCTTTGTAACGACACTCGCCCGATGCGGAACATCTGGCTTAATGCCACGCAAGAGGTCTTTGGGGATAGTGTAAGTCACTGGAAGCTGGAACCCGCGAACGGTGGAAGTCGGATCATTGTTATTCGTTCGCGTGCCCGAGCCGGAGTGACAACAATCGAGAATGACGGTCTGTGGGTGCACCTAATCAGATACGACGACGCGTAATAGAACAAATTGAAGCCCTACAATATTGTCTGACTTTTTCGCAGCAAGGTCTGCAAGAAGACGAGAGAGTCTCGCATCTAGAACACCTTGACCTCGTTGGGAGTCGCTCGACCCACCGGGAATAAAGTCGTAGGGAACAAGCATTTGCATCTTCCCGTTGGCGCTGTGCCATCCAGACGGTGCGTTTGCTTCGGCCCCGTGCCCTGCATAGAAGATGAGAATTGGGTCATCCTTCTTGATCGCTGGATTGTTTCCAAGGTTCTCAATCTCCGTCTCGATAGTAACTCTCGTGGCTTTCTCGTTACGAAGATTCTTAATTCGGTGCTCTGGAACGTGGAGAATCTCATGTAAAAATTTGGTGACGGCATCAGCATCAGCAACGGCGCCGTGCAGATCTATCAGCTCGTGAGAATGGTGCTTGTACTTGTCGATGCCAATAACCAGCGCAAAGAGGGGCGATATAGGACTTACAGTCGCTTAATTAGTGCACATACATTTAGAACGTAAAAATAACAACTAACCGACCAGCGGTAATAGACTGAGGAGGACTGTGAAGTTCAAAGTTATCACGGTTTATTCGCATGGATGGGATCTACATACGGCGAAGAAGGTGAAGGCTTAGGAGACGAGGATTTATGAGACGAAGGGCTTTTCTGTGCCGTATGACCTGCATGCCTGCAGTATTTGAGCTTTAGTGAGTCGATCGTCTTTTCCGCGATGATCTCTTACTTTGGACGATGTGGGTGTACCGAAAGATATAGGTTCATTGGAGGTGGTGGGTAGCTATCAAAACCAGAGTTTCAGTAAGGGTCGTTGGAAGAATTGGAATGCAACTGACAATACCAGATACCAGACCACATCGACCACAGTACTGACCGTGATGTTGAGCCAGAAAAGAAACATGTGGACGAAAGAAAGAGACGTAAAGAGATTTGGGGCTGGGACTGTACGGGTGGCTTATCGGACCTCAGGAAAAAGAAGTGCCACATTTTATAGATGTAAGGTAGGGCTGTGAGAAGGGGATTATCAACGCGACTGACAGACACGTCTAAGTTCAATCTAGTAAGTTGACATCTTTAATGAATTGTCACCCAGTGTCACGTTCCACGTGATGATCCCCTTCTCAAGTTCCGGTTCAACCTCGTTGCCCTTTTACCTTGCACATATGTTCGCTTCGCATTCCGATTTTCTGAAAACTTGCTGTAAACTTCAGATCTGTGCACTAACGCCTTCTGTTGTTTTGTGTCAGATGATGCATACTCTCGGGCGGGGTAGGCGGAGAGATCGTTCCAGAAGTGCCACTATGCAAACTTATTCCTCATCTCGCTTCCGCGTTATCAGGCGTTATCCAAAGACAAAAAAAGGCTGTGCGCTTCGATGAATACATTATGACGACTAACGTGACGCTAGTTTGTGTCTGTCTTGCTTCGGTGCCTACCTACTGGGAAGTACACACCTCATTCGATCTGAACTGATATCGAGGAATGTGCCGTGCATAGCCCATCGATAACGATCAGGAGGATAAAGGTGCTTGACTTGACGTGAAGATTAGAGGCGCGACCTTGGACCGTAGGCGCCGGCAGAGACCTGGGTTGTGTCCCTGTCACCTTGCGCATACGTTCGCATCTTGATTCTGTGAAAATCCGCTGCAAAAGAGATCCGCCCGTGTATTAACCTCTTCTTACCGTTTTCTGTTAACCACAGCGTAGGGCAGGGGGGGAGACGAAGCCTAATCGTGCTATAGAAGTGCCGCAAAGAACCTTTGGCCCTCATGTCGCTCCTGCTATCAATCGATGGACGTGAAGATGGCAAGTACATCAACAATGTAGCAGCTACGTACATACCAATTTTTAGTTCCTTCAAGTTCCTTCTTCGCTACATACTGAGAATTTCATGCCCAGAACTGGTATGCAGCTAAAGCACGGAAATTTTATTCAAAGACTAATACTGTCTGCCTGGTGACATTATTTGTTGCATAACAGTCATTGGCTGTTTCATATGCCAGAAATAGGTAGACGTTGTAGAGCCCGGCTGTAAGCTCCGGTTTTGCTTGCCGTGTCAAGAACAGGAAGATAAGGCTAAGGGCATTAGCATGATCAACAAATGACCACTGTCAACCGGAGACTTGAGAACCTCGTTAGACGGTGCAGGTACGAGTTCCACGAGGAACTATAAAACGGCTTGCCAGGCTATGTACGGTACAGATCGAGTACTTAGCTACAGTAAGTACGCGTCTCAGCCATGTGTTATCCATAGTCAAGATGTCTGCTTGTATAAGTCTTTAAATTACTTACTGCCTAGACTGCAATGTTCTGTTCCTCAGTCACTCACTCGAGGCCTTAGTACGTGTTCTCTTTCGTAGATTCCTTTTACATTTACTTATTTATCTACATGCTAACGGTACAGGTCCTAGGTCCCAACAATCTTGAGAATCAGAGGTTGTGGACTCTGAGTCTGGATTCCGTCCCATGCACCTGAACAATGAAGCTGAAAGATCATCAAGGTGTGAAGGCTAGAGAGCTATTTTCGATCTTGAATCCATACATCGCCTCCTTTGCACGCACGTTCGCATCATGATTTTCTGAATAATAATAAAATCGCCGCAAGAGATCCATCGTGCATTGATGCCTTCTATTCACCCGCGTCAGGGTGGAGGGTCGAAGGAGGTCGACATCAAAAAGTTGTCGTGCTAGAAGTGCCGGAAATAAACTTTCTCCCTCATGTCGCTCCCGCTAACCAAGGACATGAAGATGGTGAGTATGTCATTACAACTGTTGTGATGTGAATGCAAATTTTTCATTCTTCTTAGCTGTGTTGACCGTCACACTGGGAAGTAGACACAGCATTGCAACTGAATTAACATCCATGGGACGCCGTAATTGGGGGCCTTGTGTGTACACAAATGGGGTACTTGGCACATCGATAAAGATTCGAAGAAACCGTGACGCCAGTAGGAAACGAGGCAAGGGGTCGAGGTAAGCGCCGATCTATACCGAGGGTGCCGTATGAGGTTGTAGGAGTCACGCGTGGATGCTCGCAAGCGCTAGGTTTTGATTGGTGAAATATAACTCTGATCAAAGTCGAAAGCGCGGCGTAAGGGGTGGGCCAGTTATATCATGATGCAGTCGTCTCGGAGGTAACTAATTCTCCTGTCCATGACTCCGGTTCTTGAACGACTTGGGACTGAAGGAAAGATACTGACGGTCATCAAGCCGACTGACAAGCCAGGGCCGAGCCCACCCTGCCGTTGCCAACGAAGGTTTCGACTTCTAGTTGAACTCGGGCCCTTTACCATCTTTAATAAGCACTGAAGCAGAAGTGATGAGTTTATAGACAGGGAAAACGGAATATCAGGGACTCTTTCACAGTGCACAACGAGAGAAACGCCAGTCTTGAATTAGAGGCGGCATTTGCGAAGCTGCGTTAGCAAACAGTAAACTTTGGTTTTACGCCACTCATAAACAAAGTTCCCGGCGGTCCAACTAAATAAAGCCGGAGTCTTTGTATGCCAAACTTGCCAACCGGTACGTTCACGATTTCGTTTGTTTTCTTTCTCACCAAAATTCGAATTACAAAAAATTTAATGCCGCCGGGTTGAATGTCCAGAGTTGAAGCTTGAAGTCCGACCAACCATTGTCCCAACAGTATTGCCACTGTCCTCAACTAGCATCAACTTCCAACGACAAAACCGACAAATGAAAGGCGGGAACGCGAGATTCCCAATCGGATCCGTGTGTGGCAAATCTGCTTCAACTTCGACCCTCCTCGACCGCTCGACAGCGACCCAGCTTGGGAAACCTTCAACGATCAAAGAAAATTTGATCATCCGTCAGTAAACATGTTGAGGCCAGTATCCGGTTCCATCAATACCCAATCGACCGAACCAATACGATTCATTGATCAATCCCAACCGATGTTGTGTGTGAAGAGCCTGTGTCGCCTGTCCAATCGCTGTGCCAGCATCTGCATCCTGGATATGGTGCTGTGGGAGAAGAAGAGGGGAAGCCAGATTTGACGCAGAGATTCTTGTGTACTTGTGAAGAAGTCCCACACCGTGCCACTACGTGCACCCCACCTGTATCATCAAATTGACCCACGGTTGATGTCCCGGGAACCTGTCGAGAGCGTAGTTTCCAAGATAGTGGACATGAATGTAGCGAAGTTGATTTGATTCCTCGTTCACGTCAACGTGATGCTCAAGATAATAGGCTGTACTCCTAAAACGCATTAGGAGGGACTAAGGTTCTCTGCGGAAGCGTTGGAAGCGTCCGTAATGACGGCACGGTGAACATGATAAGTGCAAGTTAGGAAGAGATTTGTGAAGTAATACGTCATGTTTGACGCAACACATACACTGAAACGTGTGTACTACATGATTTCTTATCCAATCCCTGCTGAGAAGGAACTGATTGTCACGACAATTTGACCAAGATAATGCATACAACATACCATCTTCTGTGCGGGCCATCGGCCAAACGTCGAAGCATATCCGCTCCATCCAAACTCGGCTCTCGAGCTTCAAAAGAATGATGGCGTTGTTCTATAAGGATCTTTTGCCAGTTTAAGAAATACAGTGATGAAGACAAGCCTCATACCAGTAGTAATTCATACACCGCAGTTGATAACCATATACCGTGCAGACTCTTCCCCAGATCCCTAAGTACGTCATCACCAAAATTCTCAAGAAGTAGACAAAATTACGGGCTCCTGCAACATCTGGTGTAGTGCCTGGCTGAAGATATTATGTGCGTAGTGGCGCGGACTCCATATACACCGAACCACAGATTTTGATCAGTTAGTTCGTCAGAATATGGCTGGCCACTCCACTAAGTTGGGTTTGACAATATCGATGACCAAGGCGCTTGGAGGTATGTTTGTTCTCATCAAGTTGTACGAGTTACCGCCATACTATGCTCGGAGGACGACGTCAGCACGTATCTTGAAGTACAAACCCCTTTGGTAGACACACTTTCCAGCGTGAAGGAGGTGTATGCTCAGACTTTCGACGCGTCATTCGTTCCTGACCTTATTCAAGATATGAAAACAGCGCCAGTCCGCCGTGTCTCGTAGGCATGACCGAGATGCTGGTCCATAATCCAAAAAGGCGAGACGCAAAGGTCCTCTGGTGGAACACACAGGGAGTCAGTTGCTTCTGAATTAATTTATGGCCGGTTTGCACACCTGCAATCTGTCATCTCTGTGACGGTCAGGCAGTATCAAAGAACCTTGAATGGCAGCTCATTGACAGCATGCAGTCATTGCATTCCCGTCGGATGCACCTCACACCATCCGGTCTTCCATTCTAAAATTCAGACCTTATTGCATGTTCTCTTCGCTATAGGCCGATAGGCGCAACGATGGAGTGGAGACGACGGATGACGTCTTCAGGAGTGCGGCAGATAGTCTCAGATTCCCGACGTGACTTCATGTGTCGACGCAGAGGAAGATATTCTCCTTTCCTACGGACGAGTCCGCTTGAAAGTCTGTGAACCAATATGCGTGAGCCACGCGCGCACAATGTCAATAAATATGCGCAATTACACCATAGTGGATCTCCTCAAGTAGCCTAGCGCCTTTTCCTTCCTCGCTTTTCCCTACGCGAGCAAGCCCCAGGCAGCCACATCGTTGTCTTCTGACGAAATTATCTGGTTCGTCGCAGTCTATGAGCAGAAGAAAGAGGTCTTTTGAGAGCGTACAGACCTGGAAACCAATGGAAGTACCTTCGTCTGGGTGGTCGAAGTGAACGAAGATCGAGATCATCTGGCTGTACACGGGACTTTTTGGATCACTTATCAGCGCTCAGCACCGGGACAAGGTGGACGATGCCAAGAGTGTTCTGAGGTCGCTCGCCATCTTATGTAACATTCTCATCTGCTCCGCCGCCAATATCAGCTTTGCAGCCTTGATGTCCTGGGCTGGTTACCTTAATGAGCAGGGAATTGCTTACTACGTTTCCGTAATAGCGCTTTCGGCCTTTGTCCTTTCGAAGGAGCTCCATTTAATGGATACTGACAAGCCGAGGAAATGCATGTAATTGTTCTTGCAGCCGCCGACCATTGTCAATCTTATACTCACAGGATTGGTTGTCGATGCTGTTGTTCACCAGGCGGTTGAAGGAATTAGATATGCTACGCAAGCAAATCATTTTATTACCAGAATATTGACCGTTAGTGCAACAGGACCGTCACCTGCTGTGGTGAGTAGACCCCATAGGTATTCTGGTGGTGAACATGACTGTACGTCGCCAATGGAGTTGAACTCGCCGATCTTCCACTCCCAGGAAAATTTGCCTGTCGCCACGTAAAACTGCCAACAACCGTCAAATTTTCCATCTCACGAGATTTGAAACGCACCCAGGCATCAATATTCCCTGCCACCGCTTGTCTGCCTGGATCGACGCGAGCATATCAACATCCGGCTCCCAACAACCCCGTTTCCATTGATATCCCGCTCTCATAATATTCAAGATCATTTCCAAACTGAATCGCCCCAGCGCCAGTCACATATGTCGCTTCTGGCCTATAAATTGGCGCTTGCAGCTGTTGGTGTTGAGGGGGCCGATAACTCGCAGGCAGGCAGGTAGGTAGCATCATGGTAACCAACTTGGTCTTAAGCCACCGGGAACTGTTGGTATCCCGCTGCCCCCCGTCGTCAGGTTCACCCATGTTACTCGGGGGAATGGTCTGTAAACGTCCGACAGTCGCTCCTTGGCCATCGTGCCGGTACTTGCCAAGTGGTGTGGCCAGGAATCTGGTGTACAACTTTGGCTTATCTTGGTCGTCAATGACAATGAGATCGACGATTTCATTTTCATCGGTTTTGCTGAGAAAAGCAGAAAATTCGGGTCGAAGGAGCTGTTCTCGTATCAGTAACACGAAAGGAATAAGACTAGCTATGGCAGTTACCGTTACCTTGAGTAAGAACACAGGCCGCGAAGACATAGTGACCATCTGGCACGTGCTAAGTGAACCCACTTGGCGCTAGTTCTTCGTTCATGCACCTGATCACCGTCTTGGCAGATGAAAGACACTACGGCATCATCTGTGAATAGTAATTTCGAGGATTACCAGCGGGTACTGACCTTGTTGAAAAACAGGACCTCGCCCGCATGTATGCCTCTATAGTTGAATGCTTGCTAGAATCCGAACGAAAATATCACCACGCCGAAGGCATGATAAGTCCACCAAACTGCGCGGGAAAATGGGAATCAATGAAACTTCTAGCTCGGAGGCTAAGCTCACAATGGCTGGACCTGAACTCTACCTCGGGATCACCACTGACGGCTTGGAGCCGCCCCTCCCGTTCCTCTTTGAATGCCTCCAACTCCTAGTCATATCTCATCGTTACTTCCTGAAAGTCCACCCTCTTCATACTGCTTAGTCCGCTGCCTCCGATGAAAACCTCATCATGGAACCTCGCCACGATGCGCAATACGAAGCTGTACGTCGTCCACGTCATCACTCTTCTTTCCTTGAGATGGAACAGTCGAATTCGTGACGAGCCTGAGGGGGAACATGTGAGTTAGGAAATGTCGTCTGTGTCTCTCTGCTCCTCGCTCGTCCATAGGCAACCAGACCGTACCATCGGGAATGCACTCGACTCGTTCCTTCGTTCTGTGAAATAACGATGAGTCTTGACGAGTCCCTGTATTTGACAGCGGCCTCGTCCTTTCTGCTACGTTGGCATCAATGTTCTGGCGTGGCGGGGAGGAGGCGGTTGATAAGAGGAATGTTTGCCACAGCCACCCACTAATCTTGGACTTGACCAGCATTACACGTTTCTTGCCATGCGGAAGGACGGCTTTCGTGCAACGTCAATAAAACTTCCTTCCTTCCTTCCTCTGGAATCTGGAACATTATCCTTGCTTTTTTCATTTCATTTCACTTTTTCCATGTCTTACTTACTCGTCGTCATTAGCCGCCGAAATGACCAATGCTCACAACATCACGTTTCAACCAAATACCGTCAATTAGCAATACTACTTACAGAGGGACACACCTGCTGTGCATTGTTACCGCCCCTCCTAGTCTTTCTCATGATGCTATTTTAGCCTAACAATTGACCTCCCCTCAGCATAACCACAGCTGTGCTACGGCCATCAAATCAGTCCTATGCTCTGCCTCTATAAACGGTTAAAACGTCGGACGTCGCAACTACCTCACGGTCTTGTAGTAAGGTGATGAATGAATTAACGGTAGGAGATTATGAACAGAATGTCACAGATGAACAAGTCAAAACACGGAAGTTTTGGTTGATCTTCTCCTTTGCCGTAGCGTGGTCTGAGGCAAGGTAGCCTTGCGTGATATGAGTAGCAAGAAGCGTCGCAATTCCGGCTATTTTCTATTCCGGCATCATCCAGACCCGCATAACACGCAACCGTGAGTATCAATGAGGGAGAGGAACATCAAATGTCGAAACTCCTCGAGGGTCTATCCAAAGCTCTGAAAAAATATCACTGGCAGCACTCGAGGGTGAGATTCTAACCTGATATCCCTGCTGCTTATATTCGAGGCATTGTATATTACGCGGCCCACCCTCATCAACATCTAATGTTCCACCTCGATGCCAACTTGAATTCCCTAACTTGTTAGGTGCTTTCCGCAAATCCCTGCAGGCATACGCAAAACTGCCCAGCCTCGTTAGCCCTTCTTGCTCCAAGTCTGTTCACTTGCTTCTTAACCGAGTCCCGACACATCGCCTGTTACCCGATGTGTTTATGTATGCCCGGTACTTCCCTTAAACTACTCATATCATACCCAGTATGATGGTCGACGCATGAAGGACTTGCTTTCAGGTCACTGCAGGTTTCATCGAAGCGGAGTCCATCACGTCCGAAAGAGAACTAGTTTTCCTTGCACTACTTCTAACAGCTTCTAACAAGATTTCTTCTGGGCACGGGGTCATAGAGCGGCAATGCACAGACGGTTCTCCGTTTCCACGGGTCATCTAATGGTCGAGGCGCATGCCAGACACGTATAAAGTTTCGCCCTTCTTTCCCTTAGCACGTAGAATCCCACCCGTCGATATCCTTCTTGCATCTCTACCTTTCATCCACATGTTTCGTAAGTGGCTCAGCACCACAGTCAGCACTATGCTGGACATTTTGATATGGTCAGGAACCATTCCAATTGATTCGACAATTCCTATTGAATCTCGACTGTTTACATGGCAACTCATCTCCTCCTCCAATGTAAGACATCACTGCGAAAGACAATCTATGTGCTGACACTCGAGTCTTGCAGGCTTGTCGCAGATGGCCCAAATGAGCTATCTCCTCCATCGTACGCCGATCCCATCCATTCGAATAAACTGTAATGACGCTACACTTGCACAGTCCTCCTCACTCTATTGCTATTGGACGGTTATTTCTATTTTTTACCTCCCTAGGGCGTGGCACTGATCAGGTGATGGTTAGCTCCATCTCGCCCCTATTTGCGTTAGTTATCGGCATCGACAAGTATCTCTCGAACGAGGTCAGAGATCTGAGCGGTGCCGTTGCCGATGCTAACGCCGTCAACACATTTTTACAAGAGATTCTTGGCGTCCAAAGGGCCAAATCAAGAATCTTCGCAACGAGGAAGCCACGAGAGTTACTATCGAGATGGAGATTGAGAACCTTGGGAACAATCTAGCGATTAATAAGGACGACCCAATTCTCATCTTCTATGCAGGGCACGGGGCCGAAGCAAACGCACCGTCTGGATGGCACAGCGCCAACGGGAAGATGCAAATGCTTGTTCCCTACGACTTTATCCCTAGTGGGTCGAGCAACTCCCAGCGAGGTCAAGGTGTTCTAGATGCGAGACTCTCTCGTCTTCTTGCAGACCTTGCTGCGAAAAAGTCAGACAATATTGTAGGGCTTCAATTTGTTCTATTACGCGTCGTCATATCTGATTAGGTGTACCCACAGACCGTCATTTTTGATTGCTGTCACTCTGGCTCGGGCACGCGAACGGATGACGATCCGACTTTCGCTGTGCGTGGGATCGATCTCCCAGAGACTTACACTATAGCTCAAGACCTCCTGCATAACATTGAGCGAGATGGTCGAGCGAGTATCGTTACAAAGGGATTCGAGAAGTCCGGCATGTTGTCGCATGTACTCCTTTCAGCATGTAAACCGGGGCAAGAAGCTGCAAGAAAGAGATGGGCGTGGCGCCTTTACTTCGGCGTTGTTGAACTTGTTACAGCAAACGACCGTCGACAAGCTTACTTATAAGGACCCTAATAATCAATCTGCCTGGTCTTCCCTCGTAGGTCTCCTTTCTTGTCTTAATCTGCTAACACTCACCTGTCCCCTATAGACAAGACCCTCAATGCGAAGGTGTCCACCGATCCCGATGCCTTTTCAATTCTAAGGTAACCAACCGACAACGCAAATTATACCCCATCCACGCGTCCTCTGACACACCGGGCCAGTACGTTTTGGAAGCTGGCGAGGCCCATGGGATCACCAAGGAGGCCGAGTTCGTTGTTTTCGCTGACAGAACTATGGCATCTACTCTTGGAAACTGTCGTTGCTGTAAAGACCACCGCTTTCACCACCACATGTCGTTTTCTTCGCGCCCCGACTATAAAAAGCAGTCATTCACCCTTGTTAAACCCGGATATGCCTTGCAGACTCGGGTCGGTGAGGGACAGGACGTTAGACTTCTTGTTGAGCTCGACGAGAGGTTACTCGGTGTCTTTAAGCGGATAGCCGACGAGATGCAAAGTAGCGAATCAGGAAAGAGAGGATTCCGTTTAGTGCAGAGCCGTGACGATAAGCCGGATTTTGCCGTTGCCGCAGATGGTGACGTTCTCCATTTCGAGATCATGAATGAGCTCTGTCGACAACATGGGCTGATACGCATGCCGTTCGAAGTCAATATCGATAATTCGGACGCCATCCGTCGCGTTCTTCAAAGTTCCACTAATTTTTACTGGTACCTTCACCATTCGAGCAAAGGGAGCCCCCTCGCTGGAAAGGTTGAACTCGAATGTATGAAGCTTGAAGGGACAGGGGAGTACACGGACGACTTGGAAGAAATTTTGAAGCCTGACCCTAATGGCGGTAATCTGAACATCGGAGGTGTGATTTCCGTCGATGTCGATGAGGAGGCGATCTATGGATTTAAAATTACTAATACAATGTCGGTGCCTCTTTATGTTTCGATGTTCTATTTCGATGTCAGTGACTTGAGCATCGGTACGCCATCCTGCTGATCCTCACTCCTCGCTCTAATTGCCAGATCATCTGCCTTTTCAGATTCGTACTATCAACCGGGAACTGCGAAAAAAGGCGTTGATGTTTCTCTTCCTCCTGAAGAATCGTTGACCATCGGGTACGGCGCGAGTGGGACGGTTCCGCACACGTACACACTAAGGGTTGGACAAGCTGTTGATGTTGGCTTTCTTAAGGTTTTCTACTCGACGGAGTATCTAGACCTGTCGAGCATCGTCCAGGGGGTCGCCTTTCATAGAATTTCGCGGAGGCGCGCGAACCGCACCGGACAGCAGGCACCTATGGGACACAATGTGTGTTGCCATTGTTCAGGGGAAAGGGGAGAGGGGCCCGTGAGGCTAAGACCGTCCCAGGACAATCTTAAACGTGCCACAATCCATGATATCCATTAGTTTTCCGTTGGTATTTATGTTTTCGGTAGCTTCTCCCGCTCCTCTTCGATATGCAATATGATTCTTACGACCAGTATGAGAAAAACAGTACGCACTATTGGTTTTTATTGGTATTGAAGGGGCGGCTCCGAATTATTCTGTGGGCATAACGGATCCTATGCGCTTCCTTCAACCGTGGCAATTGTTAAAATTGCAGCTCGGATTTATTCTCTGACTGGGAAACCTAGGAGACAGCTCAGCGCTGCCCAAGTTTCTGGACGGACTCAAGTTAAAAGAACGACGCTATGACACAACGAAAGACGAACACGTGTAGCAGTGGTAGGTATCCACTGGAAGGATCTTGCCAGGCCCATGATACGTAACACTATGGTTGGGTCAAGGAAGAGCAGTAATACTGCAGCCTGGCGAGCGGGCCTTATAGATACTCGGGGCCTCTTTCATTAATAAAAGCCTTCCCTCTGCAGGTCTTGTGAATAATAATTTCTTCGGATGTTTGCGTTCGGACAGAAGTTCAAGTTCTCCCCGAGGATCTGGACTTTAAAATGATGCACACCACCCGACTTTCGCCTCCTACCAGTAAGGTGGTAACGAGCAGAAAAATTTGGTCGCTGTAACAACATAGCGCAATGCTTTTTTTGGAAGCAGCCGCATGCCCCGGCGCATTCATCAAAAAATCCATCGCTGAACACGTACACGAGCTATGACTAAGAGCATTGGGGTCTGTTACAGGTACACACGGTATGAAACTAAGAATGGAATTTTTTTCTCATAAGGGTCGTGATGATAGTAAGACTACATGTTGAATATTGAAAATGATGGAGTGCAGGGTGAACGGAGAACAAATGTCAACGCATTAGAATGATCTGATATGAACGCCATCGTGGATCGTCGCACCCTGAAATTGTACATGTTGCCCCCACCCCACACCAGTTCTAGCATCGCGAGGTACCCTCTCCCTTTTTCTGAAACAAGTGCAACGCACATCGTGTCCAATAGGTACCTTTTCTTCTCCAGAACAGGCCCATTCTCGCGAGCAGCCTCGAAGGGTGACGTTTGAGCGATGTCTGACAAGTCCGTATACTCTGTCGAGAAGAAAAGTTTCAAGAAGCCGACATCGACATCTTGTCCATTTCGAACTGTAAATTTGTGAGGAAATGTCCCATTATCCCCGTACCCGATGGTCAACGATTCTTTAGGGTTAAGAGAAGCGCTTTCTTTCGCACTTCCCGGTTGATAATACGAAGCTGAAAAGCCAGTCGATCAGGTTAGTTCGAGCAGGCAATGAGGAACAGCAGGATGACGTACCGATGCTTAAATCACTGACATCAAAATAGAACATCCAGACAAAAAAGGCGCACCGATGTGGTATTGGTGATCATGAATCCATACATCTTTTCCTCATCGACATCGACGAAAAATCACACCCCCGATGTTCAGATTATCGCCATTCGATTCAGGTATCAAAACCGGCTCTAAGTCCTGTGTGAACGTCCCGGTTTCTTTAAGCTTCATACACTCGAGTATGACCTTTCCAGCGAGTTGACTGTCTTGGCTAGAATGATGAAGGTGCCAGTAAAAATCGGCAGAACTGCGAAGAATGCGGTGGATAATATCCGGATCAATATTGACTTTGAATGGCATGTGTGTCAGCCCATGCTGTCGACAGAGCTTGTCCATGATCTCGAAATGAACAAGATCACCATCCGCGGCAACCAACAGATCAGGCTGATCTTCGCGGCTCTCCACCAAACAGAATCCCCTCTTTTGTGCTTCGTCACTTTGCATCTCCTCGCCTATCCGCTTGAAGACACCGAGAAATTTCTCGTCCTTCTCAATGAAAAGGCGGACATCTTGTCCCTCACCAACACGAGTCTGCAAGGCGAATCCTTGAACAGAGAGAGAGAATGGAGTTTCACTGCCGCGCGGGCGAAAATCGCACGTAGTGGTGAAAGCGGTGGTAACTGAAGCAACGACGGTCCCAAGGGCAGATGCCATGGTTCTGTCAGCGAAGACAATGAACTCGGCCTTGTTGGTGATGCCGTGGACCTGGCCAGCCTCTAAAATATACTGGCCCAGGGCAGGGGATCCGCGTATGAGATGTAATTCACGTTGTGGGCTGGCTACTTTGGAATTGAAAAGGCATCGGGATTGGTGTTCACCTTTGCACTGCGGATTCTGTCTGTAACAGATGGATAAGCGTTTGCAGACTAAGTCACAAAGGTAGGCCTACGAGGGGAGATCAGGCAGTTTGGCTATTATGTCTTTATAAGTAAGCCTGTCGACACCGCTCTTCTCCAACAAATTTAACAACGCCGAAGTAAAGATACCGCTTCCAGCTGTCTCCCTGGCCATCTGATCCGCCTTACATGCTGAAAGGAGCATGTGTGACGACAAGCCCGTTTTCCTGAATCCCTCTCCCGCGACGCTCGCCTGAGCGTCCGGCTCAATGCCATAGAAGAGGTCTAGAGGTATAGAGTAAGTCTCTGGGAGTTCGATCCCGCGAAAAGCGAAAGACAGATCATTGCTGTCCGTTCGCATTTTCGAGACACTGTAACAACAATCGAGAATGACAGTCTGTCGGCGAACATGATCAGATATCATTTGTAACAGATAGAAGTGGAACCTTACGATGTTGTCTGACTTTTTCGCAGCGAGGTCTGCGAAAAGTTGAGAGAGCTTCACGTCTAGGATGCCTTGACCTTAATGGCAGTCGCTCGACCCGCTGGGGATAAAGTCGTAAGGAAGAAGCATTCGTATCTTCCTTTTGGTGCTGTGCCATCCAGACGGCGCATTCACTTCGGCGCCGTGGCCTGCATAGAAAATGAGAATCGGGTCGCCCATCTTGATCGTCGGATTGTTCCCAAGGTCCTTAATCGCCGTCTCGATATTAACTCTCGTGGCTTGTTCGTTACGAAGAATCGTGATTTGTTGTTCTGGAACGACGAGACTCTTTTGTAAAAATTCTTTGACGGCGTCAGCATCGGCGACGGCACCATTCAGACTTTTGATCCCATGGTCAGGGTGGTACTTGTCGATACCGATAACTAGCGCAAATAGGGGAGGGGTACGACTACCAATTGATCGGTCAGTCCGCATTTTACAGAAAAATAACATAAATACGAACCGTTCAATGGGAATACACTGAGGAGGACTGGGGCACAGAGTTATTACGGGTTATTCACCTGGATGGGATCTACGCACGACGGGGGTGGGGGATTTTCCTGCGCTGGATCTTGTGCAGGCCTGCAAGATTTAAGCGTTAGTGGACCAACCGTTTCGTGCAGTGATCCCTTACGTCGGAGGCGGTGGCGAACTGTAAAAAACAGATTCATCGCGCAATTTCAAGAAAATTGGAAAACCACTGACGCCACCAGATACCATATCAAGTCTGACACGGTGGTAACTGTAATGTTCAGCCAGGAGAGAAACATCTCGAAAAAAGACAGACAGAACTAGAATGGTGAAGGGTGGAATGGTCCTCGTGAATTTGACTGTAGGGCAATAAAACGTGACACTTTATAGACGTAGTACTAGGGCCCGGGGTCGCCCTTTCGCCCTTTCACATTTAATGTACGTCTGCATTCTATTTTCTGAATGGTTCTTCAAAAGACATATGTACATTGGCACCTTCCATTCATCCGTGTCAGATGATATACAGTCTCGGGCGGGGTGATAGAAGCAGCTGTGCTAGAAGTGCCGCGATGAAAGCTTGGAGGCCCTAATGTCGGATCCGCTATCGAGGGATGTTAAGTTATAAATAGTACATTATGATCAGTGACGTGAGTGCGAAAAACCTTCGTCCTTCTTCCTTCTTTTGGTGCGCTGGCCGTTGTACTGGGAAGCAGACACGGCATTGAATCTGAAGATACCCATGAGACGTTGAAATTAATTGGGGATCTTGTCATCGATATACAAATGGGGATACTTGGCACATCGATAACGATTCAGGTGGCCGTAGGAAACAAGGCAAGTGGTCGAGGTGAGCAGATCTATGGTAGTAGAGAATGAGGCCAAGGGTGGCCCGCAAGCGCTGAGTTTGAATTTCTTCCCACTGACGTCACCTTTTCTTTCTCTCATTGTTCCAATAGGATTTCCATTCACCTGAACTAGCATCAACTTCCAACTACCAAACCGACAAATGAAAAACAGAAATACGGGATTCTCAATCAGATCTGTGTGGCAAATCTGCTTCAACCTCGATCGCTTGACAGCAACTTAGCTCAGATTCCAGAAAACCTTAAACGATCAAGCTCCTGTTTTCAACAAGGTCAGTAGCCGCTGGTAATCCTCGAATTACTGTTCACATGTTCACAGACGATGCTGTAGTGTCTTTCATTTGCCAGAGCAGTAATCAGGCGCATGAATGAGGAACTAGCGCCAAGTGGGCTGTACGCGCCAAACGGTCACTTTATCTTTGCAACTTTCGCATCTGCGTTCCTACTCAACTTGGTAAACGTCATAGCTATTCTTTTGTGTTGCTGTACTGATACGAGAACAACTCCTTCTCAGCAAAGCCGGTGAAGACGAAATCGCCGATCTCATTGTCATTGACGACCAAGCCAAAGTCGTATACCAGATTCTTGGCCACACTACTGGGCGAGGACCGGCGCGATGGCCGGGGAGCCACTGTCGGACGTTTACAGACTATTCCTTCAAACAATATGAGCGGAGGCGGTGGTGAATATCAGCAGTTCTCGGTGGCCCAAGAGCAGAGCGGTTACCACACTGCGAGTTATCAGCCCACCCAACAGCAACAACCGCAAGCGCCAATTATAGGCCAGAAGTGACATAAGCAGCTCGCGCTGGGCCGATTCAGTTCGGGGATGATCTTGAATATCATGGAAGCGGGATGTCAATGGAAACAGGATCGTTGGCAATGGTGTCGGGGATGTTGATATATTCGCGTCGATCCAGGTGCTGAAGAATCCTGAGTGGTGGCAGGGAATGTTGATGCGAGGGTGCGTTCGAAACCTCATTAGATCATCGACAACATTTGACCTTTTTTCGATGCAGCTTTACGTAGCACAGGCTAATTCTCCTAGAAGTGGAGGATCTACGATTTCGACTCCACGGGCGACGTACACTAATATTCACCACCAGAATACGTATGGGGCCTACCAACCACAGCAGGTGATGGTACCCATGCACTAACAGTAAGTATTCTGGTAATAAAACGATTTGCTTGCATAGAATATCTGGTTACATTCTAGTGTATCATGAGTCTGCTTTCTTGCTTCGTTGTACGATACGCTCCGTATATCGTTGTTGTAATCTGATCTGTAATGAAAATGTTTTACTTTACAGGACCCAATCCTTACTGGGGAAGCGATACCGACTCGGGGCCGCTGTAGATCTGCGGTCTGATGACGAGTTGTATAATATCCGAGTCGGCAAGGGAGATTTACATCTCCGTTTAGAGGAGATTTGCGCCGCTACCGCAAGCGATGGATTTCATTTCGGTAAGGAAATAGTATGCAATACGAATAGATATTGTTAAGTTAATAGTACAGGTATGTGGTGCTTTACAGAGGGATTCCTTCAACTACCCGGTGAACAACAGCATCGACAACTAATCCAGCGAGTATCAGATTCCCAATCGTCGGCGTGTGCAAGAAAAAATTCATGCATTGCCTTGGCTTGTCAATATCCGTCACAATAAGCTCCTTCAAGAGAACGAAGGCTGAAAGTGCCACAGCGATGTAGAAGGGAATGCCCTGCTCGTTGAGATAGCCGGCCCATGTCATCAAGCCTGCAAAGCCAACAGTGGTAGCGGAGCAGACAGGGATAGTGTGTCTGCCACACAGGATGGCGAGTGACTTCATGCCAATCTTCACATCATCCACCTTGTCCTGGTGTTGATACACGGTTTCGTATGTGATCGTCCACATCGTCGCACCGAGGTATGCAGCAGTGAGAGCATGGTAGGGAATTGCATCATCAGGTGCCAGGTCGGCCCAGCCCATATAAATGCCGATGTTGAACATCAAGCCCTGAGAGAACGTTAGATTGCGGATCTCTACATGAATCACAGAGATACTTACCAAAGGAATGGGAGCAAAGTACATCCAGCGCTTGCATGTGGGGTACAGCACGTACAATGGCCACACGTACATTGAAATGCGCAGACTGAATAGACGAATACTGTGAGCACAGGAATCAGCAGCAGAGCGAACACACTTACGCATCAGGGCTCAGAACTTTGTAAGCCAAAAAGACACCAATCGCTACTTGGAGAGCGAAGAATAACCATGCTCGCTCGATGCTGATTGCACCTCTAGGGAGAGCTCGGTTCTTCGTACGCTCGACGTTTGCATCAATATCATAGTCGAGGATGTCATCAATAGTCATGATCTGGAATCAAAGATGAGACGATGATACCAAGACAGCAAAATTAAACTCACCAAACATTTGATGCCGATGCAGAGGAAAAAGTAGACGGCAGCCCGGGTAAGGCATTCCATTCCCGTCAGCTCAGGGTAAGCGTGGTAAACCATCGCTAAAGACCACGCTAAGACGGCGATTTCCCGTCAGTGACAGGGAAATCAGTACACAAGGATCCACACTCACCCACTGGAAGGAATACAGTAGCGCATCCCATCCCATTTTGGAGACGGCAGAGCTCCCAACAGGCACCTATCTCAGTCCGAGTCGGTGGTGCTAAAAGAGTCTTGACATTTGAGAAGATCGAGGCAAAGCTCGAAGTGATGGTCGCCCTCGGACCCTTCTTGGAAACCAAGGAGGCGGGGGACTGAGAGCAGATAGAAGTAGACAGAGCCATTGAAGGAAGAGGTAGTAGAATATTGTAGGATGCGGAGAACCTGGTTTCTTCCCTTCACCACGCCCGTTCCATATATACTAGTCAGACGCAGGCGCATCTTCCTACATGATCATTTCATTGGAAACGAAGGAGCAACGACTCGGAAACAGGCGCAGGAGCGACGGTCCAGGGGCAACGGCTGCTCGTCAATGAAATTTGATCGAGAGCCTTCTGAATCTCAGATTGATGGTCGACGCCTGTGATCGCAAGGCCGTTATTGATCGATCTCGCCGATATTTTCTTCATGCGGTTACGCCCGCCTCCGACTCGCACACAAGCGGTGATGTCCAAATGGGGAACCGGCTCATCAGAAGGATATCCTAACCGCAATATGCAACACGCCTTGCTACTAGAATGACGTTGATGGCGATCTCGTGGCAGGATATGCCGCGAGTATTACTTGGAAATGGGGCGAGTGTCCAAGAGGAAGTTCGTGTGGTTAGTCGAAGTGTTACAGACGAGCCGAAACGTCAAATTTTTTCTTTCATACAAATTGGTCCGCCTGGAGTCTTCGAAGCGCTGCATGAGCGAGACGACTCGGTGAATTCACTATGACTTTTACAGTCAGCATAAGGACTCGTAGTCTGAGGGGATACTACGTCGTAAGAAAGTGAGAACCTGAGTTACATGAAAGGCTGCTTCTCACCAAGTCCACAGTTGATAGTAAAGAGTTAATTGAGACAAGAATTGAGCCTTACAGCTGTACAGACCCGAGAGATGAGAAGCACCACAGTGGAAGTTCAACGAAAGGAGGACCTTTATTTGCAATTGTTGTCATCGTCCTGCGAAGCACAGCCACGGAACGATCCTTTCCAATTATCTTCCACATTGACCTCCAGCCTCCTGCATCGCCAATCAGTCCTATGGTTTTTCTGTTTTATGTGAATCTCAATGCTGAAGATCATCTGTTACTCTCTTTGGCTGTAAAGATTTCTCATCGCGATGAAAGCTTCACTTTGCTTCTCTTCTCACTGCTCAGCATTTGCCCTTGGGTCAACCAATGACCTAACTATCCTTAGTGTGCCTTCAACCGAGTCATGACGCGTCTGAAGGCGTTCTGTATCTGCACTGCCACCCGACTCGGGGCCGTTGAGTAACTGCGGTCCGAAGTTCAGACGCGGATCCGAGTCGGGATTCTACCATCTTATCGGATTCATACCTTCTTCGATACTCAAGACGTGGTCATATAAAAGACCAGATCTTCTGATGAATATCTATCGTTAGTCTTGTCTCTCCTACGCTCCGTCTCACCCCAGCCGCCGATCTCACGTATTTCTTCGCGATTCTCAGAGCATCGAATGGGGAAGTATTTGGAAATTGCATTCTTGATGATTTTCTGGTTTCGTTTTTTCCCCAAGGAGACCGACGATCCCTTTTCTGTATGCCAAAGCGGAACAAGTGGGATACCTTCTCGCAATCTCATAGTCCATCAGGAAAGAGCTATCGAAACAAGATGACCCGCCGGCTATATTACTGCTTAATGATGACCAGGTTCTTGCCAGGTTCCGATACGCCTTTGGAAGACTGGAACTAACATGCTTATACGAGGAACCCTTTCTACTGTCGTTAACACAGCAGAGATCCTCATCATGATTTTCACGAGATCAAAAGACAGCAACCGAAGGGTAGATTACCGACTCGGACATGCGTCTTGACTTTGGACCGCAATTAAGCGACGGCCCCGAGTCGGGTGGCAGTGTAGCTTGCTTTTTGCTCGAAAGTCAAATATTGAATATTGAATGCCGGAGATCGTATGATTCTGGATGCCTCCCTTTATCGTGACAGTGCTGATGTGACGCGACTTTGGAGGTGCTGGTCAACCTGATAATTGAAGGGTTGTATGCTCCAGCGACTACATGCGGAATCTCCCAGTATTGAGTGAGAACGTAGGAGTTGGGGTTTTTGGTAAGAAAGTTATGAAAGCAAGTACTAGTGACGGGTGGACATGACAGGGTGGCTGTGCTGACGGAAAAACCCCTTTGCTTAGCAGTTACATAATCGATGTTATCTTTTCTTCTCTTTTCCATCATCAACGTTCAACCGTTAGTCAAGTCCAAGTATTCGATTTTTTTTTAAAATCACGTTTTCTTGTGCAGAATAGTGTACGGGTATTAATCGCGGCGTTCTTCTTAAAGTTCGAACAGCGGAAAGCCGATGCTCGTCAGCGAAAATTTAATAACACATGGGACGCCGCTGGTGCACTTACAGCGTTTGCGCGATGCAACATAACAGACTTCTTCTGCAAATCCAAGCCCAAATAATACAGTGAGTTGTCGGTGACGTATGCTGATTTACACCCGAATACACGTAGAGTAAGACAGCACTGGCACAGTAAATTGAACTTCGCGCATACATTTTTCCTGAAGTTCCTGCTCAGGGCGCAGTTGGATTCGACATGAACGCTGTGGGACGTACGTATCCGCAGAGGCCTCTGCTCAGGCCGTGAAGCAAGGATTTCCTCCTGTGACGAGCCGGTTCCCCATTTGGACATCACCGCTTGTGTGCGAGTCGGAGGCGGGCGTAACCGCATGAAGAAAATATCGGCGAGATCGATCAATAACGGCCTTGCGATCACAGGCGTCGACCATCAATCTGAGATTCAGAAGGCTCTCGATCAAATTTCATTGACGAGCAGCCGTTGCCCCTGGACCGTCGCTCCTGCGCCTGTTTCCGAGTCGTTGCTCCTTCGTTTCCAATGAAATGATCATGTAGGAAGATGCGCCTGCGTCTGACTAGTATATATGGAACGGGCGTGGTGAAGGGAAGAAACCAGGTTCTCCGCATCCTACAATATTCTACTACCTCTTCCTTCAATGGCTCTGTCTACTTCTATCTGCTCTCAGTCCCCCGCCTCCTTGGTTTCCAAGAAGGGTCCGAGGGCGACCATCACTTCGAGCTTTGCCTCGATCTTCTCAAATGTCAAGACTCTTTTAGCACCACCGACTCGGACTGAGATAGGTGCCTGTTGGGAGCTCTGCCGTCTCCAAAATGGGATGGGATGCGCTACTGTATTCCTTCCAGTGGGTGAGTGTGGATCCTTGTGTACTGATTTCCCTGTCACTGACGGGAAATCGCCGTCTTAGCGTGGTCTTTAGCGATGGTTTACCACGCTTACCCTGAGCTGACGGGAATGGAATGCCTTACCCGGGCTGCCGTCTACTTTTTCCTCTGCATCGGCATCAAATGTTTGGTGAGTTTAATTTTGCTGTCTTGGTATCATCGTCTCATCTTTGATTCCAGATCATGACTATTGATGACATCCTCGACTATGATATTGATGCAAACGTCGAGCGTACGAAGAACCGAGCTCTCCCTAGAGGTGCAATCAGCATCGAGCGAGCATGGTTATTCTTCGCTCTCCAAGTAGCGATTGGTGTCTTTTTGGCTTACAAAGTTCTGAGCCCTGATGCGTAAGTGTGTTCGCTCTGCTGCTGATTCCTGTGCTCACAGTATTCGTCTATTCAGTCTGCGCATTTCAATGTACGTGTGGCCATTGTACGTGCTGTACCCCACATGCAAGCGCTGGATGTACTTTGCTCCCATTCCTTTGGTAAGTATCTCTGTGATTCATGTAGAGATCCGCAATCTAACGTTCTCTCAGGGCTTGATGTTCAACATCGGCATTTATATGGGCTGGGCCGACCTGGCACCTGATGATGCAATTCCCTACCATGCTCTCACTGCTGCATACCTCGGTGCGACGATGTGGACGATCACATACGAAACCGTGTATCAACACCAGGACAAGGTGGATGATGTGAAGATTGGCATGAAGTCACTCGCCATCCTGTGTGGCAGACACACTATCCCTGTCTGCTCCGCTACCACTGTTGGCTTTGCAGGCTTGATGACATGGGCCGGCTATCTCAACGAGCAGGGCATTCCCTTCTACATCGCTGTGGCACTTTCAGCCTTCGTTCTCTTGAAGGAGCTTATTGTGACGGATATTGACAAGCCAAGGCAATGCATGAATTTTTTCTTGCACACGCCGACGATTGGGAATCTGATACTCGCTGGATTAGTTGTCGATGCTGTTGTTCACCGGGTAGTTGAAGGAATCCCTCTGTAAAGCACCACATACCTGTACTATTAACTTAACAATATTTATTCGCCCCCAATATCTCCTTACCACACCTTGAAACATCTTAGTCTACGCTAGCGGTATAAATTGGCCTCAGCATGGAGTTGTAAATGTCGCTTGCCGACTCGGACATTTCATGTGACTGGTTTCAAATGGTTGGCTGCCCAGGCTATGCAAGTAAAGATGACTGACCTACCATCCATCACCTGCCTCCTATCAACTATCGTTAAATCTCAAGCGTCCTTTTCGAGGAACGTCGTCTACTTGGTTGAGCATGTCGCCGCCGCCGCCGCCCCACCAACGACAATCTCCATAGTCGCCCCTATTCGCTTCCTTGCTACCCAGGTCGATCGTTCCACCTATCGTGCGATGAGCGAATTTTGGATACTCCTCAGTGTTGGGTACGATTCCATAACTTGCCCTCAGATAGCCGCCTCTAGCAAGTTCTACGACGAACGTTCCGATAAGGTCGTGGGTCACTGCCAAAGGGCAAGAGAAGAATTAGTTCCCGTCATGGAAGACATTCTAACCAATCTTGAACCACATCTCATTTCCCACCTGCGTTACTTGGATAGAATGGACCGTTTTCTTCGCTTTATGAGGGAAATTCCAGGCTTCTGGTCCGGGCGCAGTGATCTCGACGACCTTCCAGACCTTATTTCCTCAGTCCGCAGTTCATGTCACATTATGATGACCTGCCTCGATTATGTCGAGCGCTATGTGTGCATTCTCCGAGATTGTTTTCGTGACAGAGCTTGGGTAACCCGCCATGCGGGTCGCCCAGAGTTGCAGTGGTGCCTGCTCGGTACCATGGCTTCGCTGAGGCACACCACATCCACTCTTATACAAAACGGCTTGACATAAGGATAACTAAAGGGTCTTGGCTGGCGGGATGGAGATGTGAATCTCGCTTGCCGACAGGTTCCTCCCGGACCCCAGATCATTGACGGCCCCGGACTCGCTTTTTCCTGCGTAAAGCGTTCGCAAGCGTCAAATCCTGTAAAGCAATACATTTTGATTGCAGAGATTACTTCTTGAACTCCCCATAGCCCTATTCCCATTGACATTGACATTCCCATATTCAAAATGATATTCAAGATCAAGGCCGTGAAGATAGTGACGCACGCCGCATGAATTCCCTTGGCGCCAGCTCCTCATTCATGCATCTAATCACCGTCTTGGAGGATTAAGGACACTACAACACTGTGAGCTCTAGTTTCGAAAGAAACTAATAGTTACGGACCTTGTTGAAGAAGAGATTATCTCCGCTTGTATGCCTATGGAATACCTGCTACAATCTAAATGAGAACATCACCAGTCAGGAATAGCCTACCAAACTGCGTAGAGAATTATATCAGTGGATGTTCTAGCTTGAAGAAACGATGCCAGCTGACAATGCCAACTTAGGCTGCACCGAAATATAGCCCGGCGCATCCACCATTCACGGCTCTGAAGTTCCCCATTCCTCACTAAAACGCCCCTAACTCCTGGTCATACCTTATAGTTCCGTCGATGGCGGCGCCTGAGTACTTTTATGCTTCGTCGGCATCGATGTTCTGGCATGGCGAAGAGAAAGTCGGTGAAAGGGAGGGATGGCAGCGGGCCGATCGTGGCAGTGTTTCAGCTTTGGCCAGCACAGCCGCGCGACGGTATTCTTCCAAGTTCCATTCTACTTGTTCTAAGAAGCCAGACATCTCATGCTTGGTAGAATATTATTAATGATCTTCCTTGCTTTTGCCTTCTGGCTGTCTAGGTTTGAATATACCCCGATCACGGACAGATTGGAGTATGTCCTCTACGTGTACGTTCGCATCACAGTCCTCAAGCCTCTGCCTTCCTGTAGCGCAATCACTCAGAAGACTTTTACCAATGCAACAATATTGCACATACCAACAATAGCCCAGTTCCTCGTACTTGGAATCCTCAGTGTTTCGCACTCCACCTTCCATCCGCAGTGAAGACTGAGACTAGCCAGCCAAACGCGGTACATCGAATACGCAGATGCGGCGCTCGCCTGGCTACCTAAGCACAGGCTCTCCTCGAATGCAACTTCATCGCTAACGGGAAACGGTGCTTGCAATGAGCGGTCGTATTTCGCGTCGAAGCTCCAGGGACAGCATGGAATGGAAAGGTATCCCGACGCGGAATATAGTGTCGACAGAACAGGAACCCACGGTGTGAGCTCGTCTGCATGGTTACCGATGATAAAGACATCGGGTTTTAGAAAGGGGTCCTGGCTTGAAGAGAAGGGATCGAAAGCGTGAACATGTAGATGTGATTGGGTAGCTGCAGGGTAGTGCAACCATGACGTACGTGCACGAAGGTCGATACCGCAGCCAGAGTAACCCTCAGAAATGAGAATATGTGTCAACAGGCCGTTGCCGCAGCCAAAGTCGAGGAAACCCCCTGGTGGCTGAGGCCAAGGTTCACCCTCTTTCCCATCACTGTTGACAGTATCAGCGTTCCTGTACGTTTCCTTCCAAAGGAGCATGAGAAATGTCGCAATTCCGATGTCCTGTTCTACAATCAGTAAGCCAAGGGGAAAAACATGAGCGTATACCACACGTGCCTCAAATACGTGCTTCAACGGATCCGTAGCTTCATGCCAAGTGTCCACTAGATGCTTGTGCCTTTCTCGCATGACGAGATAGAGATCCTGATACGCCTCCCGCTGTATTAGGTTATCATGCTTAACCCTCTTTTTATAATTGGTCATCGCACCCCATCCATATCGATGCAAGGTGTCTAGCAGCGCGAGAGAAGTTCGATACAAACGTGAATTCGGATCCAAAGGTGTACCCGGCAGCGGAAGAACCTCGATCCTCAACGTCGCTGGCTCAGTAGTCAGATAACGGAAAGCCAAATGAGTTACCGCAGGATGATAATAGGGTAGAGGCGATCCCAAAGGCGTCAACACCAATACAGATGCAGCATTCTCCCCTTTTGAATACAGCGTACAGTACTGCTCCAAAGCAGCATCGCGACCCGGTCGACGCGGTAACAGACGCCGATGGATACATCGCGTCGGTTCAAAGCCGTCTAGTCGTGGAATCTCAGCAGGAAATTCGGTGTTCGTATCCAAGAGACGTTCTGATCGAAGGATAAGGGTAGAATTGTATTCCGGATGATCCACGAGCTGCGCGATGGCGATTTCGAACTAAGATAGACTGAGAATCACAGGAAGGAGCTCAAAAATGTCAGATCGACATACCAATTCTAAAGGAAAATCTGCAGGACATGTTATGAGGGGTATCCATTGGCTTCCATGATGAAAAAGCGGTATATTCTCCGTTGGCGGAACGCAAGGCAGCGGGTCGAAGCGAGGGCGTGCCATTATCAATTAACAAATTTTCGCGGTATCCCCTGGCTGGAATACTGGAATTGGCAGAATTATAAAAATTCCTCCCAAAGCTTCACTCATAGCGACTGGGGGACGTCAAAAACATGAAGGAAAAAGGAAACATCGAGTGGAGAAAGAAAATTAGGCGATGATTGTTCGTGCTTGTCAGGAGCTTCGGAGGTCTAGACGCACACGTGACAGCACCTTTCGCTCTTCCAGCTTCCATCACATTTCTCTTTCAAGTTCCAAACAACTCTTCGTGCGGTACGGCATTGCATCCTCTTCGTGATAACTTACAAAGAACCACACGCGTTCCTATCACAAGTATGGTTGTCCAGTAGTCTTGGGGACACCCTCATCTGATCTTTCTACTTGGTGACATAAAATTACACATATACCGCATACCATGCTAACCACCAGATTGTGAAGAAAAACTTCCGTTGTCACACAACGAATCATCTCCTTTTGATGAGAAACGGCACGAAAATGGAGTGGTCCCGCCTCGACTGGTACAGAGTAAAATTACGGATCATTTTCGCACGGAGTGTGTCGCAGATACTCATCTGTATGGGCGGGGCTCCCGACACGGAGGGCGCTCAGGGCAGCTGATGCGAATGCTGATACATTGCGAGAAATGATCGAGCCGCGTATTTCCCATTCCAATTCCATTGATGGAGCTGCCTGATACACCGCTGGATCCCGAACTACGACGAAACTGTGAATTCCGGCGATTCCTGGAAAGGAAATCAAGTTTGTTTGCCAAGGACATTTTCCGAGAGCGTTTACCCGTCTCCCTTGCCTTTCTCCTTTCAAGACACCATCTTCATCTCGCTTTCGGGCGCTTAGGTACAGGATACTTGTACGATTCATCAGTTAATCCTCCTTAGTAACCACTAGGCACACCTGGAAACTACTTGGAACTGGCTGGACTCGTTGGCTTAGTGTGAAGCATCTTCTGCATGTAGGCATACTCTCCGATCGGACCAGACGGCTTGCGGTGGCCGATACATTGCAGCGGGGATCGTTCCAAATGCGACTTGATGCGCCAAAGTAATCCATTCCGTTACGGAAAAGCTGTATTGCCCTGTTTGAATGCGTCCTTGCATATCATTATACGAGCATGGCTTGTATAAATATCCTCAGTCCTTGGCTGCATCATTCTCACTGTTTTCTCCAAAACATCACCGCCTCCTCAACTTTTACTCAACGTTTTCGTTATGATTCTAGTTTCATCCCATGGCGAGAAGAACGAGGAGAAGGCCAAAGGACAGGACTGTTCGACGGGCTGCTGCGGGGAGCTTAAACATCTACAGGAACTGATACGCCACTACACGACGCCCGGCATCGCTCCACCATCTGCTCGCATGATTCCCAATGTCAAGGTCGAACACAAGCCAGACTTCAGGTTATGGCATTGGTGGAAGTATGGCTGGTTTGTGGCTTCAAAGGGTAGGTTTTATCTTCTTAACAAAGTCAATGTCCTCATCTTTGTTTCCAGCCACACAAATGACCGGAGACGCGCTCGTACACACTATCTGGGGCCCCAGAAAAAAGTCATGGGGTATCCAAATGACTCTTATGTCAAGTCTCATGCGTAACGCTGGTCAACACACGGATCTGATGGATGTTGTATGTGACTTTTTCCTTATGTTAACATGTTGCAGACGTCTCATCGTTTAATCAGCCTTCTATTCGTATGTTTATGGGTATGGGTGGTATGGGTCCTGCACCACCAGACGCGCTCGTGACGCCGGTCACATTTCACGTCAAGAAGTGCCGTCTCCGTGGTATTCTCGAGGAATTCGATCGTCAAGAAACAGGCAAACGCGAACTTTCTGGAGAATGGGTCGTCGGAAAGCGCACCTGGAATCGGCTTCAGACAGAGTGGAAGGCAGCTCAGATTGGTGAGAGAGGATCCCACACTTTCGCCAAGAAGACGGAACGTGTTATGCTCTACATTCATGGAGGTGAGTACTTGTGCTCCTTAATGTATATTTGCCGACTCTCTAACCCCTTTGAGGCGCATACTATGTTGGTAGTGCATCAGAAAAGCGCGTGATTTCCGTGCCTTTGGCGCAGTACACCGATTCTCGTGTCTTCTGTAAGCTCTTTCGTGGACTGGCCGTCTATCTTTGCTAACCGGTGTCTGTTTCAGCACTCGATTATCGACTTGCACCAGAGACCCATTTCCCTGGGCCCCTCCACGATGCTGTTATTGGTTACTTCCGTCTTATCGACGACTTGCACATTCCACCGGAGAACATTATTGTCTGCGGAGACAGTGCTGGGGGAGGCCTATCACTGGCTTTGTTGATGTATCTTCGAGATAATGACTATCCGATGCCAGCAGGGGCGATCCTGATGTCTCCATGGGTTGGTGAGTGATCTCTAGACTTCTTAGCCGTGTGTATGGTGTTTGACCTTGTCCGCAGATCTTACCATGAGCGGCGAGTCATGGGAATCAAACGCACAGTACGATGTCATCCCGGTATTCTCACCCAAAGACCACATGAACCCGATTGCTAATTACTTGGGAGACAACATTGATCGATACTTGATGCATCCTTACGCCAGTCCGCTGTTCGGTGATTTCAAAGATCTCCCACCCCTTCTCATCCAATCTGGAGACTCCGAAGTTCTGCGGGACGAGATCGCCCTGCTCGCACACAAGGCGGAACTAGCGGGCGTAAACGTTCGTCATGAACTTTATCAGGATGGCGTAAGTTCCGGTTACTTCTAATAATCTACAGCCTTCTAAGACTTTACCCCATACCAGGTTCATGTTTTCCAAACCTTCCCATTCCTAGAGGTGTGGTCGCGCTCGTTCATGGCGATGCACGACTTTGTCCGCAATACGCTCCATCATCTCCAGCGTGAATCTCCCCAGGTTCTCGCCGACAAGGCTGAGAGATCTATGGAACAGGAAATCGACACACATGCTGCGCTCGTTATCAGCGCTGATGGGACGGAGACTTCTGTGGGAGTGGAAGGTGCCAAGGCGTCTTTGCTTGATGAGGATGGGCACGACACAGCGGATAGCCATTGTCTCAACTGCGGGCGCCGCCAGGATTCTAGTTGGTCCTCGTCCTCGGAGACCGATGTAGAATCTGAGGAAGAGGTCGATATCAAGATATCCGTTGTCCCGCCATCCGACAACCCTTCGCCTTTGGTTACCCGGTCAAATACCGAGGATGATTCGGAGGTTCTTCCTCCATCTAAGGGATTGAAGCGCGTCTCGTCTGTATCTTCGATTTCGTCCACTCTCACTGACTCGCCGCCGTCATTGTCGAAACCTCTGCCGGATCGGAGCAGGCCTTTGCATCTCGCTAATCCTATAGCTGAGCGTTGGCACCAGGCGAAGAGTCGGAGCAGGAGCAGGAGCAGGAGCAGAAGTCCTTTCAGGAGGCCTCTGACTCCGGAGGTGGCTAGACAAGTTGAGAGCTGGTCCTGGCACTTTTGGTCTAGTTAGATTATTTAACGCCAAAGGTATCTATTTTGTGTTTTATGCTGATTCCTGATAACACACTGACTTCGATTCTAAGATAGATTCTTTGCAATACTGTACCAATGGTTAAATATGCGTCGGGAAATTGTAACTTAACCTCTAAGGGCGATAGCATGCAGTTCTACTAAACCCAATATTTACTTGCTTCATTAGGTAGTGATATATCTACCGTTATCATTGTATGATTGGCATAATCTTCTTCCCACCACTACAAGTGAACTGTGTACTTACGTCCTTCGTCTTTAAGTTCTACGGTTGGTCGTTCGCCGCTCTCGTAACCTTCCATCATCTAATGCATGCCAACGGCCAAATGGTAACTGTGTTTAGACAGCACCGGTACTACTACTACTGCTGCTGTTAAGTATGACTGTGATGGCACAATATTTATATAGTCTGAAGTTTTAACCTGACCATAAATTTACTTCGAAGCTTCTGCATGGGTGAAACCTACTCGTACGGAGGGATAATCTCGGAAATGTTCGCAATTATTCTATCTCGCGGCTCTCAAAGAAATTCCCCCCAATTTCGTCGACGTCTAATAAGTAGACGCGTGGCAACATTCGGCTTGCATGGGCGCCGTAATTGGAGTACAGTCGCAGCTTTACGGCGAGGTTTTAATTGGCGGGAGCAACCTGCGCCTTGGCAACCATTACATGGAGGAAAAATAAACATCTGCTGAGAATCCCGATGAGTGTTACTAAAGTTGACCGTTCGCCTGCCATTCAAGCTACTTACACTCTGAAGTACAACCAAGGTCGGCTATGCGGTCAGGCACCTTGGTGGTATTGATCAGAAGTTAGCGACCGACACGCGCTTCGGACAGGCTTGGATTGGAAAGCCTCCTGATTTCCCCGGGACGCAGTAAGCAGATTGATGGCCACTGTGGAAGAAATTTCGATAAATTCAAAGTCGCATCCTCCATGGCCACGTTAACGGAGAATACGGCGACAGAAAGGAAGCTCGGAATAAATATTTTCGCAACGCTCCAAAGTGGTCGTCTCAGAGGAAACGGCCCTTCCTATTTGGGCGATCACGATTACGTGTTGTTTGGATATGCTTATCAACAACCACACGTCGATTTACTTCCTTTTACTGCTTGCTTTTGTATTTATACTCTTACCGTATTCCCTTCACTACGACAGAGATGGCAGACCTCACGGTCCTTTCTTCTTTACCTCCAGTGCCTCTAATACCTCAGAGCAGAAGGCCATTCTCTTGGAACGGAACAGGGATTCCAAGACGGTCGAAGAACTCCCTTTCGCCACCGACACGAAAAGAGCAGCAATCACGGTCACTAGACGTGTATGCAAGCAATGCATTGAGGAGTAGGAGGCTATCAAGCACTAGTATTGCAGAGGAAAGGGAAGAGGAAGAAGCGTCGACGTCGTCGTCGGCGGTGATGATACTTCCAGGGCCGCGGTCAACTTCCCCGACACACGATAGGGAAGCCTCTCAGTCATCCTCCGTATCGGCGTCTACATCGACGTCGACCAGGGTATCGCTGGATACCACTTCAGTGTCGTCGTGTTCTTCTTCGTCCAGTATTCCTCCTCTGGATGACTCTGTGATGCAGCACAAGACCAGAGTAGCATCACCGGAACCTTTGCCGCCACGAACTACTCGTTATCCTAGCACTCGCCATCGCCCCATGCGGTCTCGAAGTGCCCCTCCATTCAAGACTACCTTCCAGCTCGAGAACGACTCCTCCCCAAATTCACCTTCATCAACGGACTCGACAACGCCGCAGTTCACGAGACATCGCACCAAGAGGAGCATGACTACGTGGAATACACCGACGTCGGCCACAAGAACGTGGTCGTTCGGGTATGGGCATAATAAGAACGAGCTGTTGAAGCCGCCACCACCGTTACGTGAGTCTCCGCCGTTTCAGCTCCATCATGATTGTTCAGCCTCGACGTTTTGACTGTAGATCGACCGACGACATTCTGGCGCCATACAACGCGCTCGGGGGTGACCTCATCGTCATACTCGCCTTCTACGCATCTAATACGGCGGTCAACGTTCATCGCAGCAGGACTCAAGTTTGACAAGCCCGTATGTGATCTGAGTGCACTTGGGGTGGAGAGTCGGATACAGAGTCCAGCTGCGCACAAGGTCCGCGAGGTATTTTGGGAGGTGGTACTATAGCGGGAAAACGAGGTCCTTTGAACCTCCAAGGCGCAATGGGCGCATGACCCGCATCATCTGGTTCCAAGGGCGTCTTCTTTTTCTTGGGCACCAGTCTCATTTCGTGCTACAATCCAGTCACAGCGCCGCTTGACGACGTGCTTCTCAAGTCCTGATGGACGTTGATGCTTCCAGACAGTCACATCGAACATACATACCCTGCTGTCAAGCACTTCATTTTTTGATACCCTCCACGCGCCATGATTTATCCTTACACGTATGCAACATCGCAATTCCTTAGCTAACAGTGTATGCTCGAATAGCAAAAGCTCATTTACACGGATGGATACGTTACATTTACATTATGGACTCAACTATGAACATCCACACTTTCTTCATCATCATGAGTAGATAGTACTGTAGATCTGTCGTCTTCATTGACGCTACCACCTGTAGATTCAACAAAAAGCAGCAGGACTGTCAAAATGAGGCATATTGCCAAGGCTCCGTAGAGACGACTATAATTAGTGATGTCGGGGTTGCCCCAGTCAAAAAACTTTGGACGAACATATTCTTGGAAACCTGTCAGACGACGGAAAAATGAAGGAGATGCCACATACTGAGAACATGCCTCCTAGCGCTTCTATGACGGAGAAGGAGCCGAAGAGAACTGCGCTGTAGGAAGGGACCAATGAATATATCGCGGGAGTGATAGCGACTGTGAAAGGCGAGATAGCCGCGAAAACGAGGTGGGCAATTCTATTTGAATTTGCAATAGAGAAGACTGTGACAGTGGAGAAGACGTCGAGGGAGAGACAAGTGTAAGCTAGGCGCCGGTTAAACCTGAGAACAGCCTGAAGGGGTCGTGGTTTTCGTTGATACAGAATAAGGATGGCTGACAGAAAGTCTATTTAGGCAGCGCCGCGTGAACGATGAGTACTCACCAGGATAAAGAAAGAGTAACGCAAACACGGAGGCGACGAATGCGAATATGGAATACCACCAGTACTGTTATGAAGCGAACGGGTGTTAGTGGGGATGGGCGAGAAGAACCGTAGGCGTACGAAGAAAGGACCTTCCGAACATAATATTCCGAACCGCATTTTGATGATTTCGAAGTTCTGCATTGGTTCGTTAAATATTTCGAGTGCGGAAATATATAGAGCATCTTACGGGGGTCATAGCGTACGCAAAAAGGGTTAGAGTCAACCATGGTTGCTGTAAGAATACCACCACGGGAGAGATCATAACCTTGAGGATAGGTAACTGTTGATCTGGACTTTGTAACGTTTCGGGGAGGAGCCAAATGATCAGAACAATATTTAGCAAGGCAACAACGCTAGATATCATCATCCACAGGATGAAGAATATCTGGCCTGCCGGCAGCAAGACTATGACAAACTGTTAAGTTGGTCGATGTTCAGATATATCTTGCTCCTGAAAGGACGTTTGGGACTAGTACGTACCCCTGCGACCGCGGCATAAAAAAAGAGACTCAGGCCCTTGAGAGCGCTGAATAGCATGAACCTGGTGATGAGAATTGTCAACCATGAACAGGATACGTATCAGGAAGCTTGCCTTGAATTGGGTGAGGTGCAGTCACCGATATAACTGCGGTCAACAAAAACATTCAGCAGTTGTTGAATTGTAGAGACTCTAAGCATACGTATAAAGAAGGCCACTGAAGGCGATATTGCCCCCAAATAGACAGTCCAAAGCAACGATTCCGACATAAACGCGAGGGTCCGGTGGAAGTTTTGCTTGTGGAAGTGCGATGAAGAGGAGGTACCTGTGTTATTTGTTGATGATAGAATGGTACGCTAATCAAAATACGCACGATAACGTCGTCCCAGTCAGAGAAATAAGCATTATTGGTTTCCTCCCCCATACGTCAGCCAGGTGGCTCCACCATCCAATGGTAAGTAAACTCAATAAGACACGAAGCGTTTGCCTGTCTGCAAATCACCTTCCTTGAGCAACGAGTCACGTGGAGTCGAAGATGCTGACATTTCCAGAGGTACCAGTGCTCATTTATATCCTTTGAGAGGATGAAGGAAACCGAGACGAATCTATCGTACATCCCTCGCTATGGAGAATTATTCAGCACAGAAGGATGGGGAAGGAGGTTAGAAATACGTACGTGTAGAAAGTACACAGCAGCTACGAGAAACAACCTTCGAGTTGTAGCAACGCTGTTGAACAAATGCAGGAGAAAATAGTGGGGACACTCACTTGCAAAGGTCCCATCTTCGGTTGTCACTGCTAGTACCGTTCACCTCATTTCTTGGCAATAGAGGTGACGTTTCAGTGGCAGTTCCCTGAGCGGGCGTACTGTCTCCAGATTCCTGCATCGACATTATGGTGGTCACTTGAGATGATAGTTTTAGAACAAGGCTGTGCATCGAACTAAGGCATCACAGACCGCGACTATCCGGTTACCAAGGGAGGTTCTAGAAAGTTACAGCATAGGAAGGCCAGATTCATATTGAAGCTCGACCAAATGTTACAGCAACGGCGGTTAGTGCACGGGCAACCCCTGAATCAGCGATTTCAGCATTGGAGTGCGACTCGGAAGCCGGTTTCCTAAACTGAAAATGCAAAATCAATATTGTAGCTCGAGCCGTAGAGATATTCCCATTTAACGTGTCCTAATACATGTTTCGAGATCAGAGATTATTCTCCATTCGGTATTTCTGACGATCGTGAAGGAGTGCATTGGATCGACCAGAAGCGAGAGAGGGTACGCAAAAAGGGTGACAGCATGATACGCAAATAGAAAAAAATCTTGCGGTTCTTCAAAGGCGAGTCTTTTGAGAGTCAAAGAGCGTCTTATACAAGATCTGAACCCGATATGTCAGATTACCGACTCGGATACGCGTAGACTTCGGGCCGCAATTAGTCGACGGCCCCGAGTCGGGTGGCGGTGCAATACCGGCGTTAGGTGACCTCAAGCTTAAACTCTTCAAAGCAGTATGCAGAGAAGCTAGTGTGAGATACACCGATCGGCGTTGAGTCGTTGACTCACACGTTACCAGTGAATGTCAGTGAACTACATAATGGGTGTCACGGAGAACATGGAGAATCAACAAGTATAAGTCGGAATTTTGAACGCCGTGAATGGTATACAAGAAGGAATAGGCTGAGGTAGCAAGCGAACTCAAAGTGAAAGGCGGAGAAAAGAGAGATTCGGTGGCTGTGCTGACCTTACGCGTTAGGAAAGACCTTCGGAAGTAATAACTTGAACAAATAAAAGTTTTCTTCAAATAATTTTCATCGACATCCATTCATGCGCCGACTGACTAGCTTTGTTATCCATTTCTCCCCGCCTGGCCATGGCTAAAAATGCATAATATGATATGTTAAAGAGTCCAGTCAAAGGGTGAACATCCACAACTTTAAACGTCTCGCGCAATGTTTTGACGAAGGCGTTGCGTCCGCAGGGAAAAGATATGTCTTGAATGTTGGATGGTTCCTGCCATTGATAGATGATGTGCGGATATATCTATGAATATTTCATGGTGCGTCTATGGGATGTCCATCGGACAACTTGTCAAACTTAAATAGTCTAGGGGAATTGCCTTTCCGTTCGCTTCCTCTTTGTCTTTGGACCTCGAAGCACATTTGGTGCCATACCGTAGAGCGGCCAAAAATTTCCCCCATGACGACTTGATTCCCCATTTGGGCATCACCGCTCTTGTGCGAGTCGGAGGATCGTAAAGATTCAGATGATCGGCTAGCGGGCGTAGCCGCATGAGAAAAATCTCATGAAATCTCACCTCGATCGACCAATGATAGTTTAACAATCATTGCGTCGACCATAAATCTGAGATTCAGAAGGCTCTCGATCAAATTTCATTGACGAGCAACCGTTGCCCCTGAATCGTTGCTCCTGCGCCTGTTTCCGAGTCGTTGTTCCTTCGTTTCCAATGAAATGATCATGTAGGAGGATGCGCCTGCGTCTGACTAGTGTATATGGAACGGGCGTGGTGAAGGGAAGAAATCAGGCATTCTACAACATTCTACTAGCTCTTCCTTCACCTCCAATGGCCCTGTCTACTTCTAGCTGCTCTTTGTCCCCCGCCTCCTTGGTTTCCAAGAAGGGTTCAAGGGTGACCATCACTTCGAGCTTTGTTTCGATCTTCTCAAATATCAAGACTCTTTTAGCACCACCGACTCGGACTGAGATAGTGCATGTTGAGAGCTCTGCCGTCTCTAAAATGGGATGGGATGTGCTACTGTATTTCTTCCAGTGGGTGGGTGTGGATCCTTGTGTGTTATTTTACCCTGTGACTAACGGGAAATGATAGCGTGGTCCTTAGCGATGGTCTACCACGTTTACCCTGAGCTGACAGGAATGGAATGCCTTACCCGGGCTGCCGTCTACTTTTTTCTTTGCATCGGGATCAAATGTTTGGTGAGGTTAATCGTTCTCTATTTCAATCTATTGTCTCATCTTCGATTGCAGATTATGACTATTGACGATATCCTCGACTATGACATTGATGCGAACGTCGAGCGTACGAAGAACCGGGCTCTGCCAAGAGGTGCTATCAGTATCGAGCGAGTCTGGTTGTTCTTTGCTCTCCAAGTTGTGATTGGTGTCTTTTCGGCATACAAGGTTCTGAGCCTTGACGCATAAGTATGGTCACTCTGCTGCTGATTTCCTGTGCTCACAGTATTCGTCCATTCAGTCTGCGCATTTCCATGTATGTGTGGCCGTTGTACGTCCTGTACCCCACCTGCAAGCGCTGGTAGTACTTTGCTCCCATCCCTCTGGTGAGTAAAGTCGTAATGCATATCAAATTCTCGATTCTAACCCATCACTCCCAGAGCTTGATGTTCAACATTGACATCTACATGGGATGGGCCGTTCTCGCACCTGACAGCCAAATTCCCTACCACGCCCTCACTGCTGCATACATCGGTGCGACGATGTGGACTATCACATATGAGACTGTGTATCAGCACCAGGACAAAGTGGACGACGTCAGGATTGGCATGAAGTCGCTCGCCATCTTGTGTGGCAGATACACCATCTTCGTCTGCTCCGCTACCACTATCGGCTTTGCAGGGTTGATGGCCTGGGCTAGGTACCTCAACGAGCAGGGAGTTGCCTACTACGTCGCTGTGGTGCTTTCAGCCTCCGTTCTCCTGAAGGTGCTCCTTGTGATGGATATCGACAAGCGAAGGGAATGTATGAGGTTTTTCTTGCACACACCGACCTTTGGCAATCTTATACTCACCGGTTTAATAGTCGACGTTGTTGTTCAGCGAGCAGTTGAAGGAATTTCTCTGTAAACCATTACATACGAATGTACTATTAACTTAACTACATGTACTCGCCCCCAGGGCTACAAGCTATCCTCTAAACCGTCCTGCAAAATTGTGTTCTCCGGCTCGTACAATTGAATTCAGATGTAATAGTAGTAATACTTACTACGAATCGCAAATCTGGAACGGCCTTGAGTCGGATTCACCTAGGGGTAGCCGCGCGTCTTCCTATGATCTCAGACATGAAAGAAAAACAGAATTTCGAGTATCTACCGAGCGAAGCCAGAGAGATAAGTATCAATGCATAGTCACTGGAATTCGTTATGGCCACTCTATGATAAAATACGAATTATCAACAATGCAGTGTCGATCATGCAGAAGGGTGTGTCTCGAACCACGCAAACCTATATCCAAGAAAGAGTCAGGTGATGTCTCGAGCATATTGCAAAACCGAAAAACTATACCCAGGTATCGGCATTCCCTGAAACCACTCGGGGTTATTAAGTTCTTGGATCTCGGCCGTGAACATTTCACCTCCCCTACCTCCTTGGCCCCCCGCCCCGATGTTCCCATTGATATTCTCACTCCCGTAAATGAAATGAGGAAACCCAACGCCGCTCCCAAACTGTACTGGCCAGGTGCCAGCTGTATCGGTCGCTTCTAGCCTATAAGTAAAACCCATAGAATCGTATCCGTTTTGATGGTCTTGAGCAGCAGATGATGGTCGGTTATCACTACCTTCTCCAATAATCTCTCCAGGTATGTGCCTGGGTATTCCCATATTCCCTTGCAGAATTGTCTGCGAACCTCCGAAAGTCGTTCCCTGGCCGCTGCGTTGGTACTTGTCCAACATAGTAGCCAAGAACCTAGCATACAGTTTCGGGGTATGGCGATCGTCTACTGCGATGTCGGATGAGCTAAATTTCTCAATCAATGTCCCAATGAGATCGACGCTCTCATCTCTATCAGCGGTATCCAGAAGGGACGAAAATTCTGGTCGTAGGAGCTGTTTGTCTCGTTAAGTCGGCAAAAATAGAGGTTGATAGCACGGTGCGTACTTTGAATAGGAATACAGCTGCGAATGCGATACACATGAAATGGAGATCTGGAGCATAGCGCATGAATCCGCTAGGCACCAAATCCTCGTTGACACATCTGATCACTGATTTGGCATATTCGAGGGACTGTAAAACGCGTTATGGACTCCGTACAGAAAGAAAACACAAGTCATACCTTACTCAAGAAATAACCATACCAAGCTTCTACACCCATATGAAACACTTGATGTAAACAAAAAGAGAATATCACCAGCCTGAAGCAGGCTACGAAGCTACGCACAAATTTGCATTAATGTTATGTCTAGCTTAGAAACGGTTCTGAACTTACAGGTGTAACTGACTACACCTGAGCATAGCTTCACGGTGGAATCCCCCAGCCCTGAATTTCCTCCTCCATTCCTCCTTGAATAGTTCTATCTCCACGTCATATCTCATGATGATGTCGTGCAAATTTCCCCTCTCCGAATGGATCAGCCTGCTCTGGTCTGACAACACTTCATCATGGAACCTTGATATGATGCGCAAAAGGGCATTGTACCCGCACAGCTGCACATCATAGTCGAGATTATAAGGGGATTGTTTATACCACTCAGGCTCCTCTGAATGAAGGATGATCGTAGGCTTTCCAAATAGTATCGCTGTTCCTCGATCAAGGACGAAGCATAAATGCCAGATACGGTCTCTATTGAGAGCTTCGCGTTCCTGTGTCTCGTTTGCCGGTTTCGCTGTTGGCACTTCATGCAAGTGCAGAGCAGTCGCGATACTGTTGAGAGATCAGACAATAAGATAATGGAATACGATGAACGTGCCTAACTGCCAGACCCGTGTACAACCAGCTCTGATCCCTATCCCAACTCCTTTTAGGGACGTCATAGATACTCATCAAAATGTAAGCCTGGCACAGCTCAATGTTTTTCATCTCGTCTTGAATGAGGGCATTTGCGGCTGCATGTTTTGCAAAATGCATGGCTATCAGGTAAATGCTCGACTTCGGGGGATGGTATCGACACGCTATCGCACAGATAACCGTGAAAAGGACAGGGCATCGGGCCAAAGTCGATTTCGGGGTAAGCAAGATCGGATCGAGTATGCCTATGAGGGGCTAAATGATAATCAGTGTACCTTACAATAAAGCGAATCTGTGCTTTCTCACGTTGATGTGTTTATAGAAGCTTCAAAATCGAACGACAAGTCAGCAAATTCGAAACATGCCGAAAATTGACGAGAAAGCTCACACGTCAAACAATTGTTCGGAATCCTCCATTGTTACAAGCCCTAGAGCCAGTATCTCTGGAGAATTTTGCCCCTTCGAATGGTCCCGATTAAATCCTGGATATATGAGTGCTTGATAGAAATACAACTTGAATGATGAAACGAACCGAGTTCTGAAGAACTTTCTGGCTCGCCAGCAATATCATGCTGAACATTTTCGCGCTCCCTTTCCTTTCTCTTCTGACTGGCAAACGTCCGATCTGGTCCAAGTCCAACAGGAACATACGAAGACTCAAGAGGAGAGGACGCGTCTTGCACAGGTCGCGGAAGTCGATTTCGCAAGTCAGATGAGGGTGAGCATGTCGACGGAGACGGTTTGCGGACGTTGATAGGCCATTTGATGTTCGCTAATCCAAAAGCTTCTATCCCAATCGAACCTTCAGGAATCCTGCCAGTCAATCTTGTTCCCTGCCTCTGAACTTGTACCTCCTGGTTTCTATGGGCAAGCAGATCGCATTGCTGGTTATACAATAATCGACCTGAATATTCTTCGCTCGGTTCCTCATCACCTTCACGAAGATGGTTAAATGAGCTCCCAGTGCTGGTTTGTACACCGGACTTGAGATGATGGAGCCAGGCAAGAACACTGGGTTCGTTAGCATCGGGGGGTGATATAGATTTGAGGTATTCGTCGATGGAATGAGGTGTCGCAAGGTAGGGATTATAGAGCTGCTTGAGGAGACTCTCAATGACAGCATCTTTCTGTCGGATTTCGGCCAAAAGGCGCTCACGCTCGCTGTCGGCCAATCAGACTGTGTTTTACGAGTACATATCCATATAGATGACTTACTAAACCTTTGGTTTCGGGGCCTCGACGACGCAGCGGTAGCCTTTTGGCTTACATCGATGGCATGCCTTTTCACCAGGGGCGAAGTCACATTTCATCTTGACTTTCTTGCACCGGGTACATGCACCCGGCCTACGCCCAAAGGTATTGTTGTCACTGCGATTAGAGTTGTTATCCCCGTCCCCCATGGGCATATGCATCGTCCTGCCTGAAGGCATCTTCTTTGACTGCTTCACTGTCTGCGGAGCAGTGGGCGGTGGAAGGTAATTTGGATGCGTGTTGCTTGTCATCTCGTCATAGCTACTGTAGCTGCCTTGTTGCTGATTAGACTCCATCGGATGTTGGTAGTTGACTTGTTGAGCAGGCTGCTGCTGCCATTGTCCATGGTCATAGAAGTTAACGCGCTGCTGGTGCCAGAGGCCGTAGGCATCCTGAGATGGTTGGGAGGACTCGGCACTGGCATCAGAGAAGGAGGGAGTAGGACCACTCATCGTGATATTGCGAGTATTGTCATCTTGATGCTCGCGTCTTAAAAGTCTGTTCTCGCCGGCAAACTGCCGGATGCAGTCACGGATTTTGCGACTCTCCGGATAAGTAGGTGAGAAAAGCCGCGTGAACTCCCGAATCCTCCACGCAACAATTGGGGGAAGAAGAACAAGGAGAGGCAGACTAGGTGGACAGATATGAACTAGTGAAACGTGAGTTTCTGGTGCTTAAACATATAGCCAAACAGTTACCGTGAAGATGATAAGACTACTGGTCATAACTGCGGTACATACTCAGCGATGTATAGCGTCGTGGTTCACCCCGTCCATTCCTGAGACAAATCTTATCGGCACATGGTTAGCATTACCCCCCTTGACTTGGCAGTGATTGGTGTGATGTTAACTCACTATTTTTGCTCAGATGCTTTTCCGCATGATCCAGAGGCCAATAGGTTGCGATTCTGCTGAAAGTACTTCTAATCGGTGGCCGGGGAAGTTCGCCTTTCTATTCTATTTCGAGAAGAACTGAGGTGAACAGGGCAGTACGGCATAGCATAACCGTTGTCGGGACTTAAGTACCAGGCAGGTAGAAAAAGATAAGGGGAAAAGGACACGATCTCCTTACGAGATACTGGTTCCCTATACATCACGTAGATACATCAGGAGAACTGAGAGATTGCATCATTAGGTAATGCATCCGGTGCGTAACAAGGCAGACTGGCAGCGTTCACAGATACCTCAAGGAAATCCCAAGAACGTGACATTCATGAAGATCTTCTGCTTCAAACGTTTACTTCGTCCTTCGCGACCTGGTTGTTTAGACTCTAGAGAGAACGCTCGAGAAGACAATAAAGGATGAGCCGAATGGCCAATATTAGTACCCTTGATGTTCTACCGTTGTTGATGCAACAGCCCTGCAAGATAATTTACATAGTATCGATCGAAGGACGAGAAGAATGTGGTCCCGGACTCCCATCGCCAGATTGTCCCCAGAGAGCAAAGTCCCTTCAGCAAGGCTTTATATCCAGAACAAAGATCAAAAGTTTCAAAAACAGATTTCCGTGAGCATACTAGCAGTGATTATGCCGTCTAGTACATGTGGTATGCGTGGTATTGGTTGGTGGAAGTTACTACCGGCTCCCAATCAGGAACGGACTGGCCCACGTGGCCTGCGTATGGGCGCGTCACAGTCACAGGACTGTGAGGACACATGTGTACTAATGCCAGTGGATCGACTGGCAATCGACAACCAATCGTAACACTTCAAGTTTCCGTTGACTTTCCGCGCTCTCCATATTGACGACTACAGAAATAATTCACCCTTACAAAGGCCGATAGGTGCCGCGGAACGTTACCTTAACTCCCAATGACCTTTCAATAGAAGCATTCAAAAAAGGCACTGATTCCTATGTCGTCTGATACTCATCGCTTACTGCTTGCACAGTTTTCATTCATTTTAATCATGTAGAATGTGTATTCAATTGGATGCGGAGGAAGAATTCACTCGGTGGCAGGTAGGCTATCAACTCGCATTTTTCCTCGTGTCCGTTGGAACTAAAGGACTAAAGACATTGTTTTGAGTCGCACAGCATGGCTCTAGCCCTGAAGACTGAGCCCTGAGGCGCTATGAAAAGTTAATATTCCAGATCAACGTTTAAGCCAAGGCCCAACGGTGTCGGAGAACAAACAGTCACGTTCTGCCTACACCAGGACCTATAGAATGCCCGACTCCTGGTCCAGTCGGGGAAGGACTTCAGAGCGGGTATCTCAGTTTTCTTATGACAATTCTCCCTCGCTCATTACCTACTGATAGATGTTTCTCATGCAGACAGGACCGCCATCCGAGTCGGAAAGGTCAGGTCTTCCCGCTCCAGATCACCTACATCCTCGTCACTGAGCTTACATGTGGTCCATTGTAGAGACGGCTATAGCGTACTAATCTAACATTAGAAAACTATTACCTTGACTCGAGTGCATTCCTGCTAGCACCATGCCTCTTGACCTTGAACAGGATAGAATACAGTAAGTTGGTTGGCAAGTCTACGGAGTTGAAGAGGGTCGCAACGGAATCCCACTAAATATGAAGAGTATCGAACAAGGTGGGATGAGGAGCTGGAGCCAACTGGAGCAGAATAAAGACCTTCGGGTATTTGATCAAGACCGTGAGTACAGGCCGATGAAGTGAAGAGAACCGTGTGGCTGCAATGAGATGTTAAGGAGATGGGCCATAATTCAGTGACATCAACTTGATTTATCCACAAACGCAAAGCCGCTGACTCAGTGCTGGAGCACAGAGTCTTTATTGTCCAAGTTCACAAGGATGTGGTAGATACAAATAAAGTTGAAAGCACAAGCAGAGAAGCAGAAGCCTCACCGCATGGCGCACACAGACTAGTGACAGACAAGCACGGACACTATAGATGGTGCGTGCCGCCAATCATCAACAAGGTTAAATTAAAGAACACACCAGGGAGCACACCAGTTGGCTGGCAGAGACCGGCAGGCTGCTTTAATTTCGCCAAACAGAAGCACGACAGCGTTTTATCCATAACCCGCAATGTACCAAGGTAGCAGGAAAAGGCTACTGAATCTACAACATATACAACTACCTGTACATGACGTCTGTAATAGATAGGGATGTGCACTGTATCCGTAGTACGGTGGTTACGTACGGTGTATACGGATACGGGTCCGTACCGTGGACAACTTTAACGGCCCAAAATACGGCCGTATTCATACGGTTTGAATACGGTCATTGAGGGAGGGACAGAGAACTATCTTATTCCATAAAGGTCAGTACCTATGACCTAAAAGAAGCATATAGTACTCACACTTTGGCACCAGATATCCATCGTCATCGTCAAAGTGTCTGTATACGGACAACGGTACGGATATGACATCAACCGTACCGTACCGTGGCCAATAATTTTTATACGGTCTACGGTCATATCCGTAACGGTACGGTGCACATCCCTAGTAATAGAAGTTCTCTCCACAGCCATAGATACACAAGTTACTGTACCTGTCCCAGCTGGACGGTAACTGCTTTTCAGTGAGACCGAGACTGAATTTGCATGGCGAAAGGAAACCAAAGCTTTGGATTATGATTCGGCGGTTCGCAAAATGCACTAGGAGTTCTTTGGAGACTTTCTGTAGAAATGTGAGAAAAGAACTTCGATTAATCATTGGTGGGATCTCGGGCGTTGTGGTTTCGGAGCTGCCTCCGAATTGCCATGAAGGATTTTCGGAAATGACATAACCTTTGTGCCCAAAATACAGTTTCACGGGACGTGCACCTCTAGGTCTGGGTTGAAATCCAACATGTAGGAGAGCGGAAGTTAGGAGGGTCACGGCCACAACATTATGAAGGCCAGAGCAAGGGAGTCGGACGAGCATGATGACTTGAAGGAGCTGGTTCGACCTGTTGGACCTGTTGATGCTTTTTGCCAATTGAGGACGTTGATGATCTCAACATTCAGCAGGATCTATGCCGTCTACACTTGTTACATTCAGACGCTTCGATGGAGACACTGCTGCATTCAACATCGACCTTCATGTCGTCTTTGTCAGCGCATTGGATTCAGAAATGGACGGGAGGTACACCACCATAAAACGTGCTGGTGACACTGAAGTCTCAGATCTCAGCGCTAGTAGCCATAAGGCTTAGTATCAAGGTTGGACTCCATCACCACACACGGCCATGTCCATGACCTCTCCCCTCTGCGTTTGCCAAAGATGTAATGCATTTTTGCCACTCACCTCATTTGGGCATGGCTCGTAATTCTAACACCAACGCAACATGAAAGAAATCTCGACGACCTGGCCACCGTCGAAAACCCCGTTGTCTTAGGGAGGCCGTTGAGGTCGCACCATTCTTGTTTTCTGCTCACCGTTATCACTGTAAGCCCATTCGAAGGCCTTAGGGTCGCAAATTGCCCTAGCTCAGCTGAATTCACCCGCATTTGCCTGCACGAAGGCCAAAGAGTGAGCACTGTGCCATTGGACAGTGGAGTTGGACTGGTGAGATGTCGTCGAAAAGCTGATGGTTACCGTCTCAGGAGCGGTGAAACCAGGCCTTCAGGAGCCGCAGGATTGTGTCAGAACCGTGGAGATTGCTGGGAAGGTTTTTACTGTAGGACCGTCGGGAGTCAGATGGGATCATCGTTTGAGAGGGTGCAACATCTTTATCGTAGGTCTCATCATCTCGATGTTTAAAGCTAGGCCAGATCCAGAAGCTCGCAGCTTGTTGGAACCCTGACTGGCAGAAAAGAGGAATTTCATATTGGCAAGTTTTGTGTACCGAGAGGGAGGTTGGCAAGATGAAGGGGTGAGCAAACAGAGACAAATGTCTATTTGCAATTGGCAGATTTCAAGAGCAAATATGGGTGGGAAGTTTCAGGTCGGGTAGACCTTGCTTACCAGCAAGGTAACTCCAATCTCAGCATTATGGCGATATTTTCCTCAACCTTACTACACCATTTCTATGTTCTGCGTTGCGGAAATTTTCATTCTCACACTGTATACTAGTCGCCTTAATATCGAGGCCAAGTTGAGCCTCAACTCTCGCCACAATGCTCAAGGATAATGTGAGTTGCATCTCTTTGGGCATAACCTGAGCTTATTTGTCAGGCACTTCAGGCACTGAACCAGGAATTTAAATTGTACGGCCGTTTCAGTACAGGCTCGAAGAGTTTGCTATTGCTGTACCTCTCTGGATCTATGAGAAAAAAATTATTGAATCTCTTGTTTTTTCATCTGATGGTTTAGTTAACCTGGACCTTAGAGCTAGAACGATATTGTCATCTATCGCATCATTTATGATAGACGTTTGAACCCAGCCAGATCGTGAAGAAATCGGGGCAGCTCAACAAGATAATTCACCATATTGGACCTACCTGGTACATTGCATCTTACGGGAAAGCGAGCAACTGTCAACTGCCTGACGCAGCTGTGGGCTATATCCACTTAAATGCTGAGTGTTTTTCATCGCAGCATGCTCCCATGAAGGCCTGTTCCTACAATTCAATTCGACAGCCGCCAATGAGCATATTCATGCGACCCGTATGTACTGGTCGATTTCCTTGCGGTCATTCCGGCTCACCTTCCCTCATTTCCTAAAGTCCAAGCGGTCGCATATATGTTGAGTAAACTTGATGGACCGTGGCTGCAAGCTTTCATCTGAGTTTTTCCTACCAAAACTACCACTGCTATCATCAGCGCCGCGCTACCTGAAAACGATGATTTTGTTGCATCAAAGGACGCGAGAAATGTTCGCTCAAAAGATTTTGCAATAGAAACTCTGGTCTGTTCCTCATCACTGCTGTGCAGATGGTACTTTCCGTTAGTAAAACTGAGTGTCAAGAAGCTGACCAAGCTTGACCTGGTATTGTCTACACTAAGGTGACTGTTGCATTTTTCATCAATAACCAGCACCAAGCTGACTATCTTTATTTGCCAGATACACATCCGCAAAGAGGGTTTCGTTGTGTGCTGAGCCCTCAAGGATTTGAACCATGTGTTCTCCATAACTACGATGTTGTGTAAGTGTGACTCCAGCCCATTTATCGGACCCAATGACGCCTGAGGCTCACTATTGTACAGCGGGTCTTTAGGGTATTCTTTTATTCGTCAATTTTGGCTACGAAACTCACTTGATCCAGATTCTTCGTCTTGAGCAGTGGACCAGGGTGTACACGAAGGGAAGGCACGGTTGTGAGAGGGAAAAAGATTCTATAAGATATGTATGAGTATCAAGTATATATCTCAGCGTGAAGATGTTGGTTGAACGCTGTACTGTACCTATAAGATATGTATGAGTATCAAGTATATCTATAGGTATGATTAGCAATAGTATAATAGAAATATAATGAGTATACACGTACATCTCAGCGTGAAGACATTGGTTGAACACTGAGATGCCACAATGAAAAAAATAGACTAATCAGGTATGTACCAGTAATCTAAATATAGTCCATGGCTTGCAGTTAACGCTCGCCATGCTCAACACTCCCCCTCGAGCCTAATTGCTAGCCATCCGAAGGAGCAAGACCCATCAGCACATGAAATCGGGCAAGTTTGACACGTTTCAAGGACTTGGTGAACGCATCCGCAATCATGTCGTCCGTTGGGCAGTACTTGATGGAACTCTGTGACCTGGAGACTGTTTGCCTAATGAAATGGAACTGCACATCGATGTGCTTCGTTCGTGCATGGTACGTGGAGTCTTTTGAGAGTGTGATTGCCCCTTGATTGTCGCAGAATAATGTCGTTGGGGTGGCGATTGGGTGGATGAGTTCCTTGAAGAGTTTGCGGAGCCATATCAGCTCCTTCGATGCATGCGTCAGGGCAACGTATTCAGCCTCGGTGCTGGAGAGGGTGATGATAGGCTGTTTCTTGGAGCTCCAGGATACGATTCCGTTCCCTACAAAGAAGGCATACCCTGAAATCGAGTGCCTGTGCATCTGCTGAGCCCAGTCTGCATCGGAATAGCCTGTAACGTGTGTGCTCTTTCCTCCTAGGGTGAGGCTATAGTCTCGAGTTCCCTTTAGGTATTTGAAGACTCATAAAACTGCATGCCAGTGAGAGGTTCTTGGCTCCTGCATGTAACGGGATAGCGTTGACACCGCGTAGGAGATATCGGGTCGAGTTGCAAGAGATGCGTACATGAGACGTCCGATGGCCTCACGGTATTGGGAATGCTGGGTCTTGGGGAGCACAGTGGTGGACACGGAGGGTGAGTCGTAACTCAAATCAATTCCTGGTTCCATTGGCGTGACGACTGCTCTAGCTTCGCTTTGGCCAGCCCATTCGACGATGCTGTCGACATATGCCTGTTGGCCTAGGGTGATGGTCCTGGCCTCGCGGTTGCGGTGTACGCTAATACCGAGCAGCCATTTAATCTCGCCAAGGTCAGTCATCTCGAAGTGCTCTCTGAGCTGCTTCTTGATGAGGTTCATTGCGTCGTTGGAGTCGGCAATGATGGTGAAGTCGTCTGTAGCGGCGGCGACGATGGTGTACTTGTCTTTGCTGAATTTGTAGAACACTGCTTCATCGGCCTGGCATATGGAGTATCCAAGAGCAAGGAATACTCGTCTCAGCTTCTGGTACCACTCGTGTGCACCCTGCTTGCTTCCATACAATGGCTTACGCAGTTTACAGCATAGCTTCTTCCCTTCGAGTCTGTTGGGGATTTCCCTAAAGTCCTTGTACATTGGCGGTAGCTCCATATACAAGGTTTCATGGAGGTCAGCTTGGAGGTAGGCATTTTTGATGTCTGCTTGGTGTATTTCGGCATCCTTCTGAGCAGCTACGGATAGTAATGCATGTAGGGTAGTTAGGCAGACTGTCGGAGTGAATGTTTCATGAAAATCAACACCGTAAATTTGGGAGAACCCCTTTAGGACCAGCCAGGCCTTGTATCGTATGATACGGCCTTGATCATCCATCTTGATACGAAATGTATATCTGTTTTTAGCGATGTTGGCCCCAGGTGGAGTGGGGATTATGTCATACATATGTAAGCCTTCAACTTGGCTTAGCTCCCTCTCGACGGCGTCCTTCCATTCCTGTTTTTGTGGTCCCTTCAGTGCCTCCTGTATGGAATCTGGCTCTCCGTTAGTTGTGGCTAGTGCTGACTCAACTAGGTTAGCAAACCACTCTTCCTCGCTCGTATCATAGTCCATTCCACCTGGTTCAAGGCTCCCGTCGTCTTCAAGGACACATGCAGTGACACCAGCAGCCTTCGACATTCGGTTGATGTTGTAGAAACCCTCTGGCTTGCGTGAGCCTCATTGGGGTCAGGCTGGGAGGTCATTTTCATCAGGAACATCCTCAATTTGGACCCTTCGTTGGTGTGGTGCAAGATTTGGGCTTGATGGCAGGGTTGATAGAGGTGTTAGTGGTGATGGCGGGTTTTCTGGAGTGTCTTGAGTGTCTGTGGGGGGTGTGGCAGGTTCGTCTCCCTTGTTTTTGGTTTCTTTTGGGCTGTCACAAGTGTCGTTTGTAGCATGGAATCCATCGGGATTGACAATTGTTTTGTACTCCCCCTCAATTTTGATGGTTTCTTTGCTCAGGTCTTCATCTTTATTGAAGTAGACGTTTCTCTCGACACTGACACGATGTTTTCCAGGCCAATAGACCCGGATACCCTTTGACTCTTCGTCAACGCCTACAAATCGGCCAGGATCAGCACGAGGCTGTAGTTTCCCCCGTCCGAGTTGCTTCACCCACACAGTGCACCTGAATTCATGCAGATTGGACATGTCGGGCTTCTTTTGTGTAGCCTTTTCATGTGGGGTTGTCTTTTCGTTGGCGAGAGCGCTGTGGTGGAGCCGGTTTCTCAGCCAGCAGTGGTAGGCTATGGCTTCGGCCCACAGATAGTTGGGCAGCCCGGCTGCAATTATCATGGCTCAGGGCGCCTTCGAGCATGGTGCACATTTCTCGTTCCGTCATTCCATTTGAGGATGGCGAGTCATGGACATTGAGGTGATGTATTGTCCCTGCAGATTTAAGGTGTCGTTTGAACTCCTCGCTCGTAAACTCTCCTCCACGGTCACACCCGAATATCTTCACGATGTCTACTCCACGTTGGGCTTTCATCCAAGCCTCATGCTCCTTGTAGCAGCACAATGTCTCCGATTTCTTCTTCATGAAGTATGGTAAGCGCTCCCTCGTTGCGATGTCTTTGAATAGTGCGAAATACTTTGAACCGCCAAGAGACTTGACTTTGGCTGGTCCCCATACATCTCCTGTGACCTTGTCACCATATTTCTTGGCTGACTCGTTGTCACTATGCTTCGGGAAAGGTTTCGTCGCAGCTTTAGC